TAACTTCATCCTCAATCGTATGGATGTTAGCGCGACACTTTTTAGAACCATGTGTAGAACAAAGCCATCGTATTCTGAATTGATTCACGCGATGCATACAAAACGTATATTCGCCGATGCGTAGGAGACGTTTACCACGCTGTGACACCTCGAAGGTAACTGAAAATATAACAAAATCTGATTATGCATTGTTGTTTGCCTTTTTTTCTCAATATGTTGAGCAAAGTGTAATGGCAGCTAATCGTCAGACTAAGAGTTTCTTACTTTTTCGTTCGTTTCACGCCGTTGAGAACTGACAGTAAATGTTTAAGAGAGATTAGATTTTTTTTATGTTCAACAAAAGTTACCTAAATATATCTTTATAATTACGAACATAGAAATAAATATCCAAAGGCGCAGAACAGGGTAAATATATTGTATTAGACATTGAATTAAGGCTGAGTTAGTTGCCTTAATTTATTATTTAAATAATTAATTTGATAAAAATTAACTCCTTTATTAATAAACACTAAATCAGTCTTTTATAGTACTCTTTCGTCTCTTTCTATCAAATAGTGAAAAAAAATCTAAAATAGTATCTCACCAGTCTGTTTTCATCACAGTGAAAGAGCACTTTAGTTTTTTTATATTACAAAATAATACTTAATCATAACATATTTTTAATACATTTAAAGACCACTTTGGTTTTTAATAATGTAACAGTAGTAGTTTCGTCAGAAACGCGAAAAATGGGTATGAAAATAATTCTTCAAGTTAACACGATATAATTAGATTTCGTTTAATAGGGATGCCTCCTAGTGTTAGGTACTCCCATAAATCACTATACGTTTGAATGTATATCGTTTAATGCATAAATAAACAATTCCAGGACATAAGGTTTCATAATATTTATAATTAATAATATCCATTACATTAAACTTTAATTGGATTTCAAACTTTAATGCGAGTGATTGTTATTTATTTTAATTATTTCATCCTCGATTGTGTGAACGGTGGCCCGACATCTTTTTGAGCCATGAGTAGAGCAGATCCACCTAGTTTTCATATAATTTTTATTTTGCACACAAAATGTATATCCACCAACGCGCAGGAGTCGTTTCCCTCGCTGTGATACGTCGAAGCTAACTGAAATAATAACAATAAATACTTATTATTTTTTCTAAAATGGCTTCTAAGTTTAAATAGAACCTTATTTAAATAAAACAGAACAGTGTTGGCCTAGTGGCTTCAGCGTGCGACTCTCATCCCTGAGGTCGTGTGCCGGCTGTGCACCAATGGACATTCTTTCTATGTGCGCATTTAACATTTGCTCGAACGGTGAAGGAAAACATCGTGAGGAAACCGACATGTCTTAGAATCAAAAAGTCGATGGCGTGTCTCAGGCACTAGGGGCTGATCACCTACTTGCCTATTAGATTTAAAAAATGATCATAAAACAGATTCAGAAATCTGAGGCCAAGACTTAAATAGGATGTAGCGCCACTGATTTTTTTATTTTTATTTCAATAAAATATATTTTTATTTTATAACATTATTTATACGACTCGATCCAACGGAATATTCATATAGCAATCTCATATTGATTGATATAAAGCACTCCTAACATTGGGTAAAATAGAAAAATGTTGATTATGAATTTGTCAAATAGTATTGCATTCTTCCTCTTTTGGTGAGGCTGAAGATTTCCCGTCAGTGAAGAAACGTATCTTGTCCTGTGTCAGGTGCAGCAACTCTTCCGCAGTCGCAATACCCGTCCACTTCTTAACGCCGTTTACCCTAGATTTTACCCATTGTAATGAATTAAAGGAGATGGTAGCTGTCATAGCGCAACACGTGACCCAGGTACGCAACTTTCCGTTGTTTAATAGTCTGCCAAGTGCCAATAAGCTATTTCGTAACATCAAGACTATACAATTTTAATCATACAGTATAAACTTACGAAAAAGCGCCGTCAGAGAGGGCCGGAATATTTTTCTGTTCATCTGGGAGGACCACCAACTCTTAACTTAGGGCTAGGAATTGAAATATTTATTTAAAAAATTGCAGTGGCCTTCATATTTCCTCCGGGATCTAAACCTTAGACCTCATGATGACTTCTATACTAGACATACACAATATTGTCTAAAATCAGTGATAACTTGACTTGTTTACAAGTCAAGGTATCACTATACAGCGTAAACGCTATCGCAAAATATGCTTAAAAAGGAGTATCAAGAATATCCATAGGGCTAAATCACAACATCATGAGCACACCCCACATACACACCCTCACTTTCACACCATCACACATCACAGCCGAATCAGGTATTGCGTATTTAATAATTTATTTAGATTTTTTCCTTTCGTAAATATTTGAAGATTTTTGTATGTCTTCCATCTTTAGGCTATATGTTGAGTATGATTGTGTTTTGTTGTTTATAATTTAAGTTAGCTGTACGAATACGAAATAAATAAATAAACTTAAAATAACTTTATTTTATATATTTTTTTAAGCTTACACTAGACAATAAAATATAAATATTCTTTGTTTTTTTATAATTCTTTGACCACCCTCTTGGTTTATACTTGACACTTATAATAAAATCGAAAACGTTGAATTTTTTTTAATGTGAGTGATTATTATTAAATTTAATTATAACATCATCAAAAGTGTAAATGCTGGCCCGACATTTCTTATTAGCATGAGTGGAACAGACCCATCGTGTTTTTAAATTACAATGACTTTTCTCACGAAACCTGTAGTCACCGATGCAAAGTAGACGTCTCCCCTGTTGTGAAACGCCAAAGAATACTGAAAATAATTAATCGATTATTAAATACATTCACTATTTTGCAGCATTAAGTACTAGTTAAAAACACTGCATTTTTCTATCACCTCATTTATACACAATATTTCTATTTACTTACAAGAATTTAATATAATTAATAATTTACATTAAAAGTGTAATGGCGGACTGGCTTTCAGTATTTATTAGTGACGCAGTGGAACTCTTGTGTTTGGAATAAGTAAAAAACTTACCAAATTTAATTCTGTTGTATATTAAGGTATTTATATATTTCCTTAATTTATATATATAATATTTGACACCCAATATATAATCCTTTTTTTTTAAATTAAATATGGCATTATCTGAATATTGTGGATTTATACCATTTTAAACCTTCCAATGTTTTTAATTCAATCAGATCAGGTAGAGAAGACGGCTGGGTTACATCGAAAACCATTTTTGTATAATGAATATTTTATTACTATATTAATTTTCTAATAACATATATGCTATTATTATAAAGCTATAGTTAGTGTTTACGACCGCCCTAATCGTAGGAACGAATTGTTAGTATTGGTAATTCCCTATATTTTGAATAGTCCACGACATTTAAAAAAACAAAATTTCTTAAACATTGTGACATTAAACTGAAGTTAATTGTGTAGCACTAACTTAATAATATAATATATATTATATATACGAACTATTTTCATATAAGCAAAAGGCATAAATGAGCAGAAGTTGTTATTAGGTATCTCTCGATACATTCTGTCTTTGCCCCGCATCATCTTGCCATAAGGGATGTTATTAATGCAGTGGTGCTACAGCCCCCAGTGGGTGTAGACTTTAAATCTCATTATATTTTCTGACAATTGACATATGACAATTTTTGGGTCTAAAATATACACAGATTACACAATATACATGTGATAAATGAAAGAAGAATCTATAAATACTCAGCCGGGATTCAAACGCACGACGATAAGAGTAAAATGCTAAACCCAGCACTGCTTAGATTATCTGCTAGTAATTAATGTATATTATGTCTATGTGTTAATATAAAACAGTTTGTACAGAGGAACGGCTGATTGGGACACGCAGGGCAAAAGGTCACGATTTTTCGTATTTTCTTCCGGGCTTCATATCTTCCCATGATTTTGACGTAGTGTCTATAGCAATTGTGACAGCTCCTCCTGTTATCTCTCACCCTTCCCCCGATCTCCTCAAGATAATGACCGCTTATCTTTCTTCCGAAAAATACACAGGCTCGGAAAACTAAAAACAAAACAGGATTAATTTATATCGTCACAAAGCTCGAAAAATACGTAGAATTAAATCTAACGTAATGAAATCCTATCACATAAATGTGTGTACGGTCACCTTTTTAGATAGACATAAGGATGAATATTGAATATACATTAATCGGATACCATTCTTGTCGTTATTATAACTAGTATAATACAAATATATGACAAAATATCTAATTTTGTACAAAGAATGTCGTTAAAGAAGTCTTAATACAAAATTCGATACTTTGTAATGTATTATCATCTAATAAATTGTGTAAGAGGTAGTGATAAACAATAAAATGAACATATCATACAAAAGTATATTTAAATTTTGTCCTATACTCGTAGTAAATAATACCTACCATGCCAAGAACATAGATTTATGGAAATTTGAGTTATCAAGTACAAATAAAAAATGTAATGAAAAAAGAAAAATTAATTAATCTTCATTAGTTTTTTAAATATTATTTATTATAAATGAACCTTGCATTTACAAGCAAGGTACATTTATAATAAATAATATTTAAACTACTACTAGGTACTAGGAAAAGTTACAGAAAAATAATAAAAATGTTATTATTTTTCTGTAACTTATTAAAACTAGCTAACTATGGTGTAGTACTTAAAGGAAAGATTTCTAAGAAGATATTGAAACTACTCAACATCTTAAATTAACGTTGACTGCTATGCCTGCAGTAGAACAGTGAATATTTGCACTCGCATTTGAAATTACAGCACTTTGGTCCAAATTAATATGTGTATTCAACGTATATAACAATCAAGAAAGTGTGAAAAATATTTCACCCAAAATTCACATCTGTGACCACTCTCTCACTCTGCGATTACTCTAAACCTGTATCCTACAATGTGAACGGTAACAGCCCAAGCCACGAACATTTTATGGATCATCCAAGTACGTAAAGACGATTGGTGGTGAACTGAGCTAGTTGTATGTAGGTTTATGAGAATGTGCGTTGGACACTTTCACTATTTGTCCTTCAACACTGTACACGGCTGCACGACATGATCTCCTGGTACAACACCATCTTACTTTGTTCTTGCTTTCAACTCGTTTGTAAAACTTGTAACCGCCAATAAATAATTGCTCTTTCCCTTTGGATCCTAGTATTAATATCGCTGAAAAATATATAAAAAGGTTAAAACCGACATTTGAAATACACCCTGTTATAGATCTCAAACATCTATTGACATTTTGTCCTCGTGTCACTTTTCTATACGACTATGTACTTGCGTGTTGTTACCACGAGGATAGTGCGTGCTCCTATTTCACCAGGCCTCCTGCTGATAGAGGACAAATATTTGTTTTTAATTTATTTTATTATTATTAATTAACCATTAATTACCTAAGATGTCATGTGGTGTAATGATTGCAGCTCACAAACATTGTGTAATACAAAAAACTTGGCGATTAAAAAGAGTGGCGGAGAGTTTATTGCCAGTTCTTCTCTTCATTCTACGCCCTTGATTTGAGAACTGGCAGTAAATGTAAAATTAGAAGAATTTGATATATATTAATGTGTATAATATAATATGTATATATATATAATATATAAATAGTATACAGGATGTGTCGTAATTTATGGATTATATGGTAACTGCAAGTAGAGGAAGTTGTGGTTCAGAAAAATAATGTGTTATATATCTTAATATATATAAATTATTATTAATAGTAATTATTATTTGATAGTCACAATTCTAACAGATGGCGCTATGTACCAACGTTTCACATAAGCTACAATTTATGGCATAACCACCAAAAAAGCCTGGTGGTCCCCATGACTGGTGTTCTCCTACCGTTTCCCTTGAAAAGTTTGCTACTATGTAATATAACAAAAACCTTAGCCACAGCAACGCTTGGCCGGTCTGCTAGTATATAATAAAAATCCCTCGGTTTTCGAGATAATCGAAAATTCCGAAAGTTACTGACACTGTAGTAACAATACTCCAAATGCAGGAATTTATATCTACACAGATGCGCTATTAAATGTACACTAAGATTTTTACGGTAACATCCTCTACCCCCTGGTACCACATTTTCCATTCATTACGTCACAACGTGTATGTAATTGAAGAAACGTACGTTTTGTTTTTAAGAAAATAAACGAGAAGTCTCTCGATGACCAGAACTTCTGTAAAGTCTCGGAACGTCAAATTAAATTAATAAATAAATAATGTAAAAAAGAGTTTCGCGCTTCAAATTTAATAGTCTTCGGTTTCTAAAAGTTATCGCCATTTTAGCGATTAAAAACAAAATTAGCTTTGGACAATCATTTATTTGCTATAAAATTAAATTAATATTAAAATACAATGTATAAACATGTTTAAACCTAGTTCAAACGATTTATTTTATTTTGACAATATTATAGTTTACAAAAAATCCCATTAACAACAGAAAATTTAGGTGGTTGATGGTTGTGATATAAATTTGCTCGTTTCACTATAGAGCTCTCATTGTCCAATATAAAATTAGCTTTACAATGTTTCGTGCACCTCCAATTTGTCGTTGTCTTTGATTTAACTGCGCAATAAAAAGTATAGTTGTCTATGATCGCCAACTTATAACCAGACATTTTTTGTACCCATTGTACTGAAAAAGTAATACAAAATTTGATAATAAAGACTACTTAAAATTAATATTCAAAAATTATTTATTGCTGTTTAATAAATCTGGCTATAAACTAAAAAAAACAAACTCAGTCGTAGTTTTATTCGAATATCAAGTTTATGTGAAGTGACAATATATCAAATTAATATTTTAAATACACATATCAGTCTTTTTATTAAAACAGTTGAAAAGACTGCACCAAATAGCTGAGACTCACTTGGTCACAATCTAGATATTTTATTATAAATAATAGCTAAGTGCTAATACATAATTTAAGTTCGAATAGATCTTTGTTTAGAGTATTGGAGGCTGTCCATAATATACAGTATAAACGTTCTATAGCGTAAGCATCTCACTTAGATAAAATTATTTTATAATTGACTTTAATCTTTGAATTGTATTGACAAATTGAGTCAAAGATTGGTAACAGTTTCACATTTATGATTTCATCCAACGGCGATATCCGATATTACTATTTGTATGCAATGATCTATTTGCTCGTATTAATTGTCCGTTACGTACAACATACTCAGTCCTGGCATGAACATGATGGACGTCATTTTTAACAACCAAATTTTTTTCATTAGTTGTAATTCGACCTTTGCAGTAGGTACTTGTTGTACATCGCCAAATGTTGGGTCTTTCTTCGCGGTACGAATAACCATTGCATATGCCAACCATTCCACCACGAGAATTACGAAATACGACAACTGTAAGACGATTCTTTATTAATTAAGATTAAAGAATGTTTCGAAATACAAGAAGGTTGAATAGAAAAAATCCGTTTTTAATATGCAGTAGACCTTATATTTAGGAATAATATAAAGAATATGGAACGACTTAAACAGTGTCGATTCAATCGCAAGAATATTTGTACTATAAGGGATTATGTAGCATAGTAAGCGTTACTTCTATTGATGAAGTAGGTTATTTATTTATTGCAATAAAAATTTTACGAAAAATAACCTTGATTTTTGAAAAATTATAGGCCAAAATATTGGACCAATGATGACGTAATTATTAAAACATGTATTAACGACCCGATAGGCATTGGCAACTAAAAAAACATATCATAAAACACAAGCCTTTAATTTGTTACAATTTAAGATAATTTGTAAACATATGTAACATTAATTACTTTTCTTGGTATTATTTAAGAGGTTTTCGTTTATTATTGTTGTTCATACTCGTCTTAATTTTTAGTAATGGCTACTTTTGATCAGGTTCAACATCCAAGTGTTTTGAAACTACAACAATTTTTGGGAGTTATAGTTCAACACAAAAAGCAATGTTTTAGGTAATTCCATCCAATCGCGTGATTTTACCCAGTTAGAAGATTATTCTCTTGCGTCGCATTCGCTAAAATCTAAGTATATACCCCTTCATAAAAGAGGATACGGAAGGGTTTTTAGCTTAGTCCTCTGTCAAGAGCTTCGAGATTTCTTTTACTTTTACAATTCTAGAGTTCATTTATCAACGAAATGTACCTTTTTTTTACGGGGTCCCAATTCGATTTACTCCCTAAGATATCTCTGATGCTTTAGACAGTCATTCAACCGTCGGCTTTCATTTGTCAAATAACATTTTAATTGTTTAATTGTCATCACTCCAAATTCAATAATAAACAGTAGTTACGTTTTATAAAGTATCCCATTTACTAAAACATAGGTCCCTCTGGGATGTTTGTGGACAGCTGTTACTCGCTTTAAGCGGTCGTGCTCATCAGTAGTGAGTCGACCACGGCAGTAGGCATTTGTTCTACAGCGCCATTTATTAGGGTATTTTCTGTTTCGCCGGTAAGTGTACCCACGGTATAAAGCTATCTCGTTACCGTTTTCCGAAAGGCATACGACAACTGAAACAATCATTATAGTTATTAAATTATTATTGAAATGAAAATAACACTTCACACTTCATAACTTCATAACATAACGAGTTATGAAATTCCACCAATTGCACTTCGACTTTCGTCACTCCACAACTGAGCGTTTTTAGACACTTTTTGGAACCGCTTTGTGGAACCAGCTATTCACTAAAGAAAACAGAGTACCAATTCTTAAAAACCGGCACCGCACTCGCGAGCCCCCTGGCATTGAGTGTTCACGGAGGTTTCATTCAACATCGGGTGAACCTCCTGCCCGTAGAGTTATTTTCGAACCAATACGACTTAGGCTCATTCAAGAAAAGAGAGTACAAATTCTTAAAACGCACTTGCGAGCCCTTTGGCATTGAGACTGTCCATGGGCGGCGGTATCACGCAATATCCGGTGAGCCTTCTGCCTGGTTGCTTCCTGTTCTATAAAAAAAATTAACCTACGAACGTACGAAGCTATATACTTTCTTAAATATATAACAATTCACATTACATCAAGATAAAAAAATAGAATATTAACGCAAATTTATTTATTAATACAATTTTTTTATAAACCTATTCAAACACACGATCAAAAACTAAAACATAACTAATTACCTAATTTCAAAACAAAATATTTGAATCTTTTTACTTTTAATCTTTGTAAAGGCCTTTTGTAATTAAAACTAAATATCACGCGTTCACAAATAGAAAAATAACATTCAATGCACATCCCTTGTGCCACAATTCTAATGATACGCCGCTTAAATATCGCCAAATATGGCCGCCAATAAACCGTATACATATATAAAACTATTTTGCAACAGTCTTAACGACTCGAATGTATAAGACTGGTTTTAGTCTCACGCTGACTGCACGCTCACCGTCGCTGGCGGCCGAGATATATGAACTTCCAGAAAGCGTTTTTAAATGACGCGTAGCTATCAGCATGCATCCGATCCACTCTACAAAAATAAATACAAATTCTCCTACAACGGCTCTCTGCTCAATCAATGGATAAACAAGGAGTCTTCATCGTTGCTATTATTTCTTTGGGATAGGTAGTACAACGCAGCAATAATTATTTTTGGCCGTCGTCTGTAACGAGTACTAGCCACGATGAACCTCAGCGCTGATGGTGAGACTAAAACCAATCTAACATTACGTTATTGCGTCAATGTACTGTCACGTCTATTACGAAATACTTTAACCAGAACTAAGATTAATATGTACTACGGTCTCACACGGTTTCCAGAGACATAAGAAGTGCTCTGTGACTGCTGCTATAACCAAAATCACTTACTAAACTATACTCTTAACTATAAAGTAACAATAACTTTTGTAGCTAAAACTGTGTCGTTTTTATCACATTTCACGCTATCCAGAAACAAATGCAACCTACCACATATACGTATTACGTAAAATTGTAAAATTAAATAGTTCACTACTTTGTTGTCTATTTATACCTTGTGACACAACCCGTCCTTAACAAAATACTGTGGTGGATTGTGGTTATGAAGGAAAAATCCACCTTTTTTAACATTCAAAGAATAATCTGTTGTAAAATGTGCTTTGCAGGGAAGACCTCTGGTACAACGCCATTGTATTGATATGTTCCGTTTGTTCGGGTAAAACGTGAAGCCGTCCACAATTGCCAAGTCCTTTCCTTGTCTATTTTTCACCAACATTACTGAAATCAATAATATATTGAAATTAATTTACATAATGTCATTGTTAATTCATAGGATGTCTATTTGTACGAATAAAACCCAATCAAAAATGTTTATAAAGTAAGGTATAAACGTTGGATGTTTGTATAAGACAAGTTTTATGTAATACACAAACATCATAATAAAAATATTTTTTTTTCGTTTCCACACATTTTACTTTTTACAATTTTTCACGCTAGAATATGCATCATTATCGATTTAAAGAACGGGTCGATAATGTCTACGATTTATACTAAAACTAAAGAGTTTATGGACTTTACATTTATTATTGTTAAAATTTATTAGATTTTTTCAATTAATCAAAGTTAAAACGAATTATTCAAATAATCATTGTACAAAAGATTTTTGTCCTTATAAAATTATAAAGGGATAAAAAGAGAAAGATGAGTAATTCAGTTAAAATGGTGCAATTAATTTACTGAATCATATTAATTTCTTAATGACGTATTTTTAACGTCTTTAATTTGTATCGTTTTTAATTTTTATTAATAATTAAAGTTATTGCTAATTAACAATAACCCAATTCTCTCATTAACTGCTTACTGCTGAATTCAACGTTAGTCCCTAAATTCGATGATATATTCCATTTTGGATTACATGAGGTGTAGGTGAATGGCTGTGTTCTATAAAAGATTTGAAAATATGTGTTCTGGCCTTGTTTGTGGTAAATTTGCTTTTACATATCCGCGTTCGAGTGCACATCCACGATGTTGTGCTCTTCGTGCGGTCATCTGCGAAGAAGCTGTAGCCATTCAAAATTGCAATTGGCTTCTTATTATAATTCAAGTAATATTGAACTGTAACAAAATGTATTACATTGATTATGTGTGTGTGTGTGTGTGTACAGGCGGTTTCTCTATTTCATTTGTAGTCTAGGAAAGGCTAGACTGTGAAATATTGTATACAGAATGGCATGAAATGTTACGTACATTTAATGCCAATTCACATGATTAATATACTATATATTACTTCTGAAAATTTACTTTCTAAAGGTATAATTAATTTTAAAAAATTATGAACGTTCAAATATAAGAGTCTTTCCTCCAACTTTAGTTTTGTTCCCTTTGGAGGAGAGACTCTTGGGCCGAAGGGTTCAAGTACCTAATTAAAGATTTAAATTGGAGCTTGGTAGGTGACCCGAGAGCTGGTGCTTTCCTCGCTCAACGAATAAGTATCGTTATACAGCGATGAAATGCTGCCAGCATCAAAGGTACACTTCCACAGGACCGAAATAGTTTTTTGTATTTTCTATTCATCTATTTTCCATTATTATAACTATGTAGGTTAATAATATTATATTTATGTGTTGGAAATAAATACTTTAAGTTGCAAAAGAAATAAAAAACATAGAATAACTCTCACACATTTGATAATAAAACAAATTTTTACCGGATTGAAGTACATACATACATAATAACTTCAATCCGAATACATAACTTCAATCCGTTAAAAAAATATTTTTTTATCAAATAAAAAATAGTTACATTATTTATAAAGTTTCACTTTACATTATAATATACTTAAATGTATTGTACTTTTAGTACTAAAGGCAATATTGTAGGTCAGTTAAATTAAATATTATGAATAATCGATATGGAGGGACGATATCGACAATATTAATCTCAAATTAAAAATATAGATTAGACAGTTATGTTACATTGACCACTGATACATGTATACTAAAAGGAATAAAAAATGCTACAAAACTTTATGTTCAGTATTTATGAATAGGAAATTAAGCCAGGTTGAGCAACGATGAAGTCCCAGGTTTGAACCCCGGCTGTATGAATACCTTCAATGTGAGCATTTAACATGTTCGTACGGTGAAGGGAAACTAAGTATACGGCCTGTATCAGGCACAGGCTGATCACTATATAACTTTATAAAACAACAAAAATTCCTATCCTATCCATAGACAATTTACGAAAATTATTTATTTATACTTCGTTAACTTAACATACATATAAAAACAGGTTACAAAAGTTATTAAAATCACCATTAATTAGGAGTTAACATCAGCCGAGTTTATGGTACATTCCATTCCTTATTATATATTTGGTTGGTGGGTGAGAATGCTCCAGGTTGCCCTTCAGAAAATGATTTTTATCTTTCGTGGTGTTAAAACGCGCTTTACACCTGGCTCCCCCTTGTACAATACCATAACGTAGTCGACTTGTTTCGCTCGTTCGACAAGAATGTGTAACCATTTAATATCGCTATTGGTTTCCTGTTACAATTCAGAGTATAGACGACTAAAACAATATATTTATTTAGTAAAATGACAAAATTTAGTATCTATCTATAGATAATAAAGTACCATAACTTATCCTGACCCGTGTGCTTTCAGCGCAACTTCAAATGAGATTTAAATGATGAATGACAATTTAATACAAATTTGTGTGTTATTTGTAAAATATTTATTTCTGTATGTTATTCTTTGTATCTTTTACCTTGCTTTTTTGTGTTTTATAACTGTAAATAGTCGGTGCAAACAAATAAATGTGTAAAAAATAAAATTGTAGCAGAAATAAACATTCAATTCAAAATAATTATTGACTCAATAATTATCAGCTAATAAAGAACCTTTATGTTTATCTGACGACGCAATTCCATGTACTTCCTACAATCATCATCATCATCAATGGCTATACAGCCCCTAAGCCCCACAGCCTCCTGAAGTACCTACACTTCGCAATCTATCCAGTGCTTCCCGTGTCCAACATCGAACCCCTATAGTTCGGTCAATACCTTTATTTATATGTCCTAAAGCATTATTAAAAATACGTAAAAAGACATTACTAACTTTAATATACGAATCAATTCTATTAGAAAACTACAATATAGGTAAAACAACAAAAAACGCCAATTTAAAACTCAACCTAAATAAAAACTTAAACCTCATTATGAACATAATAAACAAAATTATGATAAATAGGTGCAGTGTTGGCCTAGTGGCTACAGCGTCCGACTCTCATCTCTGAGGCCGTAGGTTCGACCCCGGCTGTGCACCAATGGAATTTCTATGTGCGCATTTAACATTCACTCGATCGTTGAAGGAAAACATTATGAGAAAATCGCCTTAACTTAGACCAAACACGACGGCGTGTGTCAGGCACAGAAGGCTGATCACCTACTTGCCTATAAGACTTAAGACATGATAATGAAACAGATTCAGAAATCTAAGGCCCAGACCTAAAAAGGTTTCAGCGCCACTGATTTATTTTTCACGATAAATAGGAAGACTGTTATAAAATATATCAATACTGTCAGTAGTACGAGCGAGATAGGATATTATATTATATATAAAAGACAGGATAAGATAGGATATTATGTATAAAAGACTTATTAACTTTCGGATTAGAGATACAGGAGATTTTCGCAAGAAGTTTAGTATGAATATTATATGTTAAGTAATTTGTATAAATAAACACTTTCGACATATTAATACGCTTTTCGAACAAATATTACATATAAAACCAACATAAGGATGCAATAAAAAACACTTCGTGTAAAATAATTTAATTATGATTTATGTATAAGTTTACGTAAATATTAAATAATTTCTGACACAGTAAAAGATATAAGATACAATAAAAAGTGCTTTAGTAAAATAACACTCGAAGAATGATTTGTCGAGATTGGGAAAATTACAAAATATCGACACAAAAATGCCCAAAACGCTTGTAAAAAACGCTTGCTTAAACAAGAAAAAATATTTGTTTTATGTAACTATTAAATATCATTAAATAATCACAACTAAAGGTAATACACTCCCTCCCATATTTAAGAAGCAAATGCGTATGGGTGAACCAGCTTGTCTTGTCTGAAGTGTTGCTTGGACGCTCGCGTGCTGCCTAGCTTTTCGCCCACAGATCTACGTGTATCGTGTGCCTGATAGGCTATTAGAGATGATATGTAAAAAAAAACATACAATATAATTTTTTTGACCATCACACATTGTGAGCGATAACTCCTGTAACTTTTTTTATAGATAATACCTCAGCCTATGAATTAAAAACTTTTATTCGTAAAGATTAAATATAATAACTGTACCAAAAATATTTTTTATTGATTGTCTTGATTCCCTTCACATGTATGTTAAAAAAAAATACCAGGCCATAAACTCCAAAAAAAAAAAAATATGTTAAAAAAACTTTACATAAAACTTCAATGTGATAGTTATCTTATTTAAGGTACAAAGCACATAAATGATAAATAAATATTTGTTTTATACATATATTAAATAACTAATCAGGAAAGTCGGTAGTACACTCCGTTATTAATTAGAAATCTTGGAGGTGGATGTGTGTGGGTGAAGTTGCTTTTACGAACTGTTGTCTTGTCTTTTGAAGTAGTGAAGCGGGCTTTGCACGTTTTACTTCGAGTACAGTGCCATGGTATGGAGTTACTGTGACGTTCGTCTGGATAAAAACAATAACCATCCACTATTGCTATATTCTTTTGGTTTTGATTTACAGCAAATGTCACTGAAACATAAAAGTAATTTAAGCCTACCGTATATTACAAATGTTTAAATAATCACAGTATACAATAGGTGTGGTAAGGCGAATTATGAATTTATTTTGACATGACAACAAATATTTTGATATAGATTGTCTTAGAAGATCTCTGATCGATTCTTTCTCTCGTCGTGGTTAGCAAGGAAACATTTGAAGCGGGCTATCTGTTACCACCGGTTTTTGTTCAGCGCCTCTCTTATTACAGTTTTGAGGATGATGAGTCTTTCACTTGATCGGTCCATCTGTTTGAAGAATGGCCACGTGAATTTTTGACTTCTACATACCAACCACAATCAGTTTCTTCAAGTAATCATCGCCTCTGCGCATTGTATGGCCGAAATATTACATAAGTCGTTGTCGGCTTTTGGTAGACAGGCAAGTCCGTATGCAAATTTATTAGTGATATTCGCAGTCCACGGTATTCTGATCATTAGCCTCCAGCACCATATCTCAATGGCATCAATCATTTTCCTTTCTCGAGCCAAGATTGTCCACATTTCTACTCTATTCAGGAAGAGCTCCCCAGTACCAGCTCCTTCCGCTTGACCATATTCAACGAAAAGCAATTCAAATCGCTTTCCGAGCGGCTTAATCCCTTGGCGTTGCGTAGAGATGTGGGGTCTCTCTGCATCTTCTACCGCATTTATCATGGAGAGTGTTCAGAGGAGTTGTTCGCACTAAAACCTGTAGCTGAGTTTCATTATCAGTAAAACCAGCTGTCTCCTGAAGTAAAGAAAGAAAAGAGCGTACCAGTTCTTAAAAGGCCGGCAACTCACTTGCCAGCCTTCTGGCAATGTGTCCATGGGTATCACTTAACATCAGATGACACTCCTACCCCTTTGCCTCCTACTACATAAAAAAAGACAAGGAATACTAGAGCCTGTATCAATCTGATTTTGGTTTTAATACCAATTCCTCTTTTCTTCCAGATGTTGATTAAACGTGGCTTAGCATCTTCATCGATTCGCCTTTTTATCTCGAATACAGTCGATCTGCTATAATCATTTTGGTTTTTTCTCTATTCACTGCGAGGCCTATGCTATGCTACTTTCTAGCTCGAGTCTACCGTAACTTTGCTGTTTTCTTTGCGCCACTTCAGAATAATGTACTCTTCATTATAGTGCAGGGGACAAGATGAAACCCTGTTTGACACCTTTTTGGTTTGTAGCATATTGTAGTATCCATTTCCTATCCTGATGAAAGAACGGTTTCCAATAAAGAAATTCTAGATTAAAGCTTCGAGGTCCCGTCATTCAGAAGATCTTATCTCGTAGATGTAGAACCTCCCACCGTTTCCACCATTGTATATAGGCATTGTTCGCGCGTTCCTTTGCTTTTAACAAAGATCTTTAGCTTTTCTTAAATTATAAAAATTCTTTATGTATAAAACTTCGGTTAAGAAAGATAATAAAATTAAGGTACAGAGTTTATTTTAATAATATTTATTTTATATGTCCATTAAATATTATTACATAAGCCTAAAGTCGATAGTACACTCCCTTATTAATTATAAAATTTGGACGTGGATGTGAGTGGGTAAAGTTGCTTTTTCGAATTATTGTCTTGTCTTTTGTAGTATTGAAGCGGGCTTTGCACTTTTTACTTCGTGAGCAGTACCACGGTGTGGAGGTATGGTGACGTTCGTCTGGATAAAAACAATAACCATCCACTACTGCAATATTCTTTCCGCTTTTATTTACAGCAAATATCACTGAAACATAAAATGAAGTTACAACTGCCATACTTTTAAAATCACATAATAAAATAGGTAGGCAAATTATGAATTTATTTGTCCTCACAATTTTATAATAATTTATATCGAGAAATATTATAATTAAAGGAGTTGTTTGGATTGATACCTGCAGCTGAGTTTTATCATCGGACGTCAAGGCAGAATACGAAATTCCACCCTTATCACCTCGACGTCCGTCGTTCCACAACTGAGCTCTTTTACCACTCACCACCACTATGTGGAAACAGCTACCGACTGAAGTATTTACGAACAATTGGTTTGGAAATTGATTTACGAACCTTCGAGAAAAGAGCGTACCCATTCCTAAAAGGCTGGCAACGCACTTGCGAGCCTTCATATATCACTTCGCATCAGATGATCCTTCTAACCGTTTGTCTCCTGTTGAGTAATTTACCCGTTGACACACCCGTTATGTTTAGTCGCTAGGTATTTATTTATTTATGTATTTACACTTCGTTGCAAATAAAAGAAACACAATACATAAAAATTATAAGGGATGCAACGGGCGGCCTTATCGCTAATAAGCGATCTCTTCCAGGCAAACCTAGTTAAAGAGAAAGACTAAAAAAAAAGAAACATGATGCGTGCGAGAAGTGCAGAACCAAATGTTATATAAAAAAAATATTTATTTTTAGAACCTTAATCTAAAGTAATACAAAAGAAAATATTAATAACAGACTAAAAACTTAAAAGCTAATCTTACAAATTCATGAACAGCGAATGGTGATGCAAAAGGAAACATAAGAATTATACAAGTCAAGAATCACGATTGATCAGGATAGGATAAGGTTAAGAAATGATTATACAGAAAAGTTTTAAAAGATGACAGAGAGGTAGCCAATCGTATGGAGTCGGGCAGCCTATTCCACAACTTAATAGCGGATATCGTGAATGAATTGCCTAAGAAGGTTGAAGTGTGGGATGGAATTTCCAATAAACGTCTGTTAGAAAAGCGTAACATATAGTTAGAAGGACCTAAGAATTTGAAGTGATTTTTGAGATAAGAAGGGGTTTTCGGATTGAAAAGAATTGAGTATAGAAGTTGAAGAAGATGAGCGTGACGTCTGAATCTTTATTTGGAAACTAAGGACAGAAATTAATATGGAATTACTACTTTATAAAGAGTATATTTTTTACGTTTATAATAAGGCAGCTGTATTTATATATATTTAATTTGTAATAATGGTTACCTTAATATTTTCGTGTAAACCAAAACTTGGGGATTAAAAAAGTGGCGAAGAGTTTCTTGTCAGTTCTTCTCGCCCACTCAACGTCCTTCGTGGACTGTAAATTTAGATCTATTTTCATAACTTGACTTTCGTACAATATGAATGAATAGATTTTGATTTGATAAACCATTAATTGTTTTGCCGACGCCATCACCCCACATATTTGGATATAGTCTTGGAAGATTAGGTTATCTTAAAACATATCTATGCTTTATATATCGTCGGTAAAGATACTTAAATTAAGGTGCAAAGTTTAAATTAATAATATTTATTTAATATGTCCATTACATAAGACTAAAGCCGATAGTACACTCCCTTATTAATTATATATTTAGAAGGCGGGTGTGTGTGGTTAAAGTAGCTCTTTCGAAATATTTTCCTGTCTTTTGTTGTTATGAAGCGAGCTCTGCACCTACTTGCTCGTGTGCAAAACCATTGTATGGAGGTTTTACAACGTTCCTTTGAGTAAAAGCAATAACCGTCCACTATGGCTACAGGCTTTTGGTTTTTATTTACAGCAAATGTCACTGAAATTGAAAAAAATAATTTAGATTACCTTTACAATTTGACATTCATTAAATGTGACATCTTTTACTAGATGATGCGGTAAACGTTGTATCACCTACATATTTTATTTTTCAGAGGGCTCGTGAGTGTGTTGTCGGCCTTTAAAGTTATTACATCATACATAAGTGATCGGAATTCATACTACAGCTATGAAACGCAAACTTCTGAAGGCATCTATATGACAACAAAGTGAAAAAAAAATATTTCTAAAAAGATATCAATCAATTCCCAATTCCAATGGAAAATTCAATTGCCGTTTTTTTGTATTTTAATTTACTTATTATTCATGTTTCCTTTTAAACCTTCCCTGAACCTCCACAAATATTTCAAGATCATAATTATCAAAATCTGTCAAGGCAGTGTCAAGTTTCAGTGAGACAAACGAACACCAATTCATTTCTATATAACAGATTTACGTTTTTCATTTAAAAGAAAGCTATTTCACCAAATACACTTTGCATAAAAATAACTGTAATAGTTCATTTAGTTTAGATTACAAATATTCACTCTGGTAAGAGGAATAAATAGAGCAAACCGATAAAAACATACAATTGTAAATAGTTAAAACTAAATAGGTTGTAATAAACTTTATTACCATTTAAATTAACTGTACAACATAATTACAATAGCATAGCCTCTACTATCGTGTCTACGCTTGCACTGTTTAGTGCAAATAAGTGATCCACGCTTTAATAAGTACTTTCTACACAGCCTTTTTCGCTACGGTACAGTGCTCTATACAGTAACTTAATAATTGGTAAAATCAAATTATGTAATAATCGTTTAGGAATTTTAACGAAGGAAACACACGACACGTAAAGTTAAATACACACACGTTAAAGAATTTGACAAATTATTTTCAGTTAGACATAATATTTTTTATTTAAAATAGCGCTCATAAGCAAAGAAGCCTTTTCCCTTGCAAGAAGTTGTCCAAATTTCGAAAAAAATGGTAATCTGTTGGAGCAAGGTCCGGGGAGTACGGAGGATGTCTTAGACATTCCAATTGAAGCTCTTCTAATTTGGTAGCCGTTTGTTGTGCAGTGTGTGGTCTAGCGTTGTCGTGAAGTAGCAGTGGCGTGGAGCGATTTACCAGCCTAGGTTGTTTAGCCGCTAGCTTTTCCATCATGGTTTGCAATTGCTGACAATAGACATCAGCCGTAATAGTCTGGCCAGATTTGAGAAAACTGCAATGAACAATACCGGCACTAGTCCACCAAACGCTTACAAGTAACTTTTTTGGGGTTAATTTTCGCTTGGGGCAGGATTTGGCTGGCTGGCCAGGATCCAACCATTGCGCTGCGCGGTTCCGATTATCGTAAAGAATCCATTTTTCATCACAGGTAATGATTCGGTTTAAAATACCTTCATTATTGTGCCGGTTCAGTAATGTAACGCAGCAGTCGACGCGCGTTTGCCGGTTTGCTTCAGTCAATTCGTGAGGTACCCATCTTTCAAGCTTTTTAATCTTCCCAATTTGCTTCAAGTGAATTAAAACAGTTTTATCACTAACACCGCAGCCTGCAGCTAACTCTAGCGTGGTTTGCGATGGATCCGCTTTCACAATAGCCTTCAATACTTCATTATCAACTTGGGTCTCAGGCCGTCCACGGGGCTTGTTCTGCAGGTCGAAATTTCCAGAACGAAAACGTTGGAACCAAAAACGAACTGTGTTTTCTTTTGCAACATGACCGCCATACACATCATTCACCCTTCGAGTCGTTTCCGCAGCACTAGTGCCACGGCGGAACTCGTACTCGTAAATAATGCGATACTTTAAGTTTTCCATTTTGTAAAATGAGTGACGAAAACAGAAAAAAACAAATAGATGACGGTCATCGAAGCACAAATACATGAGTAAATAGCTGTACAAATTTGAATTTGGAATTCCTTACCAAAGAGGAGAACATCGTGATTAAAGTGGCCGGTACGAAATACGCCAATTTCATATGTAAGGACCTAATATTAAATTTGTTCCAATTATTTTAATTCCTAAGGTCAGGGATATTTCATTCTGTAACTTACATGATCATGGGATCGTCTATTGCGTGTTAGAGCATTTGTGTCATAAAATTAAACTCTATGGTAGACACCATTTTTGATAAAGTATTTGTTAGGTGGATGATAATGCTCCGGCGAAATTTTCATGATTACACTATTATCCTTAGACGTTGTAAATCTCGCTTTACACTTACTCCCTCGTGTGCAGGACCAATTGATCGAGCCCTTATTACGTGCATTCTGATAGAAGACATATCCATTTAATATCGCTATGGGCTTGTTGTTCTTATTCACACCAAATTGAACTAAAACATATAAACGATATTGTTACATCTTCATTTTAATTTTTTATAGCCTGAGCGAAAAGAGATGCGGCACGACAGGAAATATATTTTTTTTTCTTAAAATACATTTCACACAAATCTAGCCCACACACTAATTATTGCTAATAAGTAATAATAAGTATAATTCACTACTAAGTCATTACTAGTCTTAGTGTTATATAATGTTTTGACACTATGATAGTGTGTCCGAGATACCGCACTTGCAAACGGGCAGGATATATATATTCATATTTCCTACGCGTTTTCACAAGCAAGTTTATACTTTATTGCCAGTTCTTCTCGTCCATTCTACGCTCTTGATTTGAGAACTGGCAATAAATGTAAAATTAGAAGCATTTAGCATTTAATATGTATTTCTTTATTGACATTCATAAGTATACATTGTGTCATCTAAATCAATCAATTTTTATCCTCGCACATTAATGTCTTAATAGTGCTATCTAACACAAAAAATAACTTAGGACTGCAGATATCTCAAGTACCATGACGGCTACTAGAGTAAAAAAGTTGTATATGCGATGAAATGGTTATTAAAAAAACATTACCCAATTGTCTGAGCAATGCAAGGTGTATAAGCTGTAAAATCAATAAACGAATTATATAATGAAATAAAAATCCACAATAATTGGTAGTCCTACGCGGTACTTCATTATTTATAATAATTATTAGTACCTACTTAAATCATTTGAAAAGAAATATGTAGAAAATAAAAATCGATTCTTCAATACTGAATACATAAATTTTCACATTCATTTATTTCAAACACGTAACTGCTAAAGACAAAACGGCTTAACTACACTGGGAATAAAGTGTTATTATTTTCGAATATTATAATAGCAACCGTCTTTAATGATATACTTGGTGGGAATATGCTCGTGTTTTAAGTAATATTTCTCCATCCTACCAGCTTCATTCAAAATGAATCGAGAACGACAGTTACGTTTTGTACACCTCCAGAACTTTTGATTGTCGTTCGTATAAAACGTGTATCCATTCACAACAGCTGCAACCTTACCCGTAAGTCTTTTGTAATAGCAAACTGAAAGAAATAGAATCATTAAAATTGGTCTTACCGTTTTAACAAAAACACTGATTTCTCTCTTTTGCAACCTAAAATGGACGGAGAGAGACAGAAGAGTACTTTAGAAACAGTACAACGGCTGAACACAGAGGTCCAATATACGAGTAGATCACAAATGTCAGTTAAAACTTCTAAGTGAGGTGACCAGCTTAAAACAGCTCACTAAGAATCAAATTTAGTTATTCCGAAATAGTACTTTATTTTTTTTTAATTTTACAAAAAATATAATTTATTGACTTGATTATCAGAACAGAACGGTAACGAGTATTGTCATCTTCTTTACTGCTGTCTGCACTCAAATATATTATAAAAAGAAAACTATGTTTAATTATAATCACAATATGTATGTCGCAGTCAACTGGCTTAATAAGCCGTTCGATTGACAGCCCATCGAGTCGAAACGGCGCCGTTTAACTAGCGGCCTGAAAGATGTTCAGCCAGTTGATCAAACAGCTAGACAAATTATTTGCATCGATGACGTTTCATTACTTGCCTAGCCTGTTGACTATTAAATTTAAATCCACTTTCTGCTACTCACAAGCTTGAAACCAAACTTCAAACTGTCAATATGGCGTCGGCAAACCACAAATTTTGATGGCGTTTTCAAAAGTTTCATGAAAAACCACATGTACAATGTAAGTGTGTAGTGACAATATTAATGTGAATTTGACTCAAGCAATTTAATTTTAAAAGAAATATTTTTTATGCCAGATTTTTATCTTTTTTTATTTCTGCCACATAATGACTCTATCGTACGAATGGTCTAAGCCTTTGCCAGCCAGTTTATTAAATGTTGTAACAAACGCTACGGCTGAATATTTTTCAGGCGGCTAGTTAAACGGCGCCGCTTAGTTAAAAGGCTAGGCTGTTACTTGAACGGCTAATTAAGCTAGTTGGCTGCGGCATGTATACCTTCACAAATAATCATTTATGGTGAAATTGTTTACTTTGTTTAGAATAGTTTGTTAGTAAAAGTAAGTCGTAATATCACTTGTTTTGCCATTATCTAATTATATAGTATACATATTGCCAGTAAATATGTAATCGGAATTAAAAGTCAACCAATAGTGCAGTTTTAACACGAAAAAAAATATATGCCCGCCGTTACAAAAAGATGTTTTTTTTATAGAACAGGGGGGCAAATGGGCAGGAGGCTCACCTGATGTTAAGTGATACCGCTGCCCATGGACACTCTCAATGCCAGAGGGCTCGCGAGTGCGTTGCCGACCTTTTCAGAATTGGTACGCTCTTTTCTTGAAGGACCCTAAGTCGAATTGGTTCGGAAATACTTCAGTGGGCAGCTGGTTCCACATAGTGGTGGTGCGCGGCAAAAACTGCCTTGAAAAACGCTCAGTTGTGGAACGGCGGTCGTCGAGGTGATACGGGTGGAATTTCGTATTCTGCCTGATGATGTGTCAAATGTGATCTACTAGCCCTACTGTAACGGGTCACAAAATTATTTTAAAGAAATTTAGAAATATTTCAAGATAAGAACAAAATATTTTATTACACTGAATCACATAATAACAAATTTCAAACAACGATATCTACATAAAGCCATTATTATAAATAAACCACTTAAGGTTCTTACTATCATAGATTATATGCACATACAATGTAGTATATATATGAACGGCGATGGCAAAAGATCACGTGGCGATTCACCAACCACTGATGGACCGATTAAATTAAAGACTCACAGTCCACACAATACTAATAAGAGACTCTCGACAGACACCGGCGGAAACAGATAGTCCGCTCCAGATGTTTCCTTGCTGACCAAGGCGTCAGACATGAGCTACCGACTGAAGATAAGACATAAATACAATTTAATTACATAGAGTGGATACATAACATTAAGTCAAATAAAAAAACAATCTAAGATAATTTACGAAACGAATCTAGACAATTTGAGTCTATGGTATACCATAATAATAATAACAATAATAAAGCCCGTTTAATTTCCAATCAAGACAAGAATACAAGTTATAATACTTATACTATATTTTTTCTTTTGGTTGTTATCCTATATCCTAGCTTCCTTCAGTTGATCGGAACCCATTCACGGGTAATGGCCTCCTCCAGCTTTTTCCAACTGACTCTGTCTATGGCTCTCTTTCTCCATTCGTTTCCTGCTACCGCTTATATTACTTCTATCCACCTTTTTTTTTGGGTAACCTCTGGTACACATGGTATACATACATAACTAATTTAAGTAAGTCAAAAGCTAAACTCTTATATAAATCCCATTTCTTATGACATGCGGCGGCGGTTCATGAGAGTGATCAAAGTTTCCGGTTATCAAAACATTACTGTTCGCGCTAAGTATGAATCTGGACTTGCAGTTTCCCCATCGGGTGCATCTCCATGTATATGTCCTAGAACTTTGCACTCCACAATAGAAAGAATAGCCATTATATATCGCCAAACGCTTCCCAGACATATTGTGAACGAAGACCACTGTTAATAGAAAAATAACATTTAATAATACATTTATCGTAATTAACATATTATAATTAACATAAATAACACTATTATTTCCGTAAATAAAACCTCAGATGTGTAGACAAATACGTAAATCGTCTTAGAGTAATAGAATCAGAAGGAAATAATTAGTTCGCCATAGAAACATTCCAATAATTACAGATGCTACTACACTTTATTCATGGATAACTTACTGACATAGTTAATTTACAACATATAATTTTATAAATAATAATATATTTAAACATAGAAATATTAACGTCAAGCGAGATCAGTTTCTAAAGTATTATTAATTTAATTAATATTCCTATTGTACGAGTATAAGTTTATATAACATATAAAAGAAAAATCTACACAGTTTTTACTACATATAACGAGAGGGTATAGTTTTTCTGTCAAGTCAGCTGTTGTTTGAAATATTGTCATAATAGCGACTCATGGATGATTATGTTCATTTTTGTACCATAAAATCTGTTCACCCAATGTGTAAACAACAGCATTACACTGAATGTTATGCCTCACGCAGCGCCATCTTGTTTTCAATCTTCTGGTGTAGTGGGGACCAAAGTAGAAATTTCCAAGTTGCATACATTTATGTCCATTCTCCTTAATTCTGATGGTATATGTAACTGAAATATATTATAGTAATTTAATAATATATTTTATTTGTCTTAAACCAGCAGAGTTTACTCTCTAATATTCGAATAAATGAATCAATAATTTCGCATTCCTGGATTTGGCAGTGTTTTGGAATCCAGGCAGTAGCAGGGTAGCAGGGTGTAAGTAACACGTTCATTTGGAAATTCAAATAACAAAATGTCCTACTCCATACTGAAATCTGAATCGCTATAAAGGATACGTAGTGGGCCACAGGGTCTATATAAAAATACATTATGTTAATGCATTATTTATTAGTTCATTAATATTAAATTATCAATATCATGTTTTTAAGAGCCATAAAGCCTGTCTCATTAAAATACAATATCACCTTAAAATAAAAAAAGTGATAATAAATGAGACAAAAGCATTTCTATGTCTATTTGAAGTTCAAGGTCCTACCCCTGCCCACCACCTTGCTGAACCGAACGCAGATATTCCCTGAGACAGACTATGTGCACAATATATACAAAAATGTCTTATAAATAAATACCTTAAAATACAATTTTAAAGATTTATTTTGTATAGAATCATGACTCACTCAGAAAAGAAAATGAGCCATAAAGAAAAGAGTTTGTATGACTTAAAAATATGAATTATGCGATTTATTCTATCATTTAGCATTTAGCTATTCATCAAACATTTTTTTTAAATATATAACAGGGCAGGAGGCTCATATGATGTTAAGTGATGCCGTCGCCCATGTACACTCATATTTCTACAAGGTTCGCAAGTGCGTCGTCAGCCTTTTAAGAATTGGTACGCTCTTATCTTAAAGGACCCTTACAGGAATTGGTTCGGAAATACTTCAGTGCGCAAAAACGCACTAAAAAAAAAGACTCGGCAAAAACTGCCCTAAAAACGGTCAGTTGTGGAACGACGGACGTCGAGGCGATACGGTTGGAATTTCGTAATGTGCCTGGATATCCGATGGTAATGATAATGGTCTAATAATATGGCACATACGGAGCATTATACTTAAAAACACAACGAACATCTTATAAGTATGCACAATATATACACAGACATAACAAAACAAAAAACAAACATGTTCACAAACACAAAAAAATGGAGATTATTTTATAAGAACATAATATCTACCATCAGAAAGTTCATGAAGGATGGGTTTTGCGTGGTTATGTTCACCAACAACTTTGGTTACTATATTTTCAGATGTCGTGAGGACCGTGACTTTACAGCCCGCGTGGTATTTTGCACAATACCACCGGAGCATTCTGTTCCTTGCACCTTGCTGTCTGTTATAAGTGTATCTATCGTAGAGAAGCATCATACCTCGACTGGTGTTTATTATCTGTCCTAAAAAACATAATGTAAATGTAGAAATATTTTGTATCTGTTTGTATGGACAGACTAGTGGCGAGTGTCATAAAATCCAATATTATTATGTAATGAAATAGTTCGTTTTATCAAAGTTACAGATTTACCAGAGTTTGTAAAATAATAAGAACATTTTATATATTATTTTTTTTATAATGATTTTTAATCATTTATAACTTAAAAAAAAGATACAAAGACAAAAACCTAAAATAAATATCATGAATATAGATACTTTTGGAAAATAACAAAACCAATACAAAATATATAATATATAGGAATATAACTGATTGATTTATGATTGAAAATATTCTTGCATTCGAAAATCAGATCTAAAAACAAGAAACACCATATACTGGCATTAATAAATGACGTCTATTATCAGATTATATTCTTACAAACCACGATGACATCGTTTGTATGATTAGCTACCATATAATTTTGTCACCTATAGGGGAAGGTCGGGACCCTTCGTACGGTTTTCACATTTAATTTTTTTATTATTTTATTTTTCCATGAATCGATCATCTGCAAGCTTAAATTTATAGTCTAACTATCTGAGATTCATATAAGTAAATGACAAATGATTTCATCTGATTGTTCAACCATAATTATGATTTAAACTAAATCTGGAAAACGTACGAATCTACCCCATCAACGGGGCACCTTCGTACAGTGTTGAGGGTACCTTCGTACGCTGTGGGGTAGTTCCGTACGTGCGATTAAAACAACACATATAAATCAAAATTCATTTATTAGCAATGAAATTAAACACAAAAATAAAGATTTAACTTCTATTAAACAAAAATAAAATACTTTAATTATAGTGAACAAAAATTACATAGCTTTTCTTAAGAAAACCAAAATTTAATTAGTTAGGTATCTTAAATTTAGAATCACATTTTTTAATCTTTGGTGCGGATTAGCACTTCTTATTTTCGGGTGTGGCAGTATAAATTCGTGGTTTTCCTGGCCGTCGTCGTCATTTTGTTTGTTTTATTACTTCTTACAACATGCGGATAGAGTCGAAACGCTTCTGGTGTCAAAACTGACTTCGAAGGAACTACTATTTGATGGATTGGTAAATTATTCAAAGCATCTGGTTCACAGGCATCAAAATCAACCTTAATAAAGATAATAAAAATAGGTATTAATATACATCGACGATAGCAATGATAGCAACACAGGACAAAGTTAATGCAAATATTAGCAATTAGCACACTAACACAATCTTTCCTACCTACCAGAGGGTTTAGTCAAGATGCCTTATTATTATTTGTATGTAGCAAGTGGAAAACTTAATTTGTATGAAAATGACAGTTCGTGTCGACAAAATATTTTCATACAAATTTAGTTGTACAATTCGTTCAAATGTGCCCCATCTAGTGCTGTCCGAAAGTACCCCACTAACTGAATAACAACAAAATATAACTTATTTTAATATTAATAGGAAAAAGTCATAAATTAAGTATTGGAGACGTATCTAAGTATATTTAGCTAGTTACTGATAGAATACTCTACACGAAAACTTATTTTATCTACGGTAACAAGAGACAAAAACATTGATCAAAAAATTACTTACCGAGCGCGAAAACACGTCCATGCCTGTAACTTCACTCTCATCGGTGCGAATTTCGCGAAACTTCGTTGATGTATAGTTCGTACCTCGACTCATGCACACATACAAAAACAAGACTGTACTTTGTTTCGTTCAAGTTTTATTTCGACTGTATGAATGTGCCCCGCGTACGAAGGGTAACGATCTTCCCCTATATAAAATTGAGTTGCTATTCGTCTCGAGAATGGCTGGAACGGTTTGGCTAATTATGATCTTGTAATATTTGTGGAAAGTTCAAACAAAAGTTGAAACGGTGGAAACATAAATAATATGTAAATAAAAATACTAAATACGAAAGTTTAATTTTCCAATAAAAACTATTCCTAGCTGAGAAATATTTGATGTGTTGTCTTTTTAGAATTAAAAATCTGTCACTTGGTTGTCCAATATTTATATCAGAAATTTGTGTTCCATAGCTGTAGTATGAGGTCCGCTCTCTTTGGTCCGTTTTAAAAACTTTGTATTTTGTTTCGACACAAATATATTTGGGTGATACGAAGTTCACCAGGCCATCTATTTCAAATAAAGTAAATTATTAAAACAAACGTATAGTTAAAGATACACTAGAAGCAATTCAGAGAACGCCTCAATCTTCCGAAATTCCAAATCTATCCTTAAATTTCGCAAGCCAAGTAGAACTGGCGCGAAATGTTTTATTATTATTAAAAGCTTTATTGAAATAAAGAGCTTTTGAACGAATAGCATTGTTCCTTAAAGTGACTCCATCATCTTTTTTCTGTTGATACCAATTAAAAAGAGCATTCTCAAGCAATGAGTTGCGACCATTCGTCAAATTCTTCCGCGTTTTCACCTTATGTTTTACTTGAGTAGCGAAGTTATGAATCTGCGCTCTCTTTCTTTTGATATCGTAAATTGTGGATCGTCCCAATTCATATTCCTTTGCCAAAGCACACTGTTTCTCACCGTTATCTAGTCTCTTCAATATTTCAATTTTTATATCTAAGTTTGGTGTATTGTGTTTTCTGATTGGCGCTTTAGTTACTTCAGCAAATACAATTTCATTTATTAGCTCTGAAAGATAACACTAGGTTAGTAATAGATTTAAAATCAACGTTCTCTGACCTAGTATCGCTAGCTCTAGGGCAAGCCTGTCAGAGTTTGATAACCATTTGACATATCAACAGTTATTTCAAAGTCTTCTTCTAACATCTTGTAACAGAATTTGAGTCTCAGAGATTCAAATCTTATACCTTCTCCCGGTATTTAAAAAATTCAAATTAGATCGTTAAAAAAATATATTAATGAAAATGTTTATTAAAACAATACATCGATACAACATTAATAGTGTAAATAGAAATAATTGAAAATTTAATAATAATACCTATAATATTCTTACATATACAGTGCTCATTAACATTAATAAAAATAACGAAATTTAGATATATTTTTAAAAATCTCGACCGTATAAAATACGAAAGGCTCCGTTCTGGTAACATTATATTTTAAATTGATTTCATCCATTACAAAAATATGTTCCTAACTTTAAGTGGAATGCTACAAAATATGTTTTACCTATTTTTACGTTAAAACGCAACAGACATTAACCATAATATGCCATTCTCTATTAAAGCGGGTTCTGAGAAAAAAAATATCGCAGGAGTAAGTCCCATAAAGACTTGGACGGTCCAACGGTGTACGTAAGTTATTCATATAGAATCACACATCTAATGTCTTAACTTTTATGATATTTAAAAATATCTAAACATCTTAAATAATTAGGCATAATATTCTTTTATAAATTTAAGATAGAGTTTTTAATACTTAGTATCATTTTTGGTGTTTATAGTCCGTGACGTATCGAAAAGTAGGCCTTATATTTCATTAATAACATTTAATATATATCATTTATAAAAAAGATTACTTAAAATTGAGATATATGTATACTTTTACAAAAGTAAATACCGATAGTAAATAATTTTCTTCATATAACTCTCTTATCATCTAACATTTTTTGGACCTCAAAAATAACGAAAACGAAGAAACAGTAGGATTATCAAAACGTACTACGTGTACTCGTGCGTAATGGGTAAAGCATTTAATTGTGAGAGTGGAGGCCAGTCGTGGACACCACAACTCCATCTATGGTCACGGCAGATGCCTTACACTTCAGCTTATGTTTCTTAGCGCAGGTCCATCTAATTCTATTGCCCATAAGCGATCGGGAATGTCTGAAAAACTTCTGTCCTCCAATAAAGATGTTAGTAGAATCCCTGCAGAAACGGGCTCTTAGAATCGCGCGCATGAGATCTGGAAATAATTATCTGTGAGTAAAGATTATATATTCATAGTCTACTAGGATAGCATAATGCTGTAGCCTGTAGGTAATATTAATTTTCAAGTTTCTCATCCACACGACTTAATTTTTTTGTCGAAGTTCTAACCGCTCTAACCAATTGCAACAACTTACATAGATTCTACCTTCATTTAGTTTAATAAACAATAAACATGTAATGACAAACAACTTAACCAATTTGTTAATGACACTGGAATGAACTAGTGTTTAAGATACAGGCTAGGATATTATTATAAGGTTAACCAAAGTTAATAGTGAATCTCAACGATTCGTTGTCTATAGTATTTTTACAACCTTTCCAATGTAAGTGCAAAATTTAATTGTTTTCGCGTCAAATAAAGTTATTTTTAGTTATTTTTATAACAACATGATAAATCCTAGAGAAAACTTACCTATTGTGAAATACTAGGATATCAAAGATGGTTAGTTTACAGCCTTAAATATTCTGGGAATTTATACAACATTTATTTCATAATTATATATCTATATTATATATATATAAGGGCTGGACTGATTTGGCTAATTAAGATATTCAAATATTTTCAGTAAAGGTAAAATTTAAAATAAAATTCATAAACAACCATAAATAATTTAATTTTCCGATACAATTCTAGCTTCTAAACATTTGTCTTTTTAGAAATAAAAATTGACTTGGTTGTGAAGCATTTAATAATGTTACGTACATGTATAAAACTTGTACTAAGGTTTGAGAACATTTAGTCCATTGAAAAGTTACATTTGGGGTTGCGTTTTTTAGAGGACGCAATTTTATTTATGGAACATGTAGGGGGGGTCAATACAAGCTTAACTCCAAGTTTGTGGGGTTGGCGTGCTTGTACCCCGGCCGCCATCTTGGATAAAGGGGTCCAAAAACCACGTTTTTGGCTATATCTCCTAAACTATCAATCGTACATAAAACTTGTAAATACACATTTAGTAGCAAATCGCTGTGTCTACGATTATGTCTCTTTATGTCGTCTCTTTAATTATGTCGAAGATTACCATATCAGCAAGTTGTCTGTGGAATAGGCCTACTAGGAATGGCGGCCGGGGGACAAGCACGCCAACCCCACAAACTTGAGGTTAAGCTTGTATTGACCGCCCCTACAGTTCCCATAAATAACATTGCGTCCTCTAACAAATGTTAAGTTTGGCCCTCAAATTGTAACATTTCAATGGACTATCGGAGCGCTGTAAAACCTTAGCTATTAACTTAATGAAAAAATGATGCAAATAAAAGTTGTTCCCCAAAAACGATCTACAAAAAAGGTCTGATATTATTTTTTCGTAAAATGATAAAAAAAAAAGTTATATCGAAAAATATAAATTTTTTTCTCGAATTTCTGACAATTTTTTTTTATCAAATAAATAGTTTAAGAGATATATCATAAAAACCGTTTCAACCACTATTTTCAAGATGGCGGCCGTGGGACAAGGGTGGCGACCCCACAAACTTGGTTTTAGCTTTACACACTTTACACACCCTACACATCAAAAAAATAAAATTGCGTCCTCTAAAAAACGCAAGGTTAGGCCTAAAAAATGTAACATTTCAATGGACTAATTTTACAGAAATACAGGCGATACAAAGTTCACCGTCATCTAGTGATAAATAAAAACTTATTATAATATAGTATAAAATACTTATTTTGCTCTATTTTATAAGCTTAGACTAATTAATTTATGAAAACAAAATGGAATAGTAATTTTTTCATGTACATTTTATTTTGTATATTGTTAAACTATTCGTAACAGTGTCGTGAATAAGATCGTGTCGTTTACTTTGCAAATAAGAATTTCATAAATAAATCTTATTTACATTTATTCATTAAAAATGTATTCGTCATGGTAATATAACAGAGATCTCGTTTATTACTAAAATAATAGAAAAATAACACTTCTAGAATATGTATATATATATATATATATATATATATATATATATATATATATATATCTATACATTCAATTTATGTTCCATTCAACAATGTATTTTATTTAAACAAAACCATTCCCACAATACACACTATATTTTATAAAAACATAAATGTAACAAAAATGATTTAACAAAAGTACTTATTTCTTTCTCCCTTTTTCTAAAATAAGAATACTGAATCAGTTTTTGGAAAACAAATAAAAAGAACGACAAACTATATATTTGAAATATATCTTTCTGTGGAGTTTGTTTATATAGATTATATATTCGTTTCTTGTAAAAGATAAAAAATTAGCTAATGAGGTTCATGTATTCCTATGCTATTACACAATAATAACACATATTTCCCTAATCTTTACAAATAATTTATAATTAAGTAATTAATTTTTAATTACTTTAACTGTGATTGTGTATCTGTCTTGTTTTAATAATGATATTATCTATAGTTGTAACGAAGGCTGAACACCCAAAGGTTTTTCTGACACATCTCCATCGAATCTTGGCTCCTTCGTTCTGATGTACGGTGAAACGGTGGCCATCAATATCTAGGCATCGCTTACCTCCTGGTGTAAAACCGAAAAAGGCTGCAAAACATCAGTTATGTATATCAAGAAAACTTGTATGAGATACACTTTCAATAAGTTAAATACTTACCGAACTTAGTAGATTATAAGATGGAAAAATACTTATTTTATTACGAGCTTTTATGGCTTAAGGACTTGGCAAGTTACTTGGTGTGGGGAAAAGCGTGTACTTTGTAACGGAAAATGACATAAAAATCTACAATTCTTCTTTCCCGCACACAAACAGTTAGTGTGGACATAGACGGACCGCATGTTGCAGTCGATACCGACTGCTCTAAGCGGTCGCCGCACGGCGAACTGCAGTTTCCATACTAAATTCATATCCGCAATACACGGACCGCTCTAGCAGTTCCTGAGCGGTCAGAGCAGACGCTTTGCGGTCGAGTTTCGCCGTGCGGTCGACTGCTTAGAGCTACCGGACCCACCATACAAGGACTGCTACAAGCGGTTGCTGCCGACCGCACGCCACTCCCTCCCCACTCCCCGCTAAGTGTCAATCCGTTCGTCTCTTGATTTTAGTATTGTACGCACCCACATACTACGGTGTCTTCTACGCATACGCTTGCGTAATAGTAGTACAAGAAGCAGTGTTTCTTCATCGAAATCCATCTTGGAAATGAACTCGCATCAGAATTATTTTGCGGTCGAACACAACTGCGCCAAGCAGTCGTAGTCGACTGCATTATGGGGTCGTGTTGCAGTCGTGTACGACTTTAACGCGACTGCTCTAGAGCAGTCGGTCTCGACTGCAACATGCGATCCGTCTATGGCCAGCGTTAAGCGTGATTAATTGTCACTTTGAAAGGGGGTACGTAAAAAGCTAATAAACTTATAAATAAGGAGATTCAACTTTATTTCTCAAGTATAAACAAAAATTATATTGTATGTTTTAAGTTATTTAAAAACCTTGATTTATTAGTATATATTTTGTTCTTATTTACACGATGACTTAAACTGGAAATTACAATAATACAATAAGTGAATTATTTATAAAGGCACAAAAAGATCTAAAAACCATAATAACGAGATTCTTATAACAATAACTTGGAGTATTTCATTTACTATATTTTACAAGAGCTTATTTCACAAACTTAAAACGTCTAAAGATAACCATCACTACAAACATGGTAAACTTTCAATTTCCTGAAAAATATTTGTCTTATTTAGTGACACATAATCAGGCTGATTTCTTAGATTATATTTTTTTATTTTATGTAAGTCGTTATCTGTAATTTATTTAACGATATATTTTTTCTTTTTCGTACTAGGGTTGCCTGGAAGAGATCGCTTGTTAGCGATAAGTATAATTAAGTATAATTCATTATTTATGTATAGTTAAACATCATTGTAGTCATTTTTAACATGGCTTCTTACTTAAGACGTTGCATTTCATTTAAATCTCTTAGCTTACATTAACAAAATTGGGGCAAAAAAGTTCCGAGACTTAACAATAATGTATTAGTAAAATATTTGTTTAATTAACTCTTATTAGGTACTTATCATATAATCGGAACATCTATAGGTCGTATTGCTGCCGGTTGCTGATGATTGTGATTAAAATTCACTCTGACGACACAGTTTCCATCCAGACTCATACTAGCAGGACAACTCGTGCTGGATCGCTTAATGCAATGCCACCAGCTCTTCTTTCCATACCCAGATGTCTTCTTGAACCTGTTCCCTCCAACCATGAGAATGGGATTACCTCTCTGAGAAACTCCGTATCTTACTAGAAATAAATAATAACGTTACAATTCGTTTAATTAGATTAGCTTTTAACTTACATGACATCAGGTCTGCTTAAATATATATATTGCAGAACATTTAAACACTCATTAGAGATATTTAATTTACACTATCTAACTGATAAAATAAAAGACTAGTAAAAATGGCGTGAAAACTTTTAAGTAATCAAAAAGGTCGTTAAAATTATAACATAAAAGAGAAAAGTAATTTTAAAAAATTCTAATAAATTCTCTAGCTACAAAAAATTTATGGGACATTGAAATTGCGGTTCCAAGAATAATTTAGTTTCGCTGCGATGCATCATGATGCACATTTTAATACCTCATGCCCCATCAACTGCAACTGAAGCGCCTTAGAATTAGTACACAATCACAAGTACCTCGGGCTTAATATAGATGACAGAATGTCCTGAAAAATGCATATGAACTCTGTCAGAGGCGAAGATACCTCGCGAAAATAAAATACCACTTAAAATTCTGCTACTACAAAGCACTGGCGGATCCCATTGTAACATAATATGGACTTTCAAGCTATAAGAACTTATCTCAATGAAATATTTGCAATACAAATGGGTATTTCAGAATAAATTTCTCCTAAGAAACTAAAATCATAATATAAGACTATTTACATTCTTGAAAAATATTTTCACAGCAATTTACATTAAAACAATTAAAACTCACCATTCAACACGTAAAAAACTAAATATTACAATAATCTTTATGGGTACAGAACATTATACTATATTATTCCAAATTTAAACTTGCTACCATCTTCACTTCGTAATGATTTAACAAAAACAATATTAAATTTTAATAAAAAAATTACTACATACACTTTTAAATTATGCCTAACAATAAATTATATTAATCAGACGTCCTGTTTTCGTGTTATGTATGTCATTGGTCTTAGTAAATAAGTTTTAAATCTGTTCCACGTGCTGGTGGACTGGAAATTTTTTTTTTTTCTTACTAATTATGTATACAATAAAATAAAATAAAATAGTGCGTGGAGTCCCTCCGCGCGGAAGATGTGAAACTTTGTAATGTGGAAATGAAAATAGGAAGGGATAGAAATTGATTTTTAGTAAAATCATATTTTTTTCTTTAAGACTTTATTTTATTGATTTTTTTATGCAGACCAAAGAACATCCATGACTATATTCTCACGTTTGGCTTTTATACGTGCTCGGTACTCTCTCTGATATTCCGCGGCTGATTTCCTTGTCTTCGATGTTACTGTAGAAGAATCAGCAGTCGTAGAAGGATCACTAATTCTATTCAATGACCATTTTTCCTGCTCCGCTCGCTTCCGTGCTCTGTAATCACGGTAATATTGTGCATTTCTCCCTCGTGGACCTCTTGAACCAGTGGAACTGCTTGTTGCCTCATCGTCTCGCCCTAGAAAATGTATTTGTATTAATAATGTATGTGAATGCGTCATAATGTAATTTCAAAAGAGAAAACCTAACAATCAATTGACATTCACAAGTACCTTGACATAACCTTCAATCCGTCGCATTGTCCGTGGGATTGTTTTCACTCATTTTTTATAATTGTTATGCACTAAATTTGAAAATAAAAAACCCTATAAAAATTATGTGTATCAAATCAAACTAAAAAAACAAGTAAATGAAATAATGAATATTATTAACTAAAATAGAACAACAAGTACATATTTCAGCTAATTTCACGACGCTCAGAGTGTTTACTTCGGTGCATAGCATGAATACCACGCGCTATCTTTCTTTCTCTCTCCCTTTTACGTTGGAATATTGGACGCTACTCGTTGCTAACGCTCGCGCTGGCCTGTACAGGTATACTACGCGCATGCGTTCGAGTGCCACGCATTCACTCTCGCTCTGTCTCATTTTATTCCCTCTCCCAAGGAGCGTTGAACGTTTAACGCAACTTTGTTGGAAGTCGCATTAGAAGTTTCACTTCAAAAATAAAAATGTAACGCTGGCAGCAGCACAAATTCGCCGAGTATAAGACGCAATCTGGAATTGTTCAAATGCAACAAATGTTCCATAGGTAATCAAAGATATAGCAATAAAATTTGGCAATTACATACTAATGTGCCAAGTTAGACATTACGGCCTTCGAATTGAAGCTTCTACAAACATACCAATGTTAAAAAATAACATATGTATCACCAGCAATCGAACCTAACACCGCTACGAAGCTACGACAAAACATTCTTACTGTATTTTATTTATAATTGAAGAAAATAATTACGTAGTTGGAAACATAAAAATGAAATAAAAGCAGGTACAGAGACATTATTTAATAATAGCCTTTTTTAATTGACATTGATTGTAATACTCATAAACTCTGGGCTAAAAATGAATATATTTCATCAAGTTTATGCTGGTAATCCACTTGGTGTACGTGAACAATATACGAATATATGAATATATGTTAATAACATATTTTTAATTAGAAACGCAAGCATCTTCTAATTGAAAATACGCCACAGAGCACAAACCACGTTAGAAAAGTATTAACAATTTATAATAATTGTATAAAAATATTTTCAATTATAGAAGTGACAATTACAGATCACATTTGCCACATCATCATAATGTAACGGCTGCCCAAGTATGCCCACTATATTCTTTTCGGAAGTTAGAACTGCAAAATTACTAAACTTTTTTCAGAAGATAATTTTACCATTACTAATAAACCATTCTAAACACAATAAACAATTTATGTTCTTAAGAGTGAACTCGTTATAAATATAGCGTCAAGGAACCTTCTATAAAACTAAAACTGACCTGTCAAATGTGATCTATTAAATTGATTGTGAAACAGACCCTTATAGTAGGGCTATAAGGGTCTGTTTCACAATGTACGGATAAGTTCTACATAAGTTCCAAATTAGCTATTTATTACTTATTGGTAGGATAAACACTATTGTTGCGTTTCACGACTGTCAGATAGCGTTATTCGTCACATAAAGTCCATCATAAGTTATGAGTCCGATGAAGTGTCAAATAGCACAATTTATCGTCCAAATAATTTATGTGTTGCATAGCTATTTGGTACTTTATCCATACATTGTGAAACAGACCCTTAGTGTGTTACGGGTTACGACAGAAAACTGTCGTAAAAAGTCGTTACCAAAATTATATTATACTCGTAGTAAAATCAAACGCCACTATTTTGTATTTCTTAATGATTATGTTCAGTCCTATGTTTTATTATTACATTGTTAAATGTCGTAATAGTTGCTTTGCAGCCGTTACAAACACGAGAGCACGTCCAAAGGCAACGAGACCCGACACTTCGATTATTCTTATTAAATCTATAGGGTCCCACTTGTATCGCCGGGTTTCCAAAGCGAGTTGTCGTAAACTTTGCTAAAACAGAATAACTTTTTTAGCCAATAAGTTCGGCAACCAGTCCTGATACATTATATACATATATATTATAAAAAATATTTTTAAAACGTGCATTTTGTTTTACCATTCTATATGTATTACCCAATAATAATTATTAATATTTGCTATAAAAAAATATGTTTTAAAGTATACACAAATGGAAATCATCATAGTACCATCTGACCACGTCAATTAAGGTTTTTCCTGATCAGTATATGTTTTGTAATACCATAATTTCCAATGATTCTGCAATTCCAATTTCGATATTGAGTTTTCATACCACGTACTGTTCACATGACAATACTAAGTCGACAGGGTTCTTTATCGAAAGATTCTTTAAGTTCTTTAAGATTCGTCCTTAAATATGACCCCAATGTGAATGCTGGCCCAATTTTATTACCAATTTAGTCAATAGTTGAAAACAGTATTTTTACAGTAGTAATGTAGTAAGTGGTGCTACGATTGCTACACTGTGTTGCTACGAGAACGCGGTGTAATCAAAAAGGAAAATAATTTATCGAAAAACAATTGAATAAATCGAATTTACGATAAAGTTTTAATGTGTATGTTGATTTTTATGTGCTAACACAATAGAATCGTCAGCGACCGCCACTGCGGCCCGGCACTTGAACTTTTGCCTCTTGCTGCAAAACCATGTCGCGGTGGCGCTTTTACTCCTGTTGTTTTTGTAGTATTTGTAATCCCCTATTAAAAGGACTAGTGACCCACTTTCGTTTCTTGTAAACAGTATATCTGAAATCAAATATTTTCTACAATTTAGGTCATCCTCTATGGATAACTTTGCTGCTGGTAAAACTCTATAAAGGGAAACACTGCGCGGTTGGAAATAAGGTAGTTGTTGTTACCTCACTATCAATGTCCGAACACATTAAATACCTAAATAAAGGAGGTAGCCCGAAAAACATACCATACGTTTAGATAGACCTGAGAGTCGTCATAGTCTGCATATCTGATTTATTTTTATTTTTCGCGTATTCCTTGACACCTAATTATTGAAGGGAAACTTCTTTATCGGGGTTGGAAAAAAATTTAGTGTAACATTTTTGCGTTACGAGTCACATTTTTCCGTTACGCGCCGTGTTGTTTTTTGAAGTCAAACTTCTTTATCGGCGTTAAAATATGACATATAGTATGTTTTTGACTTTGAAGTTTGACAACGGATTACATTTTCGAAGTCAAACTTCTTTATCGGCGTTAAAATATGACATATAGTATGTTTTTGACTTTGAAGTTTGACAACGGATTACATTTTCGAAGTCAAACTTCTTTATCGGCGTTAAAATATGACATATAGTATGTTTTTGACTTTGAAGTTTGACAACGGATTACATTTTCGACTTGAAATTTGCTAAACGCAATTTGTAAATTGTATGCTAGGCAGTGTATCAAAATTTACTGTGTTTAAAGAAATAGTTTCTAATAAGGTCATAAATAAGTTTCACTTCTTACGTGTGTACACCTAGTACACGCACACATTTTTTTTTTAGCTGTGATTTAACTTGAGGAAACATTGACACCAACAATGGCGTTATTACACGCCACAATATAAACAAATACATATTAACTTATGCAGTTTGCAAAATTATGATTTATACTTTTGTAAAATAGGAAAAACAACGTATTAACGCTTAATCAACTTTATCATATATGTTAAAAAGTTTTTAATTACAAAATACAGAAGCTTTTAGCCTTGGGATTCAAATTAAAGATGATAAAATACCATGTGATTTTAATTACTATAAATGACAAGTGCGAACTTTTATTTGTCTTATAATTGGGAATATAATATTTTAGAGTGCTAGTTCCCGCTTAAACCTATCTCTGTATATGAGCAATATTCTTATATTTATCTCTTTCCAGAACAATAGCTTTACTTAGGAGTCTTTCAAGAAACGTACTGGCCGGAAATGCACTCGTCAGTGTCTATAAGCTATGAGCCTTCTGGCCGTATACCTTTGCACTATGAAAAATATTACTATATAAAATGTATGGTGCCAAGTTCAATTTGTTATGTATGAATATGTTCTCCTCGTACGATTACGATCTTCCCTTCAAAGGTTACTAAGGAGGCTTTACATCCACAAGAGCCTCTGCTACACCACCAAAACCGACGTGGGCCACTAGAACGGTTCTTAGGTATTTTTAGATTATAGCGGTATCCATTTAGTACTATAACGGGGTTACCAAATCTTGAAACAGTATACACTGCAACTGAAACATTTTGTTTAATATAAATACTCAGTATAAGCTTAAATTAATTTATTCACATATTTATTAATCTCATACATTGAAGAAGTTGCTCTCAGCAGTAACCATATACATCTATTAGCTAATTTAATATATAACCATAATTATTCTTAATTTATAACAAAAAAATCGAAAAAGAGTCGGCCTACATGTGGGTGTATAAAAGAGACATGTAAAATAAAATTGATATTTTATAAAGACGTACATACAGTCTGTATAAAGAAGTTAACAAAGTAATACGTTCAGGAATGCTATGGATGGTTATGTATATCTTTTAAACGAATTACTTTATTATCTATTGTATATATTATACTTCTACACTTCGACCACCATTTGCAACACCGCCATTGCTTCACAATTGTTTTCTCGTTCGCTCTGTTTTGGTAATTATAACGATACTTTCCATGTATTATGAGGGGCCTTCCACGAATAGACTCGGAAAATATTACTTCTGCAACAATATTTTTTATATTACGTACTAATAACTGTACTCAGCTTCGTACATTAAGACTTTCATAATAAGTTAAAATATCAATAAGTTTGTCTTTGATTTACATAACCTTTACACATTTAAAGAAAAAACTGTTTGACCGGACTGTTGAAACGTCGGATAAATTTAAAATTATGTTAAATAGTTGTAAATTTATAATAATACATAACTTCAATCCGGTCAAACAGTTTTTTCTTTTTCATCAATAAGTTTACTTTTGCAATTTGCGGCTAAAGTCTGCCATTGTCGTATTTAACCCATTATTTTGTAGTTTTATTTTCAACAATTAAAAACTAAAAAACCAAAAATATACTTAAAATTAAAAAAGAGACAAAAAAGGGGAAATTAAGAAAAATATGATGTCCACGAAATCGTAAGAATTTAGACTTAATAAAGGATTTAAGAAGAATAATCCAATGGCGCTACAACCTTAAATGGGTCATGGCCGCAAATTGCATCCGTTTTCAGATCATTTTTATTTAATAGACAAGAAGGTGATCAGTCTTCTATCAGACACATGTAAATTTTTGGATTTGAGACATGCTGGTTTCTTCACGATGTTTTTGCTTCATAGTACGAGCGAGAGCTAGAAGCGCACAAAAACAGAAAGTCCATTGGTTCACAGCCTGGGACCGAACCTACGACCTTAGGGATGAGAGTCGCACGCTGAAGCCAACATTGCTTACAGAGGACTTAAATGAAACAATAATAGGAATAAATATGCAAAATTCCACAGAAAAACAAAACAAATATATATATGATATGCATTTATTACTAATTAATTATAAACGAACGATTTTCGAGAATCATGGTTCTTAGCTACAATTTATAAAAATCTCTTTACTTTACAGATATCTTACAACCATAACATAAATTCACATTATCTTCGGACATATGTTTGAGCTAACATTTGGAACATACATTTATTCTGGTACCATTGCAACACTTTGAATATCAGGGGTTTCTTAAAAAGATTGTTTTATACTAAACATATTGTTACGAAGACGGGTTGAATAAAACGATTCACGATTATTCCTAGAGATATAACACGACATTATAATTAAAGTGCGATTCCGAGAAATAAACAGTGAATAGTTCAGAGTGAGAACATAGTGACAAGTGATCAAGTGACAGTTATTAATGTGTTATTAGTGTATTTTTCCGCGTAATTTGTGTAGTTTTATTACAATTGAATTCCACTTCAAAATTAAAAATAAAACCTTACAGTGATTTACGCCATTTTCTATCCGATTTCTAGCTCGATACAAGATACATTGTGCCATTATACATATATTTTTCTCATCTTAATCATGGTTATGAGCTCCCTTAGATGTGACGATCTCTCCTGCAATGGTCATAACAGAAGCTCGACACTCACTGTTCTTTTTACAAACCCATAAACATTTTACTTCATTTCTCTTGTATGCCGAGTGCTTATAGTACCTATAATTTCCCACTTGCAAAACCACAGTACCTCTGAGCGACTCCATGAACACTGCTACTGAAATAAGATTCCAGAAAATTTAAAGTAAATGTTGATTTTAATATAAATTTCATACAAACAATAATATTTTTTAATAAATAGAAAGACAACAAATTCTCGACTACAGTAGCAATTTTTCTAGTCTCACTCATAGATTATTTTTTATATAGATCAATTGGAAAGTAGTATCGCCGCTCATAGACAAATGGCTGATAATTCCGGTCCTTCTGGAATTAGTACGCTCTATTTTATAGGCCGATGTCTAATTGGTTCAGAAATAACGGGCAAGTCATAGTGGCGATACGTAGTAAAAGGTATCTAAAACACTCAGTTGTGGAATGAAGGTATCACATATGTATTAATAGGAAAATATACAAACACACATTAATGATTATGTTTATTATTTATTTTAATAACATTATCGTCTTTAGTAGTAACGGAGGCGCGACAACCGACATTCTTTTTTATACACACCCATAATATATTATTTCTTCTCCTTACTGTGTAATGGCGGTTGAACCTGTATTCACCAACCTGTAAGCATTTCCTGCCTCTTCGGGACATGACGTACGTAACTGAAAATTATTTTTTTATGATATTAATAAGATTTTTGGATTAAGGTCCTAAGTTCGAGTGTGAAACAAAAAATTCCAAACGTATACTTATATATAACTCTGTTTTTAAACTTATATAGAGAGCAGACATGAAAACAAAAAAAAACATTTACTTACTTAGGTCAAATAAATATCATTTTTTTAAAATAAAGCTTTTGATTATCTTTTAAATTTTTGTTTATACTTATTTTTATTTTTTCTTTAGATTTTACTTTATTTTATTTTTGTTATAGTTACATGTTATTTTTGTTAATTATTATTTATGCACTTATTGTTCTTTACCCTCTGTAGGTGTTTCTTTTTTATTGTTCCATATTAGGGTTGCCTGGAAGAAATTGCTTGTTAGCAATAAGGCCGCCCGTTGCCTTATACCTAACTTATGTAACCAGCTTTTTTATTTTTTTTATATACATATGTTTTTGTATAAGGTAACAAAGTGTAAATAAATAAATATCATCAATTCTGAAAACTTATCTGATGCTACCTTTGTATATTACTAACTTTAATAACTTACGTGTTATATATTATTTTTTAACACCCTTGAAGGCCTCAGTTGCCTTACTCTTATAAGAATCATTTCTATATAAATTAGATTTTAAAACTTATAGAAAAACTACGGACCCGACAGACGTTGTCCTGCATGATATTTCAAGCGATTAGGATATTAAACATAATCTGAAAGAAACGACTGCAGCGCCATCTGCCGGGCTGATTTGTGAATGGTTTAGATCCAGGGCGCCACCCAAACGCATAAAAAATAATTAATTCAAATCGGTCCAGACGTTTAGAAGGAGTTCAGTGACATACAAACGTACATAAGAATTAAATATATAAAGATATGCAATACCTCCTACCACGCTGCACTTGTCGCTCTGTCATTATTTATCTCAAATATATGATTAATATATTAAGGTAAATATAGCCCAGCCCTTACATGCGTACACTTAGTAGTTTAAAAATTAAATATATAAATAAAACCTCTTTATTTAAATATTATTTTAATTCACTACAATTGCTCTCTTCTAACTCATATATGCTTATGCTCCTTTCCATATTTTACAATCTCATCGTTGAAAGTAGTAATAGAACTTCGACATCCGGAACTCCACTTCACACATACATACAGGCATTTCAAACTACCCTCTTTATAACTGCTATGCCTATAATAACGATTATTACCGACCAGTAACATCGGCTTCCCAGATCGCGATATGATGAAGACTGCTTCATCTGCAGAAGATAATACAATCATTTTCTTAACACAAAACTACCAAACTAACTATACAATTCCAATGTCGATGTCATCGAACAACTATTGCTTTATGGGATAGGAGGAAAACGAGCAGGGTAATTTAAAAGTTGGTGCTTACAACCGCCCATGGGCAACACCAGGCTTGCAACTACATGACGGGCCTTTAATGTAGTGTGGTATGCTTTTCTCTTAAAAGCTTCTAAGTTGTAACAATTTGGAAATATCTGAGATAGAAACTGCTTCAAAAAAGTGGTGGTGCGCGGTGTGTAAAAAGTGTCTTAAAAAGCTCTTACGTAGAACGCTAGACGTCAAGGTCCAAAGGATAGAATTCCTCATTCTGTCTCGACATCTGATGATGGAATTTATGGAAGTATACCTAATATTGATGTAGTTCTTTCAATACCGACTTAAATTACGTGGTATCAAAACTGTAAGTTATAATCGCCTTTTGAGTGGGTTATGCCAAGTGATTCTCATTCCAATAGACAACATAAATTGAGCATCGGTAGATTATATATTTTTTTTATATAAATGCAAATAGTGCACATAAGAAAATTATTTTTACCTTATTTTTGCGATTGCATTATTAGCGAATATAAAAGAGTTTCAGACAATTTTGTAATTTGAATTTAAAATTTCCCGGAAAGTAACCTCGTCGTTTTGCTTACTTTGCAATCCTTGTGAGTGTGTGTGCGCAATATTTTTAATTAATCTAAACGCGAACGTGTGGTCTACGCATGACTTCTACGGCGCGTCGTAGCAGGTCTACATCAACTGAAAAGTGAGAAACTACTTGATATTCATCAAATAATGCAATACTTAAAATGGGTAAACGTTAATAGTTACTGAAGTCAGTTAAGATTACAAACCCATAAATCGAAAACTAACATGCTCTTTCAATGCCCTATGTTTACTTAGATTAACTAAAGACTGAGTGAATAAAGGATTTGGTAGATTATTCATATGTTTAATCTTTAGATTTAATTTAATAGACGACTGTAAGTAAGCCTGTAAATATAACGTAAGAATACCCATAGGAAATAAACGAAACAATTAAATAGCCACAATATTTAATTACATGCACAACACGAAACTATAAGAAAAAATCACTTCTTAACCTTCAATGTTACAAGTAGTATTACTCATTTACATGTAGTATATTTTTGAGATCTTTCATACAACGTTTTATTACTTCATAAATCAATGGGTCTCGCCTTTACGCCTTGCCTTTGCTAATGGATGTTATTGACTATAACTAAATCAACAACACGCTATCAACAACTCATCGCTGCTATTGACTATTGCTAAACGAACTCATTAAAAATATATATTAAAAAATATCACATAATCTCACACAACTTACAATTAATGACTAGAACGTGACTAGAACTAAAATCAGTGGGAGTGATTATTATTGACACTGTAAATTTTGTCGAAAATCGTATGTAGTGTCGCTCGGCAAGCTCTACTCCGAGCTTTTACGCATCGCCACAGTAGCTTCGTGCCTCGACTGCCGGAATTCTTGTAAAAGCGCTCTCCTCTGAACTCAATCACCGGCTTCCCAAATCGCGAAACAGTAAATGCAGCCACTAGAACATTAAATATATATTAATACTGTCTCCGAAACTATGTTACGGTATATAAATTATGTATAAGTCACTTATAATTATAGCTATTGTAGATTTACTACGATAAATTAAGTGGTAAATATTTATAACTGTTAAAAGTTTCAGGTATATGCAATGCCCAACTTAAACTTTTTGTTTTTGTTTTTTATTAAGAGAATTGTATAAAATTAAGTTACACAACTATCGCATTGACCTGTTAGGATAGTTGTATAGTTATAAATAAATAAATATTAGTAAAAGCGTATTGATAAATTAATAATAATGCTACTCAAAAGTATCGTGGCAGTTTGCACATCACGATATATGTATATGTCTGTTGTTATATATCTTTTGTTAACGCGAGTACTATTACTATTATTGAAAAATAATCTTGTCTGGTATGAACACCAATTAATTACATTATTTTGTCTTTCGATATTACAACAGCTCTGAACTTGAAATGTTGAGTTACACGAGGTACGCCCCGATACAAAAAGGATTTGTATAGGAGTGTAATTTATCAGTGGCTTAGCGCTTGTTAGATACACAATTTTCTTTTGTTTCTAAGATTCCTTTTATTTATTTAGCTCCCTATCTAAACATTGATACACACGTTAGTGAGATAATAACTAGTTATTTACTTGAAAAATGCTTCAGTGAGCTTTTATTTCAATGATTATGTGGTGTGTACTTAATAATTTCATCCTGGAAAGTGATTATTGTCGCTCGACATCCCGAATGGTCCTTGACGCATATCCAACGGACTCGAAGCTTCCCTTGACTACCACTCCACATATTGTAACGGTACCCATAAGCGGTTATCACTGGTCGCCCACTACGACTCGTTCCATATACTATTTCTGTAATTAATAAGGTCTTTGGATTATAAGATGGATACGAACGGTCACGAGATGGCAACATTTTTTTTATCGTACTAAAGATGCGAATCATTTTGAAGATGTTGTAGTTTCAGAATGTCTATAAGAATTATTCATGTTCAGAATGTCTATAAGTAAAATGTAAAAGTAGATAAATACTTTTAAAGTGTTTAATGAGAATTGTTTGATATCACGATTGTACTATTTAAGGAAAGAAAAATATTTATTAAAACGCACATATAAATAAAAAATAAATATATACTTTAAATTAAAAATGGGCAGTCACCAGCAACACTAATTTTCAGTGGACCCATACAACATATATAACAAAAAAAAATTAACAAAGAAAATTATTTAAAAAAATTATAAATCATATTACCACATCACGTTTATGGGATGTATGATTTCAATGGTTATGTGAATCAACATGAAGTACTAGTTGATTTAGTACGGTAGTAGCTCGTGCTACACAACCTTTCTTCCGTCCACTGCAAACCCATCGTTTCTTAGCTCTATGTTTTTCTGCGTTACCACCCGCTCTATAGTACTTATAGGCACCAATTTGTACTACCTCATTGCCCCATTTAGACTTGAGAAAAATAAAACCTGAAATAGGGACAATAGTAAAATGGACCGTCTCAGTGTTTTCTATTTTTTTTAATGTAACAGGAGGCATACCTGCAGGAGGCTCATCTGATGTTTGGAGATACCTCTGCCCATATACACTCACATTGCAAGAAGGCTCGGAAGTGCGTTGCCGGCTTTTTAATAATTACTACGTTCTTTTCTTAAAGGAAAACTTTCTACCTCTTCTAAAGGTTTCCTCGTTTACGTTATGTTGCGTAATGATTTGAATAAATAAGTATACGGATAAATTCAATATATATTTCAACTCATAAAACACTAATAAAATCATTAATGCTTAAGACTTGTTTTTTAACTTCTTTAAAATAAAGTACAACATTCTTTAATACAATTTGGGACATTTTTTTTTTGTTGAAAATTCTAAAAGCATCAATCGAGTAATAGATTCGAGTATTGTCAAAAAATATATTGTTTATTTGGATAAATTTAGCCCCAAATAGTTCTATTTGGTGGTACATTACTATTACAGTACTTCTGTACTGTAACCCTCAAAACACTAAACGTCGTCATGTCTCCTGTCATCCTATAATACGTTATATAAATCAATTTAAGGTATTAAAATGAACCGTTTCAGTTGACATGATGGCTTCAATTGAAAACTGTGAGGTGCCACAACACAAGTCATGATTTACACATCCGAATCTATGATATACTGCGCGTTCTACTAGGTACTTAGAGCCACTTATCGGCAATCTTGCTATCTAGTGCAAGTGAAACATGGATTACGGATGATCAATGATTTCGGAGCTATGACCAGTACACATATTACAGTAATAGACCCTTTTAGAAAAAGTCGGAAAGAGGAGCGACGAACTGCCATCATAAGAAGCGCTACTTATATTTTAACGCGATTTTTTTCCGGTTAAGCTATTTATAAGTATAATCTACTTATAAGTTAAACACGATTTTCTTTTCGTTAAGCTATTTATGAATATTTTAACACGATATTCATTTCGTTAAGCTATTTATAAATAGTTTACCTGGATTTTCTTCCCGTTAAGCTATTTATAAATAGTTTACCTGGATTTTATTCCCGTTAAACTAATTATAAGGTACGCATAGTCGGCCCTAAAGCTGAAATGGTATTACTCAATGATTATGATTATCTTTAATTCCAATAATTTGACGATCGAGGGTTGTCAATTTAGCCCTGCAACCTTTATTATCATAATTGCAACTCCATTTCAAAAGTGGTGATCGATTGCGACTGCATTTGTGGAATCTGTACTGTCCCATTTGAATAATGGGTCTACCACGTTTGGACACATCGAAAATTACACCTGAAAGTAAATAATAATAATAATAAAACTTAATTCATGACACGTAGTTGGTTGTGACAACACGAACCACAAACCAATGTAGTGCAAGTTTAAAGCCAAAGAAGGGATGATATATATGTGAAAAAATATTGTATTATGTTTGAAAGGAAAACCTTTTAAGTACAATCCATAAAAAATTATATATTTGTAATTAATTTGATTTTCATGAATTAATCTTCATGTACCCACTGTGTTTTAATGATTGTGAGGCGTGCACTTAATTATTTCGTCCTGGAATGTGATGATTGTAGCTCGACACCCCGAATGGACCTTGACACATATCCAGCGGACTCGTAGTTTCCCCTTACTACCACTCCACATGTTATATCGGTATCCATAAGTTCTTATTACTGGTCGACCTGTACGACTCGTTTCGTAAACTATGTCTGTAAATAATAATTTCTTTATTTTAAGATTTTCTTACCACTAAATGGCATTAACATATCAATCAAAAACTGAGTGTGTTCCGAATAATGTGAGGGTTTTAACGCTACGCCGTAAATATAAATAGAAAATAATTTGACTTTAACGTTTAAAAAACTACTAATGATAAAATATCAAAAATAATCATACCACGATTGATGTGCGTTGAACTTGAAGTGAAAATATAGACAGTTCTATTACACAAGATTTTATTGTCATATTTCACAATAATCCTTGTTTTATTCTTATCATATATCCTCGCTTCGAAACATGAGCGAGTAGATATAGTAGCCAGAACAATTTTACAACATTCAAACGCTGCTTTTGCCTTAATGATTGTGATTACTATTGTATTCAACTATATCATCACCAATAGTTTTAATTTTTGCTGTACAGCCTATGTTTCGTTTGATACAAATCCACCTCTTTACTATAGAGTTGGTAAGGTCACATGCGCTACCAAATCTATAATTACCTATTTGAATAAGTGGATTTCCTCTAGTTGATTTAGTGAAAATGAAATCTGTAATTACGAAAAATACATATTAATAAAATAAATCGAACTGCCGTTCTTGATTTAAAATTGGTTCAGAAGTTTTTTTGTAATTTCTAACCAGAAAAATGACAGCGCTAAGCTAAAGCAATGGTGGCCCTGACCCTGAGATGCGTTCGTGGGCAATTAACGCTTGCTCTTATGGTGAAGGCAAACATAGTGAGAAAACCTTTTGCCTGTGTAAATGGCATGTCTTAATAGAGATTAGCATTAGCTACTTCATTCTGCCTAGAAGGCTACATCAATTTACTAGAAGATCCGATGAACTTCGTATCATCTACATATAATTGTGTCAAAATACAAAGTTATTAAAACAGTCCAGAGATCGGACCTCATACTACAGCTATGAAACATAAATTTCTCAAAGGACAACCAAGTAACAATTTTGATTTCTAAAAATACAAAAAGCATCAAACGGGATCAGCTTTTATTGAACAATTCAAGTGTCGTTTTTAGTTTTTCCTTTACTTTTTATTCGTGCTTACTACCTTTAACCTTCCCTGAAAATCAAGGAAAAAAACCTTCCACAAATATTTCAAGATCATAATTATCCAAATCGGTCAAGCCATTCTTGCGTTTAGCAAAACCAACCAGCAATTCATTTATTCATATATGTACAGATAATTTTCTGTAGAACCTTCAAGAAATAATACAAACATTTTCGAAATTAAAAATATAATGATTAAAATTAATTACGTATTAGTTCAAAAAAATTACATTACCGCGTATAACATAATTGGGCAGATCGTGACAATGATTATAAGATTGCTTTAAAATTATTCCTTCGTTCGTTGTGTGAACGTACGCCTTACAGTTTAATGCCTTCTTCTTGCTACATGTATAACGTTGAACGTTCTTGCTAAGGGATAGGTGTCTCCCGTAGGTAAAGCCTCCATACAACAGAATAGTGCATCCATTCGGTTTCGTATAAAATTTTCCTGAAAAGAATTTCATGCGTTAAATCAAAAAATAATCACTTTTTACTTTCTTTCCCATTCTTATTTCTAACCAGGCCCTTATTACTATAACATATAGCGGTATATATATGAGATTATAGGTAAACATGGGAGGTTTATAGTTAAACAACATTATAGCATTTACTTTTTAATGATAATATTCTACTAACTAATACTGCTAGAAAAATACTTAATTGCGGTAATGACACCAAATTATTACAATGATAGGAAAATGTGTTTAAATATAAAATAAATGCAATTTATTTATGCAATTAATGACTAGCTGTTTATAAAAATACAAATTTCAGTAAATTCTGATTTAGACTTTACTGAAAAAGGCTAAAAAACTGATATTCTTAAATAACTACTACCTTACACCTTAAACTAATGTCATTATATATTAACCTTATCTCATAAAACACTCCTTCTAAGTTTAGCACACAATAGGAATTTTTTTTTTCTTACGACAACTAACTTTTACCAAATATTACAATTTCAGACGCTTTCATTTGAATTTGATTTTTTTTTAAATATAGCTTCCTATCCCTCGAAGTCGATCCGTTTGCTATTAAAATAGCTACTAAAAGCTAATAATAGTTTTTGTCATCAGTCTCCATAAAACTTCATGCCTAGTTTTACGTTTTTACTTTTTTTTCCTTCCCCAGTGAATGTTCACATCCAAAATAAAATTTGACACAACCTTTTGTCAACACAATAGGAAATAAAATTATTTAAACGTTTCCCTTATAAATCGACTCAGTTATTATGTAAACTGATATTCTGTAAACAGATAAAACACTCACAAATATTGCAACATAGCTGTATAGGTTTCCTTTATAGGACTGATTCTATTTACTAGGATTCAATTCAAATATATAATTCCTTAGACAAGATTATTCGAGGTTTAGACTATATGTGTTCTATTCAATACATATATACTTATAATAGCAGTAGGTACTTCATCGTGCAACACTAGTAAATTTAAATTTTACAGAGTTAGTGAGTATGAGAGTTCTTAAGTTTAACAATGATATTATCAATAGTGGTGACAGTGGCTCTGCATCCTGCCTGGTTCTTCACACAGGTCCATCTAACATGCGGCCCCTTACTGTAACTCCACTTATTGTAACGATATCGTCCGACAACCATTACTGGATTCCCAAATCTGGTTGTTTCAAATCTCACTGAAAATAAAAAAAAATTGATACTCTTGAAACTGAAAAATTCCATTAACCAATGACATACAAACATTAGAGAAATATATCAACGTATTTCTATTTAAACACGCAAAATGTATACATTGTTAACAAAAATGTTTTGGCTATACGGTTAGTATAATTATTTTTCATTAAATATGATATATGTTAGCTGTAGGAGTACGTAAATAAAAAATAAAAAAAAACCTAAATCGTTTCATTAAATAAAACTCGAATCCTTAACAATTGGACAACGCTATTAAGTGTCATTACGCTATTAATTTTAGATATACTGAAGAAAAGCAGACGGGAGCGACTTTACAATAAAAAAAACTTAGATAGATATATAATTTTTAATTTTCGCGTTTAATAGTTTTTGCATATAATAAACATACTAAGCGTCCTACTAGAGGAATAAATGCTTGCTGGTTTGACGAACTTTTTGGTTTATTCTATAATTAGATGAATACTTCTTCCACTTTTCTCGAGTTTTTCTTTGCTCTCTTGGAGTCATATCTTGAATACACTTTCGCTGTCCTTTTTCTTTCTTTTTCGGATACTTCAGTGTTTCTTTCTTTTTGTATTGAGCTAATAAAACAGGATCACTTTTAATCTTTATTAATCGAGCCTTTGCAGCAATTGACTTCTTTAAGGCTATTTCTTCTTTAGATAATTTTCGCTTCTTTTTAGACGGCAGCATCTCTAGAAAACAAAACTCGTTTCGACGTTTTTGATAAAAAATAGAATACACCAACTTAATTCTAAATAATCCTATTTCTATAATTTTCTATTGAAAGGGACTTAAAAATAAATTGTAATTACCAGAGCTTTAACGTACATTACACACATATACATATTACAAGTACACATTAGACTCGCCGCGTAAACTATGTGAAACAAAATATCTGAAATCCGTTTTTCGCTTTTGCTGCTAACTTCATGGTACAAATAAAATAAAGAACTCGTCATTCATTGTGCGGGTCACTCATTTAGCTCTAAATTTAAAATTTCGTTATCGGCTAGGGCCTGATGCTTCGTTCATGCTTTGCTCTGCTTTGGTGATGCTTTGTTCAGTGCTCATGGTGGTTTATTTCAGCCCATACGCAATCATCATTAGTTAAGACTTTTGCCTTACAACCCGTTACGTTACTTGTACTGCAATACCACCGCTGTACCGCCTTTAGCGAAACGTCGCTTATAGAATTTATTCCCTTTATAAATTAAAATTCTTGTGCCTTTTTGGGACTCTTAAAAAGTTGCTGAAATCACATACATTATACAAGATAATATACACACATATTAAAAAAGATTAGTACACGGGCGTCGGTATCACTTAACTTCAGTTGGGCCTGTGAGCAAAGAAAAAAATTGACAGGCGGAGCAGAATGGTTTGACCACAGTCCATGTGTTACTGATATTCATATTTGGCAAAATCCTTTGAAAATAATGTAAAGTAAAAGTAAAAAAATCATTTAATCATATAGGTAACATAATGTACACTTAAGACTCGTCAGTAAAGAAATACATATTAATGCTTCAAATTTTACATTTACTGACAGTTCTCAAATCAAGGGCGTAGAACGGAAGAGAAGAACTGGCAATAAACTCTCCGCCACTCTTTTTAATCGCCATTTTTTTTTACACAACGTTTATAAGGAGTTGCATCTATCACACTATGTTCCACATGACATATCAAGTAATTAATAACAATAACATAAATTTAAAAAAAAGACTTGTTCTCTATCAGCAGGAGGCATGGTAAAATAGGAGAACGCACTTACATTCTCGTGGGAACAACACGCAAACACATAGTCGAAATAACCAACATCACCGCATACACGAATTCAAGTACGACCAGTCACCACAAGCAGCACCCGTTCACGAGCATGACGCATGGCCAGCCATCGGCCCCTTCGCTGGTAATGGTATTTAAGTATAGAAAGGTTGTGTTTATTAAACTTTGAGAAAAGCCATTTCTTCCCTTTTACACCTCGCCAACATATAATTGCCGTGTACCTAGTAAACGACAAATTAATAAACGCGTATTTCAACGCAGTATAAAAATTTAAGAGAATGTTTATACTGCACTAGCATAGAAGACAGCTGATGTTGTCTTGTACAGTGTACACACGTCCTAAATAACAAAAAGTGCGTGCGTACAAAGTACACTTGTCAGAATGGAAACTTCTTTGGCAAACTTATTTTTAACTCTTGTTCATATTTATACAAATCTAAAACTTTAGATTTCCGAAACTTAGAGGGAGGGAAAAAGGAAGACATGTTAGGAATTTAATTGTCATTAAAATATTAATTGTCGAAAATTAATACAAATCATATTTTTTTTAAATGTATTTCTTCCATAATAAAAACACGTGGCATTTTAATTTATAATTCGTCAATCAATGAGATTTTAATAAATTATTTTGCATAAAATACTAATATTTCATAAATTCTCTTTACGAAATTTTCTATTTTAAAAATAGAATTTCAATAGGGTCATTCACCCTTTCGACAAAAACGCTGCACATTTTCGTGGCGTTCCGAAGAATTTTACCCTCATGCACCTAAAGAAGTTTCACATCGAAAAATAAAAAAAACATACTAGAATCAACTTAACACAGACAAAAAAAATCATCAAAGCCGTTTAGTAGTTTCTTACAAACATGTGTACTGAAGATTAGTATAAAGGGTTATCGTATATCGTATAACAGCGATTTTTTTAAATTTAAACTATACAAATAAATTTAACAGACAATCACAAATCCTTATCTAAATTTCAACAAAATGAAACGAAATTAAATTTATGTATAAAAAAACATATAATATCTTTTCTTACAATAATATATACACTACTATTTTAGTTTTACCACAAATGGACCAATTTTTCAAATAGGTCGGCTATATTCTTTTCTTAAAATAAGAAATTAAAACTTTATACATTACTTTTTTAATACCAACTTCAAAATGCACTGGTATAGTGTAATTTTATTTTATTTTAATTAGTATTTTAATAAGAAATTAGTTTAGGAATGTATTGCAACTTTTATTACCAATCACTTGAAGATCGTAAAAGGGTATCTAATATAGTATCATATATTTATAATAAACAAAACTCTTAATGCATTATCGGCTTTTTGAAGTCGGTTTAAAAATTACAAAATTCAAATTTAAATAAATACCTTAACGCATAGTCTCTGACCACAATTGCTGTAAAACACGAAACGTTGAAAATATAATAAATTCGAGCTTATACACATTAAAAAGGTTTTATTTAAATATGCAGTACTGTACAAACTAAAGTCAAATAACCTTCTTATTTTATTTTGTTTACAAAATATCACAAATGTTTTCCGGCATTTGCCCGTGAACGAGAACAATGCATGTTTTAAAAACTAAACTATTTAGTGAAAATATATGCAATATATTTAATGAATATGAACACCTACAATATTTATTAAATCATCACCTATAGTAACCACTTTGGCTCGACAACCCCTTGTCTTCTTGGTACAAATCCACGTTTTTGTTGGTCCTCTAAGCCGGTTCATCATACCATAACGATAACCCGCAAAGCAAAGTACTCTTTTTCCGTTTCTTGAAGGTAAGAAACAGGGACCTAAAACAGAGAAATACATATTTTAGAATTATTAATGCTGTTATTACGAAAACAGAGACAGTACCACCACAAAATTTATTTATATTCTTGCCTTTGTAATGTATGTTAAAGTGTAGTTTACGATCGCAATCCGGTGCAGTCTTGCTTCGATGGTCGCTATAATAGTACGCCACCTATACAAATATATTTAAAAAATGTAAAGTTTGAAGTCGTGTACCTTACGTGTACTTACCATAGGAATATAACCACATATCCCATAAGAACGATTATTTCGTGAGGAATATAAGACAGGACCGCCGACCATACCATGCTATATGTGTCATAGCCATATTCAAATTTAAATACATAGACAATTAAAAACCAATGGACAAATATACTCTCTCAAACACACAAAATCTGAGTTAATATCTGAATAATTAAACAGCATTTGATAAATTATAGTAAAGAGATTAATCAAAACATAGAAAATAAAACAACATTTAGAAACATATTAATTCATTATAAATCTAATTTATAGATTTGTTATCATTAATTTATCGCATAATTATCCACCACCAAATACTATTAAAATAAAAGACTTACAACTAATTTCGAATGATATTAATAAATATAAATATCGATTAAATTAACAATCTTTAGGCGTGTGTCAATTATCACGTATTATTGACATATGACAGCAACCACCGTCTTTAACTTAATTTTCAATGTTTAATAGTTAAATCCATTTTTAACCAACGTGTGTGTTAACAGACTAACAAATTAGCAGCGTGGAGTTAATTTACGGCCAGTTAAAACGAACCAAAAAATCTTTAGAAACTAAGCAGTAACAGAAGTGGTTTTAATTTAAACTAGTTAATGAAGTAATTCAACACAATTAACATTATACCACATAACACTTAAAACTACCCTCCCAAGCTAACATTAAAATTGCCTCATGTCATGATTATTTAATGTAAAGCACCAATTTCAATTATAATAACTTATTTTTTATAAATCCATTTAAAACGCTTTAATCGGATTAAACAAGTTTTTCGTTACGTTACAAACATTTGTAATGATGGCCATTTGAACTTTACAAAAAAAGCCTACGTGGTTTAAATTGTTTCGATTTCAAATTGAATCAAGTTAAAGTGAAATCTGAAATTGCTATACTGCTCAAACTTCTTATCCAATTATATTACAACTATAAAATGTATTTTTTATAGCAACCTAAAAGACAACTTATCTTAATTTAACGCAATAATATTTATTTTGTATGATAACACAACTGCATACTTATCATAAACATATATGTTAGTCAAGGAATGTTCTTTCTTTTTCTTATGTAATAGGAGGCAAACGGGCAGGAGGCTCATCTGATTTTAAGTGACATCGCCGCCCATGGACACTCACATTGCCAGCTCGCAAGTGCATTTCCGGCCTTATAATAATTAGTACGCTCTTTTCTTGACCCTAAGTCGAATTGGTTCGGAAATACTTCAATGGGCAGCTGGTTCCACATAGCGGTGGTGCGCTGCAAAAACTGCCTTAAATCTATTTGCGAATTGATACATTTATGACTCGGATTTAAAACTCCAATTATATTTACATATATTTCACATTTCATCTATGAAAGTTTTGTTTCATTACATATCATACAATGCTGCATGAGCCTTATTTAAATGTTAGACGAAAAATAACCGTGTTTGTTACCATGGTTACCTTTCAATACGAAAATAACATCGTAACCATAGTAACTAATCAGTATCTTTACGTCCACGTATAAGGCCACTATTATATAGGTATTTCGTTCTTCGTTCATTGAACTAATGGTGCAAAGAAGAAAGTCAGATCGAGTAAATCTAACTTCCATAGAACTCATATATAACTCAATTATTTTAAAACCAGTTATTAAATACAATTCATAAAATATGTCTAATCCAAACGTCATCACATTTTTGCTTTTAGAAAACTAAAGTTCATATACTAATTTCATAATTATTCAAAAAATTAGAAATTTCAAGAAAGTTGTGGGTAGATATTCAATTGCTTTTCGATATTGTTTTTTAAAGTTCATTACAATGATATCTTTACAAATGTCGAACACTAAATAGCGATTACAGATTACCAATAATAACAATTATGCAAATTAAATTAATATGTTTTATATTATGCCATTAAAAATTAAATTTTGGTCCTAACAGCATTTTATGGATGTGGGTATGATCATAAAAAATACTATTTATGTCTCAAATTCCTGTTATCATTATGTATGTGGTTCGTTTACGTTCACTTATAAAATATATAAATACAAATGAAGCTATTCATAGGAATAATACGTTGATTATTCATATCAATTAAATCATTCAAATTACACTATTTACATGACATACAGTTCTTTAGTAAAACAATGTAATTATACTAATTTGTTATGAAATAACAATTAAATTAGCATGTGTTTTATGCCAGCCGAGATTCATTAAATAGTCACACACACATGTGAAAGGTAATACGTATATGTTAACAATAGCATGTCGTCACTGTCTATCATTATCTACAGGTAAGAGACGGAAATATCATCCTGTAACTTGACAAATTCGATATTAAATTATTTTAATAAAAAAATAGGAATGACTTTCAGAATCTGTTCGCTGTCGTATGTGCTGCTGGATCATGGAAGCCCCAAACTCGTACTATTGCATTATCCATTGTATGTAGCGACGCCCTGCAACCTGACTTGGCCTTAACACAGACCCATCTAGTTTTATCTCCATTCTTGTTGACTCTATTAAAACGATACCTGCCTATCATGATTACAGGGTTTCCTCTTTGGGACCTTGCAAACACTGGATTCAAATCTGTAAGATGATGTGTAGTTAATACGTGTAGTAGTCATTTAAACAGATGCTTCACTTGATTTCCCTTTTCTCCATTTAAAGTTTAATTCCCATTAAACACAACACACTCTAACACAACACACTCTAACACAACACACTCTAACACAACACACTCTAACACAACACACTCCAACACACACACTTGTATGTTCAATAAGATTACTTTTTAACTTTTGGAGACTTTATTAAGTGAATTAAGCACTACAAAGTGAAAACTTAATAACTATCATAACAAAGAAAGTGATAAACATAGATTACAAGATGCTCATAGATTAATTTTCAATGGTAATTATTCATATTCTAGATACAGCACTAATGCTACACTTTTACTTCTAATTGCTTAAATATTGCCTAAATTAATTATTTCTCGTGGAAACAGATCAGTAGTTAAAATGATCTAATCGTATAGACAGCGATTTTATTTATACTATATAAAAAGATTACATATAACCCTCCTCTACATCCATTACATTCTTTTTTACGTGGAGCTAACAGAATAAAAAACTGTTAAGTTGTTAACATTATTGCATATAAATGCTAATGATTATGTATTCCTATAGTCTTAACGATAACATTGTCCACTGTAGTGAGAGACGCAGTACAACCAGATTTCTTCTTAACACAAGACCAGCGTACTTTGGACCCCCAAGAAGCATGTTTATTAAAACGCCAGTCACCTATCTGAACCACTAAATTTCCTCTCTGAGAAAGACTAAACACAGGCTCTGAAAAAATTATAGCACCATTAAAACTTTATTATAAACCAAATCTAGTTAAAATATAAGGAGTATTAATAAAAAAAGATTAACTTAATAACATGTAATTAAAAAATAAAACATTTAATATTTTGAAACACCATTAATTCGCTTATAATTAGTTGAAATAATACTTACACTAATATTATATATATAGTTTATTTGTCTCTTCACAATATTGCTTTGTACATAAATATGTAGAATGTAAAAACATGCTGCCGGTATTGACGATCTTTGTGAGAGGCTGGTGTCTATAATACGACTATAGATAGTGGTAGCAGATCACCAGTCTTCCAACGGGCATAGAAAATATCGGAAGAGATCACTACATATTATAACTAAACTAAAGTGACAAACAAAATAAAAGTGAAGCATGAGTTGGTGTGTGAATGAAAGAATTTATTTTAAGGTCTAAATCTAATGTGTATAACTTCTTCTGTTTTTTTGGCTGAATACTTAAGGAATAATAAAGTTTAATGTTTAAACATGTCCCAAGAAAGCAGAAAAAAATATGCGAATAGTGAGAGTGAAATAAATTTGCTTTGCAAATTGTGTCCTTACACCGTCTTTTAGTTAGCGTGATAGGGTCAAACGTTAGTTGGGAACTTTTCTTAAATAGTATTGTTATGAACTAGCTAAAAAAATGTTTTTTTACAAAAATATTGAAAAATTTCTTATACCTATTCGCCGCACAATAATTTGATTAATATAATAATGATTAATATAAAAATAATAATAATAACTGGTGAGACTGAGAGTCAGCCAGTGTGTTAGTCTTCTTAAACGAATCTTACGGAATTAAATATTGTACTAAATGTTCTAGTGATTATGCTTCAAAGTTGACCAGATAATCTTCCCATTACAGGTTATTATTGTTGCCAAACAATCAGTTTCTATGCATCCCCAAGATATTCTGCTTTCATGTATGTGTTCCTTTTTATATCGATATATCCCTAATACAAGTTCTTCACCTTGAAAAGAATCTGAAAAAATAGCAAAATAATGTATACCAATATCATGAAGCTGGGTAATTTGTTATTAATTAAACCTGCCAGTAACGTTATAAATGTCATATATATAAATTTATAAATGATAGCGTCAATTGTTTATCTCAATTTTTGATCCAGACCTGCATCAAAATATGGAAAAGAAAATTCAGGAAAGTGGTTCCAAAGATTCACAAATATCAAAGATTACAGCGTATTTAATAAAAAGCAGTCTATATTTTTAAAACAATACAATAAATATATACAACCTATAAGAAAAATAACACATGTAAGTATAAAAATTATTGTATACAATGAATATAAGGCTCATTATAAAGTATCACCAAATTTACGTATCGTTGATATTATCACTTAAAGCGTAGCCTAGGTTAACAGCGTAGCTTTTGTCACTAAAAATTTCGAGATCATAAAAAACTTTAACACTCTGATGTCATCTTCCAAAACTTTAACACACGTACCATTTAATGGTAAACATTTCTCATAATAACAAATTATCCAATTAGTTAATCCTTTCTCTCCTCAGGAGGTGTCCGATTCCAGAGATCAAATTTAGGAGCAATTCTAGGAAAGTTAAGCGCATGAAGAGCCAGCGAAGCGGCTCGGGGTGATAAAAGCGGCGACGGAAGTATTGAGGCTGCAATTGAGGAGACTGGTAGAACCTGCGACCGTGGACGCAGCGGTACGAATGCACCATTACCACACCTTGCGTGCGATGGAGGAGCATGGTTATGAGCATCTGATGAAGCGACTAATTTTCCCGAAATTAGCCTCACTCTTGCTCTGCATCCCATGTGCTTTGATGAGCAATAGAAAAATCGTCCCCCAACTTGTGAATACGTAAAACCTTTTAAGACAAGGATATATTTCCCTTTTTCCGTTGGTATGAATTGTATATCTGCAACACATAAGCAATTTAGATAACATTCCACAATTATATAGCATCGGTATAGTATAAGTCACGTTTAAAGATATCACATACATAGAAACTATTAAACCATAATTAATGCAAAAATCATTCAACTATCCTGTACATAAGTGAATAAAACCTATTAACTGATATCTGCTTCGATTCCACTAGTTTCGATAATTTATTTCATATACGAAACGTTTAAATAAAAATCTATACAGTATTATATATATGTATATATATATATATTTATTTATAAAAACTTTGGAAAATAGCGGATCTAATCTGCACTTTCAAGTCTATTTTATTCGTAGATTAAATATTTTATATTATACAGAACATAATTTGAAAAAAAATAATTAGTATTGTCTTTGATTAACATAACCTTAACACATTTAGAAAAAAAACTTTTTAACCGGATTAAAGTTATGTATTATACCAACTCCGGGGAAATAAATACAGATAATTCAACTTTCTCTACAGCTGTGATACTTTTTGACATCCAACACCTTTTGTCTTCAGTCAACGTGACCACGCACGCTGTAAAGCACGCGAAACGTCGGATAAATTTAAAATTATGTTAAATAATTGTAAATTTATAATAATACATAACTTTTATCCGGTTAAAAAGTTTTTTCTCTAAAAAATAATTAAACGAGAAAGCATACTAAAATTCGTATTGGGTAAGATTAGGATGGCTTAAATAATACCAACTCTTTGAATTATACAATTTATCCAAGTATAACTTAGATTTAATACGAAGTCAAGTGCCAAAAAATATACACTAAATTATTTTTTATAACAATCATAATACATAATAATAATTTATTTGCAAAATATGGTAGAAAAATGTTATGTATGTAATGTTATGTATATTATACAATCTAAAGTAGGCATATTGTAGAACATAGCGTGCAAATTTGTCTTAAAAGGTAGAAGAGAAGTTACAATTATAAAGAGACATATCATTAAAGTCAATTCTTATATTATTTTATCATTACATCATGACATTATTAAAATAGATCTATTATTACATTATCAAATTCATATTAATTATAAAGTTTCACGCAAATAATCATTAATAGAATAATAACTTTTGTCTAAAAGTAGTACATTAAGTCGATTTTAAAAAACTCTAGTAGAAAGATCTTTGAATGTTTTTTGGTAAATTATTATAAACCTTGATTGCAATATAAAATATAGTTTTATATTGCAATTAAGGTATTATATTTTTTAGCCTTAAATACCCAATTGACTGCGACTGAATTTCCCCAAACATTCCATATCTAAGTATAGATGAAATATATGCATGATCAGCAGTTAATATAATAATAATAATACCGTATCATGGTTAATTAGTCGTTTTAACAAATAAACGAAGTTGTCTAATTTATTCTGTAATTATATTCGGATGTATTTATAAATTAATATTTAAATTTCTACCACCATGTTTGTCTTTATAACCTCAACTGATTTAAGTATGGTTAGTTACAATTTTAGGAAAAATCGTATAAATGTAAACTCAACAACCGAGATTTCAAAATAAATTAAGGCCGAAGCAAACTTAGCACCTTTTTTTTTTTTTTTTTTTTTTTATTGTTGGGAAATCAATTTACTGACCCCCGCGCCGGGGCAACGATTTAAAAGTGGTGCAGGGAGTGTGGGAGTCAGTCCGTATGGTGCAATGGACACCTACCCACTAAAACCCAACAGCCCCATCTGTTCGCTATGGACGGTAGGCGCGGTAACAGTTTCCCTTAATCCGCGCCTCCGTCATGAGCGTCTGCTGTGTGAGCACATATTCTGCGTTGCCCAATCCTGTCCTAAGGTCCCAGTGGAGTACGTGCGTAATCGCGACGTCTCCTTCCAGGCCTTTTTTGCGTTGAGGGTCGGCGTCTGGGTTACACTCCCGAACCCTCTCCGCATTCTCTTTAAGTGTAATGACGGCTTCACAGAACGCTTTGAAAGTGTTCCATGGGCCGTCACTGTCAGCCTCCATCATAGCTTTAACTATGACTGGAAGCGACAGGTCCAATCCGAAGGTGGCGGTTAATAGGCTACGTTCAGAGCTCCACGCCGGACAAACCTCTAAAGTGTGTTGCGCTGTGTCGTCTGCGAAACCACACTCGTGACAAATGGGGGATGCCTCCCTCCTGGCAACCCTGTGAAGGTATCCACCGAAACATCCATGGCCTGTGAGGACCTGAACGAGTCGGTACGAGAGTGCCCCCCATCTTCTATTTACCCACAAGTTGAGCACTGGACGTATAGATGTAATTGTCCAGACTCCTGCCCTGTGATCTTGTAACTCATCCATCCATTTCTGAAGGACGGTCACTTGGGCTTCCCGTCTCCAGCTGTTTATGTGCTCAGGAAGGGGGTCGAAACCCCTACTTCTACTATCTGCCCTATGCCAATAGATCTTGGCTAGGGCAGCCGCTTCGAGGTGCCAGGGGCAGTTCCTGCAATAACACACGCTGCCTCGCAAGAGACGGTGCGGTACGCCCTTGCCACCCTTATGGCCATCGCCCGTTGCGACTGTCTTAGAATCGCCCTGTTTTGAGCGAATAGACAATCGGCCCAAATGGGGCATCCGTAGAGGACCTTCGCCCGGACCACACCTGCAAATAACCGGCGACACCCCGCACTCGGCCCACCAAGATTTGGCATTAACCGGCAGAGTGCCATAGCCGTGGTAGCGAGCTTCGGGGCAAGTGCCGAGAAGTGATCCTTAAAAGTCCATCGAGAATCGAGGACAAGCCCGAGATACTTTAAAGTGGGGCTTACTCTTATGGGCACACCACATACGACCAATCGTGTACCGTCAGGAGGAGCTCGTCTTGGACCGTGGAAACAGACCGCCCCAGATTTCTCGAGGGCGACTTGGAGGCCAATGCGCCTTATTTGCGCCACAACCTGTGCCACCCCCGCCGTTGCGAGGATGCAAGCTTCTCTGTATGTACGACCTTTTGCAGTGATAAGTGTGTCGTCGGCATAACATATTAGGCTGACGCCTTGCAGATGTGAGCCACGAAGGACGCAGTTATATCCGATATTCCATAGGAGTGGGCCTAGAACAGACCCTTGTGGAACACCACACTCAACCCTGTGTTCCTTCCAACCTCCCCGACCCGGGTAGATGACGGTACGGGCCGAAAGGTATGATCTTATCATGCGCCGGAGGTATACTGGCACGTCATGGAAGATTAAGCCGTCTATAATGGTATTCCAGGGAATCGTGTTAAAAGCGTTTGCTATGTCTAGTGACACCGCCAGCACCACCCCTCCTTGCGCGAGTGTCTCCTCGCAAACGTCTCTTAGCCTTGCAACGGCGTCGATGGTAGACCGGGCGCGCCGGAAACCGAATTGGGTATCGGCCAAATCCAGCCCGTCCGTTGTAAGGTGTTTTACTATGCGGGATGCTAGCACTCGCTCGAATAACTTGCCTGCTTCATTTAATAAAACAATTGGCCTATAGGCCGACGGGGACTCAGGTGATTTACCCTCTTTCTTTAATAATACAAGTTTTCCCGTCTTCCAGCTACTCGGAAAGTGGCCGTTCTTTAAAATATGGGTTAGCAACTCCCGAAACCTCTCTTCCAGCCCGTTATTGAGGACATGGACCCAGACCTTCCCGTGAACACCATCTGGTCCGGGGGCTGTCTTTTGCTCTGAAGCTTAAGTATTGCAACAGAGAGTTCCTCAGGCGTCACTTCTGGGACTTCCTCATCATAGTGGAGGTCGTCGCGAGATGTTGGATGCGAACTGTTAGCCGGGAATAGTGCGGAGACTACCGTATCCAGGAACACCGGTTCTAGAGTGGTAGTGAGTGGCGGAAGCCAGGGGCGCAGCTTGGTCATCACTAGCCTATATGGCCGCCCCCATGGGTCTAGCTCTAAAGTTTGTAAAAGATCTTCCCAAGCTTTCTCTTTGGCCTCTCCAATTGCAATGCGCAAAGTTAATTTTGCTGCTTGGTATTCGCCGTAGCACCTTCTTTCTTCTTCCGGATCGTGTGGAGCAAGGCGTCTTCGACGTAATCGGGTGTAGTGACGTCGGGCAACTACACAAGCCGTCCGTAGCTGGGTGAGTTCAGGCGACCACCAGTACACTTGTCGGCGGGGCGGAATAGGGCGGATCCTTGGCATTGCAGCGTCGCTAATACGTCGCAAAGCCTCTCCGAACCATTGCACCTCTCTATCTGCTAAGATAGTATTTGGCTTAGGGCACCACGCCTCTGTCAAAGATGCCAAAGACAGGGAGTCAAAGTCCAGTTTTTTACGGGACCATTTTGGCCCTATTTCCGGTGGAGGCTGATTTGATCTACCAGTTGCTGGTGGTAGCTGTTGATGGGGACTCACCAGGCACCGAATGTACCTATGGTCCGAAAGCGTTTCAACCTCTGTAAGTACACGCCAGTTGGAGACGCGATTTGCTAGTTCCGGGGATGCAAAAGTTACATCGACGATAGAACTGCCCTGCATTCGCACGCATGTGCGTTCCGATCCTCGATTCAATATCACCAAGTTGTGAGTGGCGATCCAATCAACCACCGCATCGCCACGGGCTTCGGTTACCGGAGAGTTCCACATAGACGACTTCGCGTTGAGATCCCCTGCAACAATAACATTTAATGGTCGAGCCCATTCCACCAGGGAGCCCATTTCTGCCAGAAAGGCCTCGAACTCTGTAATACTCCGGTTCGGCGAAAAATAAGCTCCAATTACAACGACTTTTTCTAGTTTAACAGCGACACAGCCGTTTCCTTTTAGCGAGGCTTGAGGCAAGCCTTCAGGCAACGAAACGGCAATCGCAACTAAACCGTTGCGGTCGCCAAACCAGTTTTCCCTCTGGGGGATCATATACGGCTCCGATACTATTGTGATATTGATTAACCACTGCGCCATGCTCTGGAGTAACAGATCCTGAGCTTTGGCGCAGTGGTTGATGTTCGCCTGTAGGATTTGGAGGGCCATCTATGAACCAGTTGTTATCTCCATTTGCTCTGTGTCCCCGATCGGTGGGGCACCAGTGGCCGTTTTGTTCGCGGTCCACGTCCTTCTGGGCATCTTTTTGCTGGGGGCCGAACACGCGTTACCCCCAGTAGATGGTTTGCTCTTTGGCCAGCCGCAGCACACAGAACGCATTGCGGCTTTTCAGAGCAACTCCCTGCTCGGTGGTCAGATTGACCACACCGAAAACAAAGGTGACTGTGGTCCATATCCGCAGTACACCGTGCTGCTACATGACCGCCCTGGAAGCAGCGGAAACATCTCAGTTCTCGGGCCCTCAAGAGAACAACTCGGGCGGAAGCCCATCCCACTAATAACCTTCCTTCGGTCAGCTTTTTGGCCGCCGTCACTGGGCACCTGACCCATGCCGCAAAAAGGCCAGTCCTGTTCTGACGGACGCTACCGACCTTCACATTGTCCGGCGAGCAGCTGACCTTAGAGCAAATGGCTTGTTTGACCTCTTCCGGGGTGACTGTTTCATCCAGCCCCGAGATCATCAACTCAGTTGATTTAACAGGTCTGGAAACCCGGACTCTTCCGTCACCATAGACCTCCTTTAATCTAGACGCCAGAATATCCGCCTTCTCCTCACCACCTGTCCCGGGGACCTGAATGATGGTGGCCCCCGTGACAGCTCGTCTGAACCGGACCGCTTCTATACCAAGCTCAGCCAGATTTAGTTTTGTCTTCGCCTCTTTTAGGACTGCTACGTATGTAAGGCCTTTCTCTTCGGCATCCGGCGGAAGCGTTAAAACAACTGCTGCGGAACTGGGCGTACGGAGCTTCAGTTGTGCAGCTGTTGCCATTGCCTGTCTCTTAGGTTGTGCTGGAAGTTGTTGAGCACCTTCATTCTTCTTCCGGCGCAATCCTTTCTTTACCACCTTATTCCACGCTTCATTAGTAGAGGGGAGCTCTGGCAGTGGGCACGGTGGTGACAGAGGGGCAGCATTAGGGACAGTTGTCCCTGTAGGCACATTCTCTTGCCTTCTCTTAGGTTTCTTCTTCTTTTTCTTCTTTTTCACGCCGTCCTCGGGTTGAGTTGCCACTGTATTCGAAGTGGGCGCTGCTGTCGTCTTTCTAACCTTGGAGGACCCCGACGTTGTTGCCACAGCCTCCGGCTTATACTTGTCAGCGGAGAGAGGTGGTCGTATGCGAGGCTCCGGGTTGAGTCTTGGTTCTATGCTTTCTATTCTAGCATTGATCCTATCCACAAGGCGGCTCATGAGCCTTGCCTCAAGGTCCTCTAAGTCCGGTGTTGGTACCGGATCTGTAGGGCGTTGCTTTATTAGCTCTCGCAACTCTCCCATCTCTTTTTGGAGCGCCTCCAGAAAGTTTCGAAGCCGCTCGTTTTCACTTCGAAGAGCTCGCGTCTCATCCGAAACAGACATTTGAGCGAGTACCTCTGTGTCCTCTTTAATAGATTTAGCGACAGATTTGAGGGCGTGGACAAATGTACCCTTAAGATTTTTTGACTTAGTCGCGACTTTCTCTACCATTTGCAGATTAGCTTCGATGCGCCTCTGCGCTAGATCTGCCGTCAAAATTTCCCCTTCTGCATTCATTGCCGCTGGTGTTGGTGCGGGTTTACTCGGCTCAGTCAATGAAGCGAGGATCTCCTCCTCAGCCTGGGCTTCCTTTTCCGTTTTCTTGGCCTTTAAATAAGCAGACCTAGCAGGCGCCAAGCCCATGTACCCTCTGGTTTTTGGTGGGCGGCCTCTTCCTCTTCTTGTTGTAGCAACTTTTAGTGGGGTCCGAACAGACGACTCGCTGATTGTACTGTCGCCATCGTCTTCGCCACTCCTGGTTCGTTTGCGAGAACTCCAGAATCTAGGATATGTAGGGTCTGTACAATCCAGTGATCTGGCGCTGATCATAGATGTCGCGGAGGAATCCGATAACCTTCCAGCATCAGACGTAGGCGCGTCAACTGGATGGTCGCCAAAAATGTCCCTGGAAACGCTCGGCACCGGCGTAATACATAGAGTGCGCTCAGGCACCACGGTCACTTCTTGTAATTCTCTCAGATCCGGGTTTATTGGTTGGTCCGTGGATATCATTCTACTATCGCATGTGTTATTTCTAATGATTTTCTCCTCGCTCGCCTCGGCAAAAGCGCCGGAATCATGAAGATTGTCCCCCCCAGAGTACGGTGGGACTTTTGCACCGGCTCTTGCGAGCAGGTGGCGGGATTTGACCCGCCTGGGGTAGTTTTACAAGTATTTGTCTTCATTTTCGCTTTAATTTTTATCCAGGTAAGACAGCTCACCCTGGGACGCCCTCGGGACCGAACTCCCCCGGCCACTCACCCCATCGCCGGGCGCCAGAAACTTGAGGTTAGGGGCTCGCCGTCAATTCGACGAGCCTCGCCAGCCTTAAAGGCCAGCCATACCACGCGCATGAAGCGCCGCTGGGGCTAGATAGAATGGCCCCCCTCTATATCCGATTCGCTTCACCAAGGTGCTGGCTTGCACCCCAGTTACTAAGCCCTCCCCGGCCACGTCAAGGCTCGGACCCCGCAGGATGGACATCTGCGGTGGGGAGGGAAGCAAACTTAGCACCTATATTAACAAAACATTTTAGATAAAAACTTAACTTAGAAAATACCCAAGGTAAAGAATGATGACACAAAACATATGACTTTAGTTTCAAAGCTTACTTCGTCTATAAGGAACACTAGCGAATACAATCATTTAAAAATAAACTTAATGCATTTAAAGTTCTCATTTGTCTCTTTTCATTACAGAGTTAACATAATTGGACAGAAAGGGACAATTTAAAGAAGGGGGCCTGAGACTTAGGAAAGTAAATCAAAAGTGTTATTGAAAACTTACACCTTAATATATTTTCCATTTTTACATAAGTATTTCGGCGGTGGATGGGTATGATCTGTCATAATTTTTTCCAATTTATTATTGAATAAGTGCAAACGTGCTGGACACTTTTGGGTCTGGGTAGAAGAGCAATACCAATGGGGACCATAATTTCTTTGCGAATAAGTATAGCCGTGGAGCATTAATAGATGTTTTTTACTCCTTGAAGATGGAATCATGATAATCTCATCGTTTTCTGGGAAAAGCAAAACATAATTTTAGATCACTTCTATTCATTCAATCCAAACTTTCATGCCATTTCTAAAAACGTTAGTATGTTCAGAACAGTTATTTAAAAAGGAAAATAATTATCTACTATATAGTTCGTGAAACAAAACAAACCATTATGTATGTATTTCTGAATTGCAATTCTGATAAACGATTAATGTAATTATTGATACATGCCTATAAGAAAGGAAGAAACATATTTATTCGAAATAAATGAAGAAACATAAAAAAAGAATACAATCACTTTAACCAGATACAGAAATTTGAACTCACTTGGAAACCTCTCAAGCAAATAACGTTTGTATACAAAATTATAAGCAAACAATATGCTAACGTATTAACAATTGTATTTAAAATTTCATGATAACACATAAGTTAGCATTAGTATTTCATGAATAACAAAGTTAAGGCGGCAAACAAATGAAACAGCGGTTCTCGCGAGGGAATGCGCCCCGTCTCGCCCATGAATACCGTAAAAAAAATATTACCGATCTAGCCGGGGCGTATCTCGCGAGACGCGTAACACACCATTCGTGAACTAGTTTATAGTAATTAATATATTGTAACTTTTTTTTTAAATTTGAGAGATTATTAGCAGAGTATTATTAATTTTTAAAAAAATTAAGGAAACGCACAACTCCTCTGAATCACGCACTGGATGGATGAGGTTAGAACAGATAGGGTGAAGAATGGGGGAATAGAGGGAATGTTAAGGGAAGGTCTACGCCATAGTAGCGACTACTGCATATAATTTTGTATAGTGTAATTCATTAGAAATAAAGGATTTTATAGCTTTATATAAACGCCATTTTTGCAAAAATACTTCGGCGGTGGATGCGTATGGTCTGTCATAACTTTGACCACTTCAACCCCGGTATAACGCACCCGTGCTTTACACCCCTGAAATTTGGCTGAGCAGTACCAGTAAACATCTCTATATTGGGAGTACGTGTATCCATCGATCATCATTAGGAATTTTCCACCAGGTGTGGGTATCTTTATAATCTCATCTGAAACCATTTAAAACACATAAAACTTTGTCAATAAACAAGTCTTCGACGACACTGCTTCTTTGCTAGAAGTTTGTATTTATTATATAGTTTGTATATAAGTTCAGGAAATTAAAAAGTACCATTCATTATATCAAGAATATAACTATTAGTTTTTTTACTTACTAACATTTTTGTGTATAACGTGCGTGATGCTGCTATGACGTTCTTAAAGCACTCTTTTCTCTCTTTCTGTCAAATTGTTTATACCATGCCATGAAAAGAGATAGATAATTTAATAAATATAGGGGTTAATGTGATAAACATCAGACAAAACCAATTAAACGATTTATTATACACTAGTCAAATGTTATGTAAGTAATGTACAACTATTTGACAAAACAAATTTGAATAATCTAAAATTATAATAATTATAAAACTTAAATGACCTAAAATAATCATAAACATGTCCATCCCTATATTATTTAGACCTTTAGGTTTTTAGTTTTAGTTTTTTTTATATCTCAGATATTCTATATATATATATATATTATATCTTTAATATTTTATGTATAGCCCATTTCGGTAACAGTATCTGGGCGGAGGATGGGTATGGTATGCTTGACACTTCACCACTCTATCACCAAAATAATGAACACGAGCCTTACAGCCTTTCCTCTTAGCGGACGAACAAATCCAGTAAATGTTTCTATGTTGAGAGTATGTGTAACCATCAATCATCAACAGAAAATTACCATTTGGGGTCGGTATCTTTACAATTTCACTGACTGAAAAGGAAAAAATATTAGTAACATTGCATCACTGATGTTAAGTGTTGCCGCCGCCCATGGACACTCGCAGCTGTCGAAGGCTCGCAAGCGCGTTGCCGGCCTTTCAAGAAATGGTGCGCTCTTTTCTTGAAGGACCTTACTTGTTATGTTGCTTAACATTCGGTAATCTAGCAACTGGGTAGTCCATTTATTAGCGATGGTAGCAAATACCTCATCGTTCTCTCGCCATAGACGTTGTTTGGTCTCGATGTACAGAGCCAAACATGCGTTACGGCTCAGGTCTGTACGTCATAGTCAACTCGTTATTTTATCTCGTCTCTTAAATAAACATGTAAAACAAAAAATTTCAAAAAATCTTATTATATTCTAATATATGTTCCATTTCTACAATAATAGTTTGGCGGTAAATGAGTATGTATCGTCATAATTTTGAGCAGCGTATTGTCCGAGGTGAGCTTCACCTTTGCTTTACAGCCCTGCAACCTGGACGAGCAATACCAATTACCTTTAATCGCAGAGTATGTGTATCCTTCAACCATCAATAGATATTTACCACCAGGAGTCGGAATCTTTATAAACTCGTTATCGTCCGGCCTCATTATCTTGGTATCTGGAATGTATAATTAATCATTACATAAATCATTAAAAAAAAGGGTGCGTGTACTTATGTACGCGCGTAAGAAGTTATACTTCTTTGGCATTATTAAAAATAGTTTTTGATTGCATGCAAATAATTAATTACAAATATATAATCAAAGACTGGAGAAGGAGTCATTATAGTCAATAAAGTTCAGTTTACATTTGAAAAATTAAATAAATAAATATTTATTATTATTCTCTTACATTAAATGTAACATAAATTCTATTATTATTCGAATGTTGTTTTTAAATTATGTCCAATGCCCTAGCATCTTCCGTGGGCAACTTCATTCTGTTAATTTTGTGTCACAGTGCGCGCGCATCGTAAAGTTCCACTCTCATCAATTTTTCATAACGCGCCTTAAGAAGTATAACTTCAAATTCAATTTTTATTTTATTTAAATATTAATTAATCTTATACATCTTTTAGATTAGGTTTTTGCACATATGAATCAATTTTGTACAGACGGTAGGGGCATTGTTAAAAATTATGTCATTGCAACTCTAAAATAAAGAAAACCCTTTTCAGTATAATTAGTTCACTAAATTTACAGTAAGACATTAGGCATATTATTTTTTTTATAAATGTTTTCTTATCTATGTAACAATTTAACGACAGATTTCTAATAATTTCTTTTTTGTATATTCTGTATTTGTATTTCATGGTTGAATAAATACGTTGCACTGTGTATGCAAAATTTATCATACATTAATATGTACACAATATACATTAATGAAAAGGTTTAGGTTAGGCCTTCGATGTTATACAATAAAGAAGATTTACAACTTAATATATACTCCATTTTTGATGAAGTACTTGGGGGGTGAATGTGTATGTTCTGTTGACATTTTGATCACTGTGTCCCCGCAGTAACGTAATCGTGCCTTACAGCCTTGTAACCTAGCTGAACAATACCAATTGACACCGTTATTTTGAGAGTATGTGTACCCATTAAGCATCAACAGGAATTTACCACCTTTTGTTGGTATTTTTATAATCTCATCATCTGTAATAAAATATTATTTATTATTCACAAAACCCGGAATACATTATAATAAAAATATCTAAAATACGTGGCGGCGCGAACTCTGCTTTTTTCATGATTTCAGTTCCTACAAGAATGAAACCAACCAAATGTATTTATTCATATTGGTAACTTATACTTATAACCCTCAATATTTAAAAGGAGAAGGTAAGCTTAACCTTAATCAGATCGGTCCATAGATGGAGATTTCTTGAACGGATACAATAACTCCAGGTCGTAAACCTCCGTCATCACTTACTTAGGTAAGTGATAAATCTACATCCAAAAACCACACATAAATCAAAATCAAAACCTTCATAGCTAACATTACACTTACACACAATTCTTATTAATTAAATGAAAGATTCATTTACAGTTTTCTTAACCTACATAGTAATAATAAAAACAATTAATAAAAAAAATTAAACAAATTTAAAACATTAGTAATTAGTAGTAATTTAGGCATTGTGTAAACGAGAAAAATTAAGGTTATTTAATTTTGCATTTGTGCATATTATAAAACGCGGATGTGTTACTATTCTTTTATACGTAATTAATATCGTAACCATAGTAACAAATACTGCTTTTTAACTTACGTTTCTGAGGGAGTTGTTTGCTAAAGGTGCGCTTACACGAGGGCAATAATTGCTCGGCGACACGAATGGACCGATCTGGAGCAATGAATGGAGCAATTTCAATAAATTGCAATACATTATTTCGGCGATATTGCTTCTAATTATTCGAATATCCAATGGACTTGGAAATTCCTAGCAATTTTTGTATATGTCTCATTCGCACTTGTTTGTTTTGCGGCTTGCCGTCTTGCTTCCGCGGGGAGAGCGAGAGGTCTAAATAATAATAATTTCTAATTACTTTATTCAAAAGTAATTCAAAGTCTGTTCGTGACATATCATCTTTACATAATGAAAATTTTGTCCTCTTTGCCGAAAACGATCGCACCCAGATACGCCTATTCCTTTTCTTTCTTTTTTGTTTTTTGATTAATGATAAAAAAGCGGTACAAGCCGCCGCAAAAAGAACAATGTCGTCCATAGCGAGCGAAAACTGAAATGCTCGTGTATGACAGTATTGCCTAGTTGATGAAGTTGCGCCATATCGCTCAATATTGTATTGCGCAGTATTGATGCTTGTTGCCGTTGCCGTAAATTGCTTGATGTAGTCGTGACGTCATAATTGACGAGTATTGACTGGAATTGAGCAATTTTAGTTGCCCGTGTAAGCGCACCTTTAGATTTATCAATTAAATTATTTTAGGAATAATATGGTATCCATGTTAACAAATACTACTTTTTAACCTACGTTTTTGACACTCTACGAGTGGTTAGGTAAAACTTGTTAATTAGGTTATTTTAAGTCTTAAGATGCAACAACAAAATAATTGTTTTAGAATTACACTTTTGTATACACCCCATTGAAGTAAATGTATTCTGGGCGTGCATGCGTATGCGATGTATCAACTTTAATAAGCGTGTTCTCGAAATAATGCACTCGTGCCCGACATCCCAGCTGTTGTCTGGAAGAACAATACCAGTGTTTCCCTTTTACTTGGGAGTATGTGTATCCATGAAGCATTAACAGAAATTTACCACCGTGCGTCGGTACTTTTATAATTTCATCCATACCTAAAATAATATAGTGTTTTAATTATTAGAATGTATTTATGAAGACCATCAAAGTCCATTTTATTAGTTTTGACTTCGTTATAATCTAATAAATATAAATATATTCTAATCCAATACGAATTTTATGCAAAAGCATAGTATATTATGTTTTGATCTCTAGTAAATTCACTGTTTCCCCCTGAGCCGTATGTGCGCTTTTCCTTCTCGCGTGCGCAGTTCACATCGTAAGTCAGGCACGAACGATCAACCTTGACTAAAAATTATTAGTATATTATTATTAGTATTAAAGTTATATACACGTAGTGTAGTATTATATATTCCATTTGGCAGTTGGACAAGCGCTTCAACGCTTGTACGAGTTGCGCGTGTGCCCAGAGGCGTTCGAAAGACGAGCTGATACGCGCATAAAAACGCTAGTCTGAAACCGCCCCTAGTCATTTTGTCACAATCATGGGACGAACTACAAACAATGGTTAACGCTTATGATGGCAGCAAACGTTGGCGTGCAATTGAAACTCTCAAAAACTTTAGTAATGTCGAATGGGGAAAAGTGGTGCTTTTAGTGGACACTGAAATACAACCGTATACTAAAACCTGGAACAACCAAGGTCATGTAGTATATGTCTTCTACCTTGCGTCACATACTCTTGTCAGACTTGGAAATACTCAGACAAGTTAGTGAACAAAGTAGCAGATTGTCAGAGGGTCCTTAAGTAGTAGTAATCTTCTATGTGTTGAACAAAAAAATACGTACGCAAAGATACGAGACTCGATAACAGCCGACGGGAAACGTGACACGGCTACAGGAAGACGACCTTAACAAAACTGCTGACCCATACTGATAAATGGGGTTTACCAATGAATGGGGTTCTTCTAAAAAGTTTACTTATATTTAAAGATATCTATCTGTAGCTAGGTAACGAAATGTTTTACTTGTTTTTTCGTTAATCAAATCGATCATTATTATTCATTTTAGTAGGAAATTGTATGCGTTATTATTTTATTAATTTAAAAATACTAAAGTACATTAATAATACATTAAAAACACACAATATATAACCATAAATATGAAACGAAACTGTTCACTATGTTACACTTTAAAATACATTCCACGTCTGTGATAGTACTTTGGCGGAGGATGTGTATGATCTGTATTAACTTTAAGTACCGTGTCTTCAAAATAACGAATCCGAGCTCTACACTTTTGAGTCTTGAATGACGAACAAAGCCAGTGAATCCCATTATTTTGGTTGTATGTATATCCATCAACCATCAATAGAAATTTACCACTAGGCGTCGGTATCTTGATAATCTCAAGATTGGCTAAAACAATTGATATTAGTTAATACACGTTTTGAGCGGAACTCATAGTAAATAACTTTATTTATATACTACATTGTTATCCTATATATTTGTTTTAGAATAGGGCAGTCATCGCAGCCCATGGTTGGCTGAGATGTCTTTTGAGGGAGGAGTATACTCTTTCTTTAAACAATTGGAGATCTTACATAGATCCCATGTAAGACCCACACTAGAAGTCTTTCTACAATTCGCAAGTTCGCAAAAGAAAGTCAGCAAAACTCAAAAATCAAAAAGACTTCCAGCAATCAAGGTGATGCTGATGAAATTTACACGGCTTGTATGGGAATGAAACGCAGGAGAGAGCCAAACAACTCTTCAGAATTTAGAAAACATATTTGAAAATCGCAAAATGTATAATTGAATGACATATAGCATGTTTTCTCTGAAGAAAGCAACTCTGCGTTCTTCGTGTACCCATAGCGTAGGTAGCAAAGTGACTGAGCACCTCGCTCTTTCACTTTACCTTAGAACGAATTTCATTAATATTTTAACCTGTACCTGTATCCAAAATATTAAACGAAAATTATTTTACATGTCTTATATTTTCCTATAATAATAATAAGCCTTTATTTATCCACATCTAATTTACATACATAATACACAAAGAAATATATATACAATTTTATTACTTTAAGATGCGGCCTCATTCCAGGAAGGAGACTGTCCTCCAACTTTTTCCATCCTATTTTATTTTTTACCGTCATCCAATTTTTCAATCTCGTCGGCTTTTTGCTATTTTAGTCTGCCTGTTTCTTTGTCCTTTTGTGCCAGTTCGGTTACCTTTTTAACCATCTGCAAAACGAGCTACATGCCCTGCCCATCTCCATTGTTCCAAGTTGCATGAGGCTCAATTATTTTTGTTTTTCTGTGGTTGCTTTCACTTTTCTGTTTGTCACTTAGTTAATTCCATGAATTTGTACTTCTGTCAATCTCGCGCTGGCACGAACGTATTTTGGCTTTCGTTTTGTTTCGGAATATACAAGTTTATATTTGCATTTTTTCCTTATATCTTTATATAAACTCCATTTTTACAAAAGTAGTTTGGCGGAGGATGAGTATGCTCAGTAATTATTTTAACCACGTTATTTTCTGAAATGCACTTCACTCGAGCCTTACAACCTTGAGACTTGGACGAACAGTACCAGTAAACACTATTCATATGCGAGTATGTGTATCCGTTAATCATCAGTAGGAACTTGCCACCACGAGTAGGTATTGTTACAATTTTGTCGCCATCTAAAATATTCAATGTTAGATTTACTTCACTTATTTCATTTAGTTAGTTGCTGCAATTGACAGCTAGCACTGGTGGGAAATGGTATAAGGACAGGGAGCGGTGGAGGTATCTCGTAGACATTACGAGACAGTAAGAAAAGTAAAGAAGTTAATGCAGTGAGCTGTTTATATTATTTACAAAGGTATCAATTAAACGCACAGCGAAAGCGACGTCGGGAGGTACGAGCAGCCAAGCCATTTTGGGTAGAATCAGTGTGTTTGTGACTTTTAATGGTTTGACCTTCGTCAGAAACATTATTAAAAATAAATTATATTAAAAATTCAATAGTCATTCTATTTAAGACACATTTTGGGTCGCAGAGCTAGCTGTGGTATGATTTCTATTAGCTCGATCTACGTCAGGAAATTTACTTAAGATAAAAAAATAATTAATGATTCCAAAATGATTTTATTAAGTTATTCTTGACGTAATTACAATTTGGGTATTTTTTTTAATTATTTTGTCTGAATTTATAACTATTAGAAAGATACAATCACTTTTGTCTTTGTTACACAATAATCGTTTAACAATTCCCGATTTCTATGATTTTTTTACCGGAAAATCCTAGATTTGGAAACAATTATTTAGAATTACTTCGGTATTTTAAATATATTATTTTTACAATGTTTGCGAACCCCTTTTTCAGCAATGGGGATATACAGCGACATCATTGGATCGGAGATATACTTAGGAATGGGCTTCTTCTCAGGGGGATGAGTGTGACGAGATACCACGTGAATTATCTGTCCCTGAGAACTCTGATGAAATCGGGCCTTACATTTCGTCCGAGCCTTTGTGGAGCAAACCCAATGTCCAGAGTAATTTATTTGATAATAAGTGTAACCATTTACCATTATCAGGTACTTTTTTCGGGTTGGTATCATTAAAATTTCATCATCTCCGGTTATGTACTCTGAAAAAAAATCCATAAGACACCGTTAGGTATATCTTGATTTAAAGAAATTGATACGAAGCCAAGTGAGTCAGAATTATGGCAGGGGTCAAAGCTACTGTTGGGTTAGTAGAAAACAAGTTTTTAACCTAACCTTATAATAATTGTGATTAATTCATACATTAACTTTTATTTGATAAAAACAGTGTAGTATAGTAGAAAGTAGCGCTAAAGATTTCGATTCGGTGGATGAACTATGGATTGGGCCGATCATTACAATACATTTTGATTACCAAAGACTATTTTATTTTTCAAAAAAAGCGATTAAAATACTAATTTGTGGTTCCGGTTGCATTCGCCGAGTCACGAGGTTTAAGCATTAGACACGAATTAATTGTTAATGTTAGTTATTAAAACAGAAAGTAATAGTAAAGTTTTATTAAAAATATCCTACATTACCTTTCTGATGTATTATAAAACTTAAACTTCAACATCTTTAAGAACATTCATGTTATAATAACTATACCAAAGCGACGAGATATATAAAGCATGTTAACTAAGATAAAATATTTGAAGATGGCAAACAAATTAACATTGTAGCAGATTCGTGATAAATAGGATGAACTATAAAATATACTTAACAGAAGTTTCAACTAATCAATAGGTAACTTAATACCTAAAAATATAAAGATGTAATTCAGGCGAAAGGCCGAGAAATACAACGACAATTTTCTTACAAAAGAAAAGCTCAAAACAACAATTTTTAATTTGATCTCAACATTGAATTTATTAATGTCCATACGATGTTATTTGTGATTCAATTCAATTTCTAAAATTCTTTATTTCGTTACACAAACATTTATAGAGGTACACGTCCAGTGTACATTATTTGTACATTAGGGTGCGTCCACATCTGGCCAATGCGCCGCGAATGTGCAGCTCGCGAGCCGTTTGCGCGCGCGTGCAGTCACGGCAATGGTTATGTGCGCCTCTTTAGCTCATGCAAGGCTCGTATAAGGCGTGCACGCGGCGCGCGAACTGCGCGCACTCAATTCTCGCGCTTACAGTTCCATTTACTGGCGTGGACGGAAGGAAGACGCGAACCGCTAGCGCGCCACCCGCGCGTTTGATTCGAACGGCGCTTAGGTTGCGGGCGAACTGCGCGCGGGCGGCACCGGAGCGGTGCACGAACAAAAATGCACGCGCGCACCTCGCAAACTGCTCGCGAGGTACACATTCGCGGCATATTCGCCACATGTGGACGCACCCTAATGTTCACTGGATGTACCACTATAAATTTTTGTGATTGAATATTTCAAATAACTGTCAAACCAATCAATAGTAAAATATTAACAGACCTTCATATTGGAATTAAATTCAATTTACAAATAAAATATTTTTTGAAACAGAAGATAAGAAAGTAAGGAGAAGGACGAAAACTACCGCGCGTTCTATTTTAATGTGATTTTGTGCCGATGATTCGCGACATAATATTTTTTTTATATAAAACAGGGGTCAAATGAGGCTATGGACATCGCATATGTCATGATATGTCTGTTTGTCCAATAACAATCAAATGCACGGTTTTGTATATTGCCTGTCTCTTTCTATACAATAAACAAAACCGTCCAAGTACAGCTGTGATATCATTCGCATAAGCCAGACATTAGCATTTAATACTTTGTCAAACCCACGATACAGCTAATTTGAACTGTAACCAAACTAGACTTTTATAAATCGATTTAAGTGAAATACATTATTTTGTATTAATCAACACATGCTGTAGACACCGGTACTTAATAAATTGGAACAGCCTGCTGCATTATAAATATAATATTGACGTTTACATCAATTAGTCACCTTTATAAATGATATTTTGAATTATTGCTTAAACCAAAATGCTATCTGTCACAATCCCACATCGCTTCGCTTGTAAAATTCATCTATCATAACTAAAATGTTACGAGTCTTCTTTAGCGGGACAAGTGTGTAAAAATATATCTTTCATGAGTCTCGAGTCGCTGTCTACAACACAATAAGCATTGCAAACGCCTCTATGGATGCATCTCCACGTAACGTAACCATATTTGTTCCGTCTCTTCATATGGTATCGGTAGCCATCTCGTACCAGCTGCCGTCCACCTCGCTTGCTCTGAACATACTCTACCTTCGGTCGAGTCATATAATCAGAAAGTTGCGGCTCACATGTTAACATTTCGTACCCTGCAGAAAAATATAATTTAGTTCTGGTGAAGAAATCGTTGACAAATATTTATCGATACACTTTATGATTAAAATGTACATTTAAATAATAATTCAAACATAAATAGGATGCTTTATTAATTTAATCAATACTTGATTGACTTAGCATACCTACTTAAAGCAAAACAAAACGTAAGTTAAAAATATATTTCTTCATTCAAACTTAAACCCATTTTTTTTGAACTACATACTTTACACGGTTTTAATTTACTCAAACCCCTCTCTGTTGCTCTAAAAAATAAACTATACATCTAATATATAAAATTCTCGTGTCACAATATTCCCATACTCCTCCGATACGGCTCGACCGATTCTAATGAATTTTTTAATGCATATTCAGTAAGTCTGAGAATCGGCTACTATCTATTTTTCAAACCCCAAAGAGATAAGGGATGTCCACCTCAATTTTTATTTTTAACTTATTGTTTTTTTTATTTTTTTACATACAAAATAATTTTCCCTAATTTTCACCCATCTACGATCAACCCCTATTTTTATTATTGTAGAAAATTATAGTTATTGAACTAAAAAAATGTTTCCTAGAAATAATATACATGGCAAACCAACGTTTACCGGGTCAGCTAGTATTCTATAAAAAATACAATTTCTTACACACTGATTGCTAGTCAATTAAAATAAAGGAACCCCGTGACTAGCCAATTTCAGCTATGTGCATTAAACTATCTTAATATATAAAAATTACGTGTCACGTTGTTTGTCCGCTATGGACTCCTAAACTACCGAACCGATATCAATCAAATTTGCACACCGTGTGCAGTTTGATCTAACTTAAAAGATAGGATAGCTTACATCTCAATTTATACCCGCAATATTATTTTATTGCAGAATATTTGTTTATTATTTGATAGTCACAATTCTAACAGATGGCGCTGTGTTGAAAGTACCAACGTTTCACATAAGCTACAATTTAATGGCATAACCACTAACTAATAAAGCATGGTGGTCCCCATGACTGGTGTTCTCCTACCGTTTCCCTTGAATAGGTTACTACTATGTAATATAACAAAAACCTTAGCCACAGCAACGCTTGGCCGGTCTGCTAGTATAAAATATATTTTAATAAGATTTAAATGTGTCCTTAAAATTAAGTCTAATTAAGTATGGTTTCATCAAAAGCACTATTTATTGTCATTTGCCAATCACCCACTTTTAGTTTGCAACATAATACCAATACAAAGTAGATTAAATTTACTTTGGTTAAAAAAAATTATAGTATGTAAAACTAATTGTATATTTGCGTCCAAACTTAGTACCATACCTTATCAACCCACAAAGCATATCTTACAGGTATATGGCATTACCTACAACTAATAATTAAATATGTATTTCGGTTCTTTACAAGACATCGGAGGCTTCGGAGATGGCCTTTAAACATCTTATTCCAAATTTAAAAATTTCTGCAGAAATTCTTCTACTCGCAAAGTGTTTGATCAAAAAAGGCATAAAGTTAGTGAGGTATATAAAAACGTTTAAAACCTTAATCATTTGAACAGTTGTGTAGGGCCATTACCAAATCATGAAAAGAAAATTTTCTGGACGGTGAACCATTCAATGCTATTGAAAAATCTGAAAATAGATATTAACTCTTTATAATTCATTATTGTATCAACGCTGGACAGCACAGTTAAACATAATATATACCCCCCTTCTGGGCCAAATAGACCCTGCCTGAATACATACTGCCCTGTATTAGCAGAGCGAACCCTCACGCCACCTGAAGGGGATATCTCATATGCCCCGAACGGGTCTAAACACCCCCCTCGCGAGGGATGAAGCAGATGCCACGTACTCTTTTCACTACCTATCGCCACCCATAGATGGCGGTTTGCTACAATAGTAATATAAAATTCAAACACAACTAATAAACATTTTATTTCCCAATCAACAGTGCTACAAACGTTTAATATTATTACTATTTAGATACAATAAAATAATTAAAACCTGTAGGAATTTGATACAACCACTACTTATGTATAATCATTGAGTTATATTTATATACATATATTACAAAATCTTTATATACCTACATACCATCTATATTTACATAATTATAAAATTAAGAAAATAGAAAAGTTCTGCATTAGCTGACTTCACCCAAGTAAAAATATTTTTTTATTAATAAATATTTATTATATTTTATGTTATAAGGAATGCAATAGTATAACAATATTTTAATATTACGTGTATACGAGTATATATTCGTACTAAAGAATTTAAAAAATAACTAATGCTTAATCAATAAATTTTACTTTAGAAATAATATAAAATACATAGAGTATATCACATCTATAAGTATTTTAAATGGTTGAAATGTATGTACTATCCTGGTACTTAAGCCACTGTTTACTACATATTATAAGCGGCTTCCGATATTCTTAGATCTTTTACCGGTATGGTAAACAGCAGAATGATTCAAAAGTTATAAAACAATTTCCCTCCCTGTACGTTTAAAGTTTGACATTACGTATTAATGCATCAATATACTGATGAGGAAGGAAGATAGATATCTCTAGTACTCTTCCTTCTACGAAGTCGCGCAATATATAATATATATAATGGCACAATATGGCTAAATGCTAGCTATGGTTATGGTATCCGAATGTTCTAATAATAGTATTCTCTATTGTCGTTATAGTAGCAACACAGCCTCTTCTTCTCTTCTTCCCGCAAACCCATCTGACCCTCTGATTGTTCATCCTCTCTCTGATAAAGTTGTACCCATTGTATATAAGCATGGGATTACCACGACGAGATATTGTAACTTGCAATTCTAAAAAGTATAATTTCTTAAGTATTTTCAACAGCCTTAACTATCCCGTAAGTTATATATACAAAGGTTTTTATAAAACAAGCAAACAGGCTGGAGGCTCACCTGATGGTAGGTGACACAGCCTCCCATGAACAGAAGGGTCTCAAGGGCGTTGCCGGCCTTTGGAAATCGGTATTCGCAGCAGAGAAATCAAATCGCAATTATATTTTACCCGATTGAAAAAACATAGTGTAAACAAAAATGTATAAGTATACGCAAAGTTCCGCCATCCATGAACCGATTACGATATGATTGAGGTCAAACGATTTGAACGAAACCCTTAGATGAGAGTAATGAAGGATCCCCATACATATTATTCATAAAAATAAACTTAATTATTTCATGCTTTTTAGTGCATTTTGGAGTCGGTAACATTAAATAACATTTAACTTTAGATCTAAGGTGAATTTATTTAAATATTTACTTAATTTAAATTTCTAATAACGATCACTGTGCGGTTGTCAAAATTAATGAAATCAAATAAATCATAAAAGTTAACTTTATTAGTTTTAAACATCCTAAAATTACTAATAAACGTACTATAAACTTAAAATATCCACTGAATGTTTTTTCCTTATCACTTAGAAAAAAATAAATGTAGCAAAACGATTCTATAACTAATCTAGGTTTATTGTACGTCTATGATTTAGATGTTCAAATGTGTATAAAATATATAAGGAATTCCACTCCATTTCAAACACATTTTATTACTAGTCATATAATTAAAGGTATATATGAGATCTCCAAAAAATGAGAACACGTATGATTCAATGCAATCAAAAAACAAACACTCAATGCCCGAAACGACCTGACAAGTTCGATTTTATAAAATTTTTGGTCAAATCACTATTTAAATTGAAACAATAACTTATTTAAGAAACTAAGATAAAATATGCTAAACTTCCAGTAAGGTGAAGTGGTAGCCGCTGCTTAAACTTAATGCCTTTTGGATATTATGATAGCTACTAAATCTCGAAACTTGAACGAATTTATAATTTAAAAAGTCAAATTCAGACGTAAACGCTATAATTACGGTGTTTTTAGCGAGAATCCTTACAGGTTTTAACTCCATAACAGTTGAAGTCAAGAAAGACTGTATTGCAGGATCCGACATTGGTTTTTCAATGTGTATAACACACATACAGTCAAAATCTGTTATAACGACATCGAAGGGACTACTCATATTTAGTCGTAACAGCCGATGACGTTGTTATTAAATACCTAATATAATAGAATTCAGCCGGGACCTTTGATTTTGGTCAATATAACCGGTATGTTGTTCTTAACGATGTCTTCGTAAACGGTTTTGACTGTATATAAAAAAGCATATAATAAATAGTGATATATAAAAAACCAGGCACTACAGGGCTGGTCTTCGTTTCAGATTTCTTTATCTGTTTCGTATTCGTTCATGATTACTTAATAGACACGTAGGTTATTAGCCACACGCCGTCTTCTTGTGGCAGTTGTCCCACCGCAACGAGAAGGGAGTAGGCGAGCAACGGAATGCAAGTGTGTTCCGATAGTTTTGTCGCCGGGCTATAAGCGAGAGTCTTAACTAGATAGCAATATTCATAATATATAAAAATATGTGTACTTTCAGATCCGCACTGTAGAGAAATGACTGCTGACGCTGGTTGGTCTCTCGGCGTGAGTTCTGATCGCTGAGCAAGTATCGCTAAGCGAGAATTATCTTTCATAGCTCTTGTCGAGAAACTAGTGGAGCGAGTCCTCGCCGGCAGTATGAATAATCAGCGATCAGCATTTATATATGCATCTCTTTTGTTTACAGGGAATGTATATCTATTGTACGTTTCTTGAGAGAGAAAATAGCCGATAGTTAATCGTTTCCTCCTCGCCGTTAGTGGGACAACTGCCTAAGGCATGCCGGTACATCGTAAGAGCGAATGTTAAAAAGGCCAACACTGCTTTGCTTGCGTTAAGAGTGACAAAAATGATAAAACAAATTAAGCACATAGAGTATGTACTCTATTAGAAATGGTTATGAAACCCAACAGATTTAACAATAATATTATCCATGGTCGTAACCAGAGAGGCTTTGCAGTGATTCTTCCGCTTTTCTCCGCAGACCCATCTGATTGTATATTTATACACTTTCTGACGAAGAAACCGACAGCCATCGTGAATTATTATCGGCTTTAAGCGAGCTGATAACGACATCTGTGCAACTAAAATTCAGAATTTATTATAATTATAATTACTTCTTGTTCTTTTAATATTCATGATCTTGTCATAATAATAATTATATGCCAATTAGATCGTCAACTGTTACGTATCGTAGATATTTAATTGAATGGAGTTCATTATATACCAAGGGCCAGTCACTTTATGTATTATACAATAAAAAGGAATTTAGGGACTGAAAAGTATAACTAGGGAATCCCAACTGTAAGAAAACAATCATAGACGTAAAGTTTATTATTTATACAAAACAGGCACATGTTTAGCAGGTACAATGCTAAATGAACGCAACAGAATAAACAATATTGGTTTTCAAAAACATTCAATATTTCTTAGAGAATTCAATATGTATCGTTTCTGTTTATTTATAATATTTACGTGTAATGCATTTTATTGGCCTGGTGTGTTTCAACTGAGATTGTCGTCTTTATAAAACTCCTGAATTATAGTATTTTTTTATACCTTCCATCATATACAATCATCTTCTAATCATTGCGTCGTCCTTGTTTCTTTTGTGTTATGAAGTTGATATCAAGTCGTCACGGTTTATATTTGTCAGTAGTTAAGTTTTTTAGTATCAAAATGTTTAATAATTTTCTATTATTTCGCTTTCTTTCTTTTTTTGGAAGCGTTTTTAAGCGTTTACTCCTACCTTTTTTAGTATCTGAAATATTTCTGGTTGGGCGTTAAGTTGCTATCACAATTCGGTGATTTGTGTCAATAATGTATTTCTAGACTTACGCTGGCGAACACTTCGTTTCTTGGCTTCTATTCGACTGAAAATTTGCCAATTACGGTTGTATCGGGTTCTGGAGACTCATTTTCTCTTAGAATTTCGTCATCTCAATGGTGTGTTTTGCGAAATGCAGTTATTGCCGGTTTTGATTTGGTCAGATGAGTACATACATTCTTAACTTTTTTCGAAACATTGTTTGCTCTTTGTTACAAAGTCAGCTCAATGTCATATCTTTAATTCATTTACACTGTCCACTTTTTTCAGATAGTCTCCTTCTTTCTCCTTGAATTGATCTGGAGCTGATAAAACCACTTTTAATCTTTAATAAACGAGTCTTTGCAGCAGCTGAAGGCTATTTCTTCTTTAGACAATATCGGCTTCCCTTTAACCGGCGGAAAGTCTAAAAAAACAAAATCAATAATTAATTCTATAACACACTTATATAAAAACAAAGTATGTTACTTCAACAGCTGTAAGTTTAAACGGTATTGACGATTTAAACAAACATTAATATTATTATTTTTTATAAAATTACTTACCCAGGAGTCACTGTGACTGGAGAGACGTTCACTCACTAGACAGGCAGCATAAACAATAGAAAACCAAATGTTTTGCATTAGTTTTTAAGACAATTTAATGGTACAAATAGAAGAAAAACTTGTCATTCATCATGTGGGTAACTCATTTAGGACGAAAATATAAATTTCGTTAGCGGCTAGGGCCTGAATTTGTGAAGAACTTACTTAATTAAAATTAAAAATTATACAATACTTTGATAACAGATAAAAAATCTGTTAATTAGTTTCATTAGCGTAGAGAAATAAATAAATTGATGGTTAAAAATAGAATGAGAAAAGAGATCATTTAAATTTTTGCTTGTAGTTGCGTGTCTAAGACTAGGGACTTTCTTTTGAATCGTATGTCTATATAAAAAAAAATGTGCTCTAAATTTCTATATATATGTATAATGATTTTTAAGTTTTTAAAAATCCAATACATTTTAGACTTCGAATTAAGTCTCTTCGTATATTTCTCAATCCCAAAATGTATTTAATCACATATACATATATGTCAATTATGACTTGTGTTTCATAGCTCTTTTCTCCTGCAAAAACAACCGAGAAAACTGCCTGAAATTCAAACCAAATTTCTAACCAGACCCATCGAATATAACGGTAAAATTTAAGCTTGAAACACTGCCACCTAGTACCGTATAGATGCCATTTCCAACACAGATGTGCTGCCATCACATCGCAGTACGCCGATTTTGCGTCACGAGTACGATGGCGCTGTAACCAGTGCCTTTTAATTATTATTTAACTGTCCAAGCTAGTGGTCCTACATTCTACGGTACGTGATATAGATAAGGCACTTACGAAAGAAACTTTTTAATGACTTTGGTCAAAAGCCATCACGAACTTTCATAACATAAGCTAATATTACAAATTCTTAATTAGTACATACTTAGTTATAATAATTTAATTTTTTCTCAGTCATACTTTTGTCATAAAATTTGCACTATACTTATACTGTACTCGGCGTGTCTCAATCTTACAGAGTTTCAAGTCATCTAGAATGTATGTAGAACAAAAAATAACGGATTTCTTGATGTGAATGCGCTTTAGCACTAATAACTCGTCGGCATTCTCACGGAACGATACACACGTTATTTGAATATGTACTGTCACAATATTAAATTGGTATCATTATATAGATGTATCACGCTACTTATGCTATTTTGAATAGAGAATATCAGAAAAATAGACATTTTTAACGTAAGTGTAAGTTTAACGGATTCCAAATTCAAAATAACACTTGTTATAGCATCGAACATTTCTTCGTAAATTTAAAACGAGAATTTTATCAACGACCTCAAACAGTTACACAAGAAATCTCTTGATTCACTTTTAGTGCATATCCTTGCTTATAGCCACTAAGTCACCATTTAAACAATGTTTAGGTACCTGCAAATTAATAATAATCTTAGTTCTGGACTACCATCAAACAAGCCAATAGATATTTGTTAATAATTTATACAAGTTATTTAAATAATAATAAGAAGCATTTACTACCTCTATTTATGTACATTGTCCATAAAAGGTTTTTTTAAACATCTTTAATATTAGGTATGCTAAATATACACTTAAATGTTTTCCATACAACTTCACAATTAACTCAATTCAATAGGAACCAACAAAAATGAACCTCAAACGGTACTTTACATTTCAATAGACTAGGCAAAAAGTTTTGGAGTCTTAACCCCAGTGAAAGAAAAGATGCCCTTAAACCCAGCGCATAAAGTAGTATTTAATAAGGCTAAGTGTTGCCCTACCTGCACCTGCCTAGAAAGCAACCACTATTTAACAAAAAAGTTTTAAATAGAAACACATCAAAAGCCAGGATGTCTAGACATCTTTTTTTTATTCCCAGAAGTCGCAGGTAGATTTTGAGTGAAAGATATTTTATTTCAAATAGTTTAATTTAAAACGAATCTTTGGCACTTTTGAATGAGTTATAAATAATATCACATTTATTAACAAAAACATGGCAATAGCCATAATAAACATATAAATCGTTATTAATACATAACTTCAATTCGGTAAAAAATTGATTGCTTTAAATCGTTATTATCCAAATAATTATACTATAAAATATATGTAAAAAGTCAACAGCGGATCTTGTAAGCGAAGTTGTGTTTTGTGAGCGATCGGACTACCTACAAGACAAAACAATTGTTATTTTGCTGGGAATCAAACTGGTGACTCTCAAGTCGGTCGTAATTATATATTAAAAGAGTTAAACCGGCAAGCCCTTACATCTATCTTACGGTACATGGCACTGGAATTTTAACATAAATCATCTACCAACGGAAACAAGTGGAATAAATTAACCCAAACAAATTAATCAACAATTTATACGTTTTACTTGGCTATAACTTTGACTAGCTATTACTAATATTAAATAATACCGTCTGGAAATAATAACGATTAGTTCCTCTCATACTAATGCAGTACTGATATGAAATAGATGCATTATGTCCTATATAAACCACTTTGCTCATATAAAGCAGTATAAGCGTATTTAAGCGTGCGATTTGCAGGATTTTTTTTTGTATAATAGCACTTCACATCTTCGTGAGGAAACTATGCCATTATCTTACAGACAGCACAGACTGATCACATGCTAATAAAAATATCCTACGACGCATACTGTTACGCCGCTATTATTCATTCTCAACGCCTGCCGAAAATAGGATTAATGAAATACTTCATCACCTATATAACCACATATTGATTTGCCAAACCCCTTATTTGGCTACCGACAAATGAAATTGGGTATTTATCAAATCACGTCTTCTTTATTTTTGGCTCCCGGTTTCTGCATTAGCCTATCCAAAATTCAAAGCAATTAAAGTCTTTAAAAATGATGAGCAAGATTGCAGAATTCTTGTAAAATAAATTAAATTTCTGGATGTTTATGATGGCAAGTGACAATCTTTCTTCTCACTGAGATACATATTAGACATTTTAGGTGGGTGAGTATGCACTGGAGGTTGTCCGAGAACCCTGTCGTAAATTGTTAGTATGGATGCGGGGCAGCTCCTTGATTTCCGTGAGGAACAGTACCACAACACTCTGGCCCTCTCCTGTTTCTTCCTACAGTTCACAAAGTACGTATTACCACCGTAGAGTAGAAGTTTGCCTCCTCGTGGAGTGAATAAGTATCGGGCCCCACCAAGTTCTATAAAAAAGTGACGTCTTGAAGATAAGGCAACTAAGAAGTTTGTATGGGAAACAATCAAATTTTATGCCTAAATTAATATCAACTATTCTTTATTACTAAAGAATATAATATATAATTAAATGTAAGAAGTTAAAAGAAATTGCAATTTCAATGTTATAATAAAGCAAAAATCACATTAATTGTACACTGAAACAAATAGTTCAACACTACTTCTAATTAATCTAAATATGTGCGTCTCAAACTCTAGTATTCGTATTTACAAATTATCTTTAAGCAACAACAGTATTATCACATATCACCATCGGCTTTATACCTCAAGTTCCTCAAACAATTGTTGTAATGAACCCCTAAATCCGTTAATCGTTAGACCAGATATGTATCTTATTAAAAGCACTAATCTGTACTCCGTGTTCATTAAACAATCAAATAATTTATTATTATAGATGCGATTGAAAGATGTTGACATGTTTTACTGTTTCCTTCAGTCGTTAACTAATCAGACATTCTACTAAGTCTCGTTCTTTAAATATATTTTTCCCCTTTACCGAATAATAGATAATTTGTTATCCCTTAACACTGATATCAATGTATTTTTTTTAAATTTACTACAGAACAAATTTTAGATATTAAGTATGCAAATGTTATTAACTGTTCGTTTTGCCACGTTTGTTTTACGTCCACAATAATATATTAAATACGTTTTAATTAGTGCTGATACTACAATGCGGACTTTTAATTATGTTTAGTCCTTTTGATTTACTAAGATAATCTAGAATCCAATAAGCTATTAACTCGTTATAGGAACAATAGAATAGCAGCTGAATCTTCTCAACACACTAAATAACATTTTATATTTGCTATGTGCACTTAGTTATACATATTACATTTTAATTTTAGTTAAATCAAGTGTACAACGATGTGGTGTCCGTATCAGTTTAACGCTGTGTATCAGTGAGCAAGCAATCACATTGTGTCATCATAACGACGCCGATGCCACAGGTGGGTGAATGGACTTCCACGGCGGACCAACGACGCCACTCTATCCACCTCGACCGTAGTCGCCATACGCACTTGTCCGCTACAATTAACATCTTTAGTTTACACCCACAGCCCACTTAATACTCAAATTATACGTTAATGCGAAAATCTAAAAGTCATTAAACCATTGACGTTATATTTAATATAATTATACTAACGAATACACCTACAAAAAGTTACTACATAAAAACGAATTCTTGAATCAAAATTCAATTACCTATCAAAACAACGTTATAAAAAGCCTCCACAAATTGTGTAAAAATATTTTTATGGGATCCGTTAGATACGGGAGCGTTTGTTGTATGGGGTGGTAGGGCCGGTGGGATGCTGGTTATCGATTGGATCCCACCAGCGCGTCGCGCATGCTTGCCCGCGTGCCCGCTCTGGCCTCGTGCTCCCTACCACCCCCAGGGCCCCCTACCTACGCATCTAGACAAACGCCATATGAAAGCTACTTTGCAATGCCAACGAATTAATATTTTGAACTAGCTATTGGAACATTGCAGAATCTTTAAAACATTATTAAAAAATTATTTTGTTTCTCATTTATAACTAATACAATCTATGTACATTGTACATTTGAGAAATATTCTGATAAACAGATAAGAGATCTAAAACGCGATACGAAATTCACAATGTAAGAAACTAAATCATAATATTAGTGTTGCCGCTTACAACCCTAATATCATAAGTAATTATATAAGCAATACACATTGAGGACCCTCAAACTTTAATCGATCAATGGTTGAGTTAGAAATATAATTGAAGATCTTAAGAAATACAACTTGAATCAACTGAGTCTATATTTAACAAGACATTTATTTTGAGCATACCTACTTGTAATTTAGACTAAGGTAATGTACTAGATAGACCGTAGGCTGTAACATGAGAGAGAGAGAAATTACGCACAAAACGCAACTCGTAATATTTACATGAACAATTCGACCCACATCCTATTCAGAGCAGTTTATTACGTAACTAATGTTTGTACCCCGGAGGTTGCGTGTAAAGGAACGTTTTCCTCATGGCCTACGCACACAGCCGCATCTTAAGAAAGGGACGTACGTCAAAATTAGGGCATACAGGGCGTAACTAGGCTGTAGCGGGAGACTACGCCCTTGCGATCCCCATGCCCTACCGAACTTTCTTCTTTCATAACTTTGTAGCTCGTATTGATCCATCAACTGCGCAATTCATATCCCCCGTACAGATATTGCAACGGTATCGAAACTACTTCAATTTTAACGGGCTCACAAAATAATAACAGATGTTTTATGTAATATTATATTTCTTTATCTCGTAATAGGACGGCGTTATTTTTGAACTTTGCTCGGCATTCAATGTTAGCTAATGAATGCGATAATCGGCCTTTAAATTTATGCAAGTTTAAAGAAAAGAGATTTCATATTTCAAATAATATAATTGACATAACTTATAAGTTTTTCTAACAATTTAAAGTCGTTTTCACAACTTATTTATTTGAAACACATTAATAGGCACTTATTTAGTCTCTGTAAAAATTATTTTCTATTTGTATATTGCAAAATAAGCAAAATAAATTTGTAAGTTACAAATAATATAAAAAAAAACATTTAGTAAAAAAAAATAACGTAATAAAAAAATACAATTATTGCAATGAAAAATATAAAAAAAATCACAGAAAAATTAAAAAAAAAACAATAAAAAACACTACCTATACCTGTGATAAATGTCCTTGCGCCTAACATACTTGCCATCGGGTGTAAAATAGTAATTTGGCGGCCTATGAATATGTCTCCCACGGACCAGAAACAGTATATCACCATCTCCTGTCTTCGAGGGAGCTGTGATGACATCAGCGCGGCAACCAGCCATGTCCCTCGACGAGCAATACCACTGCTTGCGACCAAAAGACTGCAGGTTCTTCAAGTAGAAGGTGTACCCTTCATGAAGAAGTAAGGCTTTGCCGGTTCTCGAAGGCACGTACACCGCCGGTGGATCCTCTAAACCCAACAACATCACATGCAGAATTTATTAGCACTAGTTTATATATATATACCTGCAATCTTACCACGTAACTTTAATAGTGTTAAGTAGCAGGCTATGTGGATACCCACCAAAAAACTAAAAACATTAAAACACTATATATTTTGGTACAAGTTTTACTGTATATAATCTGACACACTTTAGAAAGCTTATATAGTAGAAGACATTGAATATTAGTCAAATACAACAGATATTAAAAAATTATGTTCAAAACAATACATAATTTAAATTATTTTTCTTATAAAAACATGTTTCGAAATTTGAATTGCATTCATCATACTCGCAAGACTCTTACTCCAAAAATATTCTCTATATAATATATATTATATCTATATAATATAACTCAACCTGGTTTGGACTGACAGATAAATGGCTCTAAGTCAATTTAGCTCCTGCATATTCTTATGTTCCTATACAATGATTGTGATCTCCACGAACCTCAATTAGCTGTTTGAACAAAGTTTTAATAGTGGCTGTACACTGAAACTTATAACGACCTGAGCAATACCACAACACTTTTGGGTGATTACGATAGGCATTGTGCGGACGGTACATATAACCTCTCCATTCTATTTTTGGATAACCATTTTTACCAACAATCACATTCACTGGAACAAAAATTAGCTTTAATTAAAATAGAAACAACTCAAATCATTTGATATAATAAAATAAATACCTTGAAAACAGCTTCAGTGGTGTAAATAAAATAAAAAAAATACGTATATCGCTGACTTTAATATTATGGTTTGCTTTACTAATACATTTGATATTACATACAACTTCAAAACTTCTATTTGGGAATTATTTCCCACACAACATATGAAGAACAATCCATTGTTATCTTAGTTACTCGTAATTAACGCTTTCACAACAAATATGGAAATATTGCAAAAGTTTGTAATAAACAAGACAATACAGACCAAGTGATTTTAGAATCATAAACCTTTTAATATTAAAAACAAAAGATTTAATTTAAAATTAAAACTATATGGCAGTAACTAGTAATTCTATTTCTTCAGCTCTAATTAAAAATAATAAATAATCTAAATTAAAATTACTTGAAATCTTCGAAAAACTTAAGATAATTTAACAAATCTCGATTTAAATTTTAAAAAAAGTTGTTTAAAGTCAATTTAATTAAAAAGAAATAGATTAATAAGTTTGGAACGTTAAATGTGCCTAAGCGCTAAAATAAAACGTTCCACATTATGCTGCAGGTAAATCATACTTAAGAATTTTTGCTTATAATAAATTCCACTAAATTTTAATACAACCTTATTTACCAAGGTTGATCCTTTACGAAAGAGGCTAGTCGTTGCCAGACAACTAAATACTATTACGATTATTATGGCATCGGTGTCGAAGCTCCGAAAACACAATTTTTTTCCCCATAGTATGTAATCTCGCGTTACAGCCGCGTGCGCATATCCATCTCCTCTTATTCCTATAGCAGTCATCCAATTTGTACCAAAAACTTCCAATTTTCAACAAAGAGTTTCTTTCTTGTAGTGATGAGCTCGAAAATAAAACTATAATTTTTGATAAGGATACAATGATATAGAATCAATATTAATTTAAATATATTAATTAACTATAAATTAACCTTCTTGGGTTTAGTCCGAGGGCAGGAAATAAAACAGATACAATGAATATGACTTCCTTTATGAACAAAATAAGATTCAATATATATAATGTTATGAATAAAAAATACTACAATATGTAGTTTAACAAAATACAACAAAATAGTTTCAAATACAAGATAGGAAACAGTACATGTCTCTAAGTAGTCAATTTTCAGTAACGTTGTTACTCTAGTAGTAATATCTACACGATTATAAATATATGTTTTAGCATATAAGACTCTAATATAAAAACTATCGCTCATATATTTTTCATAAGCTGGTATACATTACATCTACAAAGTATGAAGAATTCCGAAGACACGCTGCTTTCTACATAGTACAGTAATTATTCCACTAAAGGGATATTAAATTGGAGATCAATAGCAAAGCAACATGTAGGCGGAACCCTTTATCTACCGCTAAATACAGATAATAAATAATGGAGTATTTTATAACATTGTCAGTCGTGCCGCATACTATACCGCGGCCAATAAATAGAATTTTATAAAAAAGCTTCAACAAGACGGCTACACTAACATTAAAGCTATACACTTTGTATACATATCTAAAACTTTTGGTAAGAGAATATTGCACACGTACCTACCATATTATCGATTACATCCTTTATAGTTTATACAATCTAAGCCCTAAGGCATAACAAGGCGATTATGGGGTATTATTAATACCGTTCTTAAAGCTTAGTAGTATAATATGATTAAAAGATCGTAATGATCCGCAAAGATAGTGGGATATTGAGTTACGAAAGAAGGAACACTTCTAAGTCCAGGGTGCCTTAGTCAAAGGCTTACTGCGACGCTTCTAGTTCGCGATCAATGTCTACCATCGAGGAGACCGCGAACCAGAAGGTCGCGCCAGGCCTATAGGAAGAGAGCCGCCTGGGGTGCGCTAGGAATCACTACGGGTGGCGTCGCAACCATAGTTCTGGGCGCACAACTCTCAACAATTTTGTACTTGCCCATAGGATCCACTTCGAACCTCCTGGACTCGTGCTTCAAGGGGTTATAGGTAGCGGGATGGTTGTGGGAACCTCGAAAATACACCAGCCTGCCATCCCTCAAGCACAGTGCCACCTGACATCTCTCAGCCTTTTGATAGGATCGCGCGCATCGCCATGTTACGCGTCGGGGGTGAGAGCCACCATCTTCGTAGAAGATATGACCATCAGCTACCAAATGCAGCCCTCCACGAGCCGAGCGAATATAAAACCATCCTAGAACAAACACATCATGACTGTTTGTAGGTTATCTCATATTAAATTGTATATTTTACATCAGGTTACCTTACTTAAATAGAACAGCTAGACGAATAAAGCTAGGTACTACTTCAAACTGAAAATCTAGAGGGTCGCTTATTAGATTACGTCTCATATTCTAGATTCAAGATGGCCAAGAATTCTAGCTGGTTAAGAAGAAACAAAAATTGAATTTAGAATATTTAAATATGTAGTATCAAATATAATAAATACGAAATCAATCATTAGTATACTTAATATTATCTACTATTAAAAATATACTTTAACTACAGGTTTTGAAGAAAAGTCTTGTTACATCAGCACGATATAATCATTTCTTTGTACCTATACAGTGAAATATTCACTAACATACTACGTAGCGTTTACATTCTCCTTCGGCGACAGTCGCCACTACCGTATCCATTATCATTTACATTCCAACTTAATAAAATATCTTATCACAATATATAAAATAATACTTCAAATAATACTTTACAGTTTTCTCGTATACATTCGTTATTGGTATATAAAATGGTAAACACATAAATTATATATTCTTTGTGTAAGTACAGCCGTAATAGACCCATAAGTACTGTAAAAACTATAACTTGTAAAATAAAGTAAAAATATAAAAAAAATCTCACTACAACAAAAATCTTATACCTAAAACGTATACATTGAGTATTATGATTAATTAAATAGGTAAATGCAATCTACAATAACAAATTGTTCCATTATTCCTAACATCGTATACATGACATGACTTGATTCGTAATTTTTGCTGCGCGAGCAAAATCGAATTTGGGGTAAGGGAAAGCCGTAACGACTAGTAAATATTATAAATGCATATATTTATTGCGGGCTCTGTATAAAGAGGGGGAGATTCACAGAACTTTGAGGCTAATAATTGAAAAATCTTTGTATATATTTTGCATATACTTTAGAATTAAGATACTATAATATCTCAAATTAACTAATTAGTTGTTTAAAATTGGCTTCAATGAGTTCAAATGAGTTTCCTTATTGCACTTAAGTACAATAAAATTCAATAAAGTAACACTTCCCTTACCCCATTTACCTAACCCAATCCTTCCAACATGTTCTTAATTATTCAACCGAAACCAACCAACTGGAGTAGAAACCTCTAATACAACAATCCAATTTGTATATACTATGTACACATTGCGAAAAATTGTAAAAATATTTGTAAAAGTAATGTATAAAAATACTTAGAATATCATAAGAAACTATCACTTTGTACAACGCACTAAAACTAGGACCGCTGCGTGGAAGATCTTAACTGAATGAGGCAAGTGGTTACAGCTGCTTGAAAAATATACTATTTCCTTTGAAAATATCATCTGTATATAAATTGTAAAATGACTCTTAAAACTTCTACAAAAATACTCAGCTTGGAGAAGACAGTCCGGTCATTAATTAACTTTGTTGCGGAGAGCAATGCGTGAATGCATCGAGATCTTGCCTGAGATCAGGCCATGAACAGACGGCCTCGCTATAAACTAATATGATTCGTATACTTTTAGAACATAAAGCTACTTATTTTATATCATCGATCTCTTTGGAGAATATAGGTCAACATTTAAACAGCATTATTTGAAAAATACGTCCTAAAGATTAGTACCAACCGCCGGCAAAAAGGCACAAAAGCAAAATAACATTCCTAAAACTTAATTTCGACTTACAAGCTTAATAGCTTTTCCTTCATTTATAAACTCCATACCAAGATCTAGACTAAGATTTTTGAGATCACAATATGTGCCAACATCAAAGTATTACCGGCGGTCGAAGGAAATTGACTTGATAGAATTTTATAGAGAGCATTTTGATTTAAAACATAGGTCTAAGTGGAGTGGCGCGTACTCCGCAAGTGTGCGCACTGTTCATCTGCACAACCCTCAAACCAAACGTATGTACCGCAGCCCGACATCGGGGGTTTCTAGAGCAACGCCACCACACCTTTCCACTCGCCGCACGGCCATTAAAACAGAATCTATGCGCCCCAACTTCTATGGCAGGCTTTCCTCGTTTACTGAGACAATATCGAAACTGCCCCGGAAAGCAAGGAAATGGAAACGGTAGGCCCAATGTTGGAGTTGGCTCAGCTGGCGTTGAGTTACCTGTAACTAATATATTATACGATTACAAATGGCTGAGTTTTAACACAAATACATATTTACATTGTATGGTACTTGTATCACACCTACAGGAACGTAAGCAAAATAAAAGACTGGGATTGTAGTGATAACTTTATCCTTCAAGTAAATTCCACACAATAATTTCACTTATATTATATTGGAGAATAGAAAAGACAATCCTTAAATAGTATTACAGTCTATGTCTAAAAGTTATGTCAATAAAAGACTACTATAGTATTACAGTCCAAAAACAAAATCACAATTGACATTTTTATTCCGCCACTTTTTAGTAACAAATCGTTTGACTCGCGTTTGCTTTCGCTTGTATCTACATATTTTGATATTATGATACTGATGCGAGTGTTGAACGGCAAGAACGTGATTATATTCAGTCGTGATCCTTGCTTTGCATCCCTTGTCAGATTTAATGCACAACCAGTTGCATCGTCCATTGACAACCGGACCACGACGCCGAAACCTCTCACCATTGAACACAATCAATGGATTGCCCAGCTTTGACTTTGCCCAATATACTGAAAATATATTGATACTATCCTTATCCACATTACTTGGTACCTTCTAAATATATATAGATATATATATTTAGAAAAGGATTGGATACACAATATGTTACAGAAAAGGACATCATTTTGATGATTGACAACATGATTGGAACGGGCGCGCTTATCTGATCTGTACCTTCTTCCAAGACCAAGTAGTGAGTGGCATTGAGGCACTTTCTTTTCATAAATATTAATTATCATATAAATAAATTCAAGTATATTTTTGAGAAAATAGAGTAACTATCACATGGCTAACTGTTCCTAAAAACTATTTCTTAATAATAAAAAAATAATAGTATTAAAAATATTTATTTTAGATTCCAATTTAATCTTAATTCTAGTGGATTCCACATAAAATATACAACTAAAAAGTGGAACTCCCATATACATCATTTTAACACAAAAAATACGCAGTTATTTTAGAAATATCAATTCAATTAATTCGTTCGTTTTCAGAACCGTACAAAATCTCAACAATACATAATTGTCTTATGATTAATAGGAATGCTTCTTTTAGATTTCTTCTATTTCATTTCTCATGTTTTCACAGCCTTACAAGCCACTGGAGTCTAAACTTAAGTTAAAATGGTTTAGGCTCTAGCTGATTCCTATGTTGATCAAGTTTAAAATAAAAAAGTTTATCACACAATAACACAAGAATTCATTATACAAAAGTATTATTGGACCTCAGACTTTACACCATTTTGTACGCGTTGGAAATACTTTTCAGCTGACGACGGCCCGTCAAAGTTGTATGGTGTGAAGTTAGGTTCGTGATTGTGACCACCTTTAATGCGAATAAACCTTCCATATAACGTTGTTTGCACTCTGCATAGGCACCCTTTGGCATCCTTATCTCGGCATGCCCAATTCAACTTATCGCGGTACTGATTATTCACCCAGAACTTATTATTTTGAAATATCAATACTGACTTGCCGGCTCTAGACGGCAAGAAGAAGGCTTCTGAAAAGAAAACACCACGTTATAACTACATTTCTTAGTTTATATTAGTTTCTGGTAAGGTTATCGACTCCTATGTTAGCTATGTAAATAATTTACAAGATACAACTGTATCTATTTCGATTACAGTTTACCGTGACTTAAGTCTTTTCAGCTGTAGGCGAAATTTCGTTATACACTTGTTATTATTTAATTTAAACATAATGATAAATAACGAAAAGCTCTATATTAAATCTCTTAATTACTATAATTTGTTATTGTGTAATCGAATGACAAAAGATGAGATCAGGTAAGTTTTAACCAATTTTCGGAAACTAAAAATAATAAACAATATATCGGTATAAACATTAATTTTTAATATTACAACCTTAATACTCTTATTAACTCTAATATAATAAAATATCAAAACTTAATTGATACGAGTAATGCTAATGCATAATGTAAAGCTGGATTTAAATTTAAGGAATGTTTCGTAAAATTACGCTAATTATAACTAATGGTCCCACAATTTATAAGGCACTTGTAGAATCGACATTACATAAGTACTTAAAGAAATATTCTGTCGTGTTATTGCTTCACTACAATCACAATAAGGAATAATCAGTAGGAAATGGAAACGAACTAAGTCCGTACCAAAGTTTTGCTTAATTCACAAAGCACCTTTACATTTTTCCAGTCAATTACTTTAAAAGCTTCAGTTATCTATAACCTAACATTATTGTCAATTATAATACTATAAACTACAATATACTTAAACAATGTACGTGTTAACGATAACAATGTAATACCTGTGCTTCTTTTAACAGTTAAGGAAGCTGTCGTGAGCAATTTCATAACCCCATCAACAAAATTTAATATCACCAATCAAAATATACATTTGTTTTATTCAAAATCTAATTTACATATATTTTTAAATTTCGTCGTCACCAAATTTATAGGCTCTATTTGTATATCATATAACTTTACTTGAGTGGTTTGGAACATATAGTATTATATCAGAACATAGCAAATATCTATGTACCTCAATGTAATGAACTTTGGTCCCATATGACGTTCATATCAAAGATCATTTCTGGTCAAGGCCGAGTCTAAAACTGGCTCATCAAGATGACGTGGCGCGTGGAGGATGGTTATGCAATCCTTTCACCGCTACCACGTTGGGTCCCAGCATGTGGATTCGGGCCTTGCAGTTTGTCTTCTTCGAGGTGCAGCGCCATATGACTTTATCCCTCAACTTCGACTCCTCGCAAAAGGGAAACGTATTTACCATCATAATCATCTTGCCGCGCCGTGATTTCAAGTACTTAATTCCTGCTACATAGAAACTTTAATTAAAAACACTACTCGAAAATTTTAAATACCACCACCTTAGATATACGTGCATCGATCCAAATAAAACTCGCGGTTATTTATAAGTACGATTTAATATTTCACAAAACATACCCCATACATAAACCCAAAAATCTTAATATTATAATGGTAAATACAAAATTACACTATAAGACTCGAAGGTACAGTTATCATAAATGAGGTAGATAAAGATATTAAAACTTACAATATACTGGGCCCTAAAGTGGCTGTGGCGATAGTATTTGAAGTACCTTCCGTGAGATTCTCTAACATTACATTCAAACGGCATTACAGCTACAACATTCAACACGCGAAGAAATACGATAAATTCGTTTCATTTATTATTTTAACCTATCTGCAAATCGGGGAATTGCACTTTAAATAATCGCTTTAATTGACAATATCTGTGAAAAGTTTTAGTTCCCGGCAAATAAATTGGTAAGATGTGCAAGTCGTTAAGACCTCGTTACTACTTTCTGAATCATCGCGAAAAATCTTGCCAAATCACTTGCAGAGGCCTATATGAAATTGTTTTGGTCAATTACGAATTATTCTTGTTCATCGCCACGGCCTTACAAGTACATACTCGTTGTTTGGCATACATATCTAGTGCATCAGGTACAATAGGTCGTGTCAAACGGGTGTTATATTACTATTTTAACTAAAGTATACTGTGACGTGCGCAAATTATTACTATTAATTAAATCTAAATGTTTTGGTCTCAGTCTCAATATTATTTCTCCACTTACTGAAACAAGTTCAATCTAATCAGTTTTAAATACCTTAATAATTAATAAACATAAAATATTAGTTTTCTACCATTTGACACGAACTATATAGCTTTATTAGTCTAGAAATTGCTAAAACTGTTTAAATCAAAACCGTGTATACCTAAAGTATTTAATAACAATAAAAAAATTAGTAAAAATTTGTACTTAAATCAGAGTCCTAAGATACGTATGATAATTCACATTATTGAAAAATTCGATAAGTAACAAATTATCATCCGAAAACAATTAATAAAATATATTAGACAACAGTCTCAGAACCTATCCACATTAAAGACATCAACAGCAAACATTCCAGTACAGTTAAAACTATTCAAAGAGGTAGATGAGTTACAATAATATTAAGGTAATAGCGGCAACGCCGGACCCTGCGCAGAGAACTGCCCCGACGCGCCCGATACTCTACGACTAACCTAAACTAACCTAACACCTTACTCGAGTAAAGCTTCTGAGTATTTATTCGTGTATAAAATTGTATAATTAAACTAATCTGTAAACCCGTATAAAAAGTGAAGAGGTAGATGAGTGTTCTTAAGTACTTAAATCCATTCTAAGGAGCACAACATCGGTAGGAGTTTGCGCGCTCACAACGAATGTCGCGCTTGCACACGCTAGTAGGTAGGCATTTGCATTAGTAAAAACCCAGCAAATTCTTATAGATAAAGAGGCGGACGTCTAATGTCTAAATAGCAACTTGAAATATGTAAAGTTATAATATCTCTCAAAATAAATAAATATTTCTAAGTACAGTTGAGGGATCCCCATTGCTAAAATCCGAACCGAGTTCGCGTATTCAGTCTCCTCCACGTTTCTGACAGTACATACTGCCAGACAGTTCCTACGCACCCGTTTCGATCGCAAATAACTTTCGGTCCTTCTCGAGTTCTGAAACCTACCTCACGTGTTGACCAACTTGCCTATATCGTCCTAATCCATTCTGATGATGCTGCTCAGATGGATGAGCAATAATTAAACCAAACACTAAACTGAGCCAATTTCCAGATATTAACCATCTATCTTAACATTACATTACGAAATTTATGAATGTAAATATCTAAGCTCCCACTAATTTAAACTTCAGCAAACAGGTTGTTCAGGATTCATCGGAGGTGCTTCCATTGATTATCTAATCTTTACCTTCGTGCACAAAAAATGTGATTCCTATCATGACACAGAAAGCACTCCCGATTTCTTAGATATTTTCATTTATTTATTTATACTCAACGCTTTCGATTTTCTATTCATTCCATAAATAACCCACACCAGCTATACGGATAACATTATCATAGACCTCGAAAAGACCGTCTAACCTAGAAAACGTTACGAGAATCACCACAAAGTTGTTACCGTAGTCGCAAAATCCATGAAATCACAACACCTATGCCATACATGCAAGATTTCAACACTTACGTCCACGTTACCGACTAATTTTATCCAACGAAGCCATTCTTTAAATAATCTCCTTCCTTATCCCCTTATAACCTATGCAATATTATAATTATTCTAAAATTTGATTACATATACGCTTCATGTAATTTTTAAAACGCTTCTAAAATATTTTTCGATTTGATAACGTGATAAATAACCGTAAATAACGTTTCGTGATCTAGTGCTTTAGTTGCGCAATCAAAGAGAGCTCAAAGCTAACAACTAGTCGTCATTATCATTTCGAGTCATTAATTTTCCTCCTTAAGAGGAGTGTCAACAAGTAAGGGTTTAGCCGTTGGCTGATGTTGAGTGGAAGCTGTCAATGCATTTGGCGAGGCCTGTTGGCCGTTGCCGCCTGTAGCAGCAGTGACAGCGGCTGTAGCGTTGGCGGATGCCGAGGCATACGCGGTTGATGCATAAAGAGCCAACGCCTGTTGCAGTTGTAAAAGTTGTGAATGAGGATCGTAGGGAGCTGGTGCACGATGACCGCTCTGGTGAGGTGTACGTACAACGTAACGCCCGTCAGCAAAACGCCGTACATTGGGCGGAGCGTGGTTATGAGAGTACCGTGAACGCACTATGCGTTCGAAACCTTCTGGGCCTTCCGTGTTGACATCAGCTAAACATCGTGATGTGAGGCGGGATGAGCAGTACCATTGCTTCCTGCCATGTGCCAAGTTGTTTTTCAGACGAAAGGTGTAACCTTTGTGTAGCAAAAGTCTTCCTTTTCCCGCTCGAATAAAACGTGCTGAAAATTACAGTAAAATTAGTACCTGCTCCATAGATAAAGTATGCTTATAAAACTGCTTCTATATTAAATATAGTTATTAAATACGAAATAAAAGCACTTTTATAAAACATATATAACACGAAATACGTGTGCATGCACATGTTAAACACAATAATAATCGAAAAAGGTCGGTTTTCGCAGTAGGGATGAGAAAAACATACATTTATACATACAAAACGTTTATTATTTTAATCAAAAATAAAACGAAGCAACACTGTCATATTTTCTTTATTTAGCTTGTTAAATTTGTACTACTAGCCTATCACTTAAAATTTAAAAATACCATAAACTCGCGTTTTAATGAGCAAAATGTTTGGCACTACGTATAAAGGATTATTAATTTGGTTATGTCTAACAATACTTTTATTAGAATAAGATTTATACACAATATTAATTGGGAAAGGAAGCACGACACATTACAAACTCACCTAACGCTATAAGATTCTACTTCTATATCAAATTAATCGCGAATTCACGAAACACGATGAGAAAATTATTTACAAAATTCGTAAAAATATAGGAGCGACATTATTTACTACTAAGACTAGGATTACGTAACAGAAACACAATCGTTAGAATGTACTTAAAATTGTAAATTCAATATTTTGGCACCTATTATATTTGCAGTATGAGATCAAAATATTTCTCTCAAAATCCACTTATCACAATTTAACAATAGATACTAAAATAACCTGACTAATGTACACTCTAATACATAAAACAGAATAAGGCAAATAAAAAAAAGTTACAAGAAACATAAAAAATTGCACACCCTTCCGACTCCTTAAACCTATGACTAGGCTATAAAAATACATAATAGAAAATACAAATTTGAGAAAATATTTGATAGAGCTAAAACTACATCGACGATATCAAAATGGTCGCGAGAGAATTAGATAAAATTACTAATATGGCGTAACCCAAGCTGATGGGTCAAAGTTGTCAAAATCGAGTTGTGGAACTCGTGGCATGGCGAATGAGTTAGAAAATCTAGAAGAATATTGCGCTGATTTATTTCCAACCGGCTTTCTTTTCCATCGATTCTCGTGATTATGTTCACCCATAAGTTTATGCAGTTTTCCCTTTTGGGTGTAGGCTTTGCAACCGCAGCCTCCCATAGTGCATCGCCAACGCACGATACCCGACCTCATCGTATGCGCAGCGTAAAAGCTTTTGCCTCGGACCCACAGACGAGGTCGGCCGCCGGGACCCACGCAGAGTCGTACAAAGTTCTCTGTAAACATAATATAATCTTAGGCAAATACTCAAACACTTTAATACTCAATATCGAGACACGATCCAATAAATACTTCTATAATAATACAACAAAACATTGTTTATTAGTTATTATCATCATTTAGTGTGCTTCTACAATATATATTTATAAATTTTATGCATCTAAAGAACACAATTATTATTAGACTACATTATGTATATAATTATTACATCTATGAGTTTATATATCCAATAATGTATTTATTTACATACTGAATTTTAAGCTTTTTTAAGCTTGATCAATATCCCATTAAGATTACAGTCCATAGCGCAAATTGGTTACCTAATTATTGCTTAGTAACTATATTACATACAATAAGTATTAAGCTTTCAAATTAATATAATATCAACGTATTGACTAGATATTGACTAGACCACGAGCAATTTGTGCTTTAATAAATTAGATCGCCAAATTTAAATGTATGAGAATACTGAAAGTAATAAATACACTCAATATATTGACATGTAGCTAAAACGCCAACCAGATCTAATAATGTTAATTAATTCTACGTCAGAAAATTGGGCAAATTATGCCCGTATAAAAAAGCAAGTTAGTCATTCAGGATAGCCTTAGCCTGAGTAGCCAAAGCGGCATGCGTGAAGGAACGAGACTGGTTAGTAACAACACATTGAGGCGCCACCGTCGGAGGATCATGAGTGTGCACATTACTTAATGCAAATATACGGTCGTGCAATGTATGTGCATATGCGCGGCAAGTTCTCCGCGTACACCGCCACCGCACCTTATTCTTCTCCGGAAAAACTTTCTCCGGATAAAAAGAAAACCCATTGAGACGCATATGACGTCTCCCACGGTTCGATATCACGAATTCCACTGTAAAACACCAACCCTGTCACTTATACACGTCCATGCACCATTTTAGTACGTTAGTAAGGCATGCAAAAAGTTAATAATACAACATAAACGTTTAAGGAATCGACATTACAATAGAAATATTAATAAAATCTCAAAAATTGCTTGATTAATGTTTTTATAATTCTATCGATAGTATCACTGTTTACTGTCTACGGCAATAACCTCAATAAGATTTTCAATGCGAAAAAATTCATCCGAGGGAAGTGACGGGTGATTGTGAACAGTGAAGCTCATCGTAAGCTGGCCGGCATTGGTGAGAGCCCGAGCATGACAGTTAAACTGTCTACGATTCCTGCATGTCCAGTATACACGTGGCCCACGACGCTTGCGAGCCACGAAGCCAAAGCCGTTGATCATGAGACAGGGGGCCCCACGCTGCGTCACCGTGTAGCTCACGGCGCCATCTTCGCTCCCTGTCATTTCCATAGCAACACGGACAAATCAAAATAACAAAATATACCTTAATCTATTTATTATGCTACTTGATCACAATGTTTTATAATTCATGGGTATGGATTGATGGATTTCATATATCATTTATTATAATGCATATCAGAATATGTACCTAAAGCTATGGTTTGACTAATTTGTTGAAATGAATTAAATCATATTCTATATATCATTGTATTTGATTGTATTATAAGTATGGTCAAGAAAGAAAAGATGATGTTAAATAATTAAAAAATATTTACATTTCCTATAGCTAACATTAAATACACACTGAAAAACTGTCCACACAAAGGACTATCACACAGATGGGCATGAAACAACTTCACCCAAATCATATTTTCGCGCAATTTTGCGCATATGATTATCGGAATGGTTATGTATTGGATTGGTGACTTTAAGTATGTTATTCTTAGAGGTGATTCTTGCTCGGCACCGTTTTCCGTACTCCATGCATCTCCAAAACGTACGACCGCTTCGCACACTGTCAGTCACAAATATGTAAGGTTCGTATATCAGTTGTAAGTGGCCACTTTTGGTTTGTATGAAATGCAAATCACCCTTCACATTACTGTTTATGTTACCTAAAACTATTTAAAATTAGTTAGATTATATTAAAAAAACTTTTTTAGTCACATAATTAAATTTAAGGGCTTTAAATGAAACCACTGGAATATCTAACAATCTTTATTGAGAAACATCATTAAACACATATTTTTTAAATTTATTAAATGAGTGGTATAATCAATACATTCCACAGCAATAATTAATATATATCTTAAAGAAACTTTCTGATTAAATAAATGGTAAAAAGAGGGAAGCATCTCGAGGTGTAGGCAAGCGATTTAAATATATGATAAACAAATTATGTTTTTATTTATTTTTGTTTATAATTTATTATGAATCATTGCTATATATAATTTTAACTTTATGTGTTGCATTTTATACAGACTGTAATATTAGCGTAAATTTTATAAAATACTAAAGATGTAATAAGATGCAATTAAAATATTAAATTCAATAAAGGATACTACTAAGTAGTTTAGTTTCAAGTTAAAGTTCTATGTGTGTTAACTGCTTTTAGCAGTGAGACTGCTGATTAACATCCTTTCTCTTCTTTTATGTTTTCCTCCTGTTTAGTGTTATTGTGATGTAAAAAAGGTGTTAGTATTACTATATAAATAATGCAAAGCAACAGGGGATTTGGGAAAATGACAAATTGGAATTTTGTAATGTAATTACCATACTAGCTTGTGATTAGGTTTGCGGATCTCAACCCTCAGGTTAAGTCTTAATACCCAGACCGTGACTAAAACATTTTTCTTTTGATATACTTAAAAACCTGGCTGTAAATATATTAAGGCCAGAAAATAGGGTTGGTTTAAACCTAAAAATCAATGAGAAGTGATCAGGCATATAAGGTTTATCATCTACTCGTCTACAAAGAAAAATAATCAAAGAAACATATACTGAAAACGAGAACAAACTCCACTGAATCATAAAATCTGAGAAATTAGTGACAGTGACCAATCTGAAAACGATGCCACATAGAAATTAACCACCTGCAATAAAAATTATTAGGTCACAAGGTTATAAGTGTGTCATAAAAATATTCAGTCATACTAAAACATTTATCTCCAAGTGTTCACTACAGTAATAAATGCATTGGATACGATCATGCAAATATATCAATTGTTTAATAGCCCCTAGAACCTATGGTTCTACACAATTATTTCTTTTACTTTTAACAAGTTGAATATTAGGTATGCAGGACCAGTTTCTGTACCATTTTGTTTGTAGCAGATTATTTTATTCTTTGGTAGGAACATGTCATGGCTGTTAACAGCAGTTTTTGAACAGGAAGAAAGCAAATAATTTTTACATTAAAAAAACTTAGCTTGAGATTAATTTTCATATAATTGGTATCATTCAGAGCTTTAGAATTGTTTGATATGAGCAAACAAAGGTAAAAGCAATAATTTAAGTGGCTGTTATATTATTAGGATTTACTTATCTGCAGTGATTTATAAATAGATACTTTATGTATTTACTCGCAAATACTCAAAATGCAAATGGGAATACAGCCCGTAATTATTAATATTATATTAACATTGAAATACTTATTTTACATTCAGCTTTTTATGGTTTCCAAAGGCTTTCCACAGGGTCAAACTAAATCATTAAAATTATGTTTTAAATATAAGGGGTATAGTTAAAGGTTATTATATTAAATGCTTACATTTTTCTTCATAAAATTTTGAGGTGATCTTTATAGATATAGATTTAACTTATGCTGATTTTAGAAATTTATAAATAAATGAACTGATGTATGATTTACATTTCAATATGACAATCAGCTTTGTTTACTAATATTATATAATTGGATAATAGTAAATTATTTGAATGTTTACAAAATTTACATAATTCCTGGAAATTTGTTACTGTATGAAAATTGGGTATGTCCTAAAAAATGTGAATAACTAATCCAGACCTTCATTTTTTATCCAAAATATAACATTGTAAAGAGTATTTTAGTTTTAATATGAGATGAGTGTTAATTAATGTTTAACCTATTTGAATTGTCTAAACATATAAAATAGAAGTAAAAATCAATATATAACGAAAAGTACTACGAAATTCTTTTTAGTATAAATTAGCTTTTCAATCTATATAAGTATACAGAAAATAATTTTACTATTTGGAGGTTATGTTTACAAGCTGCCAAATACAATGTAAACTAAAAACTGCGGTTCAACAAAAATTGTATACGAAAATAAGCCAAATCTTGTAGAATCCTAGAAGCAGTTTCCTTATCAAGATAAAATATTTCAGTTTAACTACATACACTACTAATGTAACTTGGTGGTAGGGTTGACAACCTCTAGTCTACCATGTCGTACTACTTGCCACAACTTTCCCCCAACTTTTAGTGATATTGTTAATTACTACATACCTGTTTTGACACCACATAAATCCAGCTAGTAATAATCACAAATACACCTAACAAACACCATTATCACTGACAAAACAACATAAAGTTAAGACGTAAACACGTTCACGCGTAAAGATCACACACTTCGAGATATCCATGTTTAACACAAATACATTAATATGTACACTTATAAATATGAGTTAATTTATCATAAATAGGTAAACAACTAGTTAAAAACAACGCTAAACTATATTATTACAGTAAATTCACATTATTGAACATAAACAATCTAAATTGACACTAGTGACTAGCTAGCTTATAGTACCATAGATTCGCAGGGTAGTATAGACGAAATACGTTTTTCCATAAACAAGAATCTCCTATTCCATAACACGCAATAATGTTATTTTTCCGAACACAATTTCGATTAGTATATTATAATATTTCTTTAGGAGCCAGATTAATGCATGTTTAAGCTAATGATAACGATGTAATCACCGTAATCCTTATATTTATTCATACTGTTTGTGTTTTTGCTTCTAGTAACAGACATAAAAAAAACCAAAGCTGGTTTTTCAAGCGACTTGTAATTCTTTCCCCTACTTTTATGTCGTATTCGTAGTAGAGCTTAATTTTTATACATATATAATAATAGTTGGTCTATTACGGGACATATATCTATTATCTATATCTAAGTATAACTATTTATTAAAATAAAACCTAAACATAACCAAAAATATACAGTATTTTCAATTTTCTTAAATAAATTTATACTGTTTGGTCCCTGTGGCAGTATACCTTTAACGCTGGCAGCATTTCCTCGCTGTATTGCGATACCTATTCGTAGAGCGAGAAAAGCACCTGCTCTAGCATGACCGGTATCTACCAGACGCGAAATTGAACCCCACGGCCCATGAGTCCCTACTCCAACGAGAACAAAAGTAGGAGGAAAGACTCTTATATTTGAGCCTATTATTACTTTCCGCCTGCTCTGCCTGCTGGCCGGTCCAGCTTTTTCCTTGTTCGAGTGAGGTGAGACGGGCCAAACGTGTCCATACAAGTAGCATCCTACACCAAAACGCGTCCCATCTACGTATTTAATAATGAATTGGATAAATTCATAATTTATAGATTAACTGATTATGCACATCTAAAAGTAACGGGGACAAACCATTTATTATACGATTTAAAATATATTATTAAAAATAAGACAATAAGGAAAATTTTTGATATTTCGTAACAAATTCTTATATGCTTTAATTTTCTTAGCTAATTTATTGAGATAAGCGTTTCTTGTTGCAACGTTAAAATATATTGCTCCTCAAAGTCGAATACTCACAGGTAACATAATGGACAGCTTTATCCATAACTTTACAGTATTTGATGCTTACGAACATCCTGCGCCATCTATTAAGCAGTAGCATTAACTCTTATTATCTTAGGATAATAATATCTTGAATTTACTGTTGAAGCTTACGAACATCCTGCGCCATCTATTAAGCAGTAGCATTAACTCTTATTATCTTAGGATAATAATATCTTGAATTTACTGTTAATGCTCAAGAACTAAAAAACACGTAGATATGATTTTTTATATTATTTAGTACGAGTGCTAGCTAAAATCGTTTCAGTCTGCCAGATAAGTTAAGTTTGTATTTATTTTTTAGCCAGCTTTTTGGAGTTGTAGACATATCACTGAGAACCTAAAAAGTGCTGGGACATAACTACGGCAAAACTTTTTTTTCTAGTGAGGTGAGATAAAGCAGAATGTGTCAAAATTGGTCAGGATTTTTTTATTGCCTTATTTCCTATTCTCTTTTAGACTGATCAGTTATAATTAGTATAAGATAAAATAAACACGAATATAAGGGGAAGAATTTATTAAGCAAAAACTTAAGTAAAATATTATTTGTGAGCTGTTCGGAAACACTTCAAGCAATATGCAGTAGGTATTTCCACTGTCTGTCTGTCCTTGCAAAAGGATAAGTTTGTTTAGAGGGTTAATTTTTTTGTATTATATACATAAACCATGTGTAATGGCTACTCAAAAGATCACATCCACCGCAATCTTCTTGTACCAGTACAAATACTTCCGGATTGGAGAATAATAACTCGCCAGCTCATCTGACAGATCGATGCCGTTTTTTTCGGCCGTTTTTTCTACAGACCGGCGATGTTTTTTGGCGCCGAACCATTTATACATTTTAGCTTTCATTTGAACCTCAAAGGAAACTACTTTAAAAACGCGTGATGAGGACGGGACGGGACGGGATGTGAGGGGTACTTCCACTTTCATTCTTGGACAGTGAACCTGATAGACAGTGGCGGATTTACCAGCAGGCTGAGTAGGCTGGAGCCTAGGGCGGCAAATTTTAAGGGGCGGCAAATTTAATTCATAAATTTTTTATTTCGGTTTACAAATTTAAAAAAAATTATTATACACACACATAATACGAATTTTGAAAATTGGAGAGAAATTAAAATATTTAACAAAAATCGAAATATTCTCATATACAGTGCTAATTAATAAAAATTCCCTCCACAAAATATGAAGTGAGACAATTTGCTCATTAGAAAATTGATACATTTTATCAGTTAATTATTTTATTTGCAGTAAGAAAAAGTTTGGAAAATCCAAATGAGCAGGCCTTAAGCGCTCATGTCGTACACGAATTATTTAAATTAAATGTTTACATCAGTAGATTTGATAACTTTTTCGAAAAGCCAACTTTTTCAGAAAATGCCAATCGGAATGAATTAATTATAATAAGATAAAACAATACTCAGCTGCAATTTTTTACAACACGGCTTCTCTCCAGTTAAACAAGTATATTAAAAAAAAATGAAGTGAAAAAATATTTTTTCGAAAGTTATCGTGTTTACTGTGAACACGATCATCCAAAATCCATACGATATGGCATTAAAATTACTTCCTTTTAAATAAAAAAAAATTAACCATAACCGAAAAAATAATTTTTATTAATTTAATTAATTAATTTTTATGTTTTTCCTTAAAATAATGTTTTTCGATAATTTTTTGCTGTAAAAATAATCAAGGATCTAACACGGTACCATAGTTCTCAATAATAATAACTATATGGGAAAAGTTGATGTAACGAGGATGATGGAGCACAAATTATAAAGTTTGAATTTTATTGATAGAAAATTGATATGATTGTGGACTAAGATATCAAAATTTAGAGGCGGCAAAAATTGAATAGCCTACGGGCGGCAAATCTATAAATCCGCCACTGCTGATAGAGCAGTTTATGCGGCGTACCACCACCATGTGGAACCGGCTACCTTCTGAAGCATTTCCAAAGCAATTCAACTTGGTGTCCTTTAAGAAAAGAGCGTACCAATTCTTTAAAGGCCAACAACGCACATGCCAGCCTTCTGGCAATGTGAGTGTTCATGGGCGGCGGTATCACTTAACATCAGATGAGCCGCCAGCCAATTTGCCTTCTGCTACATAAAAAACTATTTTAATAATGAATAAAAACTTTGGAAATGGGTTCTTCCGCGTCCACTTTAACTAGGCTTAAAAATTATGATGAATCTAAAAAAATATTGTACAAAAATGTTTTGTGTAGGTTCGACTGGATCAAACTGGACTGCTTTGATTCAACTAATATATTTCTGTCAATATTAGTATATAACTGTGTGAATTTGCTATGTTAAAATTCTAGACAAGTCAAAATGTATTTTTTTTAATGGCTCTGGCACGATTTGTGCATTAGCCAGCGTCAAGTGTAGGATTTTTTATAATTCGTGCTTGTCTTTAGAAATTCGACCGTGTCCTCCATGTACGGTTTAAGCACTCGCCCGGTACCGCACAACCCTCCCAAAGGCCGAGAACAAATTTAAATTAAATTAAAACTTGCCCTCGAACCGGAAATCGAACCCGGTACCCCTCACCTAGCTGCCACTTAATAAGACCGCTAGGCTATGAGGCCCCCCGAAATGTATTTATTAATGCCGTTATTTAAATAAATAAAATAATAATAAAAACTTTATTAATGACAGAAGGGTTTGTGACAGAAATCATAAATCGCTAGTCTCCACACTAGGGAGGCCGTGTTGTGGGTAACTAGAAAACAATTATTTCGTGGTACATGTTTAAATTTGTTAAATAATAAAAAAGAAAAAATAATAATAATAGTTATAAATTTAGTGTTACAAATGAAGTGAAAATAACGGCCCTTTCACACGGCAATCCAGTTTTTTACAGGATCCCGTTTGGTGGCGAAAAATATTCAATTCAATACCCAAATTCGAGCGTTGTGTCAGAAAAGGATGAACCCAGAATCTTCTATTTCGCTGCCGACGCCGATAATACCAATAGAAAATTTGAAAAATATTCACGTCCATTTCACCTTCACGTTCATACGGCAGTCTAGTATTGCGGGACCAGCTTTTTACTGAACTGCCATGTGAACACAGCGTCCTGTTTAGCAGGAAACCGTAAAAGGCCGATCATGCAAAACTGGATTGCCGTGTAAAAGAGCCGTAAAACTTAAAAATGTGAAACAGATAGGATACGATTACAAACGGATGAACCGATTTCGATAAACCTTAAATTCATTCAAAAAATAAATTACTAATTATACGTTGCAAAAAGTTTTATTATGCCGGTTTTTAAAAAACTGTTCCATCTCTTCATGAAAGTGTATACTAACTTTTTAAAGGTCTGCCCAATTCTCTCTCATACCTAAGTGGTACCGTTAACGCTCTTGCGGATATTTTAGTGCAGATAAGAATTATTATAGTTTCACTTTACTTATTCAAGTGCAGAGAATATAAAAAAAAGGGTGCGTGTACTTATGTACGCGTTAAAATAGTTTTTGATTGCATGCAAATAATTAATTACTATTAAATAATCAAAGACTGGAAACGGAGTAACTATAGTCAATAAAGTTCAGTTTACATTTGAAAAATTATTTATTATTATTCTCTAACATTAAGTGTAACATAGATTCTATTATTATTCGAATGTTGTTTTTAAATTATGTCCAATGCCGTAGCATCTTCCGTGGGCTTCATTCTGTTAATTTTGTGTAACGCTGGCCATAGACGGACCGCATGTTGCAGTCGAGACCGACTGCTCTAGAGCGGTCGCGTTGAAGTCGTACACGACTGCAACACGACCGCATAATGCAGTAGACTACGACTGCTTAGAGCAGTTGTGTTCGACCGCAAAATAAAACTGATGCGAGTTCATTTATAAGATGGATTTCGATGAAGAAACACTGTTTCTTGTACTACTTTTACGCAACCGTAGGCGTAGAAGACACCTTAGCATGTGGATGCGTCCAATGCTACAACCAAGAGAACAGCATGGAATATTTCATACTTTGTATCCCCAAATAAGAGAAGACACTAAAAAGTTTTTCAACTACTTTAAAATGTCCGTGGTTTCATTTGATGAATTAGTATTTTATTTTATTTGAGGGAGTGGCGTGCGGTCGGCAGCAACCGCTTGTAGCTGTCCGTGTATGGTGGGTCCGGCAGCTCTAAGCAGTCGACCGCACGGCGAAACTGGACCGCAGAGCGACTGCTCCGACCGCTCAGGAACTTGTCGTGCGGTCCGTGTATGGCGGATATGAATTTAGTATGGAAACTGCAGTTCGCCGTGCGGCGACCGCTTAGTGCAGTCGGTACTCGGTATCGACTGCAAAATGCGGTCCGTCTATGGCCAGCGTAACGGTGCGCGCGCATCGTAAAATTTCACTCATAAATTTTTCATAACGCGCCTAAAGAAGTATATCTTCAAATATTGTAAGCGTCAGAATGGCTGGTCACTAGTCGTGTTAAAAATTACTTCCCAATTGCTTCTATTTAATTCCTACTACAAGACAATTGCTTCCCACCATTCAGCATCGAGGATGGAAAACCTAGGAAGAAGCAAATAGGAAGCAAAATATGAACTATGAAGAAATCGATAATTATTCATTATAGTGAGTACGATAGGATAGGTGACCAGCCATTCTGACGTCAGAATGGCTGGTCACTAAAATTGTTGTGGTTCTCCCAAGAAACTAAGGAAGCAATTGTCTTGTAGTAGGAATTAAATAGAAGCAATTGGGAAGTAATTTTTAAACGACATTTTAACCTTCTACACGACTAGTGACCAGCCATTCTGACGCTCACAGTATATTTAATACTAGAAATGATATTTGCTATGGTCACCACCCCCACCCATGAGCTGTTATTCGGACCGGTGTAGTTTTACGTAGCATACCATGCACGAACTCTAACATGTCACAAATTCATGGGCCACAACCTTCCTCGAGTAGTTAATCTAAGTAGGTAGATACCCCCCCATCTTAACTACCTATGTAGTTTATGACCCCTTATTTCGTTTGAAACGTTAACTTGCTCATATAACTGCATTTATTCTTCCAGGTTAAAGATGCCCGACGATCCTACGTAGGCAACCGGAAACCTTGTTAACGCAATACGGTCTTGTATACGGTATATCTATGAAGATGTACCTGTATCATCTTTTATATGTATATATGTAAAACTTAGATACCAGACAGCTGTTAATGCTCATATGTATCTTTTTCAATCTAACCTTTTTTATTGTAAGATACCATATGATTACCATTTAATCGTAACATATATTACCTTTTAATTGACCAGGTCTTTTTGATACCAAACTTACCATAACCTTAGACCACTCATACTATGTGGTCTTAGATTTTACATGGTTACCGATGTTGATACCAGCTTCAGAATAGTCAGAAAGTGTTTAATATTTAAAATAAAGTTTACCTTTTGTTACCAATTACCAACCAGATTACCTCGTTACCATAATATACATTACCACCAACACTTTAAATAACCAACATACCTGTAACACGAATTGTCAATAAAATTAAACTTAGCTAACCTAATACTAACTTACAAATTTCACATTACAACTAGGAGGAAATGAATCTTCAAATTTTAGTATTTGTTAATAAATCACAAAAAGATTCATTACCTGAAGAATAATGGAAGCTATGATCATTGTTAACAATGATTATAACTTTAATGAACGGTCGGAGAACCTACCTTGTGCATCGCCTACAGCACCACCCTCCCCACCCGCAGAGATAGTGCCATCGCCAGTCGTAGAGCCATCAAAGCCTAAACAAAAACAGGGTATGAAGCAAAATATACAAGGTTGTAGTCCCCCCCCATCCAGAATCATTTTTAAATACTCACCAGCCATGTCCATATTCGAATCATCTTCGCCAAAGTTAGTCTCGTCATTATTAGCGCCATCGTCATCTTCATCCCACATACTTTCGTTGACAAATTCAGGTTCCATTTTCGGTGCCACAGCGTTATTTTCATCCTCGTCAGGTATCGTTACAAAGTCCTCTTTGACAGAGCCAGAAGGCCCGGCTTCCAAGGGATCGATACATTTCCGTTTAGCTGGTCCACTTTGAGATGATGAAGAATTATTAGATGCTATTGACGGCCTATTTGTTCTCTTAATAGCTACTGGAGTTGAGGGCTTAGATTCTAATTCAGTCTCTAACTTAACAGATTGCCTTTGATGTGACGACCTAGGGCCTGGCCTTGAGGTCGGCTTTGGTTTGGATGGCGTGGAACTTTCTTCATTTTGATTACCGGTTAAACCTTTCACTTGAAGTTGTTCCGCGGTACTAATAAATGTAGCTAATTCTTCTTGTTTAACATTAACTTCACCTTGATACATAAACTGTAATAAGTCTCTTAAAGCCGAATGACTAACATCTTTTAAAAATACTGAAACAAAATATTTTGTGTTAGTAATACATTCCAAAGATTTTTTAACTTTACAATAGCTAGAAGTGGCCTTACCTATGGGATGTTGAGTAGGATTCATTTTGAACATTTCTTGGAAATACGGCGAACATACCGATAAAACTAATTTATGTGCTTGAAGTAACCTGCCCTCGGCAGCTAGCGTTACGTCAACTAAATCTCCACGCGACAGCAGGCCATGAAAGCCTGCTGACATGTTGGCGTGGAAATTGTTCCAACATAGTGAAAATTGTTCATCCGACGCCATGTTGGCGGCGACAGATGAGGGACCCTGAAATAAAAGCAATATTAAATTTCGCAATAAAAATATTAGGATAAAATATTAGGATAAAATAATTGCTCTTACTGAATGAAAAAATTTAAAGCAAAAGTAAATCAAAATACACATACCTAATTTACTTTGTACTCTTTATATCCTTGACATTAGAAACATTTGAAAAATATAATAATGTTTCTACAATCTTGACATCCCAGTTTACACGTCCGTCCGGTTTGAACGCCCAGCTTGATATGATGACGCAAAAGTACAAACTGTGTGTCGTCACAGGGTGGTCATTCAAACCAAAAACTGCCTAGATATTTAAAAAATATATTAATCATACATAACGTTTGTAAATATAAGCAAAACATATATATTTGTACTAAATAATAAATTTAGCATGTTCCTGACTTGTTTTTCACATAAATTAAGAGATATTTAGAAAACTACTATCCACGGTGGTTGTCACTTTGACGTAAGGTGATGTAGCGTGCACGCAGATATCCTGAAGCTTGTTTAAATTAAACATTTTAACAATTTTAGTGTGTTATTGTTATATCATTTAGATTAGTTGTTAGTTATTTTGGATTTAAGTATTTACAAGATCAGTTTTACAGATAAGTTAGCGAGAATTGATTTTCAATAGATCGTATTCGATTTGCGTTGTCTAACTCATGTCTTATTGTAAAATGTAACTTTTTGCTTCTATTTATGAAGAAATTTAAATAAAGTATTCAGCGGATATCAACGTTTGAGCAAGTATCGTGACAGAAGATACGAGTATGTAATTAACCCAAACATATTACGTACCTACTTTTAAGTACAGTAAGATTTTTAATACTTTTAATATTTTTATTATAATTTATTGTTTTGTCTAAATTTATACAAAAAAATATTTTCTATTTTCTGGCTCGTGTTTCTACAGAATCACTGCTAGTTGTCACTCATACATTTAAATGCAGCGTCTGGCTATTTTTGTGCCTCTATTATTAAACCCGAGTTAAATAATCAGAATTATGATCCAAACCAAATATCAAATATTATGTTGTTTAATATATTAGTAGCATTAGCTACTTTACTTATTCATATTAAAATTTTAAAACACAAATTAAAGTATAAAGGCTCGGTGTACTCAAGGCTTTTGATAACAAAGTAGTAAACAGTTTAATCTCCTTCTTTGGTTCGGGACAGTAAGTATAAATATAAATGTTTTGATATTTTAATATGAATAAGCTTATATAACGATTTTAACCAATATTTAAAGTTTCAATATGAACATTACTTTGAATGCTCCGATAAAAGAAAGAGAAAGGTATATGCGGGGAAAATATCTCTAAGCTTGTTTAAATTTAATCTTTAACGTAATGAGATAAGACTCAAAATTATATGAATGATTTTGTGTAGCAGTGTTACCATCGTTGGTTTACTTTCCGTATACAGTGCAGTTTTTTGCGTTGCCTTGCCAAAATATTTTATTTAATTACCAATTATTATGTAAAAGTAAAACATGTGTTATGCCTCATTTAGACTTTGTGATCTGTCCTGTCGGACAGGGAAGTGAGCAGGGAAGTAGACAGTAAAAGAATGTAAATAGGTTGCTATTATAGTGCATATATATATTATAGTGCAGGCGCGAGTGCGTGTTAACTTTCAGCACTCTTCCAATAATAAGTTAAGCCTACGCTACCGCCATCGCCTGAGTGGAGCAACGAGAAAATAATAATTTAATTGGAGCTTTATGAAATTGAGCGAGTTATATGGGTTCCATATGATAAAAATCATAAATTAAAGCATAAAGTACGTGATGCGTGGAATCAGTAATAATTCAGAAAACACTCCTATAAAAGATTTAAAATTAAAGAAAAAATCGCTTATGGCTACGTTTCGATCGCTTTAAAAAAAAAGAAAGCGTCTATACGTTCTGGACCAAATGATGACGATGTGTTCCAGCGAATATGGTTTGCCTTTGTAGTAATGGAGAGATTTTTGGGCATAATATTTGACGTTGAGTTGACAAACACTTAAGGTGCGCTTACACGAGGGCAATAATTGCTCGGCGACACGAATGGACCGATCTGGAGCAATTAATGGAGCAATTTCAATAAATTCAATAAATTTCAATAAATTATTTCGGCGATATTGCTTCTAATTGCTCCAGATATTTCATATCGCTCAATGTCGCAGATACGAATTGACGAATATCCAATGGACTTGGAAATTCCTAGCAATTTTTGTATATAATGTCTCATTCGCACTTGTTTGTTTTGCGGCTTGCCGTCTTGCTTCTGCGGGGAGAGCGAGAGGTCTAAACAAAGGTTAAGTTCATTCATATTTCAAAACGTGTATTATTTATATTTCTATATATTCTATTCTATTTATATAAATATATTTTATTATGTATTATTATTTAGATTTTACTGTGTTCAAATTAAGCGCAATTTAATTTTTTTTATATAACAGAGGGCAAACGCGCAGGCGGGCTCACCTGATGTTAAGTGATACCGCCGCCCATGGGCACTCTCAATGCCAGAGGGCTCGCGAGTGCCTTGCGTTAATTAATTAACACGGAGTACATGGCCATATCGCTAACAAGCGATTTCTTCCAGGCAACCTATTACTATTTACTGTTGCATAATAAAAAATATTATAACAAATGCAATTTCGATGGGCCGTGGCCTAGTGGTTTAAGCGTGCGACTCTTATTCCTGTGGTCGTGTGAATAACGCTTGTGCACTGTGAATTTTCTTCCTATGCGCGCGATTTGCACACATGCAAATCGGTGAAGCCAAATATGAATGACATGTGTCAGACACTGAACTCTGAAGTCTGATCTGTCTAATTATCTATTAAATAATGATCAAAGAAACGGATGCAATTTGAGGCCAAGACCCATATAAAGTTGTAGCGCCAACGGATTTTTAAATATTCGCAAAAACAGTAGTTAACACACCGAAGACATTTTCAAATGACATTAGCACTTGAAAGTTATTTATTTCGTAATCCTAAAGCTGTCTACACACCGCAGCCGCCGGCCCGCCGGCACGAACCCGGCGGGATAATGCCGGCGGGTGAACCCGGCGGCTTTAGAAGTTGCGAGCCTGACAATTTTCCCGGCGGCACGACATACAGTCGCGGCATGCAGTGTTCACAATTAGTGATTGCCAAGTGCTTGCTAGTGACTTGTTAAATTTTTTATTTTTCTCTCCACTTCATTAACGGATTCCATAATGTTTAGTCGATAAAAACACTGACGCGTCACTATTTCTTAAAAGCCGGTGGGCAACCGGTGGTGAAGAGCGGTGAGGGGCGTGCCGCGGGGAAGATCGCGCGGGCGCAAGCCGCCGGCCTTGCCCGCCGGGTTCGTGCCGGCGGGCCGGCGGCTGCGGTGTGTAGACAGCTTAAAGCTGTTTAAAATTATATATTAAAGTATAGAAGTTTTAAACCGTAAAAATCGGTTCATTTTAGACTATAGAATTAATATATAATTTAGGTTAAATTAAATTAACTGTCAACAATTTAAAATTGTCTAAATAAATATGACTAAAACTAGTTTCGCCTAAACTAGCCCAAACCATTAAAAATAACATGAAAGTTGGTGACGTTTTCACTACATAGATTACAAATTGTACCTATGTTAAATTCCAAAATAAATCAGTGGCGCTACAACTTTTTAGGTCTGGGCCTCAGATTTCTGTATGTGTTTCTTGATCCTTTGGAATGGTCATAACGTGTGTGCCTGACACACGCCGTAATTTTTTTAGGTCTAAGGCATGCCGGTTTCCTGACGATGCTTTCCTCCACCGTACGAGCGTGTATTAATTGCGCACATAGACATAAAGTCCATTGGTGCACCTCCGGGGATCGAACCTACGACCTTAGGGATAACACTACTAGCAGTGATGAGCGCTTGTGCGTTATCATTTTAATGTGATTACCTATGAAACACATTGTATAATAACAAACAATTACACTAAAAATATAGCCAGATATGGAATACATAATATTTACCTACAAAAATGTTCTATCAAGGGAAAAAAACAATATAAATTATTCAGTACATATAACTAAGTGATACCTAATTTGGCTGTATTGTGTGATGGTGTAAAGGCGAGGGTAAGTACGTGAAGGTGTGTATGTGGGGTGTGCTTGTGGTGCAGGTGATTTAGCGCTATCGATATTCTTAATACGTCTTTTAACCATATTCCGCGATAGCTTAAACGAGTTAAAGCTTAAATATTGGTTATTGTATGTCTGGGCTGCAGACTACAAAACGAGTTTTGTTGAAAGAACGTTTAATTGTGTTAATATTATAATTAGCTCAAAGTAATTGTCTTTGCCTTATAGAAGTCCCTTAATCGAGTTTTAAGAGAAACACAAACATAACCAAGCGTGTATTCATTGGTAGATATGCCCGAAAAATAGAAGCGGTTACAAAATAAAAAAAAAAATTATTTCCAGTCATTTTAATTACCATGCTATAGAGATTTGATCCTTATGTTTATAGTTTTAATTGCCATTTTAGTGGCATAAACTTGCAAATTGTTGTTTTATGCGATAAAATAAGGGAAGTCAGAAGAAAATCGTAATAATATTTTTGATATATATAATAGTTTGAGATGATTAGCGTGGGATGTCAGGATAAGAGTTATGACTATACGGTTAGTGATGGCGTGGTTTTTGATCGTGTTGGCGTGTATTGAGTTAATTGCGCCGGCGCAAGCAGTGGTGGGCGGTGCGCCGGCTGCCCCACCAGAACCTGATGCTGCAGTGGTCTTCACACAGAAGCATGGTTATAGTTCCCGGCTGGAAGGTTTGAAGGATGAAGAGCGTGGATACTATACGTTCGCTGGTATCAGGTAATACCTGGTATTAAGAATTAATTATACATTTATATTATAATTAGTATGTGAATTTTGCATATTTTAAGGAATTTTATACATATAGATATTAACGATATTATATAACTAATTAAATATAAAATTCTCGGGTCACAATGTTCGTTCCCATACTCCTCCGAAACGGCTCGACCGATTCTTATGAAATTTTTTATGCATATTCAGTAAGTCTGAGAGTCGGCTACTATCTATCTTTCAAACCCCTAAGTGATTAGGTTTCCACCCCAAAATTTATTTTTTATTTTTATTTTTTTATGATACGGCATACAAAAATACATACAACCTCTAATTTTCACCCGTCTACGATCAACCCCCATTTTTTATTATTGTAGATAGTTATTTTATTAAACTAAACAAATGTTTCCTAGAAATAATATACATGGCAAAACAAATGTTTGCCGGGTCAGCTAGTATTTAAGATAATTCTGCTATGTATTTAAACAAATAATAACATCATAATTGTTTTTTTAAAGTCAATATACTATACTTCCTATCGCTATTCCCTTCAAGCGAAACATTACTACAAAACGGGTCGGGCAGGATAAAAAGACACACTCAAAGAACTTATGACACCCCTCTTGCAGGTGCTAAAACTATAATAAAAAGTCTCTATCGTATTACAAAATGTTAATTCAATGAAACAAGTTCTGTGGCGTCCCTAAAAATAAGTAGTACTTAAGTTGAAAATAAAAATAGTATAAAATTTGTACTCACAGAATAACTGATCGTATTCCTGAATAAATTTTTAAATACTATGGCAAATAGACTTAAAATATTTTGTAATTATTCAAAATTCCTTTATTCAATAACAAGTTACATTGTTTTAGCAGACTGAACTAAGTCTAGGGAGACCTGTACAATGTACATCAGGGTACTCCGCACTTCCAACGGTTTTATGAAATTGTTAACAATCGTTACCAAAATAGTAAATACTATATAAAGAAAAATAGAAAACTGAGGCTTAGTAAAATAATGATACAGGTTTACATGGTTGAAACGTTTGTACACACCAGTAGTGAATGACTGTGATAATGTTGGGAAAGGGATGGATGGAATGGGAGGTGGAGAGTGCTAGTTTAAAAGAGTTTAAGTGCATTGTGAAAATTAAAAATTGTTAAATTATTCTTGGACTAGTAATTCAGTTTCATCATTTTAGTGCACAAAGCCGTTACAAAGTATTAACATCATGTTATTATTGAGGATCCGGAGGAGGAGGACTTAATAGATAGAAAAGTTATGATATAAGTACCTATTTATCCACTATTAGACAATTTCATGATATACCAATTTAAAGGACGAGTTTAACGACTCTAAGGTGCGAACGTTTTTTTTTGTAAGATCGTCATTCGTCGTTTTTATATGATTAGGTACTAGCTGCCCCCACGAACTTCGTTTCTCCTTAATGTGATTTTACTTAGTCTACCTTTTTAGTACATGGCACACCTAAAAAGTTTTCATTTTGCGGAATGAAAACTTTTTAGGTTTTTCTGTGAATTTTTCTCTATATAAACCTCGGAGTTCAAGTCATAAGATTTTAATAAACAAATAAAAAATAGGGGTTGATCTTAGATGAAAATTAAGGGTTGTTTGCTGTATAAAAAAAAGTTTTATTTAGAGGGATACAAAATAGATGTTGTCCGATTCTCAGATATACTGAAGATGCATAAAAATTTCATAAGAATCAGTCGAGCTGTTTCGGAGGAGTATGGGAAAGAACATTGTGACACGAGAATTTTATATATTAGAATTAGATAAAGTCACTTAGCGCTAAGTCTCGAATACCTTTTGGTTCGGAATTCTTTATCTAAGTCAGTACATGCGTCCGTATATGTTAACCTAGCACACAAAATACGTTGTCAGCAATATTGTACAGCGTATAATCATATCTCTATGAAGACTACTAGTCCATTGAAATGTTACAATTTGAGGAGCACACTGAACATTTGTTAGAGGACGCAATAATGTTAATAAAATAACCTTCAGAATGAGATCCTCTACAAAATTGTTCTGACATATTTTTTTGATAAAATCAAAAGGAAAAAAGTTATTAAGCAAAAAAGGATTTTTTTTCACTTTTTTACTTATAACTTTTGAATTTTGGCTTTAGGATAAAAAGTTACAGAGACAATTGTAAGCAAAGCGATTTGCTAACCAATACGTGTTTACAAATTTTTTGTACGATGCATAGTTTAGGAGATATAGCCAAAAACGTGATTCACCCCTTTTTCCAAGGTGGCGGCCGGGGGACAAGGGCGCCAACCCCAGAAACTTGGGTTTAAGCTTGTATTGACCCCTCCTACATGTTCCATAAATAAAATTGCGTCCTCTAACAAATGTTCAGCAAATGTAACATTTCAATGGACTATACAGAATGAACATTCATTTAATTAAATAAATTCGTGATTAAACTTAATAATAGCTTCATAAACGGATGTACACCCTGATAATAACTTCCGTAATAAGGCACATGTTTTGATTTCGTTTAGCGTTCTTATTTAATTTAATGTTGGTTTGGTAGATTAGCATATGGCATTATGCTTATAAAATATTAAAAAATCAAGTCTATAAGTAATGGTTTCAGTCTTAGAGTTGTCTTGGTGGTACGAACTTCCATTTATCCATCGTGATAGCCATCTTGTGCCTAATACAACTATGAGCATGAAATTTATAGGTACGCCGAACCACCAATTGGTCCAAGACGGTTCCAGCGGCCAGTTCGGCGATACTTAGCTGGTGAGATCAATGCAACCAGACATTGTCCCCCATGCGTCCAGCCTGACCCAATGGGGTCGGGGATCATTGGGGATGAAGACTGTCTCTGCCTTAACGTATTTTCTCCTAAGATGCCAGGAGAGGAAAGAGGTGACTAAAATATGCTCAGGTTTCTCTGTAACTGCATGTGTTAGTTATTTCGACTATGTATTTACGTGATCTTCCCACGTTAATGTAAGTGCGTGCTCCTATTTCACCATGCCTCCTGCTGATAGAGGACAAATCTTTGTTTTTAATTTATTTTATTATTATTGATTAACTATTAGTCCCTTAAATGTCATGTGGAACATAGTGTAATAATTGCAGCTCCTTACAAACATTATGTAAAACAAAAAACTTGGCGATTAAAAAGAGTGGCGCTTATAAGCTTTTTTATCGAACAAAGGGCAATCGAGTAGTGCTCACTTCAGATTTATAGAAGAGTGACGAAGAGTTTATTGCCAGTTCTTCTCTTACGTTCTACGCCCTTGATTTGTAAACTGCAGTAAATGTAAATTTTGGACCTTATTTTTTACTGACGTTCATTAGTGTACCTGCTATAAATGATAAAATAAATGATATTTTGACCCTCGATTTTTTAGAAGTTTTATTACTTTGCAGGTTCTCCTGTTATATTTTTCATCCATGGAGGTAATTACAGATCTGGATCGATTGCAGCGTATGGTGTAAGTGTTTTAATTTTAATTTTCGATTCATTAGAAAAGTCTATTGGCATTGGTATACCGAAAAAAGATGTTGAATTGTTATTTTTCTGGTTGTTTAAAGACGATTTAAAATCCTAGAAATTTCTATTCGTGGTCAATATTTAGCAAATTATATATATTGATGAGTTTATTGCAAAAAAAATTCCTACAATTTGCAAATCTTTTTCGCAGGGTCAACATTTTGCTCAACAAGACACAATTTTAGTGACCGCGCAATATCGTTTAGGATCACTCGGATATCTAAGTACCGGTCAAAAAGACGCATCGGGGAACACTGGCCTCTTTGACCTTCGGGCCGCTATGACTTGGGTGAGAACTTGATAGGAATTTTTTGCTACGACTCAAGCGCCGATTAAACAAGCATTTCCTGTACAGGCGTGCCCTCCAATAGGCCACATCTCAACATCAAATGGGATTGTGGCCAAACATCTGTCCGGTTCTTTATAAAAAAAAACAAAAAAAAACATTTAAATCCGTGTCAACGCAGAAAACGACAAAGTTTGTGTCAAGGTCATGATAGAGCTATTATTGAGCTAAGTGATAAGTCATTATTTATTTATTAGATTAAGCTCAGTATAAATTTATTAACACATGTCTTTGGGTTATTCGAATGCGATGGAGTTGAGTGTGTGGGGAAAGGAAATATTCATATTATTCTAATTTGGGGTTCTACGCTCCACTAAACAGAATGACTTGACTGTGCATTGTGCAATCGGCTGCAAGGCCCGAACAATCTTGATAATTTTTCGGATCGCCCATCCGATTACAGGAAGGATTACTGTTATCACTTTCTAAGTTTTTTTCGCTATGGTTAATAATTTATGGTCTTTTCTTTTGTGACTTTAGTAGAGATACAAAAGATTAGTAAGTAATAATACTTAAAAGTCAATTTGAAGTTTGAAGAACGATAACATAAAGTTAAAGTGTTAGTGGAGGGATTCCGGGTAGGCAAAGCAATTGAGTGACGTTAGGATCGTATAATTAATATAATATCAATATTTATATGATGGTAACATTATTTGTACGTTTATGCCAAAATGTTTAAAAAATAAATGTCTACCCGTGCGAAGCCGGCTCGGGCCGCTAATTGGTTATAAATTTTATAATTTTTTTATTTCTTCTTTCCTGTTTTTTGTCAAGCGTTCTATAGTAACGTTATTATAGAGAATATGAAAAAAATTTAATATATAAGTGTTGGGAATATGTCGGTTCTCTTTCCGCATACATTAGTACCCAAGGGCGGATCCAGCTTTGGTGCCAGGAGGGGGTCACATAGTCGTGGTCAAGTCAAGAACTTATAATTTAATTTTGATAACAATAGATACAAGTAAAAAGTAGGTATTTTATTAATGTACGTAAGTATTGCACTTATCAATATTTATTCTTTATTGTACACTTGAAAAACTTAACACATAATATTGTGTACATACAGGTTGGTCCAACTAGTGACATCAATAATTTTTCAAAATCTCAGCTTCCTAAAATTAGTTAAAGCTACTCAAAAAAGGTTTTAAAGTTAGAAGTTTAGTTTTTAGCTGGATTTGTTCAAACATTTGACTTCAATTTAAAAATACAAAAAGAAGTTTCCATAGCTTCTGGCTAAGTTTAGAAACTCCGCAGGGTTCTAAGCTACCAAAATCATAGAAAATTATAATACTAGCTGATCCGGCAAACGTCGTTTTGCCATGTATGATAAAAAATAGGGGTTGATCGTAGAGGGGTGAAAATTGGGGGTTGTATGTATTTTTTAATGTTGTATCATGAAAAAATAAAAACTTTATCTAAAAATTAAAAAGTAATAATTTAGGCGTGGACTACCCTTAACATTAAGGGGGGTGAAAAATAGATGTTTTCCGATTCTCAGACATACCCAATATGCACACAAAATTTCATGAGAATCGGTCAAGCCGTTCCGGAGAAGTTCGAACGAAGTTCGAGTGTCGAAACACCGCGACACGAGAATTTTATATATTAGAAATAGTATTTTTTCAGTAAATTGTGTTTTTTATTTGTTATTTAAAAAACATGTAATTTCACAACTAGCAATAATCATTTCGAATAACATTTTGAATTTTGAGTGGTAAGACCAAAATTATTGTAAGAATTACACGTGCTACTTTTTTTACGGGTATTAAAATTAGTAAAAAATATATCATAAAGTTTTGCCATAAGAAAAATAAAAGTAAAAAAAAACAGTTTTAATGCTTCAATGATTTTTTGCCTATTGACATGAAAAGGCCGATTACAGCTACATTTATTTTACGGGTATTAAAATTAATTAAAAAACCCCATTATTAAGTTTAATTTACCATAAGAATAATAAGTCGAAAAAAACATTTTTAATGCTTCAATGATTTTTAGCCTATCCACCAAAAAAAAATCCACCGATTACAACAAAAAAAGACCAATTAGTAGTAGTAGTAGTAACATTCTTTTTCTATGATTTTGGTAGCTTAGAACCCTGTGGAGTTTTTAAACTTAGCTATAAGCTATGGAAACTTCTTTTTGTATTTTTAAATTGAAGTCGAATGTTTGGTCAAATCCACTTAATAAACTTCTAACTTTAAAAACTTTTTTGAGTAGCTTTAACTAATTTTAAGAAGCTGGTATTTTTTTTACTTGAACATCATTTAAGGCAATCATTTAACAGAAAAAAACTGCGAAATACCTACAACAAAAAAGATATGAATTTTTGAAACCTCGCTGGCAGAAAACACAAAAAAATGTATAACTCGAAAACTACAAAAAATCGCGGAACATACATGGGGTATTTTAGTATACCCCCAGGTGTGAGTAATCTAAAAAAATTATTGACGTCAATAGTTGGACCAACCTGTATACACGTACATATTACCATCTTCTCTTGAAGACATCCAGAGAAACACTATCACGTTTTTTTTTGAAGTGGAATCTCGCTGTTGGCTTTTAGGGCCTTTACAGCTTAGCTCGGCCTGACTATCACGTACGGAATGAGGCAGCCTATTTATATTACATAACCGTGGTGAATGATTTGTCATAACAGCTAGAAGTATGTCGAGTATGCTAAACTTCGCAAAAGTGAAGAGATGGTACGACAAGGGATTCCATCAAACAAAATAGAAACAGACAAAATACATATATTTTAATAACTAAATCAATTTTTCTTTAGCCTGTTTTTCCGAAACGCGTTATTACGTCATTTACGTCAACGGGTACGTTTTCATGAACGTGGAGAAGTGCCAGTCCGGTTAGGCGATCTTCAACCATTGAAGATCTTAGATTTAATTCTGCGCAACGTAGAGAAAGACCTTTCTGCTGTCGCTTCGGTGACAGGGTAGTGTATCCAATTTTCCTATATACATATTGATGTCACAATTTAAAATAGGACTATGTTATGATATGTTGAAGTTTAGTCGTTCCGATTCCGATTGAGGTAAGGTCTAGCTAGATGTTTCATAGCGACAAGCGCGCGCAAGTGTGGCGCGGAAAATTCAAATTTTCGATGCGTTCATTCCCAAACGTTTGCCATCATGTATGATGTTATTATATTATATTAAATTAATTAAATATTGAAGGTATGTAGTTACATATAATCTGTATGGTGACAAATTTATATATAAAATCATTATGTTCAATTAGTGGTCCACCTAAGTCCTGCTCAGGGGGGGGTCATGACCCCCATGACCCCCCTGGATCCGCCGTTGTTAGTACCAAAGTAGTACAGCAATGAAATCTCAAAATCGCAAGTGTTAAACAAATTATATATAAACAAATTTGTTATGCGTTAAAAAATTGGAGATATTAACTCTTTTAAGCTTTGATTACGTGACAATAATGACTTACTGAATTTAAGATAAATGACTACATCGAATTCTTTGGGGGAGACAAGTCTCGTGTCGTGGTAATGGGACAAGGTTCTGGTGGTAGAACAGCATCCCTGATGGGTTTATCTGGTGAAACACCACGTGAAGGTCGCTCTGCCACTGGTGTTGCTGCCCTTTCCGGTGCTCCTTTGTCACCAGGTAGGTTGATTGTAGCCAAGTTTTTTTTTAAATTTCTCGTAAGTTTATACCAGTGCCCGTACTCTTTAACTTCCAATAGCGATACACATACGATTGCAGATAGCCGTTTGTTCTTTGCAGCCGTCGAATATTGAATTCAATACCTATTGAAGTCGGGATCGCAATCGCTATGGTATTTCAGAGTTAAAGAGGTGCAGTTTTATTAAAATTTTAATGATGGTGTGGTTAATATTACATTAAAATTATACCCAATGAAACAGTTGGAAAGTATAAATGAATAAATGCCAAATCAAGGTTATTATACCATGATTTTTAACATTTCCAGGGTTTATATTTTAACGCATATAACCTTGAAGAGATTCGTATACCTATCATTAAATAAATGCAGAAATATACCCTAAGCCCGCAATATACGCATAAAATTATGGCTTGTTATATATAAAACAAGTATGTATAATAGGAGCAGTGGAGTCTAATCCAAAGAAACACGCGGAAGAACTAGCACGCCAAACCGGATGTCCCAAAGAACCAGCGGAAAGACTTTTACGCTGCCTCAGGAAGTTGCCAGCTGAAAAAATTATACAGGTAATACTTTTACAGAAAAACAATGATTACATTAAACTATTTTTCTGTATTACCCTTTGGTTTTTAAAACGTTTTAGTATAACAAAAACAAATTAGCCGATTATATATTTTAAAAATTTAATGAGTCTGTTTCATATGAAACTTGGCCATTTTCAGGCCGATCGAGCTATTACATCAGAAATGGTTGACACAGAAGCATTTTTAAATGAAATTGGAGGCAATTCGGGTAAGACTTTTAATATCGTATGTATTTAGATATTTGGAGAATCCCTTTGTTACGTTAAGTTGATTAGTGCTAATAATAGTAAAAAATATAAAATAATGTAAAAAATACCCTAGACAAGTACTTTATTAAATAAGGGCTTCTTTTATTTATATTATTCTGAAGTATTATATGTACTTTCCTTGTGATTGTGACTTTCTCCAAAAGTATTCAACTAATACAAGCGTTAAGACTAATAGATACTGTACATTTAAATAAGATTTGTTCGAAATTTAAAAGCCTAATAATTTAAATTTCAGACTGTAACTGAAAGAATTTGCTACTTAAACAATTTCCAAAGTAGGTTTGCTTCAAAGAGTATTTAACACATCCATTGTACTGACTAATATATCATATTTATATATAAAAAGCTGGAAATCTTAGAACTAGAGAGATGGTTCTCACAAAATATATAGGGACTTTGCTGTCCTTCAGGTGTTGGTGTACGCGTAGAAGGCGCGGATGATCTACGAGGTCTACCACCACTAATAGCAGAGGAACCCAGTGACTCAATCAAGAAGAAGCATCAGCTGGGACCTATGCTTACTGGTGTCACTTCAGCGGAAACATCGCGAGCAGTTTTTGGTGAGCATTGCATTTTAGTATGAATAACCTTCTACTTAATGCAAAAAAGACAAAATGCATTAAATTTTGTGCAAAAAATGCAAGGGTTATGGATACTAGACCAATTATAAACGGTGAGGAATTGAATCTGGATGATACAACTGTATTTCTCGGAATCACCATGGATTCAAAACTTCAGTGGTCCCCTCATATTAACGGATTGGCGAAGAGACTTAGTTCTGCAGCCTACGCGGTTAAAAAAATTCGCTCACTAACTGATGTCGATACAGCTAGACTTGTTTATTTTAGTTACTTTCATAGCTTAATGACTTATGGCTTATTATTATGGGGTCATGCTGCTGATGTCGAAACTATTTTCATCCTGCAGAAGAGGGCTATTCGTGCAATCTATAATTTAAAATGTAGGGAATCTCTTAGAGATAAATTCAAGGAAATTAATATACTTACCTTTCCCTCGCAATATATTTATGAAAATATTATGTATGTATACAAAAATAGTGATAAGTTTACTAGAATAGAACATACGCACAATGTTAATACACGGAACAAACGCAGGCTGCAATTTCCCCGTACTAGACTATCTAAAGTTAGTAATTCTTTTTTGGGGAAAGGGATAGTCTTCTTTAATAAAATCCCAGAGGCTCTTTTATCACTGCCTTTCAATAAATTTAAGAAATGTATTAAAGAAAAGCTGTGTAAAAAGGCTTACTATAAAGTCAACGATTATCTAGCTGATAAAAGGGCCTGGGACTAGTGCTAGACAGGCTACTTCTAATTCATTTGCGATATTTGTTTTAAATAAGTGTTGTTTGATGATTTGCTGTTTTAAAAGAGTACCGAGAGTTTTTTACGCCGGCTTTTTCTCTCGGCCTACACCCTCTGTCTTCTTTGCCGATGAGTAGGGATGCCTTCAAATTGAATGACGTGGAATAAGTGATACATGTATCTTATGTTCCATAATAAACATATTTTATTTTTTTTATTTTATTTTGCCATTTTGTTATATATATTCCTTATGTATGTAATGAATTACGACAATTACGTACACTCGGTGTTTATATTTATTTATTTAATGATAAGCTTACATTTATATCTCTCTTTAATCGGCAGCTCATGTCCGAGTGTCGTGGTCAGGAACTAAGCATCTGAAGGAGATTATCTGTTTCCACCGGTTTCTATCCAGCGCCTCTCTTTTAACAGTGTACAGTTTTGAGGACGATGAGTCATCACATGATCGGTCCATCTGGTTGGTGAACGGCCACGTGATCTTTTGCCTTCTGAGTTATCAACCACGATCAGTTTCTCCAAGTTCTCATCGCCTCTGCGCATTGTACCTTTATATCACATAGCAAAAAACATCACAACATTTAACAGTTATAATATTTACAAAAATACTATTTCTTATCTACAGTAATGGAACAGACATGAAACAGACCTTTTGTTTACAGACAACAGACAGTTAATTCAACAGACAATTAAAAATGTCTGTTAATATATGCAGTTCATTAATTATTACCGTAAATTGTCGGTCAGCATGGTTGAACTTGGTTGTTTCATATTGTTACGAAAACGGGTCGACTGCAATGTTTCCAGATTTTTCCACTAGTTAGAGATCTTTTCAGCAGGCTGAAATGTGATTTCTTACCGTATCAGGAGAGGGTCAATCACATATTAGAAAATCGTAATTTACAGAATATTACCCTAGTTTTCAGGAGGCTGAAACATTTTTTCAGGCAGTTTCAGAACAAGTGTAGTCCAGTGGTACACATTTCAGGAAACCCGTTTTCAGGCGTTTTCAGGCCCTTTGATGAAGGAATATTCTAGAACGAATTTTCTAGGTGTGAGACAAGGACGGTATGATACGCGAAAGTGAGGGAAGATCGGAACCTTCTCGAATCTAGACCGAGCACTCTAGAACGCCGTACGACAAGGACGGAGCAATGTACGAAAGAGATAGCGAGTACGCACGTTCTAGAATTGTGCGTTCGCTACTCAGTAGCGCTCCCGCCTAGAGAGTTCTCGAACATCGTTCAAGATTATTCTCAGGCATATATAAGCGAGCCGAAACGCGACCGATGAGTTCAGTTTTGAATGCGATTGCAAGGGATAAACACCGAAGAGATAAAGTGCGAATATAGTGAAGACAAGTGATAAAGTACTGTGTGAAGTGCGTGTAATTAAAGTAATTAGTGACAGTATTTTGTGTATGTGTATTTAGTGAATTTCTGTGCGTAATTTCCGGCTTTTTAGTGTAAACAAATTCCTCACTGATTTATTTAGAAATAAACCCCTGAAGCAATATACGGAGTTTTTTATCCGATCCCCTAGCTCGTAACATTTTGATGTCAGAATTGGGGATAGAAAAATGCCAATTACTCCAAGGGAGAATCAAGAGGAGTTTGTGGCGGACCCTCCAGCAGCGGAGGGAGTGCAGACAAGAGCACAATCAGCACGGGACGCCGCCCGACGACAAAGTTTTGACGCGAACCGCGGGATGGGCGAAAGTAACGATGGCAACATCCTCCTTGCTCTGCGCCAAATGATGGAAGAACAGGCACGCCGACACGAAGAACAGGCACGCCGTCAAGAGGAGCAGACACGCCAAATGATGGAAGAACAAGCACGCCGTCAAGAGGAACAGGCACGCCGTCAAGAGGAACAGGTTCGGCAATTGATGGAGGAACAGGCTCACCGTCAGGAAGAACAGGATCGCCGTCAAGAGGAACAGGCACGCCAAATGATGGAAGAACAGGCTCAGACACGTCGTATGATGGAGGAACAGGCTTGCCGTATAGGAGAAAGATTAGGAGATCTGAAACAAGAAGTAGATAAAAAATTCGAAAATTTGGAATCTGACGTGGATTGCAAACTATTGAAACAGGACAAACGTATTCTCAGATTAGAACAAGAGATGCAGTGCCTGAAGACCACGGGTGTCGTACACCTGTGGGGAAGTGGGGCACATGAGGTTTTCGTGTCCTAAGAAAGACCGAGGTGATGTGAAAGTTGGACGTGGGAATACCTTCGTCATCGATGGAGAAGGCAATGGAACTAAGTGTGATACAGTGGTTACGACACCCGTGGTCTTCAGGCACTGCATCTCTTGTTCTAATCTGTGAATACGTTTGTCCTGTTTCAATAGTTTGTAATCCACGTCAGATTCCAAATTTTCGAATTTTTTATCTACTTCTTGTTTCAGATCTCCTAATCTTTCTCCTATACGGCAAGCCTGTTCCTCCATCATACGACGTGTCTGAGCCTGTTCTTCCATCATTTGGCGTGCCTGTTCCTCTTGACGGCGATCCTGTTCTTCCTGACGGTGAGCCTGTTCCTCCATCAATTGCCGAACCTGTTCCTCTTGACGGCGTGCCTGTTCCTCTTGACGGCGTGCTTGTTCTTCCATCATTTGGCGTGTCTGCTCCTCTTGACGGCGTGCCTGTTCTTCGTGTCGGCGTGCCTGTTCTTCCATCATTTGGCGCAGAGCAAGGAGGATGTTGCCGTCGTTACTTTCGCCCATCCCGCGGTTCGCGTCAAAACTTTGTCGTCGGGCGGCGTCCCGTGCTGATTGTGCTCTTGTCTGCACTCCCTCCGCTGCTGGAGGGTCCGCCACAAACTCCTCTTGATTCTTCCTTGGAGTAATTGGCATTTTTCTATCCCCAATTCTGACATCAAAATGTTACGAGCTAGGGGATCGGATAGAAAACTCCGTATATTGCTTCAGGTGTTTATTTCTAAATAAATCAGTGAGGAATTTGTTTACACTAAAAAGCCGGAAATTACGCACAGAAATTCACTAAATACACATACACAAAATACTGTCACTAATTACTTTAATTACACGCACTTCACACAGTACTTTATCACTTGTCTTCACTATATTCGCACTTTATCTCTTCGGTGTTTATCCCTTGCAATCGCATTCAAAACTGAACTCATCGGTCGCGTTTCGGCTCGCTTATATATGCCTGGGAATAATCTTGAACGATGTTCGAGAACTCTCTAGGCGGGAGCGCTACTGAGTAGCGAACGCACAATTCTAGAACGTGCGTACTCGCTATCTCTTTCGTACATTGCTCCGTCCTTGTCGTACGGCGTTCTAGAGTTCTCGGTCTAGATTCGAGAAGGTTCCGATCTTCCCTCTCTTTCGCGTATCATACCGTCCTTGTATCACACCTAGAAAATTCGTTCTAGAATATTCCTTCATCAAAGGGGTATAACCAGGCCTGAAAACGCCTGAAAACGGGTTTCCTGAAATGTGTACCACTGGACTACACTTGTCCCGAAAATGCCTGAAATAATGTTTCAGCCTCCTGAAAACTAGGGTAATATTCTGTAAATTACGATTTTCTAATATGTGATTGACCTTCTCCTGAAACGATCAGAAATCACATTTGAGCCTGCTGAAAATTTCTCTAACTAGTGGAAAATTCTAAAAACATTGCAGTCGACCAGTCTTCGTAACAATATGAAATATTACTAACTACTAACTTTCGTACCAACTGATGTGAAACTGATCTAAAATTATCGTGATTCATGTGCACTTTCTTTTTTCATGTGTCCTTTTTTTAAATATTGTCCTGATCACTGCTTACATGTTTTAATTGCTTTGTTTTGTTCCATTAGTTTTGTCTAAATAACTATATGCCTTATGCCTTATGTATTTTTTATTTTTATTTTCTCTTAGCGGTTGCCTGGAACTGGAAGAGATCGCTCGAAAGCGATAAGGCCACCAGTTGCCCTCCTTTTCATTTAATTATGTCAATTGTATGCAACAAAGTGTTAATAAATAAATAAGGTACCCATTAAAATAGCAGCTTAGAATAGAGATTTCCTTTAATTTAGCAAATTTTGTGCATAGATGGAGCTTTTCAATTAATACAAATCACTTCAAAGCAATTGTTATTCTAATGAATGCAAGCACTTTATTAGGTTATTTAAGAAAATTCACGAATAAATCAATCAATATTACAGAGTAACCCTCCTGTTTAATTAAAGCGCGTCTTGTGTTCTCTGGGTATAGACCATAGTTAACAAATCATCACAATTAAATTTCAGGAAAGTATGGGAAATTCCTAAGCGACCAATTGGAGGCTGTTCAAGATTTTATTAAGAAAGACGTAATCGGTGGTCTCAAGAAGTCAGTTCAGACTGTCCAGGGTTTGGCTCCGATAAAACTTCCAGGCGTGCAAAAGGCAATTCCGCTTTTGGATTATTATCAGGCCATATTTGATAATTCAATGAAAGCAGTGGATGGTTTAGCACAGATTGCTGAAGCCACGGGTGAGATTTTTTTACAGTGTCTATTTTAAGACATTTATTTTAACATGTTTCATCATCATCAATGGCTATAGCCTCTTGTGGGCCTCAAGTAAATTTTGCCATCGCACTTTTTAGTGCTTCTTGCGTCCAACTTCTAACCCCTAATTTTTCGAGGTCCAACTACATCTCACTAACGCAGCGCCGGTCTACCGGGTTTTCTCTTGCCACCAGGTTGTGAGTTCAGTGAAGACCTTGGGGTTCTATCCTCCGCCATTCGTTGCACATATAACCAAAAAGTCAAAAACAAACCGATTTTGAAATCTAAAGTTTAACATGTTTGTACGTCCTTATTAATATAGAAAAAAAAATATATTCAGATTTTTATCCTTAGTTACGAATTGTGAAAGAGTAATCGTAGAGAATACAAAAATTTAATGTTATACTAGATAGTTTTTTTAGACTCCAAAAATCCTGAGGTAAGCCCTTCTGTCCCTTTTAAATGGAATAGGGAAGGGTGCCTTCAATTGGGGTTACTCGACTACCTGCACGCAGGTAATAAGCCTTGTCTCCCCAGCTGTGCCACGCACGAATAATTCTATATCAAAATCTATAGATGTAGAGCGTTAGATCAATTCTGTCACAACCATATTTTGTTATGAATATATTTAGATTTTTATGCTTATTTACGAATTATGGAGGAATAATCGTAGAGATGGAAATAAAATACAATTTAATAATATTGGGAGTAACCATCCTAGCTAGACCGGCTTTTCGATCGTAATATTACGATTTAAAATTTCCAAGGTAATTTAAAACAAACATAATTTTGTTGTAATACTTTTTGCCGCGCACACCACTACGTGGAAGCAATTCGACTCGAAGGCCCTTCAAGAAAAGAGCGTACCAATTCTTAAAGGTCGGCAACTTGCGAGCCTTCTGGTAGTGTCCGTGGATGGCGATATCACTTAACATCAGATCAGCCTCTTGCCCGGTTGCCCCCTGTAAAATACAAAATATATTAACTATGCTACCTATGTTTATTTATTTCTATTATTAATAATTATGTATTAAACATATCACCCAACACACATCACAAACATTTAAATTTATTACTTAATAGGTGACGCATTATTCAACTTCCCGGCGTATCAGAGCGTAAAAGAATGGAGTGCCGGCGCTCCGGCCTTGATGTACAGCTTCGAACATGTTGGCAACCTTAGTAAGGGATACCATTTTGTACCTGGAATAGCTTTGACTCGTAAGTATATATGTTACTAGCTGATCCGGCAAACGTCGTTTTGCCATGTATATCATTTATAATAAAAATAGGGGTTGATCGTAGGTGGGTGAAAATTAGGGGTTGTATGTATTTTTTAATGCTGTATCATAAAAACATAAAGAATAAATTTTTTTATCTAAAATTAAAAAAAAAAATTTGGGGTGGACTACCCTTAACATTTAGGGGGATGAAAAATAGATGTTGTCTGATTCTCAGACATACCCAATATGCACACAAAATTTCATGAGAATCGGTCGAGCCGTTTCGGAGGATTTTAACCACAAACACCGCGACACGAGAATTTTATATATTAGATATATGTAATCCTTAAAAAAGGAGAAATTTAGCAATCATCGAAACCGTTTTAACATTAGTAATGATTCTCTTTCTTACAAATTGTGGTAATGCCGTGAGAATTAAGACGGAAAGGAGACATTAGAGGAAAGTTTGATAATTATATTTGATAGTGACGTTTGTGTGACGTTGTTCAAGCCTAGCGAAAAATTTAAACATTTAACGCCTTTAGTACACCTACGCAATCGCATGCGGCAGCGAAACGACGAAAAAACTGTAAGTTGTATGGCAACGTTTCGCATGTGTTTTGTCTCGCTCTAATATATAGCTAGATGAAATAGTTGCGTCCTTGTCGGTATTGTTTCGCAAGTAACTGCGAAATGGCTGTTACACAGACGCAGCCGTTTCGCTACTGGAGTTTCGCATCGCAAGGCGTCACCACGCGTTCTGTCAGTGAGGACAGAATTTCGCACAATGGAAGCCGAAAATATTGAATTATTATTGAATTTGAATCGAAATTATCCCGAATTATATTTAGTTGGGCATGTTGATTACAAAATCCTCTTCAGAATCTGAAAGCGACGACTGGGACGACTCAGATGACATTCTGAAACGACGTCTGCACCTACAGCCCACGAAAGCTACAATGACATATTCTTGCGAAAAACCTGCAGTGTACTAACGTTCCGCAGATATTTCGCTACCGCAATTATTTCGCAAAGATTCGCAGCCGCATACGAACGCGTAGGTGTACTAAAGGCGTAAAGATGTTACAGATTAATTGAACGCACACGCAAATATAAATTACTACAATCCAGTAATACCATCAAGTCTGTTTTTTTTGTATCTAGTTGGAGAATTTTAACTTTGATTTATATAAATAATTAAAAAAACATTAGGAATCCTTTAACTTACGCTTATATATTTGATTGTAACCTAGTAAATTTATGAATTAGACCAATTATATACTTTATGATTTTCATGTACTTTGTACTTATTGTCGTAGAAGATGCTGACAAGCCTTCAGATAACGTACAGCAAAAGTCCAAAGGCCCAGCGCACGGCGACGAACTAGCCTACCTCTTTGAACCGTTGGATAAAGACGGAAATTCTTTAAATGAAAAAGTATCAGACACAGATGCAGAAGTACGAAAATCATTTGTAGGGCTTTTCGCGAACTTCGCTCGTAATTTGAGTGAAAATAAAACGAGCGACGCGAAACTCTTTGGTTTCATTCCTTATTCAATGGACGGAGAGAATTATTTGAAGATTGGTGAAAAGATTACTTTGGATAAGAACTTTAGGTTTGTATGACAGTTGTTTTCTGTCAAAGAATATAAGAGTAACAGAAAGTGACATAGTATATATACTTTTTTCTTGCCATCAGAAAGACATTATTCATTAATTTATTATATTATTAATTATCTTTGCTACTAGGCTAAACGTCGGATTACGCTAATTAAAATTTTATTTTTTTAAATAATATCTGTTTTTATATGCATTTTATACTTATAATATGCAATAGTTTTTATTACCGTTTATAAAATTATGTATTATTAACTTTTATATAGATATACTTAATAAAATACCGATTATAAAAGTTAATCACAATTTACAGATTCTGCCAAATTGGTTTGTGGGGCGAAATGTCAGATCGATTAATGGATGCCTTCTGTAAAAATCACTTGGAGCAAATCCTCAAATTACCAAAACTTATATCGCCTATCGCTATGCAAGTCGATAAGGCCGGACAAATTCCTGTGGTGAATGGTTTAGGCCTTCTAGGAATGAAATCAAACGCTCACCAGCCAAGAAATGCTTTTAATAGTATTAATCTTTTTGGTGTTAAATGATGTATAAGTTTAATAAATGTCTGATATTTTACTTGTTTTTATAGTGTATATGTCACCGTAAAATTGTAAACACCGTTAGATTGTAAACTGTCGAAAGATTTAAGGTTACCGATTTCTAAATCCAACTCATTTTCTCCTCAAACACAAATTAAAATTGAAAAAGTAATGAAATTTTCTTTCATTTCATTTCCAACACTCACTTAGTTATCATTCAAACTTCTTTGGTCAATCACAGATTAATTTTACTTCCCAACAATTTCATATAACTAATTTTAAAGCTGTGAGTTACTTTCAACACGACATCAATTTACATCCATCAAAACAATCAATTTACATTAGACAACAAACGAATTAACAAACAAATATGGTGGTCAGTGTGACCAGATTTTAATTGACGAATCTACTGCTTGTGGAGGTTAAAAACTACTGAATTCTACCGAAAGGAACGAGAAAATCTATTATATTTTTTTGCTGTTGTGTTACAACGTAAAACATGAATGATTTCTTGATAAAACGATAGAATATTAAACAAAAATGTATAAAATGATACTTAAAGTAAAGATTTTTCGTCTTTATGTTGGGTAACATTGTCATAAAGCAATTTTGAGTCCATTAACTTGAACATACTTGTGCCAGATCTATTGACTGCAGCGGAGTAGTTTTTATATAATTTATCTTCATAAAGCAACTCAAAATGGAACTCATCATGTTTTGTATGTCTGTTTCAATTTTATGAATAAGGGTCTGATCACTTTGAAAAATAACGTTAAATTTTGTAGATTTACATAACCAACTTTAAATAAGGGATCTTGCTACTATTCATTGCGATATATTTGTGTATATTTATGTTTCATTAAACTCGATTATATAAATTCTCAATAAAGGAATTCCCACATCACACTCTATGCTCACGGCACGAATGGTAACGAAAAGAATGAACATTAAATAGGTATAATCCAATCGATGAAAGAGGAATACCTTGCTTTTATTCGATATGCCAAAAAAAGTACTAGAATAACTGAAAAGCGTGAATTCTACTAAAATATACCAAATAATTTTTACATACTAAATTCTGTTGACAGTACCTCAAAATCTACCAAAAAAGTAGAAATCTACTAAATCTGGTCACACTGATGGTGGCACGGGGCATATTCCGTTCAACCAATCAGCGCGCGAGGTGCGATCCGTTTCACAATTTGACGGTTTCACTTCGATAGATTACAATCTACCGAATAATAATACGTTAAATTGTAAGCAGTACGCTGAGGTTCACAATCTTTCGACAGTTTATAATCTCGCGAGATAGATTACAATCTAACGGTGTTTACAATTTTACGTTAACATATATAATTCACATATATAATTCAATAATACAGGAGAGTTCGGCTGCGGCCTAACTTAAAAAATATTTGAGATAATATTCAAATATATTTTAATTTTTAATATTATAAAAATGTTTGTGTATGGTACAAACATAAACTCAAAAACTACTGGACCGAATTCAAAACTTCTTTCACCACATCACAAACTTTTAAAAATCCTCTAGCCGTGTGTATCCGGAACTAGTCAATAAATACTAATAATTAGTTACAGAAACTATTCGATTTTTGCAGAACATGAATAGTATAAATTATGGTCTAGTAGCAAGGTCTACATAGGTTCCTTTTCAGCCCAAAATTTATTTACTCGGAATTCGATTGCATACCTCCAGGTACCTCCAGTGTTGTTTATTCAATATACTTAGGATAAATAGACTTTGTCATACTAAGAAAACTTGCGTAATGTATAAAAATCTTACGAATGTAAAGTTGGTGGATACAGGTTATACAAATTTTTTTACGCATTCCATAGAGCAAGTTGCTTTTTATGCATAGCCTAGCTATATCATAAGTAAGTTTTTATACCAATAGAGATATATTCTTCTTTTAGTGCCTCTCCATTACTGGAGGTTGGCCAATAGATATTTAATATTGACAAAATAAACAAACATGACGCAAATATTGTCTTTGCTATTGACATTTGCGAGGATAATAAATTCTCTGAACTAAAATAGGGCCAACTAGTAGATTAATTACTTCTACAAGGACTTAGTTCGTACAAGGGGTTCAATAATTAAACAAAAGATTAATATAATTGAACTATAAACTAATCATTTGTATTTGACATTAGCTAATGCTGTCAATTTACCATTTTCATACAAATTCATTTGGCGTTACTGGGTCACGCCTGACGAAAAGTTATTTTGTCTCAAGCAATATATACGAGTATGTCCAAAAACTATATACGTTTCGAAGAGAGACTAAGCCAAGTAATTTGATAACAGAACATAAATGCATGACGCTAAAAGAATCACGTACAAACTACTTTTAAAATGTTGTTATTCATATACATGCTAAAAATATATTTAAATTTTATAATAACCTACTGCAAATAAACAAAACCCCAGAATCATACAAAATACAAGTTTTCTTTTCCTTACAGCTTCAACACAATTTGACAGAAATAGTAATTACTTAAAATAATTAATTAGTTTTTATGAATATGGGCGTTAATTTTTAGCAGATATAACAATTTTAATTGCAGAGAAAATATTTTTCTACACTATAGTATAGACCATATAATATTGTCCGTCGCGTGACGGAAAAAATACTTATTATTAAATACTCCTTACTTAAGAATGAAGAACCTTTTACAGGTAAAAGAGTATATTAGTGTGTGTTATAACATGAATATTTAAAAAAATGCATAGTTTGTTTAAGGAAAATCAAAGTATAAATATATAATATGAATCACCCTGTGCTTACATCTGTTCCCTTATCTCACATATGCGGGTTATTTGTACAATTCATTGCAACATTTTACTACGCATAAAAGACTAGTCTTTCCATTTTTTCTCATAGGTTCGTCTGTAAACATGTTCAAGTTATTATTATTAACCGCTCTTGTTACTGTGTGCGTTAACGCAAAAATATTAAAGGGAGTGATTGATGAGAAACCGGTTTTTAATATGAAAAATCTTGAAGATGAGGTGAACGAAAATGATTTAAGCTACCCCCCTGATGTGGCTATTCCGGCAATATATGACATTCAATGCAGGGAAATTGGCGAGTTTGTAAGTAATATTCAATACTATCTTATATTAGTTCTGTAATTAAAGAAAGTATTATGGGACGAATTAACTAAAAACTCCTTGAAGAAAAGATCGTGCTGATGTTGCGAGTATTCTGGCATTGTGAGTGTCCATGGTCGGCGTTATCACTTACCATCAGGAGAGCCCTGCTCGTTTGCCCCCTGTTAAACATTTAAAAAAACTTGGACAAAAATACATTACTACATATATGTATAGAGTACTTCATAAGTCTTTACTTTGTTGGAATGTCTCAAGTTGCTATCAAACAATAATATTTCTCTAAGTCATGCTTTGTTTTGTTAATTTAATCATGTGTGTCATCAAGACAGACTTTGTGTTGTATAATTATAGTTCTGTCTTTTGAAAAGGTGTATAGATGTTTTTATATTTATAATTTTTGTCATTTTTCAGTGTAACTACCACACAGACTGCTGCAGCAACGCTTGTTTGGGCTACATGAAGCGATGTGTCTCTGGTTCAGGATAGAAGAAATCGTTAACATAAGATAAGATATGATTTCATTTTATACCTTTTTATGTCGCCTAAAATATCAAGAATCATGTAGCATACGATTTGTGTCCTAAAACAAGATTTTATTAAAGATTTTTAACAACCAACAATTTGTCTTTTCTTCTCTCTTCAATTATACAATAAAAACATTATAAAATAAAAATGTATGAAATTTGGTATTGTCGAACCCTCTAAAGCAACGGTAAGAAATTTGTAAATATATAGATAAAAATCTTATTAACTCCATATTATAAACTAGAAAGTTAATAGACTAATATGTTCTAAGAAATGAAAAAGGAAATAATGTGAAACGAATTTTATTAACACTTACCGCCTACAATAAAACTCATAGCAAATATGTTTTTCATCGCCATTTCATGTGTTTGTAGGATCATAGGAAGCTTCCTGTACGCCTTTGGCAAATGTATTACCAAGTAGGTTCCAATAAAAGCAGCTCTCACTTTCTTTTTCAAATATTTTCTATACTTTAAGCGCTGGTTAGTCCAGGCTTGGCGTGGGTTGCTATGACACTCTGCCGGTTAATGCTCAAGTTGTGGGTAAATAGAAGATGGGGAGCACTCTCTTACCGACTCATTCATGTCCTCACAGGCCATGTTACGGGGAATATCTTCACAGAGTCATCCAATGGTTTGCCATGTTACGGGGAATATCTTCACAGAGTCATCCAAACCAGGAGGGAGGCATCCAATAGTTGTCAAGAGTGTGGTTTCGCAGACGACACAGCGCAACACACTTTAGAGGTTTGTCCGGAGTGGAGCTCTGAACGGGTAGGGAACCGCCACCTTCGGATTGGATGGGTCGCTTCCCGTCATGTTTCCAGCGAAAGCTATGGTGGAGGCTGACAGCGACGGCCAGTGGAACACTTTCAAAGCGTTGTATAAGGTCGTCGTAACACTTAAAGAGAATGCGGAGGGGGTTCGGGAGTGTAACCCAGACACCGACCCTCAACGCAAAAAAAAGACCTGGGAGACGACGCCGCGATTACTCCCGTATTCCACTTTGACCTTCGCATCGGATTGGGGACCTCGGAAGTTGGGCTCGAAGTAGTGCCGCAAACGCTCTTGACGGGGACACGGATTAAGGGAAACTGTTACCGTGTCTCCCGTCAATAGCCAGCGAATGGGGCTTTTGGGTTGGATTTTAGTGGGTAGGTGTCTATTGCAACTCACACTCCTCGCGGCACTTTTAAATGTTGCCCCGGCGCGGGGGTCTGTAAATTGATTTCCCAACAATAAAAAATGAAAACAAAGGCTTGACATGGGTTGGATCAAAATAAAAACTCGTTCCACGTTATGACACACAAAAGTTGGATTCTACCTACTTAAGTACCAAGAAAATTGATAAATATAACAGGTGGAGTCATTTTGTGACATTGAACTGTTTATAAAGTAATAAATAAAAAGAAAAAGGGTACGATAAAATAATAAGTATAAAAACTGTGGATCATAATAGAAAATTATTTACCTCAAGCGTTATGAACAAACCGCAAATGTTAGGTTTATTCATGGAAATGCTAACGTTTCGCAATAACATAATTACAGTTTCCACCAAATACCTATTTGAAACTTTATAAGTAAAGATTTCAAAATGATTGCATCTTTTAGAAGTTTGCTTCCATCAAATGGATACAAGAATACCCTTTATATTTTTATTGATATCATTAAGTACAAGTGTTCTTGTTAGGAATGAACGTGGTAGCAATGCTTATAACAGAAACATATTTCGGAAGAAAAGACAGACTGGTTATATGTATGAAAAGCCTAGTATTTCCTTCGATTTGCCTTCAAGAACTACATCGATTCCAGCGACAACCCAAACACAAATTGTAAACCAAATGCAAATGTACTACGCGTATCCCGTTCCTTCTGTGGCAAACAACGATGTTGGACCGTCAAGTAGTACTGGAATTTTAGATACGGAGCCCATAACGAGTACAGGAACATCTGGATACAACTACCAAAATCAGCCGCGAAACGAACCTGTCAAAACTGATGGCAATATTGATTATTCCAACTCAGGGTCTCAAATCGTATCAGGGTCAGGATATAATTATGAAAAACCAACGACTGGTATGAATGATTCCAATGGAAATCAAAAAGGTGTTAGTTATACGAGTTCAGGTAGCGGAGGATACGGTAATCAAAATATTGCTCAGACTGGTAATAGTTACCAAAATCAAAATAATATAATGCAAAGGGGATATACTGCTAAAAATGTAATTTCTACAACTAGAGCAGGTTACGATTACAAAGTTCCAGGAATTGATACAAGACAAACGGGTGGTGGTGACACAGAAAATATTGGATATTCTTCTAATGGAGCTACTAGTAATGGCATGCTCGAATATTATTCTGAAAAACAAAATTCCAGAGGTATTATTCAAGGAAGTGAAAACACTGCTAAGGTTGGTGCTGTAGAAACAGGCGCCTTTGATACATCAGGTGGATATAATTACAATGTTCAGAATGCTGGAATTATGCAAGCCGTAGGTAATACAGTGAATGGTCCTGAGACAATAGCGACCAGTAACGCGGGTGGCTATTATTATGAAAAACAAAATATTGGTAGTAACCAAATGGATGGAAATACTGTTACTGTAGGAATTTCTGATATAGGACCTAATGTACCAGAATCATCGGATGGATATAATAACAATATTCAAAGTACTGGAATTAGTCAAGCCAACGGTAATAATGTAAACATTGGTTCTGGAAATAGTGGTACAGGTGGATACAGTAACTATCAAAGTCAACCTATTAACATCAATCAATCGGATCTCAATAACGATGTTGGAGATTCTGGATACAGTTATGAGAGACAAAATGTTGCAGTGTCCCAGCCGGTAATCAAGCAAGAAGAAAGTAGTGTGTCAACTAGCGCTCCAGCGTACCTTCCGCCAATTCAATCAGTTGATAGACCAACAGAATCTTATTTACTACCTCAGTTAAAACAGATCAACGCGATTCAAACTGTAACCAGCAAAACACCCACAGTGAACACCAATTCACCATTTCTTCCAAAACCTTCCTTGAGTTCTAACTACCTAACTCCTGCTATGGTAAACCCTACTTTGGAAGTAACAGGATTAAAACCGACTGTTCAAACGCCTGTCAAATATATACCTCCAAAATTACCATCTGTTAAGCCGTCTATACCAAACCGAACATATATCACACCAAATATTGAAGTAAATCAGGATTCTAATAAATCTACAAATTTGCTAAACGATGGACAACCGACCCAACACTCAGGATCCTTAAATGGGCATCAATATTTACCGCCAAGTAATTTATACTCTCCAACAGTGTCTCCTCCAGCATCTACATATTTACCACCTGTTTAATTTCTTAATTTTAGGGAGGTCATCTAAATTTACATACAATTAAAAATGATCACTCGAATATCATATGATAAAATATATTTGTTTAGCGGCAAAATTGTATACATTCCTATTTATTTAAAAAAAATCTTTTGAGATTACTGGTTTAGTTGCTGCCTACATCAAAATTTATTGTACCTATAACAGAGAATGAATTTATTTAAAAATGGAAAGCATATTATATAACATCTATAAATACAGATTAAATATGGTAGTTTCATCTGTGCCTAATATTTAATTCTTGTCACTGCCATTTTTTATGGTGTGACAAACTGTGACAATTGACTGTATACACAAAATATAATTGTAAATGCATATTGCATTTATATTTTCAAAGTCAAAGATGAAAGTTATTTTTAATCTCAAAATTTAATATTTCGTTAAGAATTTATAATAAATGTGTGTTTCATGTTTAAACAATGAAGCAGTTTATTTTTCCATTCAATAATCTTACAATGTGAAGGTGATATAGATACAGGAAAAATTATATCTAGTTGGAAAATAATATGATTTTATCCAGGAATAAGCTAAAATTTTCTCGAATAGGAAGCAAGGTCTGTATGTTTTTTGAAATAAATTGACTATAAAATTTTGAATATACATTTTGCTTACTTAAGAGGAACTATACAGGATGGCTAACATAAATGATTATTACAGAGGCAAGGTGGGAGTTGGGATAAAGATGGTGCATCTTGAAATGACTGACATGCAAATTTGTCACAACCTGACTATAAATGATCTGCCGAACGAATTACTAATCTATATTTTTTCTATGATTGATTTTGAATCATTATTAGCTGTAGCAAAGGTGTGTATGCGTTGGCAACAACTATGCTTAACACCATGTATTTGGGATAATACCAGGCTAATTGTATGTATGAAAAATTATGTCAGAATAAGTGATAACATTGTACCATTTGTAGCAAAGTATTTAAAAAATGTAAAACTTCAGTATTTCAAATTGTATTCACAAGTCAGAGCTTCCCTCATTAGCTACTGTCCTAATTTAACTCATTTAGAAATAAGTATATCTCAAGTCGATAGCTGTATTTTTGATGATCTTGGTCATTGGCCTAACTTAAAATTTTTGAGTTTCCGTAATTCTTTAATAGTACAAAACCCTGACGGCTCTAATGGAAACTTAGTTTATCATTTGCCATTTGAAAAACTTAAGTATTTAGAGACTTTAATATTATCGAATTTTGCATTGACACAGAGTAGTTTGTATAGTATGCTTCAGTGTGTCAATTTAGTCAGTATTAACATGGAAAAAATGAAAAATATTCCTGCAGACTTTTTAGAGTCGCTTCTGAGAACCAAACAGTCTAGTTTACATGCCCTGCACATTTATGGTGATACTCTCAATGATGATATCGTGTGTTCTATATCTAACTGCAAGGTTTTACAAGTTCTTCATATAATGACATGCAAAACATTATTTGATTCAAGTTTACGTCATCTGAACAGGTTAAAAAATTTGAGGTCATTAAAATTACGTCATGGGTACTTTTCTACTAATGCATTATTATCATATTTTACAAACAATAAGTTTCAATATTTAACATATTTAAGTCTGTCGCGATGTATGCATGTGACAATGAATGTGGCTAAAGCTATCAAAACAAGTGCCCCAAATCTAAAGGAATTGTCGTTTTATCTTTGTCCTTTTATTATTGCTCCAGACTTCAAAAGAAATGAATTACAAAAAATGTTTACCATTGAGTTATTGCTTGATTAAAATAATTAGTGACCTCATTTTAAATAGGTTGTCAATAAGTGAACAAAGCAGCTTAGCTATCCGTCCACCTCATATACCTAAATCATCTGCTTTAATTGTGTTTAAAATGCCTATTATAAATAGGGTTAATAGAACTTGACATGACATCAATTGAGAGTACACATGGTAGTATTTGAGCAAGAGTATTTTATACAAGTGATAATTTAAGTGTTTGGAATTTACTAACATTTTGATGTTTGAATATTATAAATACATGTATTGAATGTATTAGTAAATTTGTTGTTTAAATGATTGTAACATTAAAATTAGTCAATTATCAAGTGCCTTACAAATATCAAAAAATATTTGTTACATATTTTGTTCAAAATTATATTATTGGAAGAAAATTAAAATGTATTATGTAGTGCCTACTATATATATATATATATTAAATGTTTGTGCTGTTTATTTAAATGGTATTTAATCTTTATTAAATATTTTAAGAATAAGTTAACTGTTTTAATAGTGCTTAACTTCACTTGCTGTTACTGCCTTTACAGCTTAGACTTAACGCACCATACATCTCACTTCAGAAATGTTTGCTCCATACTGGATGGAGCTTCTAAAATTAATAAAAATAATTATCTTTACAATGGTCACATGATAAATTCAGAATATGATTTTTTGTATGACAAAAATGTTTTAAAATAGCAACTTATTACAATTACTTTTTATTTCATATAAAATATAAATAATTAACAGGTATATATTATAATTGTAATTATATGAATGGTTCAATGTTAATTTCAAGAGCAGAGCAAGGGTTTGTAAGTTCAAATGCTGTCAATACATTAGGATGTATGACACCAATTTTTCCAATCACTGTATCCCGCAGGAGAACTTCAGCGCATCTGCCAGGGAAATATGCTGGATCTGTAAAGGCAAGCGATGTCAGAAAAGTGAATTATCATTTGTTTATATTGGGAGCGCAATGTTCACATAGGAACATCAATTTAAAAAATCAAATTATTCTAAACTTAAATTTACTGCCAGTTCTCAAATTCTGAGCATATAATGGATGCAAACTAGCAATAAACTCTCCAGCACTCTTTTAAATCAGCTATTGTACAAAATAATTCTTGCTGCAATTACATCATGCTCTTCATGACATCTTTAAGCAATAAATAATATAAGAAAAAACAAAGTTTAATCTGACACTAGGCTTAATGAAATATCACATTGTGTACCAAGCATATGCAAGGATACCACTTGACAAATAAATTTCTTACCATATAATTTGTAGCACATAAGTTCAGCAATATAAGCTCTATGGATAACAAACTATGTACATAGAAATTGGTTTACTGTGTTAGATAATTTCATAAACTAGTTTGTTGTAATTAAATTATATGTGTATCGGTTTTTGTCATCATAAGCTGTATAATTTTTTTGGTTTTTGTAGTGCGAGTTTATACTCAACTAATAATTGAAACCACCAGTTAGTTACAGTTACATGGCTTGCCTATGCCCATTCATTTATGTCGGTCCAAATCAGTAAAAAATAATTGACAAATATATTGAATAATATGTTATATTAAGAACAACCAACCTTCAGCCTGCCTCAGCCAATATCCATCCTTGGAGCAAGGTGTCGTGAGCAGTGCCATAACTCGGTCCAGCAACCCGTGCACAAACTGAAAGCCAGCTGCACGTCCGCAGTATAACGCGCATAGTCGACGCTCGTTCGTAGCGCCCGTCTCTATAAATTAACATTGTGTAATTTAGGTACATAAAATACAATAAATAAATAAACAGTGGTGCTAAAACGTTTTAGGGCCTCAGAGACCTCTGTATGTCGTAGTTTTTTCAAGTAGGTGATCAGCCAGCGTCCTGTGCCTGACACGCCGTCCACATTTTGGGTCTAAGGCAAGCTGGTTACCTCACCGTAAGAGCAGGTGTTAAATGCACATAGAAATAAAGGTCCATTGGTGCATTGTGATTTGAACGCTTGTCCTCAAAATTGAAGCACACTTTCAAGCCACTAGACCGTTACTACTTTAACACAATCTGTTTAGCTTATTAAGCGCTACAACGCTTTTAGTTTCAAGCATTTGTTTTTCAGTCCATTTTTTTGATATAAAATAAATTACATGTGAAAACTGTCTTGCATTGCATAGTTTGATTATTTTGTTTTGGTTTGAGATATTTAAATTATTGATTTTATTTAACGAATTATTATAGTTAATCTACTCGTAGTGTATTTTGCGATGTTGCAAGGAAAACATGGGGAATCCCTAAAAAAGCAATCGCTTAGCGAGTTTCATATTGTATAACTTATCGTCGGTCTGCACTGAGGGATTACGGGACTCATAAAAACAATGAAAATCTTACCTGCTCCATCATCCTTTAACACGACATCGCTGATTTCAAAAATTTTCAAGGGCAAAGGCATTTTCTTATTAGCTGCGAGGGTCTTCAGTAGTCCGGGTAACAGAAGGGTCCTCACAACTTGGAACTCCAGGGTTTTCGGATTCGAGATGTGGACAGCTGCTACATCTTCTATATTGCGACCCAGTTTTGTTGCTACGTCTTCTCGGGAACACTGGAATTAATGGTAGAAAACATAAAGTATCACTTAAAACAAATTTTAGTGGATAGCATGTTTCTCCAGACACGGGTTCACAAAAGTCCATCCTTGTAAGTAGGGACACGAAACACTTGTCATATCATTTAAAAACATTTTAAAATTTTTGTTTAAAGGCGTTTTATAACGGTAACGTTTACTTTTTCATATTCGCTTAATAAATAAAAAGTATTAATTATAGCATCCATTAAATTATTTAAATGCTACTTTAGACCATGATGGAACATACACGAATAAACACAGACAATATTCTACTTCTAAAAAAATTTTTTTATAGACAGGCGGCAAACGGGCAAAAAACGTACTTGATGATAAGTGAGACCGCCGCCCATGTATGTTACTGCCTTTTAGGAATTGGTACACTCTTATCTTGAAGAACCCTAAGCCGAACTGGTTCGGAAATACTTCAGCGAGCAGCTGGTTCTACAATGCGGTACTGCGTGGCAAAAAATGCCTTAAAAATGCCCAGTTGTGGAACGACGGATGTCGAAGTGATACGATGACCGATGATGAATCTCAGCTGCCTAATCCGAACAACTTCGAACACCTTATATTCTAAATACGGTAGCAGATGCAGAAAAGTAAACTTAAAAGTCATTGATCGCGCCATTTTGGCATCTGTTGACTATTACAATCAAATTTCAATCTTAATCGATAAATTAAAATATATTACCAAAGTGAATGTTAGCGCTTCCGTATATCCTGCGTGTGCGCATTCCTGTCGCAATTGTTCAGTTAGTTTGTTGGCCTGGGTTTGTGCCCCGCATGTCACCACACTCGATGGACGACGTGGTATGTTATTGTATCTGTAATTATAGTTATAGTGGTCTAATACGGTGTAAAGGTACACAAGAGAAAATTGGTAAAAATAATAAAACAAAATGCCATTACTCGCGAGTCAACTGTTTCATTATATCGGGATTATTAATTTATTCGGCGCATTTGCCTCCTGTATCTTTGTTAATTTTACACAAACGTTATATATTATAAACTGTTATTTTCGTGGTAGATTGAAAAGCTATGCGTCCATTAAGCGATCTCTAATTTATTAGTTTGTACACGAAATTAAACGTTTATTTAGAAAAATAGCTTTGCTGTCTAAGCTATCTGGCAGTGTGGCTGACCATATAAGGCAGTATCACTTAACATTGGATGAGCCTGCGGCCCGTTTTCTCTGTTCTATAATAAAAAAATGTTTTTCTCACCCAAAAGCAATGGCGATGTCTTCGTATAGGTCACAAGCATGAATGACGTCACGCCTCGTTGGTGGCACTTCTACGGATAGTACAGAATCCTGGTGTTCCGTCGGAAGGCACATTCGGGTAAGGAGCTCTGCTAATTTGTCACCATTTTCCCTATAATCGAAAAATAGTGTATGACGTACACGTTCTTATAACCGTGCATTTCATGATTTTATTGTCATAGTAATAATATTCTTATTAAATACATAACGTTTATACGCCACGATACGCAAGCGGGCTGTATTTCTGGTAAGGCGCGTGAGAACCCTAACAGCATGCTGGCAGGAAGGCTGGATTGCCCTTACATGGGTCATTGCAATGGACTGCATGTGCCCTTTTTAATTTTATGATTTAATATACTTTATAGCTACTAATATAATATTTAAGACAATATTGTAACTAACACATGTATAAACATATGGACTACAAATAAATAAATACAGTCAAAACCGTTTATAACGACATTGAAGGGACCGTATAGTTGCCGACGTTATATCCGATAGTCGTTATAAGCAATGTCATATACACAAGTACAGTACATATGTATGTACATAGTTACATTATCATAGTTATCCATCCAGAATAGGTAGGTATGGGTTATAATATGGTATGTTAATATTATTATATGTAAAGGAGTCAAAAAAAGAAACAAAAATATTTATTACGAAATAATTAGGTACAAAAGTAATCAGTCATTTTGGTCTGATTTTTTTTTCCCAGTCTCAAATATTTTTTGCATTTTATCCATATGACATGAGATTTTTATTCAATAGAAAACACTTTTCTCACATACAAGTCGTCGGAAATATCTGCGAACCTGGCTTAATGACGTCATACAAACTGGAGAGATAGCAAAAAAATTGAAGATGTAAAAATAAAAAATATTTTATTTGTGTACTTATTTTTATTGATACTCGTACCTACTTGAAATTTACAAATACTTATTATTTACATTATTTAAAATTCAAATTATTTACAAATTTACAAATAATACAAAGAAAAAGTAGAGAGGAAGAGAAAGTGGCGAAACTATTCTAGAAAAGCCTCGACACCAGACATGGTAGCGCTGTCGTTTTCGTCATCTTCTATATTATCACTCAAAATGTTGTCTTCGGTTTTGCTGTCACTGTCTTCTCCTCCTAATGAAATTATTAATTCGCGTTCTTCATGTTCATATAATCTGTCATTATGCCAAAACTTATCTCTTAAGCGATCAACATGGTTGCATTCTTTTTTCCAATCTTCCGGGGTTATACTTTGGATCGCTGCCTTTGTTAACCTTTCTATATCTTTTTCTGATTGGTCAATATTTTTGTCTGCCACCCTTTGTTTCATCAAATTCCAAACATACTCAATAGGGTTGAGATCACAGTGGTAGGGTGGCAGACGTAATACCTCATGTCCATGAGCTCTAAATATTTCATCGATGAAATATACCTTCTCAGGTTTATTTCTTTGAATCAACATATACAGTTCTCTTTTAGTCATTTTGTCATCAAATTCGATGTTGTGTTCTTGCAGCCATGTTTGCATTTCGTTTTTACGTGCACTGAAATTTGGCGGCTTATTTGCCTGCTTACTGTGATAGGGCGCGTTGTCCATGACAATTATTCCGTTGGGTGGAAGGTTCGGTATCAATTTCTCTTTAATCCATTTGGTAAAATTGGACGCATCCATTTCGTCATGGTAATCACCGGTTGTTGATTTACACTTATATAGGAGCTCGGCTCCTTGTATGAAACCGTTCTCATTACCTGCGTGTACCACAATCCAGCGCTGACCAGGAGAGTGATTTATTCGGACACTGGAATCACTACTATTTTGCCAACATTTTGAGACAGTATAGTGTGAATGTATCCAGGTTTCGTCGATAAATGTAACTGGTTTTTTTCGGTACCACGTTCGTCATTTTCTTTCAGTCGCCTTAAATATTTTGCTCTCCAGGCTGCTATTTCAGGTCTTTGCACCAAAAAAATCGCGTTTTCGTTTACATTTTTAAAGCTGTACCCCAAATCATTTATTAGTATGTTTCTTAGGGCGTCTTTTTGGCCGGGAAAGTTGAGCTCCCGTTTTGCTATTGTAAGAATCTTTTTTAAAGTAGGTATTTCTTTTCTTGTGGTATAAAAACTTTCAACCAAAGAGCGTATCGCGCATAAATCAAAATTATCTAGATCTTTTTGTATTTTTTACGCTTTTTCCCTGGTGTCGAGAGCTTGATAGTGTCTGTGGCAACTGAAGCTGAAGTACTAGGTTGTGGATGCTCACCATCTTCGAAGGACGTCATGTCTTCCTGAACATTCGCTGCTCGCGCTGTTTCTGTTTGTATTTTTTTTGCTTCACGTTTTATTGTCATTATTGTCGTTTTAGATAAACCAGTTGCAGCACAAGCCCTTTTTGTTGCTTGTTCAACCGGCACAGTGAAAGAGCCGTGTTTTTTTTCATTTTCAAAGAATTGGATTACTTTGAGCACTAAATTCCGCTCTGCACTATGTATAGTCCTACCCATCTTACATACAGCACTAAATAGGTAGTTTATGTAATATTTCACCAAACAGAGAAACAATAAACACTAAAATGCGATTACGAAAGGAAGAATAATACACGTGCGTCGGCGATTGCGTTGGCAACGGTACTGGATAGGCGAAAACGGGGCGGGGTGCGGGGAAGCGCCAGGGGAAGCGCATTCCAGCGAGGTTCGCAGATATTTCCGACGGATTGTATCACATAAATGCACAATTGCACAGTCTAAACAACACCAACACTTTAAAATCAAACTGTCAATTAGCGAACTAAACATGTGTAAAGTATGCAAGGTCAAATGGCCGGGAAGAGGTTCGGATGGGGCGGGAGAAAGTGCGTAGGTAATAATATGCCTAATATTCATTCAATGCTTATAAATAAGATTTAAAATCGTTTGTATTGTTTTGTTTTGCTGAGACAAGAAGCGGTTGGTCGTTATAGCCGATGAATATCGATAAAATTTCGTCGTTGTAAGCGATATGTCGCTGTATCCGATGTTGTTATAAGCGGTTTGTTTACTGAATAGTTTACTAGGAATTCGGACGGGACCATACAATCTGGTTGTAATAACCGATAGGTCGTTGTAAACGATGTCGTTATAAACGGTTTTGACTGTAATTATTATTTTTGTAAAAGTAACTTAACCGTAATTTTGTCGATATATCTGCTTCAAAGTCAGAAAAATGAGCTATTTATTTGTATTGTGTCTTCTGTATAAACTATGAACCAACTTCGAAACCCAAAGACTCGCAATTTAACATGCAATTTTCGTGTATCATATAACAAAATACAGTACAAATATATGAAAAAATTCGTTCCATATAAATCATAACTTATGGAGAATATGTTTGAGAATCTTTGATAGTAAATTACCAAAATAATTGTAAGTATGAAAAAATTAATCTGAACTCACTGTATTCCTATATAGCTGTTAGCTTTATCAACGTTTATGGTTTCACGGCGATGCTTTAACTCCGGATATAGTTGATACGTTCCGTCCGGCGCGAACACCTTACATTGCTGCGCGGTGTACGTCTTACCGCAGTATACAGAGAACATACACACCAGCGTATCTAGAACTACTGTTGCCTGTCAGTGATGTTTGAAAGAATTAAAATAAATTATTTATAAAAAAAATATAAAATGCGATTTGCAAGCATGGTTGCTTGGTGAAGTAATTTAATAAATTGTTCCTATTAACTTTATTTATTATGACACTCGCGAAAATCAAAGATTATATTAGAATTACTCTAGCACGTGTCTTACAATTACTGAAGAGAGAGCGAATTACTTATTTCACAAACAAATAAATAAATAATGAATATAGCTTTAAAAATTAACAATATCGGCGTATGACATATGATGCTCTCTAAAAAAGACAAATGGAAGCATCTTTTCACCAACCAAGAGCAGGCAAGCAATCCAATGGGACATACATTATCACATCCCAGGCGACTTTATGAGGTTTACGCCTTAGGGTGATATAATGGTTGAGTTAATTAGTCAAGAAGGTAAGTTCAGACAAGTGTGAGGCACTTTTTTCTTAATGCAAATAGATAACTTTCATGCTTAACTTTTATTCATACCTTAGTTAAATCAGTAGCTGTACACTCAATGAACACATTTTTGGTATTCAAAGTTATTTTTGAATGGTCTCCATTTATAATGGGCGGCATAGATAGTATTACACCATTCTTATCCTTAATGACAGGGTAAACCGGACTGTCCCTTATTATTCCTAAGTATTGTTTTAATTGAGGGTGACTCTGAAATATTTTAAAATTTTCAACTTGTACTTATACCTAAACCAGACTCGAAGCCAGTCAGTGGTTACACTGGCGGAAGATTGTCTTGGAAATGCTCAACATCCTTCCTCCTCAATTATATTTGTAGATAAATGTGCTTACAGAATAGAGTTCCATAAGCTCAGTGGCTGTCATTTCTTTCTGCTGATTAAGAGCTTTAAATTTGATATCACTTGGTGGTAAAGCATCATATACAAATGGGCCTTTTATGGTATCCAAATCATGAGTGCCTATAGCTACCAAAGTACGTTTTCTGCATATATTTTGATGCAATTTATCCTGAAAGATCAAACAATAAATTGTAACTATTAAATATTTACCATAAAATCTTTGTGTGTTGTTTATAATTTTGTCATATAAATAGCTAAACCGAAGTTACATGGAGTTTACACTGTATTTGTATTATTTAAAACACTGGTGGGGGTTGGATTTAGAATTACGTCAGTAACATCAAATTGGAGACAGATTTCTAAATTGTTACCCACTGGTGGCTTGGAAGAGAATACTCAAGCAATTAGGCCTAAACTGTTGCCATAAGTGACTTCAGGAAATATTTTTAGGAATTTGACTTAGTAAATAGATTTTAAACTCACTTGTAAATCAATGAAACTGTCATAGCTCTCTTTTGTGAAAGAGACATTCTTTAATACAGCTGCTACTGCATAAGGTCTTATTTGGGCTGTTGCAGGGGTGAGGTGTAATGAATAACAGTCTTCATATTTATCTAGCCTATATTTTGGTGGAGTTTTTCTATAATTTCAAAAAAAAATTTTGCTTAAGCTTTTTATTTTTTTAAAAGGGGATATGGAAGAAATTATTTATATTAAAACTATAGATAAACTCTTGCATGCATAAGAACTTACTTTCCCAAGAAAACCAGTAATCCATTGACTAGCCCTTCAAGACACAAAAGGTCATATCTGTTTGCAGGAATATCAATACGATACAAGACATCCTCTGAAACACCAGAAGCATAACCTGCTTGGTCACCTTGTTCCTTGATTAACATTTGCTTCTCTGTTGTCTGAAAAATAATTTTGATAAATGTTACTTAATTATAATGAAATTTTAGCACTTAGTAAATTACATAATATGTACTAAAACTACTTACAACTTCATCTAATTCTAAACCAAATTCAAAGCATAAGTCTTGAAACTCATCATCAGCTGAAATAAAGTAATGTTTATTTTAATATTACAAAATAAATAATATTTTATTTGAGCTCTCAATAGCACCAATCATTCTTTAAACATTTTAAATATACTCAGAGTACAAAAACACCAAAAGAACCACTAAGGGGTGTAACCTTGGTGCCTGAAGGGCTATTATACCACACTACAAATACCGTACGAACTAAAAAGCTATGACAAAAATTTAATAAAAATATAATCTATACAAAAACGAAACGAAAGCATTTAACAAACACAAAGAAAAACAAACAAAAAGAATAAAAATTATTTAGAAAAAAGGGGTGACTTACAGTAGGTTTTACCGAGTGCGGCAAAAAGGGAATCTCGATTTACCGATATCGTAGGCATTTTGAAAATTATTTAGTTTTAAATGTTAATGAACTAAAATTAATGAATTTATAATAATAATATTGTTATAGTCGAAGACCAGTTGGTTCTGGCTACGTTGATTTGAATTTTGGGCAGATTGGAGGTTAGTTTAGTGGGTAGTACAGAGTACTTGATAGTGTACAGTGTACTTGATAATTTGAGATGTCAGCAGTCTAAAAACATGACATCAGCTATTTGACATAGCAATTATTCATGCAACCCAACGATACAGACTAATTTTTAAAGTTGTTACCTTATACTAAAACAAGATCCTTTCAAGAAACAGCGCTAAAGTAGGAAATAAAGGGGCATGTTGGTCTTTTATTTTTTAAAGCCTTCTAGTGCGTACTGCGTAGAAAGATACATTTATTTTTAAAAAATATTTATTCCTCGCGTATTCATTAGTTTTTGTATTTTTTTAGCCTTATCTTATTTTCTAATTCAAAAATATCTAATTATCTCATATGTTAGTGAATATCTTTTTCAGTTAGTATATATCAGGAACCCTCTCCGGTAAAGGCCTCCTCCAAGGCTTGACATCTTTCTTGCCATTTTTTTGATGTCATCATCCCATCGAGCGTAGGGGGTCTGCCTCTGTATCGTCTGCCTGGTGGGCCTCTCCATGTAGTTACTGTTTTCGTCCATCTGTGAGGCGCGCTACATGACCCGCCCACTTCCATTTAAGTATTTTTTGCGTCAGAGCATCAGGCAATCGTTTCTGATCTTATTTTTATGTGTCTTATCTTATGTACCTTTTAATATTTATTCGTGCTCCTTTCCATGCCTCGTTGACATGTATTTATTGTTTTTTGTTTTATTTCAATGTTTGGCATGGATATGGCAGACATGGAAGTAGACATGAGTCCATATCTCTCTTCTTAAGTAGGTATTATAGGCATATCACTTTTAAATATTTCTTGGCAACTCCAATATTTATTCCACGTACTTTGAACTCTTCTCTCTATTTTTTGATCATTTCTGTCGCTGCTGAATCCAATTTGTTTCCCAAGTAAATATACTTTCCAACATATTCTAACTCGTCATTTCCAATTTTTATAGTAGATCTTATGTAGTTGGTCATGGCTTTTGTTTTTGTTATATTCATTTGCAAACCTACTAGCCTTGTGTAAGGTTTCTAATTTCTATCATATTTTTTTATTGGTTGCTTGTGTCTGATAGCAATACTTAAGTCCGAAGTCGTCTGCAAATCTTAGATGGTTCAAATATTTCCTAGGATGTACAAGCCTTGTTTTTTCCAGTCTATTTTACTTATGATCTATTCTGATATTGCAATAAAAAAAATTCGGGAGAGTGGGTGACCTTGCCTGACACCTCTACGCACTGGAAAACTTGGTCCTATGGTTTCTAGCTTCACTCTACTAGTGCTGTTTTCGTATATGTTTTAGTATAGTTATGTATTTTAAGTCCACATTTTGTGCTTTTAGTGTTTCCCATATACTTTCGTGATATACAGTATCAAAGGGTTTTTGGTAGTGCATTAATGTGATGTCTTTGTTTTTTCCTGAGCACTAACTAGTATTGCTTGCTTGCTTGCAAGCTTGCTGCTGATGCTTTCGAGACACTTTAACAATCTTTGGAATACATATGGTTTTTCCGGGGTTTTAAGAAACAACTTTAAAAGCAGAGTCAGTTCTAAGTTATAGTCAGAACTTCTGTATGCAAAGATCCAAAACTCTGAATGTCCCTTAATCTAATCCTAAAAGTGTAAATAATTCTTAACGCACGGACTAAACGTTTACTATACAATGTCTTAAAACAACATAGTAATTTAGATTTCCGTGCGGGATCCTTGATCAATACAGCTGAAACTTAAGTCAATTAAGGTGTTTTGATTTTATTAACAACACTTTTTGTGTGTATGGAGGCAGACAAAACTATCAGTGGACTTCGACTATGAGTTGTTCAATTTCTTTACTAATTCAAGTAAGATCAAATTATAGCGTCAAAACTTTGTTGCCTTATTTAGTTATGCCTTATAAGTGATGAAATGTTTTTACCTTTCAGATTTTATTTAAAATAAATTAGATCTAAAGTAGACACTACTTAGTAGTGTTATCTGCTGGGATTAGAAATACACTTTATTGATATCCAGACATAAAAAATGTATAAATGAAATATGAACACTGTCTTGGACGGTTGGTCAACTGTACATGTTATTATGGGTAAGTAAATTTTTCAATTAATTTAAGTTTTCTTCAATGCGATGTGCAAAAATGTACAAAATAGTTTCAATCATTGTCATCCTTGTTTAGCGATTTACGCGTTTAAGTTGGTCACCCTTTTTCTTTTTGATCACGTGATTTTTAGTCTGGGATTCGCAAACGGTGAGTGGAGTGCCTTGTCATCAGTCTTAAAAGTTTTTGGATGATTTTCTTTGGAATTCATATTCAAAGTGAGTAAATTTATAAAGAAATTTCACTAACCTCGCATGATAATGTTAAATGTGGTGAAAACTTGTGATTGTGAAATGTGTTTGTCATATGACGAAATTGTACCTTGTTCCGTGACTACTGTGATGTGACGCCATTTTCTTCGTGAATGCCAATTAACGATAATCTTCAGTATTTTCGATACATTTTGGTGTAATGGGAAGCTGTAGGATTGTATAGGAACTGCATAATGTTGACGTACATCTTATACGCCTGGTAACTTAATTTTAAGACTAAATTACACATGCTGAATACTGCTTTTTGTTTGGTAGATTTGCACGCATAATGATCATGACACCACCTTTGGAAAGGCGTAGATTCTTATTAAATAATTCTTAGTTTTAAAGTTGTGGTGAATAATCAAAATCCCTTTATCAATAGATAACATTTTAATTAACAAATCTCACGTTCTTGCATGTTGACTGGAGTTTTTTTGTATTAGATTAGTCATTAGAAAACTTCAACGCTCTTCCTGGTATCAACGGGTAAGTTTAGTATTGCTTATTATTTAAAATATTTTAAAGTTTCTAGAACTGCACCAGTATAGTTGCTGAGTCATGGTCTTGTGCGAAATAATAATAACCCCTTTGTTTAGTAATTGGAAGTTTTATAAACCTTTCTCAAGATTTTACATATAATTTTTAAGATTGAACAAACAGAATAAAGTTTACTGGCTTTAAACCACACTGACTGACTTTTTAAATTTTTTTACCTGTTATTGGCTATAACAATAATAAATTAATCACTATAATTTTAATAAACAATAATACAACAAGAAATGTCTAAGTATAATAGGATCAATTTTTTTCCTAGTTGTTGGATAAATTTACAGCATTTAGCCAACATTTTGCATTGTTAATGTCAATGTTGTTACCTTGCTCCAAATTAATTATCTCTAAAATTTGTCTTCATTAATAGGAATTCTACCTGCTCAAAGGTATTGCTATTCAAATTAAGCTTTGAACAAGACTGCTATATTCATGATGGTAGGTATTTCAAAATGTTGAAGGGCCATAATTTAACGTAAGTGTTTCCTTAAAATAGTCAGCCCTTTTTATAAACTTGTAACCTTCTAGGTTTTTTGGGCCAACATCTCCTTTAGGTAGTGTTAAGGTTGCTAAATTCATAAAAGTATAAAAGTAATGATAGTAGAATTGTTTCAGGTGGAGTAACTATTCATTGTGATGCCGGTGGATGCTGACTTCAACTGCACAGTCGTGGTGACACCTAGTTGTGAGCTGAAGGGTCTTCGTACTTGGAAAGACATTTGCCTAGTTAGAAATTCACTTTTTCAACATCAGGTATGTTTAGATACTATATTGTATTTAAACCAATTTTTTTCAAACATGTTCAAATGTGGCAGAAATAGATTTTTTAGAACCTTCTTTATTGTCAAAGGGATTCACTGGTTCTATACAATTTTCAGTATTACAAACAAAATCACAATTTTTGTCACTGTTTCAAAACAAAATTTATTTTTAGAAAATATTGGTTTTCTCATTTAATTTAGCCATTATATTCATTGTCTTTTACAACTTTTAATTCTATTTGAGATTTCAAGTTAAAATTGTATCTTAAAACTGTTTTGGCTTCTTCAATGTGTCTATTGAATTTATCAGCCTTTGGTGCCAAATATTTTGGCAGGCCAATTGTTTGCAACACGCGATATAAATGACGTATCTGCTCCTCATAGCTGCTTTGTTTTAAACTGACTAAAATTTCCAAATTTGTGTGCTCTCATTTCATTGACCTTGCTGGTTGAAATTGTTGTATCTTTGTTTTATGAGATTTGCCAGTCATAAGTGTTTTTGTTTACATTGAGGGTTGGGTTAGGTTATAAAGTCTGTATGTGCCCAAGGGTGGCTGTTGTATTGGTTAGTAGATTATAAACGTAAGTACTGGCTCCACGCGTGGCAGCCGAAAAGGTCAGCGCCCTTACCCAGGACTAATTTGGGGGAGATCGACGACTCTCGACGTCCGCGTCTCGTCGCGGCTTTGTCTGCGTTCGTCGCACCCATACTAATATTTATCTATTGTTTTTTTTATAATTAATTTCTATACACATTTACATTTCTGGTGAAATTGTAGAACTTAAATATTTTTAAAATGATCTATTAAAATTATACTTATCAGATTTAATTAATATGTATTGTTTAAATTTTGTTTCTTTATTGTTGTAACGCATAAAGGCATTGTTCCCCACGATATTTGCGCAGCACCACATCAACATTAGTGTGGTTTCTATGTGCGTGGCCGTGTGGTAGTCGAGTGTCGAGATATGAACGAGTGTGGCTAGTGGCATGTGTTTATCAGCTACGTAGTATTCGTTCGACTGTTTGTATCGATGAGTGGGTGCGCGTGTGAATATGTGATGCGAATAATGAGCTGCGGTACGATTGTGCGGGTGGGCTGCGAGCGGGCAGACGGCAGACTGTTGCTCGAACTCCTTTCAGTTCATGCCCTTACGCCGTGCGCGTCGGAGCTCGTCGCGTTTGTAGCGAGGCCGATATCAAAGTGCAATTACTAAAGCAATGTTATCACCAGATAATAGTGCCAATTAGTTTCGTGTATTACGTGCGTCAGAGTGATATGTGATTAGTGTTTGTGCTGTACTTTCAACGTTGATCTTATGCGACCATGGGATTATCAATTCGTTCGAAGGTAATGCTGGTTTTTTGTTGATGCCTGTGTGAAACCGACATACACTTGTGCCGTGGAGAGTGCAGGCTTTACGCCTATACGAGGTTGTTTGAAGGCCGCCGCCCCGACCTTGGTAGATGAGGGTCACCGTCCTTTGATGCTAAGAATTTTGTGCACTTCTCATAAATTATACATCATAAATAATATTTGACGGTATCCTCCGTAGCTATAACTCGCTTAGTCGTTGTCTTGAAACACTTTGTAAGGTTTGAATGTCGTCTCCTAATTGAAAATAAATTACTAGTTCTAGTTCGAGATCTATTTCACTTACACGTGCGTACTGCGCACTTTGGTCTTCATTCCTATTTTACAAGTTATCTCAACAATCAATTTAATATTAGTTATCCTTATATTTGTTATATATATTTAATATACATGTCTATTTGTGTGTCTTCGGCTTTATGGTATGGCTAGATATTTTATAATTGAAGCCTTTGATATACGCGGTTTATCTATCGGTCTACTTTAAAGAACGTTAGACACGGATACTTTAATGGAGATTGTCTTATTGATTTTGGATTTCTACCCAGTGCCCACATTTAAATTCTAGGTTGTTTATGTTCATAACAAAATATAATTTATTTTACACATTATATTATAATAGCACATACGAGTATTAACTATCCAGTTCTTTTACTATTACTTTCATATATGATATTTTAATTACAGTCTGCTTTATTACAATGGAATTAAATAGGATTCATAAAATGTACGTATTAAATATTATTTCACTATTAAATGTAAATTTTCAAGTATGAAAATTGTGATCATTAGATGGCACTGATTAATTCTTCAATCGTTATCAGTTTATTATATATATTTTAATACTACGTTTATTACTAATATATTGTATATCTAGCGCAAAGCCGCAGCTGCTTGTTGCGTGAGCGCATAATCAGCTGACACATCGGCGGCCATCTTGCCGTGCGCGGCTCATTGTGTGAATCGTCATTGTGAACATTTGTGACGCATTCTCCAAGTCCAAATGATAATGCCATTGTCCTTCCTGTTCTGGTTCGGCACTTTGTGAGTGAATCCGCGTACTCAGCTGTGACCTTATTTTCCCATCGTTACTTGCTAAAACTACGCGGAAGGGGTACGCTTAAGGAAACATTAATTTCGTTAAATTAGTTTCTCAAAAACGTAAAAATATATTAGAAAATATGTATTTGAATATATCTATTTTGAATAACAGTTTCACGTTTGCTATGATGTCATGAATAAGGTAATTCCAATTTGTGGCACTAGCCTATGAATTTAATTTCCTTAAATTTTTACCTTAATATCTGGGAATAACATCATTAAGGGCATATAATATGTATTGTCTACTATTTATATCATCAATTGGTTAATTTGTAGTAAGTGGTGGTTAATTTACAGTAAGAAAAATGAGTTACTGTTTTAGCGTATTTCTTTCTTATCCACACTTTCCCGTTCATTTCTTTAGGAACCTCTGCTCTGCACGATTTTTTATTGTTACCGTTACGGATACCGTTGTTCTAGTGGTCAGACCTGTATTTTGTTTCGACCGCTTTAAATTTGATCAATTGAGCAAATCGCGAATGATAACATTCACGAGCGCTCCACTTCTAGCCTGTCTCGACCTATATTTGGACCGTTTATCAATTTATGAATCGCGCCTCTTAACTAAAGTTGTTTTCGTTCCTAATCGCTTTGTTCAAAATTTTTATCGTGTTATAATGTTTTTTTTAAATGGTTTAATAATTGTGTTATCAAACATCACATTCGAGGAAGTCATGTCAATAAGTTTTGTTTTTTCTTATTTTTACTCGCCTCAAAGTACATGTGTTGCGATTTGCAGTCGCTGACGTGACTTTGAGTAATAGGTATGGTGCTCATTTCGCGGAACAATCACCTTGAGGCACCGAGCTGATGAACTTGCACGTGATATTAGCACTTTTAAATCATAATAAATTATGACACAAATATCGTGGCTAATTCTGCATTTAAAGTAACGGGGGCCGCCTACTGTTCAGTATAATGAAAACAGGTACAATTTGAACACTCGTGGGGTAGAACCTGGGGGGTATCTTAAGATCGTTTGTTGAACACATGTGACACTCAACACTGGTGTTTTTAGAATATATGCTTAGCTATGTGTGCCATAGTGCAATGGTGAGGCGAGCCGTGCTCGAATTGCGTAGCGAACTTCGCAACTAGGTCAGCAGGCCACACCGTGCACACGCTGAAGTCTGTTCTGACAGGGCTTGCACACATTAACATATGAATTTATAGATAGCCCACAGCGTCTAGGAAACTATTGAGAATGCTCCTTACAAACTACAAATATATTAAAAACAAGTAGCTTCACAGCTGTTACGTGTGAAAAATAAATGAGACCTCAAATATTTGTTCATATCTATTTCAATGTACCTATTTGTAGGCGAATAGAATTAAAACATATTCTGTTAAAATATTACTCGATCACGTTTTCAAGCAATTGCGTTTTTACCTTGGCACACTTATTTCGGAACTGAATTATCTTTTTTATGTTACTTTACGTAAAATTGCAATAATTTTGTTACGGGAAAATGAAATAATTACAAAATTCGAATAGAATCTTAATGTATAGATGTTAAATAAAATATCTCATTATGATAATGTGCACTCTTTCGGTCCTCGTAGTATAATAATTAAATAAAACAGATGCTTCATTATAAAATAACTCTAATCATAATTAGAATAATATTAAACGAACATGTTTTCACTTTCGTATATGGACGTAATGAAGATCTTGCGTAATGCGTATATATTTTTAGTAGACAGAACAATATGTTATATTCGCTGAATTACTTGTAAAAGTATCGGCAAACAACAATAAATCCAGTTGTTTATTGTGAAAGTTTTTCACGCGATGTGAAGGTGTTATTTTTTAAATTTAAAAACATGCGATAGGTGTTTATTCGCAGTATGGCGTCATATTACGGACTTTGCCCAGAGGGACCCTATTGACTGGATACGTGTGGAGCTAGGAGATACGTGTGCACGCGCACCCCCGTAAACGCCGGTCGATGACTTTCCCAACTCCAGTGTAACGACCTCGTCTGCACTCTCCACTTATTATTGTAGCGATAATTGGTGCTCACTTCATACCTCATCGATTTAAGTTTTACCATACCATAAAATTATAACTGTAATAAGAACTCTTACTATACATAAAATCGTGGGTTAACAAAACTTTTTACTTGTATTTTTAAATATGTAGGGCGACGACGGTTTCCGCTCGTGAATATACATATAGCGACTTAAATTGGAATTGTGTTTAACATAACTCTGAGGTAACTTCTTGGAAGCGTGTAGACGTGAAAAACCAAAAAACAATTTATAAATTACATAACTATGTAGTTGAAGGTCGGGTAAATTAGTAATGTTGTAATATAACAAAACTCGTTTTGTTAAAAGCTTTGAAGAAGCGACGATTTCAACACGGTTCGCGTCGTGTCACAAAATGGGACTTTGGGTGTAGGCCTACTACTATGTTTCACGAGCACGTTCTACTTTTTGAATAGCTCTCTCTTGTTATGCAAACCTGTCGTTATGCATATTATGTTTTGCCTCGAAATCGTGTTCTGCACCTAGGTATCACTTTCTATTAGAATAATGTACGCCTTTTTTACAGTGTATGATTGTAACATTGTTCTAGGTCCTTCCTTTGTGTTTGTAGAAATGTAGTATTTGCTACTTACGATAACGATTAACGAAAGACGTGTACGCTGGAGATATGGCCATGTTAATGTATTTGGTTACTAATGAAATGTTTGTTATTGTTGCAGGGCCCTATACGTTCCTGACATAGAAAGAAGTAGTGGCAGGACATCGGCGCAAGCCGTTGACATTGATACAGCAAGGAGATAATCGCGTTTAAATCGTAATATTTTAGTGCATTCACTGTGACCGTTGTGAAACTGTGCGTTACATACAAGTGCAATATACTGATAGTGCAATCGTACTGACGAGGACACATTTGTTTTATATTTAAAGTGAAATTTGAACTATGGAGCGTGAATCGAATCCTATGGAGGCGCTGTGCCGTTCAGGTTGTGGTTTCTACGGAAACCCATCGACGGATGGCCTTTGCTCAGTTTGCTTCAAGGTAACGTTTTATTATTACTTCCTATCTTTGCACATCGTTTATTTATAAGTTCTTCTGTACGTACATGACACTGCCAATATACCAAATGAGATTTATTATGCTAATGCAGTCAAGAAGACCTTGTATTACCTTCCAGCTTATACATATTATGTATCACGTAGTATACGATTTTACTGATATGTATTTGCACTACACAATTAATTTGAATACTAGAATCGGAATCGGAACTCGAACTGTAATCCAATTAGTTAACTTCTTAACTGAATTTTATTTAAAAAAAAAAAGAGATTTATAAAAAGCAATTTTTGAGCCATATTAAGCTAATAAATACTACCCTAATGGGGAGCTTTAATGAAACATATGAAAGTTATCAGAATTAAACATGACTCATTCATGACAAAGCATTAAAGTGAATGTAATTGAACTTACTGAAGTCGTATTCGTAAACGGCTATTTCCGTTTAACAATTAATAATTAATCGAACCAGCTTATTATATTAAAATGAATATAATTTTTTATCGCTATACCTGAGCTCGGGATGAAAGATTTTACTAAGATTATACTATAGAATGGTGAAGATTTAGATTTTTCTAGAATTTTCCATGGTAAAACCAGTTTTTATAATTATACAATTTATTTAAATATATTTGAAAATGGGACTAAACTTTATTTTTTGTAATTTCACATAATGGGTTTCCTCATACCATGACTTCTATTAACACGATTGTTTATTTTCTAAAGGCATCTTTGTTGCTTTGTAAAAATGTAGCAATGATTCTTTGATGGCCACATGTAAGCTTTGCCTATACAGCAAAACAGATAAAGGAAAAGGATACATATAAATGTATCAATACTTATTCTTCATTATTTTGTTCTAAAGCTTTTATCAAATAAGTTCTAAAATTGTTTTTAAACAATTGGTATATATATTGAATATGTCTAGATGTTTCTGTTTGTAAGGTCAGTAGCTTTGTATGTATGTGTTATTGACTTGGCACTGATTGCTAAACAAGGTGGACATGCTTCCAAATACATATTTTGCCGTATACAAGTAGGAAGCAATGCAATCAATCCTTGTTGGGTCAGTTGGTATTAATAATTCTATAACTGTTTTCTGAAAATGGGTAAAAGAGGTTTTATTTTCGAAATATAAAACTAAAATGCTTCAAACTTAGAGATTACTAACTAGAATCTGAATACTTTTTTTTATCTTTGAGAATTTTTAAATACAACCACTAAGGAACTTTTTTACCATAAATAACAGTTTTAGTTCTTCAGAAAAAGTTTAAATGCTATTTATAAACAAAAGACTATTTCCTTTACAAATGTAATTCAATTTAAGCGTTCACAGTCGTTAGAAACTTTAGACTAGGAAATGTTACACCAATGATTTTACTGCTATATTTATACGGGTAATAAAGCAGATAGATTCTCAGTTGATTGTTATATGCACAAGGTTAGTTTAACATTGTACACTTAGAACTTATTGTATGTAACTATTCAATACTTACATTGTTAGTTTTGTTATGCTTAATTTAAATGTAACTCAGTAATTTTTTTTCATATACATATAATATGTAGAATTAGAAGAAAACAAACTTCACTGCTAACATTGTACTAATGTAACATAACTTTTTTTAGTATTATTTCCTCATATCACAATTCAATTCTAGAAAATTATTTATACTATGCTACTAGCTGACCCGCCAAACATTGTTTTGCCATGTATATTATTCTAGGAAACATTTTTTTAGTTCAATAAAAATAACTATCTACTATAATAAAAAATAAGGGTTGATTGTAGAAGGCTGAATTTTAGGGGTTGTATGTATTTTTGTATGCTGTATCAAAAAAAAAGAATTGACGTGGACACCCCTTATCACTTAGGGGTTTGAAAGATAGATAGTAGCCGATTCTCAGACTTACTGAACATGCATAAAAAATTTCATAAGAATCGGTCGAGCCGTTTCGGAGGAGTATGGGAACGAACATTCTGAAACGAGAATTTTATATATTAGATATATAAAGTATAAAGAAAGATAGGTAGATACATTTCTTATTTTGTTTATTGTAACTTCCCTCATTACTTTGACTCCATGCTCCATTTAACTTACATCGTTATGTTCTTGTTTAAAACGGGTTTTATATATTTTTGTGAGATATTGAGAAACATGATTATTGAGAAACCAAAACGTAATTACATTTTTTTTCTATTCTTATTTATAATTTTTAATGTGTTTGCCGCAATTTTAATGTTGTGCTAAAAATAACGGTGCCCTACATAGGCAATCTGAAAGTTCTGTTAGTCGCTCCCGTATCAAAAATAAACATACACCTACACACTACACGTTTTGAGCTACGGTTTAAGATATTTTGATTAGTTTTATGTGTGGTTGTCAGCAGTAGTAATGCAGTATTTGCTTCCAAAGGTGGAGTAATAAATTCTTATGATTGTTCAAATTACTTTGTAAACTTGAATAGCGATGCAGATTACAATATTGATATTTCTTACTACATAAGTTGACATGCTACACTGGGTTTCGTCTTTCGTTGACGTCATAATTATTGGAATCTACTTTAATTACAGTCAATTATAAAGTCAACCTTAGGAAATCAGTATGGGTTTTACAGAGAAACGATACAGTTCCCTTATTAATTTTAATTTATAACTTAAGGTAAATATTAGGTCTAAATAGCTAATAGAAACGATGGCATTGTTATTGGCACTCTACTCACGTCTATCTTTATGTAAAATATACCATATCGTGCAGACAGAAAAATTGGTGAAAAGTATTAAAATTAGTATCTTGTAACGAGTGCTTAATATTTAATGGTGAAAACTTCAGGAGGCGCTAAAAAAGAAGCAGCAACCACCTACGACGACGCCTTCACCGGTGTCATCCTCATTCGTACCAGCTCCAGTGCCCACTCCCGTGCCCGCTACGCCGCTCGCCGCTGCTGCACCCACAGTGCCTGCCCTACCTGCGCAAACGCACACGCAGACAGATGTGAGGCCTTTATACATATAACATTTGGATATAATCTTATATTTATTTCATACTAGCAGACTCGACCAAGCGTTGCTTTGGCTAAGATTTTTGTTATAGTACATAGTAGTAAGCTATTCAAGGGAAACGGTAGGAGAACACCAGTCATGGGGACCACCTTGCTTTTTTGGTGCTTATGCCATTAAAAGCTTATGTGAAACGTTGCTAAACGTTTAAGACAGCGCCATCTGTTAGTCGTCATATTGTGACCGTCAAATAAATAATATTGCGGGTATAAATTGAGATGTAAGCTATCCTATATTTTAAGTTAGATCAAACTGCACACGGTGTACAAATAAGGAATTAATGTATAGGCATTGGGTTAATTAAAATAAATTTAGTTCATTTTTACGTTATAGAGAGCGTATCGTTATAAAGTACGATGTTATAAAGAGTGTATACTGTAAATATAACACTGGGTAGGATTTTTTTAAATACTAATGATGTTGGCGATATGATTATTTCGTTGGTAGACTAAAGTTTTATATTATTCTTAATTGTAAAATGCAATCCTAAACACCGTCGCACAATAACTTGTGTGGTTTGGAATGCTCCAGAAATACTACGTCTACAAAGAAAGGTTTTCAAAAAAAAATATCTCTTCTATGTTTTATGCTAAAAATGTTTTTTTACAGCTAATATATTGAATATCGTGAGACTGAATAAACCGGTAATCCGGTATGACAACTTTCGCTTAACAGGTCTAGTTTAAATTATATTAGCTTTGTACCGGAAATAATATGAATCATAATAAACTGAACTCTCCTTATTTTACTAGTCTATTGTTAGGTCTGTAAGACGCATTGATTATAGCCAAGCTTACCTGAGCTCACTGATCATTATTCAGAATAGGCATTGTTTTCATTCCTTTTTGTGTATGTAACATTAAAGCATAAATGAATCAATATTAAAAGTAAAAATTAAAAAAGAACGGAATGTATTATGAATATGAGCCGGTACACGAGTAATTAACGTTTTACAAGTTTTACACCCATTAAGCAATATAGATTGCGGACTTATGTAATGAAAAAAAAACCCAAATTAATAAGGTATTTAATAGTGTTTAAAAGGAATATACGTGTGCTCAAGTTATTAAAGGGGTCTTTCAATACCTATAATAATAATAATAATTTAAACTAACCACTTATATATAAAGAGCCTTATTAAAATGGCTGATTATTAAAACGTGATCATGCTAACTAAATAATGCGATAAAGAGAAAATATAAAGCATTAAATGTTTATTTCCATTCATTCTAGAACTGCGTAATCAGATATAACGCTTTTATCTAATAATAATATTAAAAGATTTTCTTCTATGTAAACTGTTTTTAGACAAGTGAACTCGAAAGGAACATAATAATCTTTTGTAATACACTCAAAAAAAAAAAAACTGACACTAACTGAGTAGTTCTGGCTGAATATATAGTTAATATGATTACGAACTTATTATAATATGTATTATGTCTAAAAAGTTAGGTGACAAAAACAGAACACATCAAAACATGCCTAAAACCGGTGATTGCTAAATATTTCCATTTTGTTTAAATTAGTTCCATAAATGTACTTTATCTTATCGCTGTAGTTTTTAAGTAAAGAAAAATAATCTTAAATATGCTACGCCCGCGGTCGTTTAGTACAAACGTTAAAACGGAGGAAGATAAATTTAAGAGCAATACATTACAAGGACGTTGACATTGAAAAGTGTTGGCGTAGACAACTGAAGTACACCTACGTCTATTTTTGTTTTAGACTAGACTTGGGTAGATACAGTATTTAAATATTACCTATTATAGTACATAGAATGTGACGGATTATTGTATTTTAAATCAATTATGTTATATACTGTATTGCTTCGATATCGGAGATGCGTTCGTCCCACACCCGAAGGTGTTAGTCAGGATATTTGACAGTGTGGCTTGCTACTGAGTAGAGCGTGACCTACAACCTAACTTACAGTTTGAGAACTGGGGGAATAATACCCAATAAACCCACCTAGGGTAGTTGCAACAAGGCCGCGTTACTAAGCACTACATATTACGTGGGTTAGGATGGGATGCCTTCTAATAATATATATTACAAGTTTGAATTGAAACTTGATATTTGATTATAACAATTGTAAAATATTTTTTTATTATCTGTGGATTATTCATAGAAAGTTAAATAAATTATGTTGAATATGAAATATATTCGTAGTTAGTATTAAATTCTGTATAATTATTTGGTCTACAACAAGAATCTTTTTTTAACCTGATAAATACTAGGTATGTTTTACCTTCTGACAAGTATACATTTTTATTAGTAATTGTTGTTGTTCCGTAATTTTGATATAAAAAACGAATCGTTTTGCGTCGTTATTACGCATTTATAACAACGTCGTAAAACGCTATTTATTTTGTCAAATTAGGACTTTTGATTAGTCTAGCAAAATGTTGTTAATTTACCGTTGCTTTATGTTAGTGTAACTGTGGCTCGTGTCACATGGATGGTCCGATTATGATGCGGTATTTTTTATTAGAAAGTGTACAGGATTGAGATGGTTCTATAATTCATGAAGATCTGGTCAGGTGCTACGAGGTCGTCTGCTTTTTGGTGGCTGCGTGTTTATTATGCGTGTAACATTTAACAGTACAGTCAAAATCTGTTATAACGACATCGAAGGGACTACTCATATTTGGTCGTAAAAACCGATAGTAGTAACATTGATGCCGATGACGTTGATATTAAGTACCGTCCTCGTAAACGGACGACGGTACTTATTTTCATATGTTACCTAACAATTGACGCACCCATTTATTCTGAGCTACACTGCTCTTGGAGCTCGAAGGTTGTCGGGGGCTTAAAATTTAATATTATTTTTAAACCAAATAGATCTCGTGAATCTTGTTCCCGCCTAAGTGTGTAACTAAAGTCAGCAAAAAATATGGATTCGAAACTTCGCGGAAATGAAATAAATACGCTGGTATTGTGTGGCCTTATTATAGGCGTCTGCAATGGCAATGTGTAGTGATTTTTATTTGTTTACATACATCGGGAAGTGTTCACATTTATCTTATTATTTGAGACATCATTTTTATTTAAATTTACTTTACAAATAATTCAAATTCTCATGACGCAATGAATGTTTTCAATACAGGACTCGGTTCCCACAGAAGCAATTACCTGTTATGCGTACAAGACGTATGAAAGAAAGAAAAAAATATGCTAATAATATGATGGGGGAATAATTTTTCATTAAAAAAGTATTAGCAAACTAACTATTCCATCATAAACATGCAATAGTCCAGTTAAACTGCAGTTAATTTTCGAACAAAAAATTTGATTGGAACAAATTATAAGATGAGATTTATAAAGGTAAACGCAAAACTGGCAAGGTCGTACCTATTGCCGACCTCGGCACACAACACTCGCTAAATATTCAACAATAACACGCATATTAAGATATCTCATTGTAAATTTATAGGTTATTGATCTAATTGTTTATGTGCAAACAAAGTAGAAATATTCTCTTTCACATTTGCAGTTATCTGGACTGTATAATGAATTCTGCAAGTTTACGTGTTGCTGGCATAACTTCGTTAAAAAGAAAAACACAATCTCATTGACAACACATTGTCAAAAATCTAGAAAATTTGAAACACATACACTAAATTGTAATATAATATTTTATCAAAGGATTTTGTGAGAAGACATTTTAAAATGAGCCCAATGGCATTTTTCGAGACATTTATTTTACAATAATCATGAACGGCCATTTATAACTGGAACAATAATGTAACAATACAACGTTTTTCTGTCAAAATGTTAAAACTGGAAATCATTTAAAAATAATAATGGAAAATGACCCTAACAAAAAAGAATCGAAGGGTAAGAGACTTCTGAAGAAAGCGTTGAGACGATCAAGCAAAACCAGCAATAACAGTCAAAGCTCCACCGCGGACAGCATCTCCGTGACGAGATCGAAGAGTGAAAATAAACGGCTCTCAGTCGAAATCAATGATAGTGCTCCGCTGCCCACGCCGGACGGCACTAAACAATCAGCTGAAAATACCACGAGTTCAAAGTTTAAACCAGAAAATAGAACGAGACCGTCGACCAGGCTGTCTCTAAGCCGCAACACTCCAATCCGAGAGACAAAATTGGAGAAAGTGGTCGAAATACAAGAGGAACGGAACATTTCATATCCGCCAGATGAAACGGGCACTTCGAACGATGCAAAGTTGAAAACATCCCCTCGACTTAAAGATGAGGGTCCGTTGGAATTAGGTGGTGATAAAAAGAACCTTAAGAGGGTTGGTATCGTGTCTGTATCTAAGTAGATGTGGTTTGTAATCGGACGAGTAGGCCACAATTATTCCATGATGTGATTGATAATGTATATTATTTATGAAATATGATATTTACAAACTCTAGTCTTACTTAATGGGATGTTTCAAAAGAAATGTGGTAACTCTGACCCAAATAATGTTAATAATTAAAAGGTCTACTATTACAGAGGACAAAAAGCTATACAAAATTTAAGAGTTCAATGAATACGGCTTTGTTATCGCACATTTAAAATAATAATGTGTTTCTTTTATTAGTTCAATAATGAACAGTCGCTACGTGTTCAATGCAGTGTATATTGAAATTTCAATACCTTCATTTCTTAACTGGATAATAATGAATTTCAGAAATTGGAAGACGAGAGCGGCGCGGGCACGAGTGCGGGCGCGTCGGACACTGACGCGGACGACAAGGACCCCAGCAAGGACAAGAAAAAGAAGAATCGGTGCGCTGTCTGCCGCAAGAAGGTTGGACTTACAGGTAAATTAATATTATTTTTCAAGTTATACTTCTTTTGGCGCATTAGAGAAAAAATTATGAGAGCAAGTTTGTACGATGCGCGCGCACACCGTCACAAATTTTAGTTTTTTATCTATGGAGTATAACTTCTAACGCGTGTACATAAGTACACACACGTTTTCTTAATATGGCTAGCTTTTTACAATGATTCCTTATTTAAAGTTTTAAAAATAGCAAAGTATGAGACTTTTGGTCTTAAAGTAAACTCGATAACATATGAAAACGCATTTACTTTATATACAATGACTGCACGCGCAAGGTTTATTATGTAATCAGATCAAACATTTTGATTAGATAATATTCTGTTTCTATTGACATTGCAATGCAGTTGGGTTTTCTTTGCATCATTACAGAAATGAAATGAAAACGGTTGTCCAGAGCTCAATTTTTTTATTAATATTAATAATCAATTGTGCATTGGCCTCACCGTAGGAGGAAGTACTGATTGAGCAATAAAAAGAAAATTCCATTCTAACCATGAGTCGAACGTACGACCTCAGGGATGAGGGTCGCACTTTTGTTGTTGTGTTATAACTAAATACTCGCTATTTATTAAAACAATATTGGTACAATCATATACCAAACCTAATCAAGAAACCTATTTAATATGAAGTAGGCTAAAAGTGCAAGTAAAAAAAAAAATATAACTGGTAATTTAGCAATGCCTGAATACCTTTTAGAGTAATGTTATTATATGTGTGTACTGTAAAAAATATACGAATTCGTTGAATTTATAATATTATGAGCGCTTAGCGATGTGTTGGAATGTTTTAGCGGTAATTATTGTACGTAAGTTAGTCACGCGATATTTATTGAGGTAATCCTGTTATCTGTAAACGTTGGGTTTTATTAGCTAATTATAAATGCCGTTATAGAAAACGCTAGATTAATACAACTTGCTGTTTTACTCAAACTTCTAGTCCCAAAAATAAATCCATCAAAATTATGTTGTTTCATATGAATTTAAAAAAGAAGTATTAGGGATTTATTTAATTTAAAAGTGTTTAATAATAAGATCCATTCGTTCTTATTAAACGTTATCCAAATGTCTATAATTAGTATAATTAGTACACATTATTAATACAGAAATTTAAAAATAAGATACAAAACTAAGTAAACAATAAAACTATCTGTTTCTCAATGTGGCAATGACGTGGTGCTATTACCACAAGTAGTTCTTATCACGATTGTGTTTATACACCACAATGATAACGATGCGCGATATAACGTTATCGACACGTTTCGGTTTTGTCCAATTCAAATAACTTATATGGTTCGTTGAGTTTCACTTCAATTGAAGAATAAATACTTTTCTTTCCATTTGTCGAGTATGTCGATGTAATAGGCTATCTAGCCAATATTACCTTTAGAACCATTGCTGATGTAGGTAGAGTTTTGTGTTATTTCGTAAATAAATTTAAGATCTAGTTAGGCTTTATTCAGTCTCTCAGACTATTAGACTTTGTTCAATAACATGCATATTACCATACTTTTTTAAAATTCATGTTAGGATTATGAAACACATCTCATATTTACTGTATACTATAATTATATTTTTATTATAAGTACAGTGGAAATTCTATAACTCGAATGTCAAGGAAAATGCAAAAATTTGAGTTGACGAGTTTCCGACTTAACAAAAACTGCTGAAATTTTGACTTGAGGCGGGATTATTAAGTGTATTTTTCGTTTTGTAGAGTCGAATTTGAAAAACAATTCAACTTAAGTTTTGTAGTATATATTTTTATTGCAAGTGTACAAGACAAAAACAATAGATTAGAAGCTCCGAACCCGAACATTCATTTTGGATGTTATTGCTATTATTTCGGGGAATTCCAAGAAGACGTCATTCTATTTTACTAACTACGACTTACGGAGTCTGATATTCGAGTTATAGCGTATAAATATGTCTTGTCAATACTTCGTAGGGAAATAACATTTTGTTCGAGTTACAAAGTCTAAATAATTCGAGATACCGCGGATTTAGGGGTTTAGCGGAAGGGAATTGCAATTTTTTCGACTTAACAAGGTTCGAGTTATATAGATTCTACTGTAATTGAATTCTGCTACTTCTGTTAGACTAATACAATGTTGTTAAGCCCCAATGTCGTTGTTGTCCTGGTAATTATTATTTACCAATCTGTTTGTACTGCTAATAAATGCGAAACAAAATAAATATAAATTTCTCAAGTCAAAGGTAATAACGCTGACAGATTTACAAAGTAAAAACGTGTCTTGCACTCGATATTTTTACTCATTAATGGCAGAATATTCAATTTAAAAACGTGACTTAAACTAATACTAAACTCGAGTCTCGGAGCTCATTAGCTCACAATAAAAGGTCCTCTTGGGCAAACTCGGTCTTGAGTAGGTTAATATAAATAAAATGTACGCAGATGGCCTCTATAAATATTAATTTTGGAATTAAGGGTTTGAGTACGAGTAAAGTGAAATAACAACTATTTACTTATATATTTAATGAAGGCCCGAAACTTTTTGCCTAAGGTGACAACGACGTTGGGCTTAAGGGTGCGATTCTCATCACTGAGGTCGTAGGTTCGAACCCCGGCTGTGCTCCAATGGACTTACTTTCTATGTGCGCATTTAACATTCGCTCGAATGGTGAAGGAAAACATCGTGAGGAGGTTTCTTTAGAGGAGGCTTGCCTTAGACCCAAAAAATCGAAGGCGTGTGTCAGGCACATGAGGCTGATCACCTATTTGCCTATTAGATTGACAAATGATCATGAAACGGATACAAAAATCCTAGCCCAGACCTTAAAAGGTAGTGCCGCTGATATTTTTTTTTTTTTAGATGATGAAAGAATAATTTAAGAATGATAGTTTATTTAGTTCACATTTAGTAATAAATTAAACTAGGCGACAACAAAATATACAAATTTTTGTTATTGATAGAAACAATACGACAGAAATACCATGAAATGGTGCTCTGTATTAATCAACAAGAGACCCTGAAATGTCTTAATCACTCTTAGAAATGCTTCTTAAAGATAATAACCGCGAAGGATTTTATTGGTCTTATAAAAATGGCTAAAACAGAATCCTGGAGATGTAATTTGAATCATCATTCTCTTGGAGAAAGATGGTCTCCTTCATTTTTCTATTAATCAGATTTCTATTTTGTGTTCCAGGTTTCGAATGCCGATGTGGCGGCCTATTCTGTGCGGTACACCGATACAGCGACAAGCACGATTGTTCCTTCGACTACCGGGAGCTCGGAGCGCAAGAGATCCGGCGCAATAACCCCGTGGTCGTCTCCCAGAAGATCCACAAAATATGAGCCCTACATCGCTTAAGGCAAGGCCCGACGGCCTCGATCTAAATTCTATTTAGGTTTATTCGCGAGTTTGCTTTTAAAAGGAGATTGGGCAATCGTAAACGAGCGCGGGTTTTTCATATTATGCACAAATAAATGGTTTCAGCAAAATCTTTCAAACTTTGGTGTTTTCGCTTCTATTGCTTTACCGATAAAGCTTTATCGAATTCTAGTTGTAGTTAAAACTTCCGTACGATATTTTCTTCGTTCACCGTGCCCGGCGACTTGCTCAATCTCGTTTCTATAAAAACGTGTAGATATGTTCATTTCGGGTAGGATATTAATGATTAATTTGAGATGTAGTTTGATTGTCCATTCACCTCCATTGTAAATATTAGATTTAATTAATTATAGATACAAATACTATATATTGTAAAAAAGTAAAACTCCAAAAAAAGCTACATTGTTAAAACTCCGTCGACGGGCGTGCTTGAGTGACAATTGTAAGCTGATTGCCGGACGACGTTTGAATCGTTGTAAAATTGTACAGAATTTACGCTCATTTGACTCGAAATGACCGCACTAAGACTGACACGAGCGACTCGGTCTCACACTTGACGGACGTCACAACGTCTTTGACGGCACTGAGCGCTCGCGCCGGTCGCGGTGCCCGAATAACGCCGTTCCATTTAACGGCTCGTTTTCTTTAAATAGCCGTTTAGAGTTAGAAACGGGTCGTTAAAGTGAACTCGGCTAAAATGGTTTGAAATTGTTTGTTACGGTTTGGGAAGATGCTTTGTTGGCATAGAGTTGAGATTGTGTGTCGGCTAAGAGCGGCGGCTTCATTGGGTCCGCTCCACGTGTGAAAATTACAAGTAAGCCTATAGTTATACATTTATAAGTAGCGGACACTTTATATTATAACACATTATATAAGTAGGAAAGAATTATTTAGCTTTTTTTTCTTTTAATCACATATTCAAAATTGTAAGTTGTATGTAACTCGTTAGCTGCTTCGATCGCTCCACGACTAACACGATCGTTAGACTTAATTATTTAATGACTTTTGTTGTATATTTTGTTAGGTCATTGATTAATTTTGGTCTTTTGCTTATAATCAGGATAAAGATGTTAATAACGGATTTTTCTTCTATCTTGCTGTTTTAATTTAGTTATTCTTCTATTAAAGTCATTAAATTTCCAAGAACATACATTGTTTTATTATTGTCTTCATAACATTTATACAAGTTTATAAAGAAGTTAAATATCGCTGCTTCGGCCAAAAACATTCGAAAAGGTGATTATATAATCTCATTCGGTAATATTCTAATTTTGAAATGAAATACAGACTTTTATTGGCATATTTTATAAACATACTTCTTTAAGAAAATTAAAAAATTAAATTAAAGCATTATTCTCCTAACAAAACAATGCTTTAAAATATTTTTTTAATTATTACAGTACAGTGTGTCCCAACCAAGGAGGTTTCAATTCAATTTAAGTACACATAATCTGTGGTGAACGCGCAACGCGCTGGTTCCGAGCCAATAGACCAATAACAGACTTTTCCATTGGCGCTATTTCGTACATACGAATTTGAGTAATATTTTGATGGATAAAACTTTAGTAGCAAAAATGTCAAGCAACACCGACGATACTGATTAAAATCTAACTCCACCTGACATTCTAGAAACAGCTACAAAACTGACGAATAGTCTTTTGCCAGAAAAATCAAGAAAAGCGTACGTCAAATGTTACCATGACTTTATGACTTGGAAACCTATAGCCATGAGATTAAATAAAGTAGTGTATGCAACTGCATATAATAGAGGGTATTAAAACACTCGTGTAATCTTATTTTGAAACTTTAATACCCTCTATTATATTATGACAGTTGCATAAACTACTATTAGTCTCAGCAAACTCAATAAAAATAATAAATTCATACTTGAGTGACCGATTACAAAAAGTGGTTATAAATAAAGCAGAGTCTTTAGGAGCTCCTATTCTCATGGGTGTGCCTCAGGGGTCGATATTGGGGCCGTTGCTCTTTCTTGTCTACATAAATGACCTGCCATTTTATGTAAATAACTTATGTGAAACGGTATTATTTGCAGATGATACATCTCTTATTTTTAAAATCAGTAGGAACGCAATACATTTTGACGAGGTGAATGATGCCCTTTCCCGAGTTATGTGTTGGTTTACTTATAATAACTTGTTACTAAATTCTAATAAAACAAAATGTATTAGATTTTCTTTGCCTAACGTAAAACAGGTCAGTACAAACATTAATATTAATGAGGAAATAATTCAATGTGTTGATTCAACTGTATTTTTAGGGATCACTCTAGATTCTCGTTTGCAATGGAAGCCCCATATTACAAACCTATCGGCAAGACTTAGTTCGGCTGCTTTTGCGATAAGAAAGATTAGATGGTTGTCTGATGTCGAAACGGCGAGGCTTGTATACTTCAGTTACTTCCATAGTGTTATGACATATGGTATATTGTTGTGGGGCTCAGCGGCCGATATTCAAGATATTTTTGTTTTACAAAAAAGAGCAATACGCGCTATATACAAATTAAAACCGCGTGACTCGCTAAGAGAATTATTTAAAGAGATTGGTATTTTAACAGTTGCCTCCCAATATGTGTATGAAAATATTATGTACGTTTATAAAAACCTTAATAAATTTATAAAGCGCAGTGACTGTCACAATTTAAATACAAGAAGTAGGAATAGACTTGATTTTCCAGCTTTCAGACTGCATAAAACTGCTAACTCATTTATGGGGAAATGTATACACATATTTAACAAGATTCCGGACCGTGTAACCAAACTTCCGATTCATGAGTTTAAGCTTTGTATCAAGAAAACCCTAACAAAGGGAGGATATTACACTGTTCGGGAATTTATAGACGATGACAATGTGTGGGCACTAGTGCCGCTGTAAGATGAGGATAACCGAGTTGACATGCATAAGAGTACAAATTGTACCTAAATGATTAAATGACTTTATTATTATTATTACTATTATTTATTTACATATTAAACATTTAAACAATTATTATGACAGTGGTACATAGATTCACTTTGATAAAGAGTATATCTCAAATCACAAAACTGGTGCTGTTATAACTAACTATAATTGCCTGTATCTGTTTTCTTGATATTTTTTCCTTATGTACGAGTAGGCAATGTACGTCTGATTTCCTCACGATGTTCGTGCTATACAAGTTTTAATTAATTAATTTTAATATCCATGTATACATTATTATAGTATTAAAATTAAATTAAAATCTGTTGTCCTTCAAAGATGAAATACCAAGACGGACTGTGACTAGGTTAGGTTCAGTTTGGCTTTCGACCAGGACTCTCCACTGAAGCTGCTATTCTAAGTCTGAAGCTTACGTCCAGTATTATACGAAGCGCAGTACACCGGTATATCCTGGATTTGACTCGGGCCTTTGATCTCGTATCGTATGATGTGCTTTGGAGGAAGATGGAGGCAGGGGTGTGCCAACTCGACTACTCGACGTTAAATATATTTTAATTTTGGTATGCCAACCAGAACAACACTTAAGTGGTTTTCCTACATCGTATAGGTCGGAGAGTGGTGTAAGACAGGGTGGTCTGTCATCTCCTAAACTATTTAATCTGTACATTAACGACCTGATCTCAGAACTTAGCAGCATGTGTGTAGGTTGTAGAGTTAATGGAGTAAGCATAAACAACCTTACCTATACTGATGATATGGTGATGCTGGCTCCGACAGCAGGGGCTATTAAAATATTACAGAAATGCTGCGTGTGTGTGAGGTATACGGCCTGTAAGCATGGCCTCATTTACAATGTAAATAAATGTAAATACATGGGTCTTTGGGGGAGATGGTATATTCTCGGAGATATTTCATAATATTTCTCTAAATAGTCTTGGCATCGAGAGAGTGAAGGAATTTAAATATTTCGGGCATATGCTATCTAAAAACTTAAAAGATAATATTGATATTGAACGGGAACGCAGGGCAATGGCGACCAGAGGTAATATGTTGGCTCGTAGATTTGCTCGTTGTAGTAAACAAGTAAACATCACCCTTTTCAAGGCGTTTTGTCAAAACTTTTACACGAGTAGTTTATACTGTCGGGTCGCTAACTGCCACGTTACTGCTGGGCTTCGGAGATGTTCCCGAGCCCGTACAAATGATTTCTGGGCTATTATTAGAATTAAAACAGTGTTTCTGTTGAACCGGGTACGAGGCTGTCGGAACAGCATCTTGAAGACTGTGGCAGATGACCTGTCTTCGCCTATCATGAGGCATTTTGTGCGTAAACTTGTCGGTTCAGATCGACGAGTGTATGCATAGACTTTTTCATGAGTTTTATGTTTAGTTTTTTAATAATAATATACTAACACTAGTCTGTAAGTTTATACTAACATAATGATGGATTATTTTATCTGAAGACATAAAAAAAATACTGCTCCGAAAGATAAACTTGATGAAACCCTAAAAAACTGTAGATTGATAATCTTATATCAATCTACAGTTTTTTAGGGTTTTTTAAATTACTATTGATTCTATTCAATGAAATCTTTGTGGCGTTTTTAAGCAGTTGAATGTGATTTAAATTTGCGTAATGCGCCTGTTATAAATATAAAATAATTATGGAAATATTGTGAAAAGGCCGAGATTCTGCGTTCAGCGAACCTAAAGAAGGCCGGGATGACTATGCGGCAGTTCATATTATGATAATGAAGCAAGGATGTTTTTTTCTACAACCTAAGGTTTCCATGGCAAAATATATGAAACAAATTTTCTCCAGATATTATGCAGATATAAATAAAACTAAGAAAAAATGTTGGCGATACATTAATTAGAAATAAATAAAATAAAATAAAATAAAATAGCCTTTATTGCTGTTTCTATCTTACAATAATACTCATTAATTATTAATTATACATGCCTAACATAATTACTTTCTAAATACTTTTCTACTAAATTAAATTTAAATTACTTTCGAAGTACTAACTAAATTAAATTGGTTTAATCATTGTATGTTCGGCAACTGGATGTTTGTCTGGAACAGCTTGTCTGTCGACAAAGGCCTCCTCTAAAGATATCCACGTATTCCTGTCTTTTGCTAAACGAGTCCATACCGGACCAGCTATTTTGTTGAAGTCGTCTTCCTATCATTTTTCCATGGTTCCTAGTGATCGGCAATTTATAGTTGCTATATATAGATCGTCATTTGTCTTCCTGTTATTTCTTTTCTATCTATAAATAATCTTCAGATATATTAGTTTAATAATTTATCAATATTATTGATAAGAGAGATTATCGAGTTAAAAATCTGAAGACTGTCTGGAAAAGTCAAAATCAAGAAATTTATTTTCAAAATTTATTTATCAAATCTTATTCTACGTACAGAATTATTGTCTTAAATATAAGTATAATACAGCCTGAAAACAAGTATTGACTAGTTTCACGCGATATTTTGTACTAAAACTAAAAATTATAGGTAATAAGTTTATATCTCAGACCTCCGAAAATGTTTTTGATGAAACCTATCGCGAGTACTAAACTCCTTATAAAAACAGCTTATTGACGTGAACTATATAGTGCTTTTTTGTTTCTTTCTTTCGAACACCGTTTACTCTGTCATGGAAAGAGATAATGTTGATTGACTGATTTCGTTCTTATAAGCCGTAAATCCTAAAGCTTTTTTTATTAAAAATTTAATTGTAGATATAGGTTTAATTTCGCTATTAATAACATTCACATACGTCGGTATTGGAGACCTTACCAGCTACCTTATCTTTTAAACTACCATTTAATGTTTGTAAGAATTATTTACAAGTATCACTTTATATTAAATGTGGATTCATGTTGGCGAAATTTTACCAACAAAATCAACAAAAACAACAAACATATTTAGTAAATATTTAAATCGTATAAGAATTAGCCAGCCACCATTGACAATAATGATGATTGATTAAATCTTAATTTTCCTTGCTTATAAAAATCGTCATGATCGTAGAACAATGTCGGATTTGAAAAAAATCCAAAATCCACTTTTTATCATATTTGGATAATACATTGACTAAATATTACGGATACATTAAAAAAAATTGCATTGGTTTTAAATTTCAAGTAAAGTGACGGATTTGATAGAAACATGTGATTTTTCTAGAACACTGTGTAATTTTATGTTTTTATTTTTATTTTGTTTCAAAACAAACCCTTTTGTTTGCTTGTAGGCCAATTTTCATAATAACAGAATATGAATTAAAATGGTTATGACAAAAACGAACATGATTATATTATTTTTAAATGGTTGCCCTGTAAAGTTTACTATTTGTCAGATCCGTCACTATTCTACGACTATGACGAAATGCTCAGTCTCAGTTGTAGCATCTCTTGACAAATTTGAACATCAGGAGTTTGCCGTTTAGTCAGCAACTTGCAAGTTGAGGTTTATAAGTAAGGCGGATTGTCTATTGTCATTTAAATATTCTTTGGTTTGTCTTCTCTTAATAACGTGCCTATATACCAGTCACATTCTTGATCCAATCTCTTGCTGCGGCCACTCGTGAAAAGTATATGGTGGCACCGTTTTTGCATTCGAAAGCATCATTTTCCACCCAAGAAGCTACACCTATAACGCTTCCAGAATCGCTGATCAGACCGCTACCACTGTCTCCCTGTAATGAATAAATCTATTTTTAGTATTTTTATTAAGATTTTCGATTAAATTTATAAACCATGACGGCCATACGACAACTGATTTTAATTTTATATACTTATTAAATATATCATGTATGCCGTATACAAACAAATATATTTAAGTCGAGAGTTTGTTTCTATAATCGGTTTTGTCACAATTTTGCTCGTATTGAAGCGTATCAATGTTGGTTTATTACTCTATATTATATAAAATGTTATGTTAATTGATACCGCCGCCCATGGACACTCAAAGCCAGAGAGCTCGCTGTTGCGATGCCGGCCTTTAAAGTATTGGTACGCTCTCTTCTTGATGGTCCCTAAATCGAATTGGTTCGGAAATACTTTAGTGGGCAGCTTGTTCCACATAGTGGTTATACGCGGCAAAAACTGCCTTAAAAAATGCTCAGTTGTGGATGTCAAGGTGATACAGGTGGAATTTCGTATTCTGCCTCGACGTCCGATGGTGATACTCGGCTGCAGGTATTAATCCGAACAACTCCTTTGAACACACTCCGTGGTAAATGAAGTAGAAGATGCAGAGAGACCTAACATCGGAAAGGGATTGATCATCGACGAATCAAACCGCTCTTTGTTGAATACGGTCAAGTGGAAGGATCTGGTACTGGGGAGTTTCAGCCCAAACAGCACCCCATGAGTGGCAGAATTATATAATACTACGATGTATCGATCACTTTCGTCAGACTTAGATGGCTGATCACCGTCACGCGATTTAGTCCTTCAATAACATAAGAAATATACATACATTACAAGCTGTATCGTATCTTGGAGGTCGGCCAGTCGCGCAAAGCATATCTTGGGCGTCGTATTCGATTAATTTAGCACAGGTTGAGTCAGCCAACACTTCTAAGTCCATAGCGTGCTCTTGCGGCCTCATTACGTCCTGAAATCGAATTTTTATTGTCAATATTAATTATATCCATTTAAAGTAGTAATAATATGAAATTTATTTTTAAGATAGTAAGTAATAAAAACTTATATCTAAAGACGTTCAAAAGTCAAAACCAATATACTCTTACATACATAGCAAGTATCAACGAACGGAAAATAATTATGATAAACAAAAATCGTATATTTATTAAGTCAATTTCATCTAAATTAATACAAATAATTAATTTATTTTTTAGCATTTGGCATTTTAATTTGTCGTTTTTTGAGATTTCAATAAATTATTTTGCATAAAATATAAAATACTAATATTACATAAATTCTCTTTACGAAATTTTAATTAAAAAAAAAAGAATTTCTATTAGGTAATTCGCCCTTCTCACTCTCTCAATCGGTCTCAATCGCTCTCTCCATTTTCTTCGACAAAAACGCTGCACATCTTCGTGACGTTTTCGTAAAAATTTACCCTCGTGCGCCTAAAGAAGTTTCACTTCAAAAAAGTCATGGTATATAAGGCTCACCCCATGGTTCTCAGCTCCGAATCCCGCAAATCCGACGGTCTCTCCGGCCTCGTGCACCGCAATATCATCCAACGGGGCAGCCATAATGGTTTTGCCGTCCAAAGGAAGTGGTTCTTCTAATTCTGCTAACAGGTAGTCCCATCGAGCCGCTACCTATAATTCAGACTATTTATTCTACTGGCCAATTTAACATTTACATCTTCATATTATATCTATTTGCAGTTTGGATTAAGACACCCAGATACATTACTCCTGTTTCATTTATAATGTTTATATGTTTCACCTTTATAAAAAAGTAGTCTGTAGATGAAACCATCAGTGTCTACCAACGTTATCCTAGTTTTTTTCAGGGTAAGAATCCTGAAGTTTTAGAATAAATATGCCACGAGCATAAAGCTAATCGATTAAACGTGTTTAACGTAAATAAAGATTTAGATTGTACCTGTTTTATTCCGTAGCTTCGAGCATTGAGCCAATAGGGACCAACAGAGAAGCGAGGATGTACGTACAACTTCTTAACTCGTCTCCGAGTGCCAGTGCCATCCTCTGTGTTATTGGTACCAGCTAATACCTCCCTGCCACTTGTGAATAGGGAGCTGAAAAGACAGAAAATTATTTTACGTCTATTGGAGTTCATCATACTTTACTATCACATGATTATTATATTACTAATTTATGTCTAAGTATAAGATTCTGTCGGAACTTAGCAATCACTGTATTTTTAATAATTATTTTTATTATGTACGTCGCTTAAAAGGAGTTTATAGTAGAATTAAGAATAGTGAAAACACAAACAATACATAGATAGAAACTCCAGGACGCCGAACAAATTTACAACATAATTTACCAATGATAATATCTGTTCACGCAACACAACGAAATAAAAATGTTGCGGACTACGAAGGCACATTATAACCAAGCCTTTGAGAAAACATTGATACTAGACAAGTAGCATGCGCAAAAACCTGTTATCGACGGCAAATTATATTCGTATACATGGTGTCTGTATAAGTGTTATAATAATCCTATTCAATTATTATGGATGAAAAGGATAATTTTCATTTAATTATGCTAATTGTATTATATTTCTGCAACGAAGTGTTAATAAATAAATAATTAAGTATTGTAAAACGTATTGGATTTTGACATACAAGAGTCATCGTCCGCTCTAAGTTTGGAGTTTTTGATGTTTCTTACTACTCTTACTTACCCTAAGTATTTAACTTTTAACATGAAAATAAAACAGTCTACTGTTACTTGCTGATAGTTACATTCTCTACAAATACTACAATAGATTATAGTAAGTACAATAGTAGATTAGGTATTAAACGATTAAATCGTAATTACGGTACCTATGTTTATTCTATCAAAATATAACTTTAACATTTTGTACCAAGAATACAAGCAAACCTCAATGTATGTTAAATGCATTAATCGATTTTAAAACGAATTAAGCTCGCTTGATCAGTTTTATGTAAGGCAATAACATTCGGGATATCCGAGTGAGGTATTGTGTCGTTTACCAAACTAATTTGTGAATTTTGTACAACAGGAAGTAATTTATTGCTAAGTATTATTAGCATTGAAATGCGCACAGTCATTTGAATAAATCGATCGATTTTTAGAATTGTTAAGTGGGACGGTAAAAATGTAATCAATAGTTGTTTGAGCTTATTTACTGTTTTTCCTTAATAGAAGAAGCAATAAAGCAAAATTGTTTAATTTATGTTTGTAATCGAAAAACTAAATACTTTTTTAAACTACCAGTTTTATGATCAGTACCTACAGTACATAACAGTCTTTAGTAAAAAAATTTAAATGGTTTTTTACGTTGAATATTTCCCAAAACGAGCGAAATCTGGGAATTTAAAAATCTTTTTGCACTAACCATATATTTTCCATAATGTTTTATATGTTTCATAAACGAAGTTGTTGTCAACAACATTTAAACGAATTGTTTAAAATGTGTCAACCATGTAACAAATGTTATTTATACACATATTGAAACACATATTTTTTTTATTTATTTAACTTTAGTTCTAGTACTGATAATAATATGTTGTTATGACTCCTGATATACATAGAATTAATTTTCAACATAATGTAGTAACATCGACATTTTTAAATTACAATCATAATACGGCGCAGAGTTATAAACCCGACATTTAACAACTATAAAGGGTCACAGATAATTGAAGAAAAACATTAAATAAATCTTAATCTCTACCTACTAGATATTAATATATAATTTTTTTTGACCCCAATCCTTATACATAACATGGAACATAATAAGGAAATACTTTAGTGTTTTATCTAATTAAAATTAATATGTGGTCTATGTAGCACTCGTGCGATCCATATTAATTTGTAAACACTGGGAAATCCAATGACGCAACAAACTATTATCGATTTTAAATGCGTCTTAAATGTATTTAATCTTTTTTCCTATTACATTCTTGTAATCTTATTATCATTGGTTGTAATACATGAGCCGTTAATTAATTTAGAATTAGTAATATTAACATGAAATACCAATATTCAATTATCTATTAAATTCTCTTTTAAGAGTGCGACATTTCATTTCACAGAATATAAATATGATATTTGAAACAAAATTTATTTACACCGTTTTGACTATAATACTTTTCTGTATCTGTCATCATATTTGACAGAAAGAGATGAATGTGCGCTTTAGACTGTTTTATTCTTTTGTAAAATAATATGGTAAGTATAGGCATGTTTAGGATATAAAATTATACAATACATCTTTTTAGATTGACTGTGTACAATGTTAGCTTTTAGTGATTACTTGTTATGTGGGTATGATTGGTAGCGTTTACGATTTTTACTCACCAATGAGCAGCGGATAGTATCCATCGGTCCCCAATAATTGTACCCCCACATGTCCTGCCGAAGAGGACAGCTGATGGATATCTCTCATGCACAGGTTTTGACAAGTCATCTCTTGACGATGGAATCGGGTCCCTTAATACTCTGACATTCAGTTCTGGGATTCTTCTTAAATCTGAATTAATATATTAATAGATTAAAATTATTATGAGAAATGAAAGATATAAGTCGCTTAGCATTTTCTTGTTTCTTACATATGAATAATATTGCATAATTTAATAGCATGTTGCGAATACAAAGTCATTTTGTGACTGACATACAAAGTTTAACATTATCAGGCTTAATATGATTAATATTTATCGATAAATATATCTTTTTGATAAAGCCGTGGGACTTATTTATTTTCTATCTCTCCCACAGTCTTACCCGAGTGGATATCGTGTATTTGGGCAATATTTTTGAGACAATAATCTTAATATTTCCAGTCTATTTGAACAAAATCATAATGAATTATACACCTAAATTTCCTAAATTTCTAATCACACTATCTCCGTATAAAAATCCGTTTTTATTTTGATCTTGTTCATACAGATTAAACTGACACGGTCGAAGGACATCCGTGACAAAGACCATGGCTTGGGTTCGGTTTTAAGTTACACCGATATTTTCTCTTGACTAAACTCAATAATACTAATTACCTACTTAAATTCAACGTAATTAATATATGAATAGTTAATTTATTAAATTATGTATACAGTGTTATGTATATATATTATGAATATAGTAATATGTATTTCGTTCATGACCATATTCATTTCCCATTTTATATATAAAATCAACGCTGCCGAACTTTTTTATTCTGAGGTCGTTTGGATCAGTTTCAAGGTAACCTTGAAATTACACTTTCAAACAGAATATAGTAGGTTCTTTAGTTTCTGTTTTAATTATACAACTATAATTTAAGCATCATTTATTTACCTTTTTAATAGCCTTTGAACACTAAGTCCGATTTTATAGGTACAATTTTAGATTAATCAATCATTGGTTCTTTAAATACGTGTAAACGGTGTACATTCAGATTATAAATAATTTAAAAATGGTTCGACCTACATTATTTAATCGTTTAAAAACATTTACTTTATTACTTGTGCTCGAAAAATACGTAAATTGCAATAAGCTTTGCATCATCGTTTTGGGGGCAAAAGCAGTCGTGTGTATCTATACAAATGGAATATTACGTCAGTTCCTAAGCTAAAAAGCAATTTTCATTAATGCTCTTAGTAGTTGAATTTGCTGCAATTTGCGAGCACTATTCGCTATAGCGGATAAGGCGAACATGAAAATAATTGTTGTACGTACGCCCACGGGCTATTTTCAGAACGTCACTACGTACGAATGAATTGGAAATTAAAAGTATTTTGCATTAGACCCTTTTTTTTTAATTTAGATATTAGAATTTTTTGTGGTTCTAAGTTCACCAAAGCAGTGAGATTTGTTCAAAAAAATATATTATTTTTCGAGTTAAAATATGCACTTTTGATACGACTCACAATCTTCATTGATCGATATCATGTTGTACCGGTCTGGTGAGTATCGGCAAAGTATCGGCTTCTGACTAAAGGTCAATGTTAAATAAATTATTGTACCTACTGCGCTAAAACTTTGGCTCTGGGCAAAGTCTTGTAGCCCCATGGTAGGCTATGAGACATAATCTATTTGTGAAGCGAATAGTATTGTATGATTTAAAAAGATGTACTTAGAGAAAATTTATGAGAAGTTTTTCTTTTTTACAATACTTTTTTGTAATATTAGGTGTAAAATTATTTACTAACTGAATAAGTAAATAATTTTTGTTACATTGATAAATATGATTAAAATATTGTTGTTTCACAAAAATTAACGGCCGAGTTCTACCCACACCAAAACACGAAAATTAAATGATTTAATCATATACCTAGGTTGTTGCGTATTGAAATGACTGAATGTAACTTTACTAATATAATTTTAAGACAATATTGTCACTTAATACACTAATTTAAAAATAATAGCTTGATAAATTATTATTATATAATTAAGATACTATTAATTCTGAAACGATAATATAAGAACTGGCGCTCTCCTCCATCATTATAAAAACTACAATTCGTAAAAAAAAAACAATTATTATTTTAAATATTGAATTTGGACGTTTAAGCCTTGGTGGGTAAAAAAAGCTCATTTTAACGGTTAACGCAATACAAATACAGTTACGTGTTTGAACTGTTGTGTACACATAAATAACATTGAAGACGACCACATGCGACCATCATACGTATGTACGTATTGCTTGCATATTTGGTTTTATAATAATTCAAGGCATTATACTATAGTATGAATACATATTATTATATTACTAGTGGTAAAAAAAATACAAAACTTAGTGTTGCCAGGCTTTGACTATTTAATTATTAACTAGCCTTGCAGTTTCATGCTCTGCGCAATCTTCTGTTGCGTCAAGTCACTTTTCAAATTAAAATTAAAAAACCTATTCGTTTTTATAATTCTATTGTAAAACTTTGCCCTGATGAACGAACACAAAAAATTTATTATCCAATGTAGATGTAATAATACATACTTTTTTTTACATAGCTTATTTAAAACACTATTTAGGTTGTGTTACACAATTATGCGTTGTTCTGACGATAATTCTGTTCTTGCGATAATTCCGTTGATTAAAATATTGGTCATTTATATGTATCTTACAAAGTTTATAATGTTTATGTTGCCTGAAGCATTAAAATACAAATGTGTCCTAAAGTTTTAACAAAACGTTTATAGGTACGCGAGCTTTTCTTACCACATAAAATCGGGCCATCACTATTCTATAGCAAAAATGTGTATACTGAGAAATACTCATTTCGAATTGTATTGCTGAATATTTATATTTTATCAAATTGACCTAAGTTATCGTGTAGTCTGTAGACTCTTGACACTATGTGTTCTTGACTTGAGATAATGAAATTATTCATATTGATAATAATAATTAATAATACTTGGTTTCTATTGTGGTTACATTTACGCAATGACTGGTGATCTTAGAAAACACACATTACATTACTTTTCCCTACCCATGTATTATTAAAAAACTGTCTGAAATTTTTAAAATTAAAAAGATTAGAGTACGTTTAGGCTACATAAATAGTGTTTATAGTTATTTATTGTCTTTATTTATAACATAGTCAACTTTAAAGACCTGTACCTCACTTGGCACGGGCGTCAATAACAGGTTCCTACATTGCACTCATCACCTTAACATTGTAAACCAATTATTATAACGTTATTGTAATGAATGTCGACGCTTCGGTGGACGGAAAAAATCTGACCGATTTATGTTCCACATAAGTTTTAGTATTCTTTGAATAAATAAAACAAAATATATTTATCACTTTGCCCTTTATACCGCTTAATGTTTTGCAATAGTTTTTATGCATTTTTTTTATTAACATTGGCAGGTCAACTTAATGTTACTTTTAGTTAGTTGCTCTGTGGAAATAAATAAATTTAAGTTATATATTTGGCTAAATAAGAAGCAAAGCCTTATTATACATTAAATAAATATATAGCCAACTTACCGTCAATTATTAACGTCAATACAGAGTCCAAGCAAACTAGAAATAAATAAAATAAAATTACAAACTAATAATAAACATTAAAGCATAACTATTTAATCTATAGATTTAGTGAGCTATTTTCATAAGCGTTTATTTTAATTCCAAGCCCGCATAAGCCTAGATACCAGGAATTCTATGGAAATTTAGTGAAATAATTTGAAACTCAACTATTACCGTTGTTACTATATGCGGAATATATAAAAGAGCTCGAATACCCTTTTGGTCGAGTTTTATTCTAGAAGCCGTTTTAACACATGAAAAACACGTATTTTTCACATGAAAAAATCTAAAAAAAAATACCAGTGGCGCTACAAGCTTTTTGGTCTGGACCTCAGATTCCTTAATCTATTTCATGATAATATTTTTTCTTCTAATTACAGATGATCAGCTTTATGTGACAGACACACACCGTCTAGCGATGTTTTCCTTCACCCTACGAGCAAGTATTGATTGAGCACATAGACAAAGTCCTTTGGTGCACAGCCGGGGATCGAACATATTAACTCAGGGATAACAGATAATAGTCGCACGTTAATGCCACTAGGCGAACACAAAAAAAAAGAAAGAAAAACTATGAAGTAAGATTGTTTTATGTATACACTTGCAGTCCCTTTAATATTTGTCTTGTCCGTGGATTTAATGAAAAACATTTACAAAAATTGAAACAACATGCAAACATCAAAATGATCCATGCATTCTGGTTAGTTAACTAAAGTTTCAGTTAAATCTTTTTTAATACCAAAGCTACCAAATAATAAACTTTCATTCCTATCTGAAAGTGTTGCTACAAAATTGGAATTTTCCTTCATTTATTTTTGTCAAATTTATTAATAATGGGTTTTTAAAATATACTTTGTTACATCCAACCTTGTAGTAAACAATGGTCACGCGCATGTGCTTACTACCGATTGACATATAATGACAAATACGACAAACATAGTTTTAACAACCGCAACGTATTCAGTGGAAAATCGCTTGAATAATCTCAAGTATAATTGCTAACTATTGAAATGATAATTGCTTTAACAACATAATGTTTGTCATCATTGATTATATACGAAGAAACGCTTTAACAAGTGATTCAAAGCAGTGATATTTATTTGGACATAATTGTATCTATTAAAGCCTATGAAGAATACTGCTCAAGTAACAGGAACCCCACAGCGAACAAACACGACATATAGCCGGTACATCACGTTTCTTAGGGTTATTTGTACTCGTATTTATGTATTTCTTGTAGATATTGAATTACACATACGAATTATGATAATAATATAGTTTGGTTAATAATAAAAAAGTCGATGGTAAATTTGTTAAACATTAATATTGCTTTTGAGAAATAATATATATATATATATGATCTATACGATACCTATACGATCCTTAGTAGTCGTAGAGGGAATTAAATACTTGTTAAGGTGCATATGTTCCTGTATTTCAAAGTTAAAGTATTACTGAAAGTGTGTATGTGTATGTTTTCAGTGTTATTATTGCTTCGACGCTAAGTGCAGACTTTCCCTTTAGCACAAAACAAGCTTATTGTATTATTATATAAGAAAAGCCTTTTAATTTTATAGAAGTTAAAGTTCCAATGTATAGTTCCCATGCAAGTCTGCTAAATTGTTGATATAAAAATAATATCTGAATTTATAATGTTTTTCAAAAATTTAATAATCATTTAACTCTATATATATTTATAAAGGTAGCCAATAGCTTATGTAAAAATAGAAATCTAAATATATAAACAAAAAAACCATGAACGTATCCGACCGAACGACCTAAATCGATTTGACTTGATTAATATTTCTTTGGATTACAAGTGAACAGTTAAAGCCTGTTTTTTTATCAAAAGTATCAACCTTAATAATTAGTATGTACCCAGATGTCATGATTCATTATGTCACTTGCTTCCTATTTATTGTCTAATTCATTCTTAAACTGAGTCATATCGATAAACAAAGAACTCAGTTAGTATGCAAAGAGTGAAGTCATGTTTGTTCACTGCTTAGGTAGATATTATTGTATGAAGTGACACGACAGGTTATAAATCTTTGTGACTATGCGTAAAAATAGTAAATGAACGTACCCAATTTTTATACGAAAGATGGAATTTCTTGTATTCTTATTATCTTATACCTACTATTCTACTATGTTCATTTATATACATTTATATTTATCTAGCCTTAAGGCGTAAACGTTCCTGTATTTAAAAGTTAAAAATAACGAAATAATTATTGAAAATGTGTACAACATCACCGACCACAGTAAATAGCAAAAGATTCAGCAAAATGATGTTTGATAACCCTCAAACACCGAATAATAACGGGAAGCGTTATCGTTTTAATGAAAGAAAACGTTACCGGTCCGTAATTACTTTAAAACCGATAATTGTATCCTTATAATCGACATCACAATTCACAACACAAACACAATTAAGAACACATGAAAAAAAACCACAAATTACTCACTAGGCTTATCTAATGGTTCGACTTGATTCAAGCGCGGTCCCGCCACCGCCGCTCCGCAGGCGCACGCGCAGAACACAACTACTGCCTTGAGAAACATTTTGTGTTTGTTGAGCGTCGAACCAGTCGCTGACTTATATCCTACAACTTGACGTATGTTCGCAGGTCACACGCGGTTATCTGGCTGATAATGTGATCGTCAATAGAAATGGTTATTAATTCGTACTGGGCAGGTGATTAACTAATAAGTTATCATTATGTAAGATAGGAACTGATTGCTTACGATTTAAGTATTTTTTAATTCATCTTACAATTAAACATGTAACAGATACACCATGGCACCTGCTACCTAAAATGCCAATGTAAAAAAATTAAAAACTGAATATTAACACAATTTTAAAGGATTAAAGACTGTGAAAGTAATATTGAGTAAGTAAAAGTATTTTCCTCGTTTATGTCACACTGATAACGTTTTCCGCTTTTAATTAATTATGTTTGGGTATTTTCTAAATTTACCATTATGTGATAATTCAGATATTTGTATCAAAACAATGTTGCTTGGCAATACTTAACGAGTACATTTCTAATTAATAGGTACCTATGGACCTTCGTCATAATTTGTAGTGACTTGTTTATTGAGTTCTTATAAAGATTCAATTATATGCCATATAAAAATGCATGATGAAACAGACGTATAAATGTACCCTCCGCGCAATGTTTTGCGCACCATGGCACTCAGCGGGAAACGGGACTTTCAAAAATTGTATTCATTTAGGATTGATTTGACGATGTAAAAACATTGATTCAGTTTCATTCGATTAAAATTCGATTTTTTTTATCTGTGTTGGGAATTATTAATAGATATTCTTTTTGTCTTCAATATTTGAATGAAAAAATGCTTTTCCAGTAATTTAGTGAATTAGTAAAAAAACAAACTCTTTTACGAGGGACGTTAGGATGGTGACATTTACAGCTTCCGTGCTAACTTTTTAACTAAAGGTAAAGGAAATAGTAAGATTAGCCTACATTATTATTTTTTGATTATTAGTTAATAAACTGTTTGAAGTTATAAATAAAACACAAATTGAATTCAAATAAAGTTTACTACCCTCTTCAACGTCTACGCATAATCGAGGGTGGTCTCTTATATTAGAATCATTATTTAGTTTGCAAACATTTAACAAAATGTATAACCACGGGTAATACTGAATGTAATTGCTTTCACCTTTGAACTATTTTACAAATTAATTACATCTCCAACACAAATAAACTTTTTTGATTTTACAGTTGTGCCAAACAATTGAAAAGTCGATTCAAAGGATCCAGTTCAAAGGTTTTGTGCTTTAGCCTAAAGTTCCAAACTAATTAAGCATTAAAAATACTTTGAGAAACTAATATATGCAGTACAACCTTCGAAACAACGTTGATTTTCTCGCAAATTTCATCCAAGTCACAGATAAATCAAATTGAACCTTTGGACTTTTACCTCCTCAGAAGCATCTAGTCACGATGCTTTAATGGTCTTCTTATTCAAAATTATCCGGACGCAAAATTTTGAGGAAGTTAGATTTTTATCATTTTCCGCATACATATTTGCACGTCTCACCATTGACTCACCATCTCTTAAGTTCAATCACCGGCAAGAATGGCGTCGCATGACAGCTTTTTCACTGGCTTCCGAAGACGAAGTATATCTATTAGTAACATGTAATATATTATACATTGGTTAAAAGTTGTTAATGCAGCATTTTTCGTGTATTGAAAATTAAGCTAATTGACCTTTTTTATAGAATAGGGGGATACGGGACACCCAAAAATAGGGCAGTCATCGCAGCCCATTTTTAGTAGGTGCGTTGTCAGCCTTTGAGGGAGGAGTATACTCTTAGTAATATTATTTTCCTAAAAGTAAAATAAGCAGGCCCTTTCTTTGGACACGTTATAATGCCTAATAAATATTAAAAATACTCTAGTAATCATAATATTAATAGTTCTAGGGTATAAAACAAATGAACGTAGGCTACATTCCTAACCTATCCATTCGAATCAATAATAATTTTTTCACCTGAATTTATATGCGTTTCTCGTTTCAGGCGACATTTTATACACGGCTTTGAATTGCTTAAATGTGTTTTTTTCCTCGACGTCAAATTGAAAATCATTGCGAGGGAAAATGGATTTTCATGCTATAATACTTTGATATATTTCATCAGGCGGAAGAACACATATAGGACGTCATGGATATTCCTACTTGATCAGGCCATGGTGTACGTGACGTGATTAGACGTTTCTGCTAGTTTCTAGAACCTGTATTTAGGTTATAAACACATGAATAGTTTCCTGTGAATTACCTTTTACCTTATAAAGGTTTAAAATTGAAAACTAATTTTAGTTTATTTTAGTCTCAACATTAATAGATGTTTCTGTTGACGTCTAACTGCCAAAAAACGTTTTACGGACGACAACGGACGAAATAAAGAATGAATTAGTCGGAAAATGATATGGCCGAAAGCTGTACCAAAGCTTTCGGCCATAATAAAACAACTTTTATAACCTAAAGCTGCGGCTCATACTAATGAAATATTGTAATTGTTCTGAAGAAAAAAATACAATTCATCTGCATGTCAACGACTTAAGCGACGAGCTTTATGTACAATGTAAATATAGGGGAGCGAGGGGCTAGTTGTAACAATTTTAACAAATAATTGAATATCATGAAGTGTATTGGCTAAATTACTACCAAATAAACTTTGATCGATACTCTAACTATTAATCTATGAAGTCGAATTGAAATATTATCAAATCTACAGGTAACTATCTCACAATTATGATTTTTTTGAAAAAAGGGAAGTGTTACAACTTACCCCGTGGTTGGGGCTAGTTGTAACAACAACAAAAACAAAAAGGTGACACCTTCAATCTTTATTTTTCGCAGTTTTTTTAACTTTTCCTTTCCCCTTTCGCTTTTCTTTATCATCTTTTTTTGCTTTTCTTCATATTCTACTCTCAAAGCTTCTTTTTCAGGCGTATCTGTCAGAATAGGATACTTCCTTTTGCGTCTGCAAATTATATTTGTTTTTCGTGGTGGCGCCTTTGGTAATGGTCTAATCTTTCATTGGGAAAATTGATTTTGACCAGAGCAACTTGGAGTTGGTTTGTTCGCAGTTTCAATGTGGCGTATATTTCTGTTGTGCTGATATCCACTTCAGGAGCAGAATCTACTAAATAGTTGTGGATGTTCAAGATTCAACGATACATTTTCACTTTCATTTAGAACATTTTCTGATTGTTCTGTAGGATCTGGACGATCAGTAACATAAGAGGGCGCAAAGTCACTAGCTTGGAAAATATTAAAAATTCAAAGACCAAATACCAGAAGCTTCAAAACCACTGATAATATTTGCAGGGTTCAAGGCAAGTGATAATGACTCCTTCACTACACTTCGGATGTCATTAATTGCCATCGTTTTCCTGGATTATTATACATCCATGCAGTCTGTGCTCTGTTCACGTGGTTTTAAAGGGCCGTAGACTCCTACAACCATAGGTTGCAAATTGTGGGAGCAATGGGGGAAACGATAACATGATAACATTGTTTTCTTTGGCTTTTTCGACAACTGCAATATTCATACGTGAGCCATGATTATCGAGCAGTAACAGAACTGGCTATTTCTTGGTAGGTTTCGCGTATTTGATAAAATGATCTATAAAAATCAAGAATTCTTTTCAGTCATCCACCCTGAAGAATTGCCAGCTCCAATGCAATCTTGAGGTCCACCGCGAATGAAAATTTCTGAGTATTTAGCCGGGAAAAATAAACATCGGTCGTCAGTAACTTACAGCAATCTGGGGCAAATTGTAACATGTTACAACAAACCCCGAGGTTTTGTTACAACTAGCCCCTAGGTATAGGTCTTAATATTTATCACGATAACTATTAAATCAACTTAGTAATCTCGAAAACTGTTACACATCATCATAAATAGTTATATTTTAGCATAAAATAAAATACATAAAACTTCAAAGCTACGAAAATAGTAAAACTAACCGAAAATTTACGTAAGTAAAATTATAGGTTACCTGTCAACAATAAAGCGTTTGCACACACCCACTCACTACGCCGTCTGGTGGGACCCTGGCTGTGTTAAAGTGGCGTGGCATGTTATAAGTTTAAGATTAGGTAAAAAAAAAACGTGAATAAAAATCAAATTCCTATTGAAAAAGGTCTGTTACTATTTACCCCTGTTACAACAAGCCCCGCGCTCCCCTATTAAATGATATTTCGAATATATAATCAAAAAATATTAGATCTGAAATCAATTTAATTGTGTTGACGTGGAAGGAAATTTCTGTGCAATCTTAAATTACTCTTTTATAGAAGTTTTTATAATCACTAAATCGAGTGTAACATTAACTTGCGGAATTTTAAGATTAACAAACTTTTGTGATTCTAATAGGGGAGCGCGGGGCTTGTTGTAACAGGGGTAAATAGTAACAGACCTTTTTCAATAGGAATTTGATTTTTATTCACGTTTTTTTTTACCTAATCTTAAACTTATAACATGCCACGCCACTTTAACACAGCCAGGGTCCCACCAGACGGCGTAGTGAGTGGGTGTGTGCAAACGCTTTATTGTTGACAGGTAACCTATAATTTTACTTACGTAAATTTTCGGTTAGTTTTACTATTTTCGTAGCTTTGAAGTTTTATGTATTTTATTTTATGCTAAAATATAACTATTTATGATGATGTGTAACAGTTTTCGAGATTACTAAGTTGATTTAATAGTTATCGTGATAAATATTAAGACCTATACCTAGGGGCTAGTTGTAACAAAACCTCGGGGTTTGTTGTAACATGTTACAATTTGCCCCAGATTGCTGTAAGTTACTGACGACCGATGTTTATTTTTCCCGGCTAAATACTCAGAAATTTTCATTCGCGGTGGACCTCAAGATTGCATTGGAGCTGGCAATTCTTCAGGGTGGATGACTGAAAAAGAATTCTTGATTTTTATAGATCATTTTATCAAATACGCGAAACCTACCAAGAAATAGCCAGTTCTGTTACTGCTCGATAATCATGGCTCACGTATGAATATTGCAGTTGTCGAAAAAGCCAAAGAAAACAATGTTATCATGTTATCGTTTCCCCCATTGCTCCCACAATTTGCAACCTATGGTTGTAGGAGTCTACGGCCCTTTTAAAAACCACGTGAACAGAGCACAGACTGCATGGATGTATAATAATCCAGGAAAAACGATGGCAATTAATGACATCCGAAGTGTAGTGAAGGAGTCATTATCACTTGCCTTGAACCCTGCAAATATTATCAGTGGTTTTGAAGCTTCTGGTATTTGGTCTTTGAATTTTTAATATTTTCCAAGCTAGTGACTTTGCGCCCTCTTATGTTACTGATCGTCCAGATCCTACAGAACAATCAGAAAATGTTCTAAATGAAAGTGAAAATGTATCGTTGAATCTTGAACATCCACAACTATTTAGTAGATTCTGCTCCTGAAGTGGATATCAGCACAACAGAAATATACGCCACATTGAAACTGCGAACAAACCAACTCCAAGTTGCTCTGGTCAAAATCAATTTTCCCAATGAAAGATTAGACCATTACCAAAGGCGCCACCACGAAAAACAAATATAATTTGCAGACGCAAAAGGAAGTATCCTATTCTGACAGATACGCCTGAAAAAGAAGCTTTGAGAGTAGAATATGAAGAAAAAGCAAAAAAGATGATAAAGAAAAGCGAAAGGGGAAAGGAAAAGTTAAAAAACTGCGAAAAATAAAGATTGAAGGTGTCACCTTTTTGTTTTTGTTGTTGTTACAACTAGCCCCAACCACGGGGTAAGTTGTAACACTTCCCTTTTTCAAAAAAAATCATAATTGTGAGATAGTTACCTGTAGATTTGATAATATTTCAATTCGACTTCATAGATTAATAGTTAGAGTATCGATCAAAGTTTATTTGGTAGTAATTTAGCCAATACACTTCATGATATTCAATTATTTGTTAAAATTGTTACAACTAGCCCCTCGCTCCCCTACAAAAACAATTTTCTCGATATTATTATAAGGTTTAGTATTCAACAAAGGCCCTCTTAATGTTAGACGAAAAATCGTGTCGGAAGTAGGGCTTCCACTGACCATATGATGATATCTATAAAGCATGTCCAGCAATAAGGTTTGGTAAGTTGGTATCGTTTGTTGCGTGGAATATTTTTAGGTATTATGTTACTAAAAGCGAAAGATGTGCGAAGTTTCCTCCGTGCCAAACCATGCCAAATTACGTGACGATATAATAAATATATTGTATTATTCCTAGGAAATGGTGGGGTTACATATGCAAAAAATACTTTGGAGGAACTAATTACGAGTTAAAGTACGCAACGCTACAGATTGTTGTTACAATGTAAAGTGCATAAATTGTTTTATGGTTCTCGTAAACCATTTCGGCTGCGATTTTTAACAGTGTTTTATAACTAATTTACTACGATTTTCATTTAATTCTATTATTGCTTTTGGCTATCTATCTATGCTTAGTTTAATCTATTTTACTAAGAGTAGGTTAAGTCGGATAAATATAACAACCTTTAAGCATTTGTGTTTGAAAGGTATTATGTTTGGGTTTACGAATTTACTAAATAATTACTATAAATACACGTTGAATTGATAACATCTTTAGATTTTTTAAGTCTGCTAAAAAAGCCGACAAATGACACCAAGTTTAATTATTTTGATTTAGAGCTGTCAAAGAAGTTTTAATGTTTTAAACAAATGCGGGATATTCTAGTGCATTTCCATTACTAGCACTGCGCTGCACTTTGGATTAGGTGTAATCAGTGCTGATTTAAACGAATTGAGAGAACCGCACTCAAAATCGTGTATTAAACGTGTAATGGTTGATTGATAATTATATATCTCAAGAAATAATATATATTTTCGGTTAAATATAACACACTATCGATTAGCAAGACATAAATATGGAAACGTCAAGCTTTTGTTTAGTAATAAGAATATGCAATTTCTTCTATTAAAGTATTTAAGTAGTTAATGTTCAGTTACTATTAACATTTAAATTTGTCTACCTAACGACTTCATATTTTTTATATATTTATAGATATTATTAATATATGTATATATACTATAAATAATATTTTTATACACAGAGTACAACAATGATGTACATATGGGAAAACGTCTTTATCACTATTTCGTGTAACTAGATAATAAACGTTTTCCCATAATTCTCATGTTTATTTAATTATTGGAAAATTCCAGACAGGATGTATTTAGTGGTTAACATATTTATAATTGCACAGTGAATTACTCTCTTGTACGAGAACAATTGCACAATATTGTAACAAGGTGGTAATTTAACTGTGGTAAATCTGTAAATAGCGTTTTTATGTCAGTTTCCCAATGTTATAGTTGGTAGCTCATATCTGAGTGTCGTGGTGAACAAGGAATCATCTGGAGCGGACTATCTGTTACCACCGGACCAGCGCCTCTCTTTACAGCGTACACTTTTGAGGACGATGAGTCTTTCACTCGATCGGTCCACCTGGTTGGTAAAACACGTGATATTTTGCCTTCTGTGTTACCCCACGATCAGTTTCTCCATGACATATGGTATGATTTGTAGTTGGCCTATGGTACATAGACGAGTCCAGTATTCTGAGTTTATCATACCATTCCACGGTATTCATACCATTCGCCTCCAGCACCATGTCTGAAAGGTATCAATCCTTTGCCGTTCTCAAAAATGACTTAAAGATATTTATTTTAACATTTTCTTGAAACGTTGTGAAAAGTTACATATTTACATTTAACTAACTTAATTCTTAGTTTTACGATTATTCATAACAGCTGAATCAGTTTAATTACGCTGTTTTAATTAAGGTGCTGTTCTTTCTCTTTTCACATCGTAAATACTACTTAACAGAAAGAGATAATTATTTAGTGTAATTAAACAATATTTTATGAATAAGGCTGAGTTTTTGCTGTAGATATAAGTTTGAGTTAAATAAACAGTCGTATCGGTAATCAGACATACTTAGCTTCATTATTTTGTTAATAATACATATTGTCTTATGCAATTGTATGAATACTGTATAATAAATATTTGAATTTGATACGAATTATTTAGTATAAGGTGTTATTTCATTAACCCGACTTTACCTACATAAATGGCCAAACAATTTTCAAGCGATTTCTTAAATACAAAACACACCAATTGGTCGTTTCATTTCTAGTTAATTGGCTAAATTTTAAGAAAGACAAATTTTATATTAAGATAGTTATCTACTAGTACCTAATTAACTGCTCAATTTACTAATATTGTATTAATGTATTGCTGTGTTAATAGGGTGTGATACAGTTTTGGATATTGTTGTTTTACAGTGTTAGATTAGTTCTGTTAGTATAATATGTTGTTTAAAATAAATTTTGAGCATTTTTTGAAGACACCTGCAGACGAAACCCCTTTAAGGGGATCTTGGAGATCGTGATCTTTGCATATCATAGCTATGAATTGGACAAGATTTTGTGACGAAAAATATATTAAAGTTTTCATTTCCAATTGTGTAAAATATGGAGAAAAAGCAGGTCACGAATCTCTTAAATTGTCTTACTAATCACAAGAGATATTACGCCGCGATAATACTATTATTACTTTCATAATCACCAAAATCGTCAGAAAGGCTTCAAAACGATGCTATCTCTAGGCCGTTATATTGTCTTCTAAAACTTATTATTATTTTTAAAAATTGAACTATTCTTAAATTTAATATAATCCAAATGAACAATATTGCTTTTATTTCTTAATCTATAAGCATAAATAACTAGCATTCGGCTACTATAATGAGAGGTGGAGAAAGATATGTTATCATAACTTTCGTACATGCGCAATGGTTTGACAGCGTCGAACCTGCCTATAAACTTTATAACTGGTTCTAATCGGCAATTCACCTTTACAATTAAATTATTGCTTAAAGAAGGAGAATGCCCATTTACATGGAATTATTTAAAATAAATGAAATAGTTTGGAAATTGACCTTTGTTCATAAGCTATAGCAAGATAATAATTTGAAGACATATAGGATTTTATTATTGTAATAAGAGACAGAATGACGCACAAAAATTTATGAAATGTATAATATTTTGGGCTTTGGGATTCCTTCTTTTGAATCAATCAAGTTAATGAATATTTTAAATAAAATTACCACACGATTTCATAGCTAATTTTAGCTGCACATGGGCAATCTCCTTGTGTACGAAGGTTTGTTTGCCTTGATTAAGAGAAGCATAATCGCAAATTCTCTCGCGGAATTGACTGAATCCCTAAACCTAAATAAATGCACGGACATCACATTTTATTCACACTTGGGAATTGTCTTTCAGGGTTTAGGGTGAGAGGAAGTCAGATGGAAGGTGTGGTGGCTGGTGTCAGAGGTGGCGCAGTGGAGTCCGGCAGTCCACGCGTGACATCCATGCCAAGTCTTTTGTTGTTACCTGAAACATTCGTTTATATATAAATATATATATATATAATCATAATAATTAGATGTCGTGAGTGGGAGCAATAAAGTATTAAACTGGTGCCCAATTTAGAAGGTGGATAGACCAGATTAAGGAAACAGCAGATTGGTACATGGCAAAGAGTGTCACAGTACAGTAAGACGTGATGGGATTTGGGGGAGGTTTTTGCTAAAAAAGGGCACACAGATACCTAGGAATGAATAGATGATAGAAATATAAATGTACTTAAATGTATTAAATGTAAAGTATCTGAAATAAAAACAACAACAACAAAAATTCAACCGGCAATATGAATAATAAATAATAGTTTAAAAAAACTTGGTTGCTCGATAGACGAAAAATATGGCACAGAGCGCCCCACGCTTTTTCACAATAATACCAGTATTTTTTGTTCATTACCATTTTCAGCCTAAATTAGGAATTATTTTTAACTTTTTAGTTTGATGTGCTTTAAAAGCGTGTTTTTATAGTTTTTTTAAACTATTATTTTTTTTTTAGTTAATTTTTTTTATTTTTTTTTTCGGATTATTGCATTGTCATCGATCTTTGACAGGTGCGCAAAGTTTGAATTAAATCTGTCCGTTAAAAGTGGGTCAAAATCGAGTCCGAAGGAGTCGGTTACATACAAACATACATACATACATACATCCATACATACATACATACATACATACATACATACATACATACATATATACATAAATACATACATACAGGTGAAGCTAATATAAAGCGTGTAAAAAATATTGCCAAACACAAATACTTAAATTAACATCGACTCAGGTATGAGTGGTAATTAACTATCTTAATTTTAACATCCGCCTTGCACTTTAAGTAAACACGCCGAAGTTTTAATTCAAAGTAATAATGCATCTTGTTAGCGGTCGGTATATAAGTTAGTTAAAATGGTTTATGAACGTTTGCGATATTTTGAAAGTTATGAACGTAACAAAACAGTTTTGAGTACGATCACTGACGTAATTAAGCTGTAACTAAAGCCTGAGCCTCACATGGGATGCGGGACTTTACTTATTTATATATGAAAACGGATGTCTGGTGACTTCGCTATTAATAATGATCCTTTGAATCAACCAGTTTAATGATATTTTTACGTTTTTTAATTTTATCTGCTTGTTATACTAGAGTTAATGATTTCTACGACTGTCTAGATTGAAATGTAAGTACAGTGGAATCTCTATAACTCGATTGTAAAAATGAAAAAAATCGAGTTAACGAGTTTTCGACTTAACAAGAACTTCGAGATACGTATGATTTAAGTGGGGAAATTTCGCCTTCCAGAGGCGCGATTTCTGAATGTATTTTTCAATTGTATGCAATGAATCAATACATGTATTCATTTCTTGTTCAAATTACGTGTACAAGACAAAAACAGTAGATTAGAAGCCCGGAACCCGAACATTCATTATGGATATGATTACTTGACGACTTAACGAGGTTCGAGTTATAGAGATTTATAAATTTAGTTATTTTAAAAGTATACCTTTGAAGTAACGCTTATTCAGCTATGACTTATAGAAGTATAGAGCTATGAAAGAATTTATTATCCCCATATCCTTATAAAATATTCTCTACATGGTATTAACGATTAGTAAAAAATCTTGATTATGCAACACAATTTGAGAAATAAAAATTTTATATAATTTAGAAGACAATAATAAGCAAACGAACCTAAAATTGGAAAATTCACATATCAGTATTTTCCTCAATTAGCCAAAATATAAGTTAAACAAACGTAGGCAGTATATGGGTAACGTAAATGACTCAGTGAGTTAATGATAACAGTTTTAAATATACATAGCATTATCTTGTTTGCAATGAGGTGAATAAATTTAGCGATTCACTTACTGTCTTCGTTCAAGATCAAGTCAAATGGTAAAATACTTTTTTTATAATAATACTATTATTGAAAGTCTATCGTGGATAGAAAAATCTGTTCCGCTGACACATAAATTTTTGTAGTATTTAAAGTTAATAAATAAACAAACCCAACAATTCGGTCCCCGCGAAAAAGTTATTTTGTTAAAAATTATATCTTCTAAGATATTTAATCAAATCATCTGAATAAAGATGATTTTGTTCCAAATTAATTTATACGAATAAAGAATTTTTAATGTGAATAATAAAATTCTAAAAATAACTTCGGAAACAATGAATTCATTAGAGCAAATTACGATAAAAAAGGAGTAAGTAATCACCTTACATAATTATTTCATATTCATATTCCTTGACGGACAATTGATTTCCTTACCTGATGCATGGAGTAGACAGCTAACACGACTAGCACGTGCATAATATTGTGTGAGTTGAGGCAGCGATCCACTGTCCCCGGGAACCACTTTTCCGGTATGTGCAGAGCACCGATTACACCACCACCCAGGGATACCGCATCCTGAAACATTCAGTGCTCTTCAGTGAAAGTTACAATAAATATAAGACAGTGGCACCTTTAAAACACCTTAAAAAAACACTTTAATACTAAATTAAGCCAGGAGCTATATGTAGAACCTAGAAAAAAAATATTAGGGTTGAAATGCCTGAGGCACACCCTTCCGTCGAAATATTGTTACATTTAAACATTAAATTTGTTTATATAAACTTATCTTTATTTTGACGCTCCCGGGGTAATTTTTTATTTTATTTTTATTATTATTTTTATTGGGACTAGGTCAATTGGTGTGAATTGTCTTTAAAAAAAAAATTGCGAATACCGCAATATGGGGTTTACCCCGGGAGCGTCAATATAAAGATAACTTTATATAAACAAATTTAATGTTTAAATGTAAAATTTGCATCGTAAAATATACCATTTATAAAATGCAACAGTGCTAGGTGTTTATTACCCATAAAACGTCAAAATGCGCGAGGCATATGGCTTAATCATTAAAATATTTATCATTTATCATGGACATTGAATCATACAAACTGTATGGGATAGACAGTCTCTCTATACTCTCTATTTTGTCTACACATCCATGTATGGCGTTTAGGCCTGCCAAGTCAATTCAAGCACGGTGGCTTAGTTATATATATTATAGTCTAGGATAAATACGCATGAAATTTTTTTCAGTCGAGTTTTCCAATACATAATTTATTATTAAACCAAGAGTATTTTCTATTATTATTACAGTCTCTATTGTGGGGGTTTCCCTAAATACGGGATTTTTTCTTATAAGATAGCTACCATATAACTCTTAATACAAAGTCCTACTAGGAATGGCGTCTTGAACGTTTAGTTATGGAATAATGCTATACACGAATTATTTTGGTTGGTTATTATTCACTATTATCCTTGTACATTTTAAGTTCAATCGGGTCAAAAATTCATCAACAAAATATGTTATCAATATAGTCCAAGATAACTTAAAAAACACGGTAAACATTTTAAACGATTTAATTTCCTTTATTTGATTTTATGTTTAAAATGAAATAATTTTACTAATATAAGGTTGAATTGAATTCCTTTAACCTTTAAATAAGCCTTAAAACTGTCCGAGCTCTATCTCTCTCTATCAGTCTAGCATCGGGTTAAGTCCTAATTCCTTAATGGAGTGGAGCGTTCATTTGTGTGAGCTGAAACCGTACAGCTGCAGGTAATTCATTTAGTGAGAGCAAATGGAACTTGTTTCATTTTGTGTATGCAGTCTTTTTAACAAACTAAATAAATACAATATAAAGATATAAACTCTTTTGCAAAAAAAGCGCGCACCTAAAGGTTACGTTCTATGGCCGATTTTAGTTAATTAAATGACATTTAAATGTCTGACATAGTCTATATACTTATAAATGTGTTAAGTAACGCGTGAAGTGAATTCTGGAATATTTTTATTATTTTTTTATGAATTCTTTAAAACCGATGTACACAGATAAACAATAAGTGGTCGGCAATGAAGACGGGAAGATTTTTTTAAATGTAAAACACTAATAACAAGTGTAACACAAGTGTGATCTTCTAAAGAGATAATATTATATCAACAAATAATTAAATATATATTGTTTTTAGGCTTATGAGTGGAGAATTCACTAATGAATAATGATCATTCCCGTATGTGATACTTTGAATCTTGCCCTAATTGGTTTCATATACCGGATATCCGACATAATTAATATCTTGTTATGATCTATTTTTCCCGATTTAACAGAAATTTGTTTTCCTTATATAAGGAAAATAATATATTGATAAGAAAACTCGATGATTGTTTTATCTTGGGAAATAATTAAATTTGTTATCGGATTCGAAGAATATTCAGGCTGTTTATTCTTTATGAATGATATCACACTGTAGTGGTTGGCAAAGTTAGTGATGTTTTGATTTCGATTGCAGATGTATGAAGGGATGTACTGGGTGGCGCAAAAGTACTGGCACTAAAGAAAATTTTAAATCACTGATGAATTATTCCGTAAGAACATTGACACGATTATTCCTCGTTCTTGGGGAGTAAAACGGTCCATGTTTATTTTCAGTGTATTTTACATTTGTTCACTACACAATTTTCAACAACAGAATGACAGGAAATGTCATATAAAAAAAATAAACAAATTTTCTTTAGTGCCAGTACTTTTGCGCCACCCAGTATTTGTATTGATTAAAATTTCGTAACATAAATTATTAGGGATGCAATGGGCTATTGCTAATAAGCGATCTCTTCCAAGTAACCCTAATAAGGAAAACAATCTTTTATTAATATCAACCAAAATAAAACTACAACACTGAAAAATATACAATATCTAAAATATATAAAAATCCCTTTCTGTCTACTAGAGCCAATTCACTTTTCGAAGGATTTTCTAAGTGTGCAGTTGTTGTCTTCAAAATTTATTTCAACAAATTATACAATAAGGTAAAAATTATTAACAAATGACAATATAACATTTTTAACAAAAACATATTTTGCTGATTTGTCTTTAGGTATATTAAAATTACTTGATATGACGACGCTTTGTAAACATCTTATTACGACATCATTCATTTATATACATATAGACATTTTTAGTAATGTATTTTTTTACTTATAACTACATAACTTACATTTATAATAGCAATATAAATGTTTTACGTCTTATTTCGATATTTTTATTCGTAAACGGGAGGGAGGCTAACCTGATCTTAAGTGAAAATAAAAGGGGCCCATGGAAACACTCATTGTCAGAGGGCTCGCGAGTGTGTTGCCGGCCTTTTTTTTTTTAAAGACAATTCACACCAATTGACCTAGTCCCATGCTAAGCTGGTGAAGATTGTGTTATGGGTACTAGGCAACGGATATACATACATATTATAGATAGATAGACATATAAATACATATTTAAACACCCAAGACCTAAGCACAACACCAAATGCTCATCACATCGATGTTCGTCTCAGCTGGGGATCGAACCCGGGACCCATGGATTCGCAGTCAGGGGTAGTAACCACTAGACCAATGAGTCGTCATAAAGAATAGATACGCTCCTGTCCTGAAGGTGCCAATGTTAAATTGGTTAGGAAATACTTCAGTGGGCAGGTTCCATAGTGCGCAAGTGGTGCGCGGTGGATATCGAGGAAAATAAAAGAGAAAGGCTATATTACATCACATATGTATCGTATATGTTATATTGCTAGAAACAAATAGACAAAACCTTTTTATAAACGAGATCTTTCCTTCATTTTTGTTTTGTTTAATTTTTCAGTTAAATCGTAGGAGCATATCGTTTCCCTGATCTAATTACACGCTCGACTGTCCCAGAAGTGGGCATGGGACCCTACTCAACTTCATCTTTGACATTATCGTGTGAGCTGAGCCCACTCATGTCTGAATGCGTATTTAATAAACATATAACATTGTGTTATTAGTCTAGTGTTTAAGCATACGATTCGACGTTGTGCGGTCGAACCCCAGTACACTAATGGATATTTATTTTATTTCATTACATATATTAATTGATAAGACGTTAATACGTTAATAGACTACGAATCTTATGTAGAAGATTTAAGGCCAACCACAAGGGCGTTGGACAGCTCCGGCGCTACGGGAAATGCAGCCCCTCCAACCTTGCGTACCATAGCACAGGCATTTTTTTCAAGCCTCCGCAACCTCGGCTTTTTCATACATACATTCTTTATCTGTTATACTATTCAGTTATAGTTGACATCATGAGAAAATTCACCATCATAACAAACTGTTTCATCTGATATTCAGAAATAATACCACTGCAAATACTACTGTAATTTTAATCGGCAAGCTCCAAACGTACAATACTGGCAATTACCCACTACGTGCTCAATAAATTCACTTCGATAACTTAATTAAGTTTTATCTAGCGCAAAGTTTAACGTTGAAATTAAGTTTAAAAGTTATACGCCGTAGATTGTGTAAATAGAAATAATAATAAACACTTTTGGACATAAAATAGATGAAAATAATAGAAGACCAACAATGTTATGGGCGGCTTTACTGCTGAAAGCTTTCAGACAAGCCAGCCGTAAATAATGTAAACAATTAAAGTTAACAATTAAATAGATTTTTTTAAACTTGTTAAATACAAGTTCATTCACACAATAATACGTATTTGGTTTGTAGTAATGTAACAATAGCAGTTCTGTCAGAAGCGCGACATATTCAAATGAATATATTATTTCACTTGTTTTTTACGTTAACTGTATAATAATCGACCAGGTAGTCCATTTACTAGCTGCGGTAGTAAACACTTCACAGTCTCTCACCATAGACGTTGTTTTCCCATGATGCTCAGTGTACATAAAAAATACATGTTTTTTAAATACAAAGTAACCCTACATGCCTACGTTTCTATCAGGCACGCGATCGGGTAGATCTGTGGCCGAGAGAGAGGCAGCAGAGGAGTGTTAAATCTCCCCTTTCCTAAAAAGGGATTTTATTTGCATAAACTTCGGTCTAAAACTATAGTTTAGGTACAATATTCTTAATTGCTTCTTAAGATTGTATCGCTTTAAACAAATGAAAAAACAAGTACCTAACCGACAGTTTTCTATCGATTTCCTTTGTAGGTTTTCACACATATTTTGTTTTCCTTAGATTTGGAACACATTAGGATACAAATGTGGGTAAAATGGCCTTCCTTTTCATAAACTACAGTTAAAATATGTAAATAATATTACTCCTAAATACCTTTATGTAATTTTACCCGTCATTTTGCTCAAGTTTTAATACAACAAAAATTACACGCTGAATTGTATCGACATTTGTCTTTGTTAAAGTCGGTCAAAAACAGGCCTTTTACCGCCAGTTAAATATTGTTAACAAGTTGGTTTGTGAATGGGTAAAAAAACCAACTTGCTAACAACCGATATTTGAGTACTTTGGCCTTGTTTCTAGTTTGAATTTAATTCGAATCTTTCCTGTTAAAATTTTTGAATGAGGTTAATTGTAGGTCAAATATATAAATGATTTTGTTATAAGTTTCAGTTGAAACTATTGCGTGTGACTTTAGTTACGGTAAAAATGTAAAAGCCTAAAGTACCACAAAACATATTTGTACATAGTTATAATTATTTTACTCTGAGTCAAAATGGTGTCAAAATTAATTTTATAAGATAATTTGTATCAAAGACAAAACAAGGCAACGAATAAATCGTAAATAAAATGTCTTGTTATTGAAAATATTTATCGTAATTATATAAATTATATTTTTATTTCCAACACACAAATATACAGTATTTACATTTTTCTTAACGTACATAGTAATAATAATAATTAAAAATTAATAATTCAAACAAATTTAAAAAGTTTGGTCCCTGTGGCGTCGTTAAAGTTACGCTACCTTTAACGATAGTAGCGTTTCCTCGCTGTATTGCGATACTTATACGTTGAGCGAGGAAAGCACATACTGATATTTGCATTTCTGTATTATAATATGCTTCATATGTCTAAAAATCGCTATTTCCTCTGCAATCTAATCGCAAGTTCGCCAAGTGGAAACTTGTATTTAAAAATCTTGGGACACGGAAAGGGTAAGGTTAAAATGATTTGGACGTCTGCCAGAAGAGAAGAGCTGATTCTCTATAAGTCACTGAACTTGTTGGTAATATTATGTAATATTTTAGTATTGACCTCATTCTATCATACATGAGACCTTTGTGTAAGATCTTTGATTCCGTTTGAAATCAGATTCAGATATTTGAATTAACCGAGTAACAAATATTTATCTAAAACGAAATAATCATTATACGAGAATATTTGAAAATGGATTATAATATATTCCAGTAGCGCTACAACACCTTATGGGTCTTGACATCAGATCGCATCTTTTATCATTTTTATTTCATAGACTGAAGTAAGCAATGCGCCTTCTATCTGACACATGTTGATTTTTGGATTTGGGACAACCAGGTTTCCTTATGACGCTTTATTTCGCCCAAAGAGTGTTAGATGCGCGCATAGACAGAGTCCATTGGTGCACGGCCGGGGCTCAAACCTACAACCTCAGGGATGAAAGTCTCATGCTAGAGCTACTAGGACTGCACTGCTCCAATAGGCAGCTACTTTTATAAGAATTATAAAAAAATTACTTAAAACCAAACTTAGCTCAACTTATACGTAAACTTTACCTTAATATAGACTATAATACAAAAAAATAATAATGTAAGGAACGAACAACCGTACATTAAAGCCCAGTTTCTCTATCCAAAATACGAGTCGTCAAATCTCCGAGCGTTTGACAGCCGTTCTTCTTCATAGAAAATACTAACGACTCGTCAGTAGTTAATAGTATAAGATCCCGCTATACAACGACCTTCACCGAGATGCTTATTTAATGAAACTTATTTTATATTTAATTTAATATGTCAATAAATATAATCCATATGGGTTGCCTAGCAAATTTCAGTCCAGAGTATGTTTAATTAATATTTAAAAAAATTTTTTTAATAATTTGCATGTCGTAAATTTTTTGAACTTTTTTCAATCAATATTTTTAATCAGGGTAGTATTATATATGTATCACTATAACCTTCTTTTATACTAAAGATGTATATATACTTTAGTGTCACATAAAAAATATACACATAAATAATTAATTGATTAAAAACAACCTAACGTTTGCATATTCTATGGGCTTCATACGTTCGATTGGTATAGAATTTATCTAATAATCATACCGGTGAAATGTTTAAAAAAATTTTTTTTTTTAATTAATTAAACATACTCTGGACTGAAATTTGCTAGGCAACCCATATGGATTATATTTATTGACATATTAAATTATATATAAAATAAGTTTCATTAAATAAGCATCTCGGTAAAGGTCGTTGTATAGCGGGATCTTAGACCATAAGATATTCGTAGATAAAGGGTCCACTATAAATTCAATTAAAAGTATTTATGTTAAAGTTACGAAGAAATTCTGCCAGTTTTAAAGGTACACAGGTAACTTATTAAATTTATTTTTTAATCGAGGTGTAATACGAGACCGAACGCGATAAAGACTCACTGTGGACGCCGTCTGCCCCATCTAGGGGTTATAGGACATCAAGTCAACATTATAAATACTTATATAATATAGGTATATAAAAAAAATAATTAACTATTAATTGCTTAAGATGTCATGTGGAACATGGTGTAATAGTTGCAGGTCCCTACAAATATTGTGTAAAACATAAAACTTGGCGTAAGAGTGGCGGATAGTTTATTGCCAGTTCTTCTAATTCATTCTACGCCCTTGATTTGAGAACTGGCAGTAAATGTAAAATTAGAAGTATTTAGCATTTAATAGGTACTTCATTGTTGACGTTTATAAGTATACATTGTGTTACCTAAATTAATAAATGATTTTGACTTTTTGACAAAATTTAACATGTAATGGATGATTTAAATTATTATCTAGTTGATAAAAGGGCCTGGGACTAGTGCTAGATAGGCTATTTCTAATTAATTTGCGATATTTGTTTTAAAATAAGTGTTGTTTGATGATTTGATATTTTAAAAGAGTACCGAGAGTTTTTTACGCCGGCTTTTTCTCTCGGCCTACACCCTCTGTCTTCTATGCCGATGAGTAGGGAAGCCTACAAATTCAAATTTAATGACGTGGAATAAGTGATACATGTATCTTATGTTCCTTAGTAAACATATTTTTATTTTATCTGTTATCCATTATTCACAGTTGGCTTAATAATATTATAACAAGTTTATAGCGTTTGCATGCGTGTACTTTTAGAACGCTCTTATAAAACAGGAAAGCATTTCTCTTTAAACTCTTGCAGTTTTCAAACTTACCAAGAGAATTATTTATAAACCACTTCCGGCTTACGAAAGCTTGGAAGCTTTTTAAGTGAGATGCGACAATAAAGCTTAAAGGAAATTGAATTCATTTATAATTTGTATATATATGTCGTGGTCCGTTCGTAGAAATATTATATTGAGGTCACGTAAGTGACCATTTGATGAAATGGCTCTTTATACGATATATGGTTACGATAAATGCTATCTTGTTAATTGCTTGGCTGAATTAAACGAGTTAATATTTTTATTTTGGATTAAGGTTTTTTTTAAGGTTAATTTTTAATCGCTTGAACATTAAGGGACATTTGACGTCCCTACGAGGTGCGGAGACCAGCAAACCCGAAGAAATAACATTTCCCCAGGTATATAATCTACAATTACAAGTACGTAAAAACGATATACATAATATAGCGGAAATATAGGGAAAATCCCTCAATTAAAGTAAGAAGCTTCTGGTATACTTATGTGTTTTTTACCTGTAGGAAGACGTGCAGTATGGCATGTGGGTCTCCGCCTCCAAAGCGCGCTGCCCTAGCCCCTGCCAGGAGTAGTCTCATGCAGAAGGGGGCCGCGAAGCACAAACGTCTCTCCCATGGGGACCAAGCCCGCATTGCCTGAAGCAAATCGTAATAAAGTATTTTATAAAAAATCCTAACTAAGGCTAAAGAAAGTTAAATATAATAAAAATAGACCTCTTCGTAGTTAACGTATAACTATAATAATAGTTTTCCTTATTACGTAAAATTATTTGCATTAATAAATAACGCTATTATATAATAAATGACGTCGTATTGTGTTGCGTATTGGGCTCATGTAAGGCAATTTAGTCCAACCAGTTATAATACGTCAGAAATCTCCAAATACCTTAGTTAATTGCTAATTAAATATATACTATGCACACGTCACTATGACGTTGTGATTTCGTTAAAAGCTGCACGTTTCCCAAATATCAGAATGGCCGAATAAAGAACTTGTTTCACTGACGTAGTTTTTGAGCTTTACGACATTGGAAATTAGAATTTACAAAAATGATCAAGGATGCGGTACTACCAAATTTGTTGGTTGGTTGATTTTGGTTTTACACATTAACACTAGGTTTAGTGACTACGTGGTATTATAATTTTTCTGTAATGCAATTTTCATTGAACCACTTTGGACTCGCAACTTTTTTTATAGCAACTATATAAGTTTATTAGCACTCTAACTAAAGTGCTGTTTCGTCTCTTTCTAATAAATTGTGTTTACTGAGTTGAAAAGACACAGATAAGTACTTTTGTTAAAACGGTGCAATTCCACTGATGAATTTTTTACCAAAAAGAGGTAAAAATTTATGTTTACACGTGGAGTTGAGATATTTAAATATTATATAGTTTTACTAGCTGACCCGGCAAATGTCGTTTAGCCATGTACCTATATTATTTCTAGGAAAAATATTTTAGTTCAATATAAATAACTATCTACTATAATAAAAAATTGGGGTTGATCGTAGAGGGTAGATGAAAATTAAGGGTTGTATGCATTTTTGCTGTATCATAAAAAAGAACAAAACAATTTGTCTAAAAAATAAAAAAATTAGGGGTTTGAAAGATAGATAGTAGCATTTTCTCAGTCTTACTGAATATGCATAAAAAATTCAAAAGAACCGGTCGAGCCATTTCGGAGGAGTATGGGAACGAACATTGTGACACGAGAATTTTATATATTAAAAGTATAAGGAAGGATCTGCACCGGTACTACGTTTTTTTATGAAATTTCGAAGAAGTTCTGTTAATATTCGTAGCTCTGATGTCACAATTCACTGCGTACAAAACAAACAGAATTTGTTATAAATTAGCAAATCTAATATACCTTCAAGCTAATCATAAACTACTTATATATAAACTTACTTTATACAGGCCCAGAAGACTTCCAAGGCAGTATACTGCCAGAGCCAAGTAACGCAGTGGCGCTGGCGCACAGTACACCGTCGCTGTCACCATTGGTATAGCACCTGTTGGCAAATGTTAAAATAATTCTAAACCTATGAAAAACATGAGAGAGTAAATTTGGAATTTAAGTATCTTGAAACTATGTTAATGTAGTTAAAAGATTTCGAGTTAATCACAAACTTTTCATCCAGTAAAAGTAAATCAAGGATTTAAATGCACTTGTTCTTTAACAAAACGCTTCATATAACCTTTCTCTTATAAGGTGTACCTAATTTATATATACTTGCAAAATCAGGTAACTAAAGATACATACAACTATCAGCCGCTTTAATCGAGAGATCTGTATAGATTTTTAAGCTATTGCATAGATTTTATCGCGGTCTTTGAGCGCGGCGACCGAATCAAGAAATTCCTAACGACAATAAAAACCTAACACACGATGACGTAATGTAGGTGAAGCCAATACGCGTTAGAGCGGGACAGAACGCATTCTGCGTCTCACACATCGGTCTGGCGTCATCGGTGACGTAGCGCAGGTGCGTTAAAGTGGGACAGAACGCATACTGCGTATTCACATCTCTTAGACGTGATCGGTGACGTACGCGTTAGATTGAGACAGACTATATAGGCGTGTTATAATTAAAAGTGCATTAGATGATAAAAAATGCTATGCAATAGCTTTACCGCGGCAGTCCCCGAGTGCCACACTTTTTTTTTAAATTAAAAACCGTTATGTATGCAAATCTCGTCAAAAACGTTCATTAATCCATTCTACGTCAATCTTCTCCAATTACCTTAACTAATTGTTAATGATCTGCTAAATCTTACTATGACGTAAGTATACGAAGATACTCGTATAAGGAGCAAGTTTTCCCATACTAAAATATCAGAGTGAACTAAAACGTGTTTCCTAAATATAGTGTTTTCACGAGATCAACGAAAAAGAAAAATAATTTCACATAAAATTATTAGTACAGTCATAATTGAGCCCCAATAAATCAAGGTAATAAAGTCAAATTTTTGCCCATGTTTACGATAATTTATAATTGGACGAGATTGCTTATAAGCTTACCACTCAACCCTCTAGATTTATAAACATGTTTTATACTTATTAATTTCTTGAGTGCTTAGTCATGTATATATTAAGTACTTAAGTAAGTGGAACTTCATGTAAACTATTTGAGAGTACTCCTTCCATTGAATTCTTTATATATAAAAATTTGTTGGGTTTGTCAACATAGGAAAATTTCTAAACAAATCAAATACAGAAATATTATTTATATATTTATTAATATTATTATAATAATGAATTTCGTAATGTTCAACCCCGTCGATACAGTAAACTCTCCCCTCAAATTAAAGAACTTATTTGGCGGAATATTCGGATACGTCGTAGCGGCGTATTTTAGATTTAAAAGATTTAGAGTAATGCCAGTAATGAAAAAGGATATATACTGGTTGTCAAATATTTATGCGTGCGTTCAGAAATTTATTTTGTTTAAATTAAGGAAAATATATCAATCTATTTAAATTTCCAACAATTATATCTTTTAATATATATCAATATTTATTTTCTATGCATTGTATTACAATCATAAATTAAGTTCAGCTAATCACGAAATTAATTGACTGCCAGTACGAAGTTCGCTAGGTCAGTAATATAAACTCAAAAATAACCACATATCATTTTCAACAAATCTTTTTGTATGGGCAAGGCGTCAATAGCAAAAACAGAATCATAAAGCTGAATAGATGATTTATGAATGTCACCTCGGTGATCGCATTCTGATTGATTCCCAATTGGTATCGATTCGTTCACAATTTGTTTCGCAACTTCTTCTCATATTGCTTTTCGCAAACACAAAGCGGCGGAAATTTGATACCGCTTCAAGTTATTTCAAAGCTCTGTTTTATATAAAGGATGTTAATACTAAATTGTCACAACACCGCCAGTGTCACCTCGACGTCCGCCGTTTCACAACTGAGCGTTTAGGCAGTTTCTGCCGCGCACCACCACTATGTGGAAGCAGCTGCCTACTAAAGTATTTCCGAACCATTTTGACTTGGGGTTTTTCAAGATAAGAGCGTACCAATTCTTAAAAGGCCGGCAACGCACTCGCGAGCCCCTTGGAATTAAGAGTGCACATGGGCGGTTGTATCACTTAACATCAGATGAGCCCGTTGTCCCCCTGTTCTATAAAAAAGCCTTTATATTGTGACATAATATATAAATGTAACCCAGTGCCGTATGTCACAGAAGGCTGTTTATAGGTGATTAAATAATAATAAACAACGCAGAAATCTAAGGCAAGTATATTATAAACTAGCTCTCCCGCGAACTTCGTTTCGCCTTAATATGATTTTTTTACTAATCCTGCCTTTTAGCACATATCGAACATTTGGCTATGCTACACCATAGAGACTATTCGATTTACCGAAATAAAAACTGGGTTTTAAGTTTTTCCGTGCAATTTTTCTCTCCATAAAAACCTTTCTCAGAATTGAAGGAATAATAAAAAAAATACTCTAATAATTGGTCTAGGCGTTTTTGAGCTTTGCGCTTAGCAAGATATATGGAATTGCAATTAACTTTTATTTAAATTAAACAAAACAAAGCAATTTCTTTTTATTACAACAATGTCACCCCATTCTAATGTAATAGTTACTTTTCAGAATTTGAAAACAATAAATTCTAAAAAGTAACTAGTTTACTATTTAAGCCACAACTTGCTTAAGCTATCGCGGAATATGTTTAAAGGGAGTTTCAAGAATATACATAGCGCTAAATAACCTGCATCATGAGCACACCACACAGCCGAATTAGGTATTACTTAGTTTTTTTTATCAGGGTGCAAACGGGCAGGAGACTCATCTGATGTTAAGATAGTGCCGCCCATGGACACTCTCAATACCAGAGGGCACGCGAGTGCGTCAAATCAGTCAAATTTATTTATTACTTTTTATTGATATTTTCCTTTCGTAAATGTTTAAACCTTTTTGTATATGTTATGTATTTCATCTTTGGCTATATCTATACTATAATTCTTGTTTATTACATATAATTTATGTTTGATACAGGATTAGGATATGAATAAATAAATAGTTTGTTATATTAAAATTACTTCATACAAGTTAACCCGAGTTTCGAAATTTTAAAATACGAAAAGCTACATTAAAAATGGAAAAGCGGGACGATACGTTACAATCGACATAAAATCTCGTAGACGCTAGGAAGTGGGAATGTGGGGCATTTATATGGGTCTGAAGTGTAGCGTTTTGCTCTATTTGTGCTAAAACTCATTCTAACTTTATCTTATTTGTAAGCGCTTCATGCTTGCCAAAATGTAAAAAGATATTTAGGTTAGATTTTAAATAATATTACGTAATGTTTGTTGGTGATAATTTTATTTATTTAACTAAAGTTTTAACGGGCTTCGTGGCTTAGTGATATATATGTTTATAACCCATTATCTTGGCTATATTTTCCACCGAAATAATAAGAAATATAATTATTTTGGGTAGGTAGTTGGTAGAAAAAACTGAAACTGGTCACGAAAACCTTCGAAGGACAAAACCCAATCGAACGTACAAACAAAGTTGTCCTGCCTTGCGATTCTATGTATAAATTGTATATATAGCATAGGTACTATTTTGTAACTACCATGCCTTAAAATACGTAATTAACCTGAAAAATATATTTTTAGTGCAGACAAGAAGAATAAAATAACATATTTTTCTCTTCTTGTCGTTATTTAATTTAAATTTAATTTGAGCTGATTAAAAATATTCTTTCTCATAAAAGTAAGGTCATATACATAAATAAAATATTATTCCAAAGCATCAAGCTTTGACCGTGAAATTGCATATGACTAATGCATTATAATATTGAAAAGACACAATGGCCGTACTTTGTTGACAACCAATGAATATATAATTAGTAGTTGCCTGCAAGACCCTGCATTCAATAATCTGTGGAGAAAATCGAAACGCAAAGTATATTTTTTTGTACACATTTAAGTTTTCGTTTAATGTTTTGTTTATCAAAGCATTCATATTTTTACAATCTAACATTTGTTTATATAAATTATGTATTTTATATAACCAATTATATCGCAGGCGTCGGAGCGATATACGAGCATAAAACAGTGTTTACGTAAATTATTTATATAAAAGTATCGCGCCTTTTTAACCTATCCTATTTATATTACATTTACAACAAAAGGAAACCTGTCAAAATATATTTTGATTGTCACCGCCCAGATAGGGATGAATTAGGTGAGGTTAATCTAAGGACACCCGTCAGACAGACGCGGTCCAGTCTTTCATTTTTTGAATTTTTTTTTATACTAATCTTTATACTGAGATATTATTGAACATTACGAAGCCTAACATAAGACTAATAAATAATTTACGTCTAACCTAATTCACTAATAAGGATTTTTAACATAAAAAAGTGTTCATAGTTACTATACACTAACTAGACACCACGTCAAGAAGTTGAATAGCCTCGACATTCACGTGACGGTGGAGCCTTTGTTCGTGGGTTCCAGTGGTGGTGACACCCTCCCAGTGAGTAAGGTCCCCATGGACGTAGTCGTAATGTACCAGGGAGCATCTTTAATTTAACTCGCACCATATCTAATCGAAATGTAGGGACTTTAAGCTCTTACTTAAAAATTTATCAATGAAAAAGACACCGAAAAGTCTGCCTTTTGTCAACGATTCGACCGTTCATCTCTATTAGAGAAATTATTGTGCAATTTTCTAAGAAATATTCATAACATAAATTAGACCTATGAGACAACTGAACAGACAGACTGAACTATACACATCAATGACGCAGGAAAATATAATGAACGACAAATAGCACATGCTATAGTTGCAACAAAAATATTTATTTTACATGCATTATTTAGTGTTTGCCGGTTGCAATGTTCGCCTTTTGTTTGTAGTTTTGTGTCCTCTAGAACAAGGTTTTCTCGCTTTATATAATGTGTAATCAATATGAGGCAATATGAATATGACCTTAAAAAATAATATAATAACTAAAA